CCCCGCCTTTTGCCCCCGGGGTTTGAGAAGAATAGACCAAAGGGGTTGGAAGAAGTTCCCCCCCCCCCCCCCCCCCCCCCCGGTACACAGAGTTGTTGCGATATCAGATGATGAACAGTGGCAGTGGCGAAGTGGTTCAGGTTTCAAGCCGCAAAGGAGGCCGCCAAGACCGACCTCGGCTTCTTCACAGGATTTCATCATCACAAACAATGCCGCACGTGACATGCCCGCCGCGTCTCAAGCGCGTCAACCTCAACTTAGTCATTATTCCTCTCCCACCATATTCTTCCTCCGCCCGGCAAATAACAATCGCCTCAACACCTCCATCTTAGAGATTGCGCAACCTCCCAGGAACACCGAGCGCTTTCAGCGCATTCAATTGCAATGGCTCGAGGTCCTGTCCGTCGCAGGCAACCCAACCAACATCGACCTATCCCGCGTGTCGCAAATAGGACTGCCGCCACAAACGCAGCCAGAGCCGAACTCGAACGCAAGCTTGCTTCAAAGCCAATAGGACAACGGCCTACCGACAGCGATGACAGCGATAGACTCGTGGTCAAAGGCAACGGTCGAAGAGGCAGAAATGTTCCCAAGCAAGAGATTTATGCTACAGGGGCAGTGGGGGCGGGTGATAAGCCCGGCGCATATCCCACCAGGGCGCAGAGGAGGAGAAGCTTGAGCAACGACACAAAAGAGGTACTTGCACAGCAACGCTCTGGAGGACGTAAAAATGAGGATTCTTCTTTAAAGGCTTCCGATCCTCCAAGGCAACGCAAATCATCATTGACAAATGGAATTGCCACCAAATCAACGGCCATGCCACAGCCCACGATCCAACCCAACACGACCACAGCTGCAACCCCCTCAGCGATAAAGGCACCGGGCAGTATTCTGCGACCGGGGCAACCGACACCTACTAGGGAGACCTCTTTCTTAGGTACTCTCAAACCACGGGGAAGGCAACCGAGCATCCTACAACAAATTGAGCACGATTCGTCCAGTTTTGACCTCGATGCTGAAGATGAATTCTTGCCCGACGCAGTGTCAACCCCATTGAATCTCTCCAACCCCAAACCTATACTCTCGAGCCCTGCTACCGCCACAACTCAACCCTCTACCTCACGAAAGCGAAAACTCGGGCATTCAGACCCTCTGCAGCCTCAAGAAGACATCGGCCTACCAGTGATCGGGTCCCCACTCGAGTCGATGCATCGTCGGCGCCTGACCCCCGAATCAAGTCTTCCAAGTATTCCTGTGTCCACGCTGCGAGAATCGGGCAGGAAGCAGAGAGATCGCATTGCTACTGCAGATGATGTTATGGCTCCCCCTCAAAGCAGCTCTTCACCAGGGCCCTCAACAGAGGAAGCCAATGCTTCTACACGACCTAAGAACAGCCGCAAGAAGAGTGAAGTAAAGCCTGTACCAGCGATGACCACAGAGGAGTTGCAAGCTGCTCTGATGCCGACAAAGAAGCGACGCATAGCGCGAGAGCGGAATCAAACGAGGACAACTGAGTTTGAAATACCTGCAGATTCTGACTCTCCTGGTAATGAGCCCGACGAAGATTCAAGTTTTTTCCCCACAAAAAGAGGGAGGCGAGCCACCAGAGGAAGAGAGGCGAGCAACACCACTCGGCCCAAGCCCGGGAAACCCAGATCGGGCAAATCTGCGGCAGGGGGAAAGCAGAAAGGCACGGCCAAACCGACTGCCAAATTAAAACCAAGTACGAGAAACCTCATCATCACTACTACCACTTCCGCGCCCGTCCTCTCGTCCTCCACATCATCACGCAGGAATCGCGAAACTAAGTCTCCCTCACAGCTTTCATCCATCGCCGCCAGTACCGCACGCACGAGCAAGGCAGGTATCAGCACAACGGAACTCGAACCAACGTCAGTGTCGGCCGCAGCATCAAAGAAGCGATCTGGTGGATCCCTCGTGGCCCGCGCTGGCGAAGATCCCGCAGACAAAGAGAATCGATCAAGCAGTATCAGTCCGCGCCATGGAGAAATTGACGAGTATGCCGACGACGGTAGACATCGCGCTGGATTGCGGAAAGGAGCCTCGCAAGCGAAGACGGCTGTGGCGCCACGGAACAAGTGGGCGGACATAGATGCTTGGGATATGGACTTTGAGGAGATCGAGGTCACCACTCCATCTGGATCTGGGGGGAGTTCGCCTCTGAGGAGGTGAGATCGCGTCTTGCTTGGACACTTGTTGTTGGGATATCGTTCGCGTGATAAATTTCTTATGTCACGCAGGACTTGCTCCATGCATTGCAATGGACGAATGACCTCTTCTAGTCGACGTATTTGAATGCTATGCATGATACCAGTTGCGATGATTGAATGTGCCTTCGAGGGTACTGCAGCTGGGCGATATCCGGGAGGACTCCCGTGATAAGCTCATCAGCTAGAGTAGTTACGACTCGATCGAATTCTGCGTCCTGTCAGCTTATTTAGTGGATCGTGGCTACTCTCGTGTGATAAAATGATTGAAGAAAAATTAATAGTGAACAGTCCCCTTTTCGAGGCATCGATGACCCAGGCAACCATTGAAAGTCTACCAGGTTACAGAATCTATCCGCTTGCTGAGGTCTCACCATCAGAATGCCTGTCCATCTGCAGTTCTCCCGTGAAGAACCCTCTAGCACCATTGCTCAACCCTACAATCTCCCCGTGTGCCAGGTCTGCCATCGAGATCCGACCCTCAACTGCATGTCCGTTCTCCAGCATCAGGCGCCTTGTCACGCCAATGTTACCTCCACAATCTGCTGCTGGGGTGACCCAGCGTCCTTCCCGGTAGAAGTAGACGGTCGAAAGACTTGCCTCCGTGATTTCGTTGTCGTTGTTGTAAAGCAACACCTCGTACTGAGTTGGGGGAAACTCTGTGATCCCGCTGCGATCCCTTGCGGCATCGTAGACATCACGATAGCTCGTTTTGTGTGTGGTGAAGGTTGTGGCAGGCGTCGCAACCTTATCAATCCCGACCGTACAGGTTGCTGGCGGCATGCTCCCAATGGCCATGTTCCTTAACTGGAAATTGTTGAAATTATCTGATTGAAGTTCGGCCCACGGCTTGTCATCCCCCATCGGAGCAAGGGTGATGTCGATGGTGGCCTCCCTGGAGATGTTTAGGCGGACTCGATATGCTCTGAAGAATCCTTGGGCTGGCTTTTTGGGAGTCATCGGGTATTGAGAGACTGCCCTGTCGATACCTGCGTAGAGATATGTCTTCCCTTCCCGCTCGAGTAGGGCAACAACTTCTGTCCAAGTGAATGCACGAGCAGATGCTATCAGGCGGTCACAGTGATAATCTAGTAGCTGTGAGTCGAAGAGTTTGCGCATCGTAATACCTTCGTGCCTGAAATCGGCATCGTTCCATTGATTGAATCGTAAGGTGGTGAATATGCGAAACTCGGGCCTGGAGGTGATTGCAACTATTTCTTCTTCGGATTGTTTCGCCATAACTTTTATTGTTGGTTGGATTAAGTAAAGGTAAGAAAATGGGTTTGTTGAAAGAGAAAGTGAGTCAGACCCAATTGTGGTGGGCATCAACTGTTATTTTTCAGATGCGCTTTCTGCACTTCAAAAACCTCCTTCCTCAATGGCGATGAGTGTCTAACATGGCAGGAACTCATGTTGCACATTATCAGAGGTAGGAACGTGGATGAGGGAAGTCCGCGTTGTAGGGGTTGAGGATGTTTCTTGATCGTATTTTATAACAAAAGAATCCACTACGTTCACGTGTTAGGAATTGTGATCTCGGACAACCAACAAACATATCTGATAGGTGTCAACATGGGGAATTCTTCTTCACAAGCATGGGTACCACTGGATTAGCACTTGACAACTAACCCGACTCTTTACTACTTTCTATTTCTGGTGCTCATAATTGTATGTTTTTGCCATCCAACCAGTCCCTCGCTTGCCAGTAAAGTAGATCATGCTTCTCACCGGCAATACTACTTCCACCAGGTATCCCTTTCTCGCGGTTGTGGCCTGGGAGGTCCCTTATGACACTGACACCCATGGTTTCTTCTTGGCAGTATGCTAAGTATCTGTAACCCGAGGGGAATTGAGCCAGCTTTTGCTCATCCAAAACGGGGACTTTCGCCGGATTGACCGGAATCAATTTGTCTTTCTCATACCAATGACGAACAAACCGAGCTTTCCAGTCGGATTCGCCCGTGATGGAATTTGGAAGTCTCGTCCAGAAGAAGGTGAACCTGCAATCGCTCTCGGCATCAACCTCGGCGCCTTGAATGTTGAAGCGCTGCGTGATCGTTGCTTTCATCTTCGTCACGGCTCGCAATGCGTCAAGGGTTATATCGGTGGTGATTCCGTGACATCTATGCATAATGAACGCTCCTTTGTCCATACCACGTTGCGAGGCTTGAATAAAGTCTTCGTAATGAACTTTACCTGACCAGGTGGTGTAAATATAGGCATCAGGGTGAAATATTGACCTCAGGTTGTCCCACTCGCATGAATCGCTGAAGACAAAGCTGGTTAGCACTTCAGGAATATCTGCAAGGGAGATAAGACGCAGCTTTATGTGGCCCCAAGACTCACCGGTACGATGGCCAACCTTCGGCAAGCTCTCGTAATTTATAGCGTTCAAGCGTTAGTGCATCGGGCCCATTATTTCGCACTACTCCAATCGGACGAGAGCCAGGAGGCAGACTGTGGAGGTCTCTCGCAATTTCGGAAGCGGTAGGTTGGGCTCCAGCGACTGTCGGATCATCTCGAACAGCCTGCTGGAGTAATTCCCACATTACTGCCTCATTCTCTTCTGTGATCTCTTTGCCAGTCCACAGCTTCCACATATGTTTTAGTTGATGGCCCACGACCTGCACTCCTTCAGCAGCGTTCCAGCCATGATGGTTCGCAAGTTTCAAATTTTCGGTGAAAAGAGGGTGATAACACATGTCTAATAGTACACCAGGCTTCGAAGTACGTCTCGACAAAAATTCGGTGACGATAAGCCTTGCGTTAATCTCTTGAGATGTTCGAGCTGGGAAGTCCGGGATTGTGCTCACAATATAGTCGGGTGACGGTAACGACTGAGCCTGCTGCAATGTGCGAATATGAACGATGTTTGGCCGTAGGCCGGTATAGTTGTTCGCATCCTGAATCAGGTCGGCAACTTCCTGGTCGTCCCTATTGACTACATACACCGTCTCATATCCTAGGCCTCGGCAAAGTGCATAAACGGCGGCACGGCTTGCACCTCCAGCTCCGTAGATCATCCCAACATCCCCAGCCGTGAGAGGGTCAGCACTAAGGAGAGCATTTTTGATACCTACCCAGTCGGTGTTCGTACCACGCAGCTTTTCTTCGGGTGTGAGGTAAACCACGTTACAGGCGCCCGTGGTGGCGACCAAATCGTCTACCTCGTCAAGATACGGGATGATCGTTTTCTTGAAAGGCATGGTGATAATACCACCGGCGAATGAAGGAGCTCGGAAAGCTGTGACAACTTCTTCTAGGCTCGCCGTGGCCAGCACTTTCATTTTCCAGTCCTTTCCCAGACATTGTGAGATGTAGTCGTGCGCGGACACAGCAATTGAGGAGGAGCCAGTTCCACCTGCAAAGTAAACAAAGTGTCTCGCCTGTGTGGACGATCCCATGGCTAATGACAGGACTTTCGATACAATGTAAACGTTATTTTGTAACTTCCAGACCTTGAATCTTGCCTGGTTGCACTTGTTGACGATGTATATTTCTCACCACAGGGCTTACTTTGTTCATGTCGATTTAAACAACTGAAAGAGCATAGCACCTGGATATCATGTCAGCCGTGTAAGTGATTGAAGAACACAAGAGAGATGTTCTGTCGGGTATGCCCTTAACGGTTGAGATTTATCCCGGGCCGGGACTGTACATCTCCGTGCACGTAACGAGTGAGTACTAGTAATGCTAAGCCTAGTACGACTTCATTATTTGAGTCAGGCTGTCACTTGGGGTACACAACTCGTTTCCATGAGTGTATGACTACAGATGACTTTTAAGACCAATTCACTTATCTTTTCGTCCTTGCGACGACTGAGCCAGGGGGTAGAGGCACGTGATCGGCATCACGAACTGCGGATTGCGTGTCATACTTCACAGTAGAACCCCATTATGTAATCCTTGAGACACAAGCCGCTGATTGGTCACGCACCAATCTGCGCTTCGCGTTGCCTTTGGCCGTCTGGGTTCTGAGATCATTCGAGTCCTGATGAACATTTTGAGAGCTTGTCAATCCGTCACTGTCAACGGCCTTTGGTTTACTGCCATTACGGAATCAGAGTAGTTCTGTATCTCCGCCTTTCTTTTCTAGTATCATTGTATTATTTACCCATCTCCCTGCATACATATCGTCTCGTTCACAATGGCCGATCCTGTTGCCATCGATGTCTCGCGTGCCAGTCCAGGTCTTTGGGACCGCGTGTCGACCTGGGTGTCGGAGAACAAGGCCGTCGCATACACAATAGCTGGCACGGTAGTCGTCATAACTAGCGCCGGTGCAATCTACTACTTGTCCGGTCAAAAGTCCTCTCCCTCGAATGCAACAACAGAAAAGAGAAAAAGCAAAAAGGAGCGACGGAAAGAGAAGAAGGCTGCCGAGGAAGCGCAAAAGTCCGGCATCAGTTTGAAAGACGAGGAAGCAGGTTCGTCGTTCCATTTTCACGCAGTTGCGGAACACAGCCATTGACAATTCTCTTAGCAACCACACCTGCAGCGCCTGTGGTACCAAAGGCTGCGACTGTTGAAGGCGAGTCTGAATTACCAGAGATCAACGAATCCACAGTGGCCAACTTTTCACTGGAGGTCAGAGTTCACACGGTCCACAAGTCAATGGAGGATACTGACAGATTATACAGGAAAAGCAAACATATTCCCAGAAACTTAAGGCCGCCGGAAACAAGGCCTATGGATCGAAAGATTACAACAAAGCCATTGACCTTTATGGCCAAGCGATACTCCTTAAACCAGATCCTGTCTTCTATTCGAACCGAGCCGCTGCCTACAATGCTATTAGCGACTACGAGAAGGTCGTCGAAGATACCACAGCCGCCATTTCCATGAACCCAGAGTACATCAAGGCCTTGAATCGAAGAGCACATGCTTACGAACACCTCGGGTATCTCTCTGAAGCACTACTAGACTACACCGCGAGCTGCATCATTGATTCATTCCAGAATGAAGGCACTGCACAGAGTGTAGAGCGCTTGTTGAAGAAGGTGGCTGAAAAAAAGGGAAAGGCCATTTTGGCCGGAAAGAAAAATCGGCTGCCTAGCGCGACCTATGTCTCGAATTATCTCCAAAGCTTTCGCCCTCAGCCTCTCCCTACTGATCTCGAAGAATCGGTAGAACTCGAAGAGAATACTGGCAAGGGCCAATTACAGCGTGGTCTGATAGCATTGACCAAAAAGACGGCAGAGGCATACGAGACCGCATCAAAGGCATTCAAGGAAGCCATAACACTTGGAGATCTCGGAGAGCATGAGGCTTACGCTCTGAGCATGCGAGCCACTTTCTTGTATCTCGAGGGTGACCTTGAGAAGGCACTAGAAGATCTCAATAAGGCCATCGAATTACAACCCTCTCTAACACAGGCACATATCAAGCGCGCCAGCATGCATTTGGAGGCAGGAGATAAGGACCTGGCGGCTCAAGGTTTCGAACAGGCGATAGCTCAAAACAAAGATGACCCGGACATTTACTACCACCGTGCCCAACTCCACTTCATCCTTGGAGAGTACGCCGATGCAGCCAAGGACTATCAGAAATCCATCGACCTAGACCGGGAGTTCATCTACGCACATATTCAGCTTGGTGTCTCACAGTACAAGTTGGGTTCGGTTGCATCATCCATGGCGACCTTCCGACGAACCATCAAGAACTTTTCCCAAGTGCCTGATGTTTACAACTACTATGGTGAACTCCTGATCGACCAACAAAAATATGAGGAAGCCATCGAACGATTTGAGACCGCCATCGACCTAGAAAGACAAACGAAGCCAATGGGAGCCATCAATGTCTTACCCCTCATCAACAAGGCTCTTTGTCTGTATCAATGGAAGCAAGATTTCAAGGCGGCAGAGGACCTTTGCAAAAAGGCCTTGATTCGTAAGTCGAGAGTGATGGAATGTTCAGAAACAGGTAGCTAACAAAAATCACAGTTGACCCCGAATGCGACATTGCTGTCGCCACCATGGCACAGTTGCTTCTGCCACAAGGGAGGGTCACCGAAGCCCTTGAATTTTTCGAGCGTGCAGCCGAACTGTCGAGGACCGAAGCTGAGGTGGTTAATGCGCTATCTTATGCTGAGGCTACTCGAACACAGCTGGAGGTGTCCGAGAAGTATCCCCAACTTGCAGCTCGGTTATCTCAAATGGAGGCTGGGCCCGGGGGACCTCAGATGAGATAGGAAAATCCCAACAGGAACCTGGTAGGATTATTGACACATATTTGCAAGTGGCGGGCTCCCTTCTCCTGTTTCTTTATTTGCTTGCAATGGATACATTGATGAGCGATCTAATGCCAGGTCGAGACTTCTTTCTCAACCTTGGCTGTACGTAATACTACCATTATTGAGTCTTTGACTGTCACGGGTCCAACGCTAGATCGCCAGACCCAGTCAGTCCTTGGGCGTTCATGAGTAAGGGATAAAAGCGGTGTGTGGGATGTATAATAAAAGATCCGAGATGAGTTTGGTGACCAGGCCTTGCACTAATTTTGTTGCTACGCGTTCCCTTGAATCGTGGTGACGACTGACCTGTGAATGCGTAAGTTTCAAAGCTGTTGCACCCACTTCAAGCATGCTTCTGCCGCTATATCGCACTGAACATCGTTTTGTGTGTGGTGCCCTGCCCCTTCTATAGTGACCATGCGAACCTGATTTGCAGCAGTTTCTCGGGTTCCCGCAATTGGTTCATCATCGCCAGGGCCACTTTGCTCGCTAATCTCAAGCTTCTTTCCACTCTGGAGCGTGGCCACAGCAGCTGAATATTCCTTAAAGGACCTCTCGGCCATTGATGGATCCGTCAGCCGATCATGGCTGCCAACCATGATGCATATCCTGTCACCCTTCCTCTCCCAGCCGTTGATGGATGTTACAATTTTGTTCACATCCAGCCACTCATTTCTCCCGCAGATCCATTTCCAGAAGCTTCCATTTAAAGCCATTGCCCAAGCCATACTCTCATATCCTGGCATCCACCTCATGAACTCCTTGACCCTGTCCCAGCCATCGTCCTTTGCCTTTGGATAGTGTGGTCCGAAGAAGGCTCTATGTACCAAAGCGGGCTGACAAAGCGGGCTTGTGGGATGGCCACCACTGAAGAGATTCCGCAGCATCAGCCACGGGTCCATCTTCATCCAGTTCCAATAGGCTCCATAGCCTCCAAAATGGGGAACGGAGCCTAACAAGCAGAGCCCTCGAGTTGTGGTTGGATAGTTTAAGAGGACGAACTGAGTCAGAGCACCGCCAGCTGAATGAGCCACAAGTACTGGTTCGGTCCCGTGCTCGAACTTGTGTTTGACATCGTGAATGACGGAGGCCCAGTCAGAAGCAACATCTTCGAGGGTAGTACCAAAGACCATTTTGAGATAAGTCACACCATAGCTCGCGCCGTGGTTACGAGCAGAATACGCGTAGGTGGTACCTCCATAGTGATGGTGGAAATATGTCATCCACTCTATCCACAGAGACGCGTGCCCGAAACCGCCGTGAGCGAAAATGATGGGCGGGCAAGACTTCTCAGGGTTCTTGGGTTGGGAAACTAGGAGCTCCAAGTCACCATTTGGTGTAGGGACATATTCTCTTGAGATATGGGGTGGCAGGGGTTTGAATTTGGGGTTTGGCTTCCACTGAAGATGGTAAATGCCTTGAAGAGTGGCGAACATTACTAGAGTGCGTTGGGTGTGATCTGCTGAGCTACGATGAGATGAAAACGATGTTCATCTTTGAAGAGCTGGAGATGTGAGGTCGTGCAAGCCAAGCTTGCGAATACGAGAAATCCGTCTCCCGAGTTAGCACGAAGAAGACATCACGAGTTGGTCACGGGAGGTGCCCACGTCCTTCAACGATGTTCAGCAGTACTAGGATGCCAGTGGTGTTGTTATAATATCCGTGATGATAGACTAACAAGCGTTCAAGTCCATGATGCATTCGATGTTACTACTCAGTCGTCAAACTTGAAGAGGAGACGGGCAATTAGGCTTCCAAGTTCAGCCTTGGGGATATTCGAAGGCCGCGGCATAGAGGGGCTAGTAGATAAGCGGAGAGCGATAAGGAGTAGGCTAACTCAAGGCGGCTAGTGAGGGACCGATAGGCAAGAGCGACAAGGCAAGAGCCCAAAAAGAGCCCCTCACTGTAGCCTAACGTGACACACTCTGGTACACCAATCACCACCTCGGTCGGGCTGCGCAACACGCCTTGAACAGCGGGCACTTCTCTTACTACATCCTCGACTTCACCTTCCAGGCTCAGACTTGACTTCAGGCCGTTGCTGGACTGCCTGTTCGTGCAGTTGCTTCATCTTCTTTTCACTTCTCCCTCCCACTTCATTCACTCAGGCTACTTACTTCCTCATCAGCCAACACTGTGAGATCTGCCTCCTTAGACCGACCACCACTCCCTCTCGTCCTCGTCTTCGATCTCTCTTTTTCTCTCCCTTTCCCACTCCATCCAGCATCTCTCCTGCAACTGTAGCCTCTCGATCCCCGGAACAACCTTGCATCCTCAAGATACAAAAGAACCAGCAGTTTTCCAATTGATCGCCGTCAAACCACCTCACCTCTAGGCTGTTACTCTCAAGTTGATAGTCCGCAGTCATGGCGGGTGATAATCTCACTGGTACGTTCCACAAACCTCTCCTTGCACCACCCTCCACTTAAAAGTACTTTGTACCTTTGCTGACGCCTGCCTCTCATTAGCGAACATCACAATTCAAGATGTTGAGTACATCGACTCCATTGCCGTCAGACACATCGTCCTTAGCGAGCCAGACTGGTCTATCAAGATTGGACGTGGTTCCTCAACTGGAGATGATGCTCTTCGCCCAGCAGAAAATAACGCCTGGTTTGACTCAAGAGTCATGTCCAGAAATCATGCCGTCCTCCGTGCAGACCCTACCACGAAAGTAAGTTTTCACATTGTCACTTTTGATTCTCATTGCTTAGGCCTTGACTGATTAATCAATAGGAGATTTTCATCGAAGACACCGATTCAATGCATGGAACCCAGTGTAGTGGCAGTCGACTCATCCCCAACGTCCTTGAACTCATTCGCCCTCACGACAGTCTGATTTTTGGTGCCGATGTCATCAGAGGAAGTGGTATTTCCTCCCAACACCCCGTTTCAAAATTCAGGCAGGCTGACCATTCCCAAGCCCAATTCCGCGCTCTGAAGGTCTCGATTGATTACTCTTGGTCTGATCGGAAGGACGATCACCAAGATTCACAATCCACTCAGTGGTTATGCTCGTCCAAAGATGGTGAAATCCTCCCTGTGTCCACCTCCTTCCCCAACACATTCGCTACTCCCGGATACAGTGATGATGACGCCGACCAAGATCACTCAAGCGACGAAGAACCAGCCAATTGGCTAAATCTCAAGAGAACGAACAATGCATCCACCAACAACGCAGATCCTCCACCAGCAAATACCGATGTCTGGGCAGATTACAACGAAGATGAGCACCTTGATGGCCCGGACGACGATGTTCAGTTTGTGAAAGAGTCGTATCGAGCTGCCAGTGTTGAAATTGTCGTTCCCCAGCGAGAGGGAAGTGTCGTTGCCTCCGAGTATTCCGATCACGCGTCCAGCTACTTCTCCGAGGGCGAAGAGGGCGAAAGTCCTACATCCAGCCCAACCGGTCTCAACGATGAACAAGCCGACAAGATCACTTGCCAGGAGTCGGCCAAAGCGGTACATGCTGAAACCCTGAGTCTCACTGAGCAGTTAGAAGATGCCGCTCATGAGCATTTCCCCACTGTGGCCCATCCTCAATCATCTCATTACGTGCAACTTGAATCTGACGATCTCTATGAGAATTCTGAAGAGGAGGATGTCACAATACCTCAAAGTGACCGCCCGTTTCCGGATACAATGGCAACATTTTCCGCTCTACTCAAGTCAAACCGCGACGCCAAACTCCCTCCCGTGAACCAAACTTTTGCTGAATTGCGCCCATATGATTCTGCACGGGCCCCGAGTCCTTCTGAGGTTGCTATGGTAAAGCCGATGTCTGATCTTATCCAACAGCAGCCGTTCATGCCACCCCTCGCTCCATTACAGACTCCCAGTCACATGATCCAGCATTTGAATGAACCGAGGGTCCAGCTTTGTTGTTCACGTCAACATTCGCCTACTTCTCCTTGCAACAGTTATTGGGAGCCTCAAGGTCATCATCTTTCTTCTCCTCAATCCCCTCAATACGTGCCCACTACTCCACTCTGTTCAAGTTACACAGGCCCGTTTGGAGGCGGCGCTACCACCTGTTATGATAATTCATTTCCCTCGACATCAACATTGACTGCAAAGCCGTTCAATTCTTCGCCTGTCGCCCCTATGCAGGAGGGACAGTCGACTCTGAAATTCTCGATCCTCCCTAAGCAGTCCGACAATGTGGGCGAGGAGACGAAACTCATGAAATCTCTGAAGCGCAAAGCTGACGACATGTCTGACATTGCCGAGCACCGTCGACCCTCTGAGGGACTTGGTCTCTCCATCTCAAAGAACGACTTGGAGGTGAAGCCTGAAACGACAACTTCTAGCACTAGGTATCCTGGGATTGAGCATGAAATGACCACAACCTCAACCCTCGTGGCGGATACTCCTGCAAACTCAATCCCAGACAAGACTCAAGAAGAGTCCGACTTGCCACCGCGCAAGAAAGTCAAGAAGACTCAGAGCCCTGACCATGGTAGCTTTATGAAGATTGCCGTGGCCACTATCACTGGGGTAGCCATTGGAACAGTGGGAACTATCATAGGCCTCGCTTCGTTGCCTCAAGACTATTTCCTTTGAACGCAAGTGGCCTGGTGTCACCACCGAGACTGTGTGCCAACGATATCTTGAGTGCTGGTTGGATATGATGATACGTTTATGATTGCATGGACAACATGAATTGGTTCAGGAATGGGTGGATCGGCGCAAGGGAGGTCGGTGTTCCGTCGAGTTCTCGCAAAGCATATATTTTAGTTCACCAATGGAGGTAAACAACACAAGTCTTGCCATGTGAGGGTTCAGGGAATCCTTTCACTCAATAGGCTGTGTCACTTGGGCTATGTATGTCTTTTCATTCGCAATGGGTTCCAGGATACCGGACGACCAAATCAACGTCTTGGAAAGGACCTATGCGTACAAAGGCATTGCAGATTATGAGAGTTCAGGTAGACGAAGACTATGAGCAGAGAAATTAATATCGAATCAAGATCGCAATCATTCCTATTGTAGACCTGAGAGACTAGGAAACACCATGATATTATCCCAAATGCCTCGAGAGACTGCTATCGAGTATCAGATGTCATTGATATTCGTGTGGCATCAACATCGTCGCTTTCTTCAGAGCCATGTGCAATACGTGGGGAAGCGAGGCAAGCACAGGCAGGCAGGGTTGAGCTACGGAGTAGTAGTTCAAGTCCCCTCGAGCTTTGGCGTCCTCGGCGACGGGATCAGACTATTGCCCAGCCATGTACCTCTCGCTGCCTGGATATTTCGATGCTTCCTTCTGCGTGACGGGGTCGCCCCTGCTCAAATACAGAGTCTAGTTAGAGGGGGCGGAGGCACTTTGTGCCCGAGTGGAATCTCGAGGTTTCAGCCTTATCATGCAAGCCTACCCAACAATCTGAGTCCACGTCGCACAGCCGAAGTTAGAGAGTGCGACTTGGGCTTTCGCTATCGTACATATCTTTGCCACGAACAGAGTTCTTTTCCTCTGACAAGCCAACGAGTGCTGGTATTGGAATGAGTTGTGGATTGTAAAACAACAGCGACATCGATCGCCTCTTTAACCGTCCTGATCAGGCCCCCACTATCTCTAAGGTCAACAGACCAAGCGTTCACATCTAGGCACAAGGAAACCAAGAGGAGACCTGAAGTCTTCCAAGTGCTTCGAACATGGATGCGTTCGACGCTGCGCAGAAGTCATTCCTGAGTTCCTTAGGCTCAGAAGATGTTACGACCCTCAACTCACACAACACAGCAGAAGATGTCCTTGCAGAGGTTGAAAAGGCTGAGGAGGAACATAGAGGAAAATGCAATACTCGGAACTACATGAAAAATATCGAAAATTTCGTCAAACGCGTCGAGCAATATGGCAAAGTCTTAGACGTATACATGAATGCAAAGCCAGAAGTCTTGTCGTTGATCTGGGGAACTGCTCGGTTGGTTATTTATATAATGAATCCCCGCAGCAGCCGACATCATCGGAGGTAAGTTCGGGGACCGTGTGCTAACATGATTGCTCAAGCTTGCCCTTGATTACCTCGAATTTTACGAAAATTTACTCGACATGTTCCGCCAGCTAGGAAAAACTCTAGGAAGATTCGGAATTTATGCCCGACTCTATCCTAGATCGGATCGCCTCAAATCCTCTCTGATCGCTGCGTATGCATATTCACCCACCTTGATGATGTTTACTGACTTGGGACGACCGACAGCTGGAGGAGGGAAAGCAATACTTGCGTAAGGAACTTTATTTGGCCCCAGATCAGTTGCTGATAGAGATGCAGATCGACTATCATTGAACATATCATCCAGTTTTTCGGCGGCGAGTCAACAGCATCGATCGATTACTTTATTGCGACTACAAGGACGTTCACAAGAAGTCGACTATCCAAGTGGTCCGTACTCTTATTGCTGACATGTCCCGAGAGAACCTTAAGGTGATGGCCTATGTCAGTGAAATATCATCGAGATACCGTGAGGCTAGGTCCTCTTGCACATTGGAGACACCACTCCCAATCCTTCAGAGGGGTTTCGAATTTCACTCAAGATTTTCACTCAAGAACATTTGTCATTATTGATGCCTTGGATGAGTGCGACGACCGGGACAAACTCCTATATTTCATTGTGGAAAGTTCGAAATCCACACCAAATCTAAACCTGCTTGCAACAAGTCGGAATGAAAAGGATATACACGACACACTGCAAGGTTTACCTCAAGTAGAACTAACAGATGCAAATACTACTCTCGATATTCGAATCTTTGTGGTAGCCCGCCTCGAGGAGATGATCAAAAACAGGAAGCTAAAACTACGAGACCAGAACCTTCGACACGAGATCTTCGATTCACTTTGCTCTCGAGCCGACGGCATGTACGTTTCATAAACCCTCATTTCCCTCGAACCTCCCAATCCGTCCTGAAGTGTCAGAGCACGCAGGCGCCACCGTTAGCAGCGGCTGTTTTAGACTATCACGATTCTTGCTCGAGAATGGATTCACACCCAACGTCAAGCGAAGTCATCAAGCAGTTGAAGATGGTGAGTGCCCATATTTTGGTGAAGTTCCCCTACCTCTCGCAATTCCCATCGGAAGATTTGACCTTGCCGATCTGCTTCTTGATCATGACGGGGATCCAAATCTAGCTGATGAATATTCCGGAAACCCACTCTACGCTGCTGTAATGGTACAGAATGTGAGGCTGGTGTGCAAACTGCTCGAGCTTGGTGCAAGGCCAAATGAAGACATTACGACGGGTGACTCCTGCTCCAACATCGTTCACATTGCGTCACGCTACCAACATCCCACAATACTTCAAAAGCTTCTGCAACATGGTGCCGATGCAAATACTCACTGTTACAGCTGTCCATCTGCACTCAGGTCCGCAATCAAGGCACAGAGAATAGGGACGATTGACATACTGGTTAGTCACAGGGCCGATGTTAGTGAACCTGATGCATATGGTCGCGTTCCTATGTCTCGAGCAAGAGACCTCGCCTAGACTTGGTCACAAATCAACTGTTGGGTTATCACGCACGAGAACAATCGTCCGAAAGCGAGGTCCAGGTTTGAGGTTTGCCTGGGAAACACCGTCAAAACTATGATCTCCTTGCTGGAACAGGAGTCTTGGTGGGTCAGATCTACTGTTTACAATCGTGTCAAAGAGGACCATACATTGTGGACTCCGTGGGTTGTTTTGGGCAGAAGCTTGATTCTATCAGGGGATTATGAAAACGGAATCATTGCGTTGGAGCAGGTACTCCATCAAGGAACTATCTGGGGTCACGATTGTCACTACTGTGGTTTTGTGTGCTATGCGAAGTTTCACCTTTGCGAAGACTGTGATGAGGGTATCTTCTGCGATAAATGTGCCGAGAGGCACCAGATTTTGTTCCGTAATTCAAAATTCGGCCACAAGCTGACCAACATTCCCAGAGACTTGTCCGTGGATATCCCAAAAGGTGAGGTGGCTCTAGGAAATGGATCCAGATTGTCGCCCAAGCAGTGGTTCAAGCGACTTCAGACGCAATGGAAGCCTGGAACTTCGTTTGATCGGAGGAGACAAGAGCCCAAAGTAACTAGATGAGCATTGAGTAGTAATTTATAAACCGAAGCTTGAGCTATGGCCAAATGTGAACAAGGATGTCCCAGTCTAATTAATGGGAGAGAGCGTGGAATGGAGGTCAAAGGGTCTCCAGAGCGAGTGGGAACAAAGCGACCGAGGATGGGTCCCGCGAAAATAAAGTCGAGGGAAAGCCTAAGTCTAGTTCGAGGAGTGTACTGTATATAGATACATACCCAAGGATAATACATATATAGATTGGCAGGCCGAGGGCATCAGCCCTGAAGACGGAGGAATTGCGAGCATCGCGGCGATGTGTCCTTGGGATTTGGTAATTACCCAGCCTGAGTCTGGAGCTTGACCCATCGGCGTCATCATGACTCGACTCGCGCCACGGTGCAATGGCTTTGCGAGAACACCTCGCCACCACCTTAGGTACTTGGTGACTCACCAGGACTGGTTGGTGGTTTTGGTGTATGCTACTTATGCAGTTCTTGGTTTGAAGCACGAGATAGCAGCCCAAGTTTTTGACCCTTACCACCCATAACATTCGTCTGTGGTCGCTTCTACAGGCGGAATCGTTTTGTTCTGTGGCAAAGAGGCTGCGTTTCCTGCTATAGCTATATTGCAGCAGGTGGTCATGCTTACAGTGGTTTTTCAAACTCGTTAGAAACTTGTGTCTGCGCGAAAGATATGCCCAGTATTCATCGATCCATATTCTATCCATATTCCATGCCAGATTCCATGCCAGATCCTGTCCAACTCCTCGCTTGTTGATCCCAACATCCATGGTCAAATAGCGACTGTCCCGCCCTGTGTTTCTGTTGGAACCAAGCCATTACTTGATAATATATGACCTTCCATCTCAGGGAATATATGTCAACCCTCATGCCGGGAGGGTGCCGTGATTGCATTGGGCAAATATCCAAGACCATTCCCTCGTCCCACATGCTCACATTGTATAGCACGCAACGTTGTCCTTTCCAGAATCTCATCCCGTCTTGGTCTCGAAGTTGACCAGATCAAACCCTTTGCCGTACCACTTCATCCAATCCCAGGCTGTACTTTGATGATTTTCTTGCCCAAAGGCTCGTATCATTAGTTCCCCTTCCTTCTCCGTCTCTGTGCCGGTAAGTAATTGGGCAGCCTCATCCTTGGTCTTTGCTGTAGCTCCTTGGCCCCAGATTGTGTTCGTATATGGGTTGATAAAGGTCCCGATATGTCTGAGCGTTACACTTATCCGTGCGCCATCAAACGCAAGTTCGGCGGGATCCTTTTCCGACATCATCCTCTTGTCGGCGCGAATTGCATGCAACCAATGCTGGTTTGTGTCAGGACCGAGCACAAAAAGAGAGTTGTGCGTCAAATGTATGCGTTGTGAAGGTCTGAATGTCTCTCCACCGGTTTGTTCGCCAGCACTGTTGACACTCGACTTCTTCGTACGTAGGATCATTGTCCTTCGGGCACCCAGACTGAAATTGACGATCATCGAGCCACGGACAATATCCAACGATTTATCAGAATGCTCTGAGATATTGTCCTCGCTGGTTCGGTACCACTGAATCAGAGCATGGTTCAGGGGATGCTTCACAATTGACTCAGCGGCTTTTCGAATTTTGCCAATGACCGAGTCAAAGGGTAAGAGCGCCGGCGATTGATCAGCTGGGTGCCTGTAAATTGGAACCTGAGTCCCGTCTTCTGAGACATCTCCCTGAACTGCAACCAGACGCGGTACTTCGCCAGACCTGTGAAACATCTTTTGCCATTTGACAGACTTTCTGCAAGCTTCAAAAGCGGAGTCTGCCTCAGCTTTATCAAGCACTTCAGTGTAAACTCGAGAATCCCCTTGCCCAATTTTATCATCTGGACCTAGTGTATCTTGCTCCAACTTTTTCTTCTTCTTGGGCAGCATTGATGGCCCATTGTGTGCGTGTCCTATACCTGAGTCCTCAGCCATCAACAAGCCAAGCTCAGAGGCTGAGTCTTTCTTGCTACCAGGACTGTTGGTAGCTGTCTCGGCCATGGTCTCGTTGCTCGAGTGGGTAGGCATAGTTGGGGAATCGTGAGAAGGGCGTCTCTTGCGTGTTTGGGCAGCCTGTTTTATTTCCTTATGCTCAGCAATGTGAACAGCGCTTGAGGAAGGACGATTTGAGGGCGTCTGTGGAGATGCAAGGAGACGATCGTGCTCTGTTGGGTTGAGATCACTTGCCGCCCTCTTTCGAGGTGGGTTGCTCTCTTCCATGATTGAACCCGATTGCTGGCAGGATGACTCACTTTTTGCGTAAGAATCCAAGTCCGGTACTGCGAGACTTTCCATTCTGTTCGACGAGGTTCTTTTGGTATCTGAGGGCTCAATAGCATCACTTTCACCTTCCAATCGTGCAATCCAATCACTAATGTGTTGTGCCGAAATGTTTGACCTCACCCGTGATGGGGGCGGTAGACTGACTTGGAATGAGGTTGGGAAATCCTCCTCTCGTATCACATCGCCTAACAAGCCAGCCAGGTCATCCCGGAGTTCTTGACAATCGATACCTTCTGCGCCCATATCGTCTGCCATCTGTCTCATTGCCTCAACATGACATAATTCATCGTTAAAGCCAAGACAGTCCTCGACTACGGTTACTTGTAGGCCGTGACATACAGCGTCTAGCACGGTGGCGTAGACAGATATGTTGGAAAGCGAACCACAGACATACAACTCAGTGATGAGCATGGTTCGTAGGTACATCAACAGCGAGGTATCAGCGAAGGCGGAATAGTTCTCTTTGCGCATGATGAGGTCCTGGTCCTGATCCATGGCCGCGCTTAGGCTGCTGGGATATTCAATTCCCTTGGAGCCAGGCATGCAGCACCGGTATTTGGTAGGTATCATGGTCGGAGCCAGGAATGCTTCACGGTCATGAGTGACATCTGGCTTAACCGAGGGCGACAATGGATCTTCGGTTGGTGAGCGAGTGTGATTGGGATGACTGTGGTACTCACCAATCTCCTCATTGGAATCTCGATCCTTTAGAGATTGCTTCAGGAGGATTGCCTGTGAACCAGTTGTGGAAGAGAGTGATGATCTTGTCCCTTTGAACTCGGTCCCACACCAGATTACCACGCCTTTTGTGCGAAATTCAGCTGCAAGGGTAGGGAGCTCAGACAAAAATGAGGCCACATTCTGCACGGGAAGCCTTCCGCCAGGGTCGACAAAGTCATTCTGAAAGTCCAGCAGTAACAAAGCCTTTTTGGTTTCGATAGGCGGACCGGGAGGTAAGGAGCCGACGGGGAAGAGCATGTTTTCCCGCGGCGGTGCGTCTCATCCTGGGGTAGAACGGTGTCACCACAAGACAGGAGGACTGGTCGCAATATACGAAGAAACAGCAACCTTTATCCGAGGCTTCAAATGATTCTGGATATTTGTGACAATCCAGGTCCAATTCCTAGTCACGGAGCGGACCGAGATGGTTTTGGTGATGGCGTTGGCGCCAAATTGGAGTGAAAATTGATTGACCGACGAAATGGAAATCGGCCAAAACGAGAGTTACTCTGGCGAAGCAATGGCGGTTGAGGCGGTATATAGCGGCAACAAGTGGATCAGCTTGCCACAGAGGGGAACTTGGAGGCCAGGATACTCAGTCCAATGCTGGTAACTGTGCGAGAGTTGGTGGTGCGCGGTGTTTGGGGAACAAGAGAACCAAGCTAGCCCTACAGAGTACTGTTGGGTTGGACTTTGCAGAAGGTTCAGTCAATGTGTCGAGATGGGTTTAGGCGGAGTGTGACTGATAGAAAGCGTGGGAGGGGAGCACAGGAGGCAGGCTCTAGCAAGTTTGTGCCAGTGGTGGTGGATAGTTTTGTTGAAATGTGATGCATTAGTGGGGGCAGGCGAGACACCATGTAAGAAGCAAATGCTTAAGTTGTGGCTGGACGAAATTCGAATACCCTCGAGCTGATTTATGATATCTCGCTCATTGAAATCAATGGTGATGGTAATGGTAACGATTGAAGAACAACAATTGAAAGTGCGATGATGGAAATATGACGGGTGTGACCGGACCACGGCCGGGGGTTGTTTTACGAAGGGCCGAGGGTCTTTTGCTATAATGTCAAGCATAAAGATTTGTAGGCTGTAGCAGCAGTAGTGATTGTTGGCAGTCCATGGTATTGCATTGGCTGGAGTCAACGTCGGCAGAGAGATGCAGGACCCTGCCCAGACACAGGGAACGGAAAGAATGGAGGTTTTGGTAGATCAAGATAATGGCTATGGGTATACACAGCGTTTGATGCCGGGAATGTTAGGGCGCCAGAAGAACAGTGGAGATCTTCACCTTGTTTGACAGTGAGAAAGAAGGTGCAAGGAAGGTGCGGAGCGTCCATGATACACGCACCATCACGGGGAATCATAGCTGCAAGGATCAGGACTCAGGAGCTTCTCAATGAACAGAGGCTTCGAATGGTTGAGAAAATTGGGGAGAGGACCACAATGATGATGTGGCTCTGTCGAGCACGGCAGACGCACAGGCACACGCTATCCGTACGAGTAGTAGTAGCGGCGTCGGCAGTGTCTGACCGCAAGCCACTGCATGGCGAGCAGGGAAGAGAGAAGAGAAAAGATGGGGCATGCAGGTGCGACGAACAGGGCGTTGAAGCGGAAGCGCAAAAGGAGCACGAAATTCTAGCGCTGGTGAGATCGCTTGCAGCATCAAAGCCGCCAGAGCAAAAGCGAGGAATGCAGTGGAGATGGGTTGCCAGCACATGGTAAGGCAAGGATTAATTGGAGACTGTAACTCTTGGACGGAGTGGTTCAAGTGCTGCATCTACCGAGTACATGAGAAGGATATAAGCAAATGGGGAACCAGAGGAAACAGTGCCCGCCTGTCGTCGGTGAATTAACACCATCACCTAGCAGGCGCCTCGGGGATAAAATACTGAGACCGAGACTGGTTGAACTTGGTCAAATGCAGGACAATCCTTAGGCTTCTTGGAGTCAATAAAAGCTGTTTCTAGGAGCTGCTCGTGGAAGGGATGGTGGCCCGGATCACCTGCGCTGGCTACCTAGGTACCCCCCCGGGGCATCAATTATCACAATTACCATTACCATCGAATTTACTTCCAACTCGAATGTGCGTGGTACTCTGTACAAGTGACAACACATCGTGGAGCCATCATGAACACAGCTGGGAATGACATTCAATGTACATCCCCACTTCGGTCTAGGTAGACATTAAGTTCGCATTTGACACATACCGGTGAAGGACAAACCTGGGATCGTCTCTCCCCACATCGGCTCGAAAAGCAAAAAGAAAAGGTACTTACCTGGCCTGACATACACAGCAGTTATGAAATCAGGTTCCACTTCATCAATCACTCGTCAAGTGCCTGGGGAGGTCTGTGATTATTGTCACGGAGTACCTGGGCTTTGATCGAGCAATGAGATCAATAGTAGCCCTCCTGCTCCGATATCACCTACCACTAGGGCTTGATGCAGCAAGTGCAACTTTCTAACTACCTTCCTAGGTACCTGGACCCCTAACAAGATACTCTGTGGGAGGCGGTTTTCTCCGGGAGACCCTTACCCACCTCGACCTTTTGAGGTATATCCCACCTGAATCGTGCCCCTAATCTCCACCCCTACCTACTATACATCCACACTGTGTCATGTCTGACTCAGCCTCGTACTGCCACCGGGGTCGGGACTAAGACACTGTTCTGTGTATACTCCTCTGGCTATAGTAGCGACCTTCTCTAGGTAGTCATACAGGTGCCGTTGTTGACATGGAAGGGAATAGCTCCCATGCGGCCGACTTGATGTTAGGTTCTAGCTGTTCGTCTTCCGATGTGTGTTCTCATTTCTCCAAATGATCAGCGGTCTTCAACACAGCCTATGCAAGTATGCAATAACACCAAGTAGATTCGAAAGATCGACGGTTTGACACCGTTGCATTATTGACGATCCTAGATCCCAAATGCCTCGCATGTACGAAAGCCGCGTTTGCAATGTGGGCGAATAACAGTTGATACAAAAACCCTGTCATTGGAGCCAATTCCACCATTCGGCCCAGCATAGGCTAAGATGGGATTGTTCCTGACTTGACCTCCACTATATACCGCGGGGCCTAGATCTGGTCAACGTTGGCCCTCGAACAACAATGCAGCGTTGCGATTCTTGAGAGTCGCTGATTTGCGTTGTTTTCTTTCGTTGAACTGTTGACCAATGATGGCATGATAATCAGTAAAGGTGTCAACGTCGACACATAGGCTTTCCGACTTGGAAATCCAGTAAAACGAGCTTATGTCTGCGTATCCAAGAGCCAACTCTTTATGAACAAAGGCTTTTTCCTCGTGAGATTCATAATGTGGCGATCAGGTGGATGGCTGATCAGTCCATTACCGTAGCTCATGACGCCTCTTGGATATCGAATCAAACATGACTTTGGGGGCAGTATACGACCGAGCAAATACTCTGCTCAATCAAGATCACTGTCCTTGTCATCATTCTCATCGTCGTCCATGCCCATCGCCGTGTCCATCAACTCCTTCACTTTAGCTTTGATTTCCTCCACCTTGTTGTCCTTCACCAGGCAGGTGCGATCGTCAATCTCCTCGATGATGTAAGCATTATCGGATTCTCGGTCGATTTTTCTGACCATGGCCATCTGAGGCGGGTCACATTGGAGCAAGGCCCCTTTCATGGCTTTCGGCATAGTACTTTCTGCTGAAACACCAAGCTGAGAGTGAGGCGAATTTCTATCCGAATGTGGAGTGCAGCTTATGTTGTTTCACAGTCCGAGATTCACAAGCTATCAGCTAAGGATATCCCTTTCTGGACCTATCGCAGTTTTGAATCCTGGACAAAGGTGTTTACTCGCTCCGTGTCACTTTCGAGGGTGACATCGGGCTTGATAACGAGGCGCTGGGGTGTGTGTGTGAATTTCGGCAAACTTGAGAGACAGCCCGCGAAAGGCTTGGCATGATGATCTAGATCACATGACCGAACGAATCCGAACCCGAATTAATTCAACTGCACCACTACTACCAACTATGTAGCTACCCTAAATAGGTACCTAGGTACTTGGATATGTCCTTATCCACTCGCAGGTCCGAATGTGGCTTCCCAGGCATCATAGGTTGATTCCTTGAAGATCTTCTCAATTTGACGCCTACGCACACCGACGTTACCTCCATCGAAAATGGGCAAGACGACTGCGTCCTGGAGCAAACCTCCAAATGGGTGCGCGCGAGAATAGGCTGATACACCCACGAGGCTGATTGCATCCATGACTGACGCGACCGCACTGTCCGAGCCAAATATCTTGGCTTCATAACATAGTTCTGCTCCGTTGCGTGTTCGTCCAAAGGCATGAGCGGCTTTCCAGACGAGCGCTCTGGTAGCCTCACATCTGGTTTTGATCTTGATCAACAAGTCGGCCACGCTCTGCTTGTTGATCATAGGCTCTTTGGAACCACGCGAATCCGATTTGGCCCATGCCAAAGCAGAGTCAAATGTCTGTCGCATTATACCGACACCCATTGCGCCCACTATCGCTGCTGAGGCGGTAAATGTCAGTTCTACCAGGTCTGCACCCTTTCCAGGTGGTGCCAGTAGGTTCCCAACAGGAACACGCAGGTTGTTGAACCTGATGTGCGGGCCATTGACAGCGGTCATACCGAGAGTCTCGGGGTGCCTCAAGACCTCGAACGCCTCTGGCTGATTCCTCTCGATGTCATCTCGAGTCACAATGATGATAGCTGTCTGGCCTCGCACATCCTGGGCTGACGATGATTCAACGATTCTACACAAGACACATTGTAGATCGGCCCCCTTATCGTCCCAGCCCGAGCAATTTGTCGCCCAGATCTTTGTCCTGATCAGCAAATCATATGGTCAAACTAGTCATGGCTAACCTTTTCTCCATTGATGATATAATCATCCCCTTCGAGAACCGCAAGTGTCTGGAAGCCTGGTGCTCCGGTTTCCGCAAAATTTGCACTCCCTTCCGGTTCTGAGAACACCAAACTGGCCAAAGGGGCACCCGTACCACTGAGGAATGGTTGCAGGAATATTTGCTGTTGTTCAGCAGAAGCACCCATGATCAAGGGTGTGAGTCCAAGACCCGTTGCAAGGATTGACAGTGATGCGCTTGTTTCGACTGCATACAGTTCCTCAACCACAATTGCCGCCTCAATGAGCGGGCCTCCACCACCTCCGAGGTGTTTGGGAACCTGGGCTTGGATCAAACCGGCTTTGACTGCTTCCTCGTAGATTGGTTTCGTCGATCGGAATCGATCTTCCCAATTGACATGTGGACTGTTTGAAGGCTCGTACAACGATCTCGCATTTCTCAAGTGTGCGTTCGCGAATGCTCGGATGGCATTGCGAACGGCTGACTGTTCTGGCGATAGTTCAAAATCGATCATGGTCAAGTTACAAATCAATTCTGGATCGTTGAGAACAAACAGATTTTGTGCTACTGCTGACTGTTGTTGTGCTGGTGTTTGGTAACTTAACTTGAAAATCGATTCAAGAGATATCAGCTACGGATGTGAGGACTGCTTGAATATTGGTCGCAAGTTATAGGTTTATAGATTGCCGGTAGCTGAGCGCAATCGGTTGGACATATCACCGGGCAAGCTGGGGAACTGCGGAGACTTTCCATTAAGGTGCTTACAAGCCACATGTTGACTGTGTGCAACACACTTTATCGTCTGCGGAAGCTGGTATCCGCAAAAGCTCTATCTCAAGTTTTTAAGAGGCACAATTTACGGCTTGAAACTCAAACAATCTCCATTCCAGTTCCAGTTGCCGCGTAAGACCTCGTATTCTAGCGGCGTCTTAGTCATGCCGAAACCAGACTCAACGTTACCGTGTGGCATTGGTCGCGGTTTGCATTGGTCTAGCCTTAAGAAGGCCTACATGAGCTTGGCCGCGTCACGTACCAAAGACCATAGAAAAGGAAACGGGAGGTTGGATGTGACCCAACAATATCAATGCCGAGGTGAGGAATAGTGGTTGATGGTTCAATTGTATAAAGTATGGTTCATTGCTAGACTCGCACTGATGTATGACCATGCCGAGCAGACTTGGCTTGCAGTCGTTGTCATACCAAGCCTTGGGGCTCAAGAGCACATCGCACGAGGGCGGGTAGGAGATCGCGGGCAGTGCAGCCTGAGTGTCATACCAATCTTGATCTTGAGCTCGAGAATTGAGAATCAAAGGTCTGATGTCGCTGTTTATGCAATTCCCCGACAGATGTTTGTCGACAACGGAAAACCTTTCTCATTCTTCATGGCGGCCTACAGAAGCTTAACAAGACCTTCACATGAGAGTGATCATGGCGGGCACCCGGGTGACCAGCAAGATCACTCCTTGAACGCTCTAGCCTGAGGTATTGTTCCAAGGCTTTCCCATTCCGAGTCGCGAGCCTCAACTGCTTGTCTCAGGTCGTGCAGACGGTGAACTTGAAGTACGCAGTCACTGCACTAGACTGAATGACTGAAGCACCTGCTTTCATGTCAGAACTCTCCACGCGTGGCCTCTGACACTTTCTTCTACGAACTCTTCCTTCCATCCCTTACTAAACCCGTTCCGCTTCCTTGTCTCAAGTCCATTCTCACCTGCAGCGTGGAGGAGTTTCATCACAATGAGCACTCTGTCGTGCCTGCTCATAGCCGTGCTCTCGATCTTCCCTACATCTCTGCTTGCCATCTCTCTTGATGTTGACGATACAGGTAAGCGCCTGCCAAAGTCACAGTTCCCATGACCTACACACACCCTTTCAAGATCTTAACTCGTTGATAGGCTCCATCCTCCGTGCCGCCAGAGAAGCCGCACATAGTGTGATATCTCTATACAACGGAAACACCACCAGCGGTACCCTCGGCAAATGGCCATACCCTCCCTACTTCTGGTGGGAGAGTGGTGCCAGCTGGAACGGAATGATCGAGTACTACCACTACACGAAAGATCCACAATACCTTAATATCACATATCAAGGGTTGTTATCACAAGTCGGCCCTGAATACGATTTCAACATGCCAAGTGAAGCTTTCGATGAAGGCAATGATGATCAAGGGTTTGTCGCATCAAGCCCACTCTACATACCCATGCTAATATTATTTGCAGATTCTGGGTCTTTGCTGCCATGTCTGCTGCTGAATATTCGTTCCCACAGCCTCCTGCACCATTCCCACCATGGGTACAAATCGCACAGAACGCCTGGGAGAGCTGTGCTGTTAGGTGGAACACTTCTGGCTGCCATGGAGGGTTGAAGTGGCAATTCCATGCAGAAAACGCAGGTTGGTACTATAAGAGCACTATCTCCAATGGATGCTTCTTCCAGCTTTCAGCACGACTGGCTCGGTACACTGGGAATGCCACGTACTTACTTTGGGCCAACACGATCTGGGACTGGACGCGTGGAGTGGGTCTGATTGATGACATGTACAATGTGTACGACGGAACAGATGAACTTCTGAATTGTACGGCTGTCGATCACCACCAGTGGTCCTACAATGTTGGCGCGTTCCTTTATGGAGCAGCCGTGCTTCAGAACTACACCAACAGCTCTCACATCTGGATGGACCGTACACTTGGTCTGCTTGATAGCGTAAACAGCTTTGTCACACCTTTCAAGAACTCGACGAACATGATTTTCGAGGCTGCCTGTGAACTGAAGCAGACCTGCAACATAGACCAATTGTCCATGAAGGCGTTCTTGGTTCGTTGGCTTGCGGGCACTTCGCTCATGGCACCGTTCACTGCAGGTAGAGTTGGCGAGATCCTTCGTACTTCAGCAAAGGGAGCAGCAGCCTCGTGTACAGGAGCTCCATCTGGAAACACCTGTGGTTCAAAGTGGTACATAGGGGGCTGGGATGGCACGGCAGGACTAGGTCAGCAGCTGTCTGCGATGGAAGTCATGTATGCACTTCTGGTCAACGAAACTGACCCACCAGCGAACGCACTCAGTATCAGCATCCAGCCAGCCCCATCAATCAGTGTGTCGGCCACTGCCTCAACCCAACCCAGCGATACCTCAAGACCTTTGCATGATGGGACAGGGCCGGGGCTACGGGAACGAGCCCATCGCAGGGTCCCAATGATTGTCAGCACGCTTCTCATTCTACTCGGAGTGTCTTAATCAGCTTGAAGACAGGATAGAGTGCCGTGTCGGAGCTCAGATAACACAAATCAACTAGCCATTTTCGTTACAATCCGCTCGAAACGTTCCAACTAGCTCTAGTCACAAGTTCATGATCTTAAATGTACTACCATATTCGAACGAGTTCGGCTGGTTTACTTGGAGCATACATATCATCGTAATCGACAGTCATGTTCGTGATACTGTAGCTATCCAACCTTCTACCTTGCTCCCAAAATAATACACTTTGCCATGAGGATTCTACAGACTCTCATAGATTTGCCTATCATTTATTTCACTTATGTAGTGCCATGCCAGTCGATGCTTCAATCTCTTTTACGAATGCGCAACTCCTGTTCAAATTCCTCACCTACAGCTTCAACTGATGTTGTTCGCTACACTCATAGCTAGCTCCCTGGTCTGGGTTGGTACTTACTACTTGTCGTATCCCTGCCCACCTGCCAAGAATCAGGGGCCGCAGCCTTGTTTCGCCGCTACAATGCAAACACCACAAGAGGGCTATGGCGGTGTTAGCTCAGTGCCGTGCAACCTCAATAGTGGACGAACTTTGACTTGGACCAAGTAATAGTCTTTTCGCCTCCTTGCTGATGGCCTCTCTCGTCCCATACATGAGAACTACGGGCTGCAGCTGTCCTCTGGAGAAGGTGTCTGCTGCATCGATGCACGTTTCAACGAACAGACTACCGGTCCGGCATTGAGCCAGGAGGGCAAAGAACGCAGGCGCCAATGCCTTCAGGTGCCTGTGAGAGAGAGTTTAGAATTCAGCCACCGTATTCATCCGGGCCTGTCAAGGAGAGAAAATCCGGTCCACCGCGTTTATTCTTGCGCAGGATATGGCGAATCCAACCATGTACTGGATTGATTTGAATCCAAAGCGGCAGATATGGCTCTCAAGCATGGATGGGACTTAGCTGAGCAAAACTTGCGGTAATGTCTCAATGATCAAGGCGAATGCTGAATTTGACAAGCTCAGGATTACACGCGCAGAACATCTTCAGAAGCGGTCTCAAGAGTGGATTCACTTTGGCCATAGTCCAGGTGTCCTTTGGAAGAGGTACAAGTATGACATGCCATCTCAGCGATGGCTGCGAAGGATTGGTTGATTTGGAAGAGATTGAATCTATTGATTGAAGGGCTGGTGGAGGCGAGGGTGTCACGAGTTTTGACTTTGGCTGGTTCGAGTCTAAGTGTTTATCGGAAACCGTGGCTCACATCCATATAACAGCCACAAGCCGGTCCGAGATTTTCATATCGTGATTTTAGTTTCGCAGAACCGATCATCAAACTTATACCTGTCCAAGAGAGCCATGGAGACTGTGGCTTATCCTCGTCGGGTGAACTCCGAAGCAGATCTCATCCGGCGCTGACTCAGCAGGAGATGAAGTGGTATCAGTGTGGGATTGAGCCTTTCCGTAAAATTTGCGCGAAGTACGTTCTTTGCTCTTTTTGTACTTAGTAACCTCCTTGCGCAGCATGACTTGTCCTGGTAGCGTATGTGCTGCCCTCGGTGGCGCAATAAGTGAGGGAAACACGTCCGAACTGTCTGTTGATCGGCCAGGTTATGGGAGCACGACAACAGGACGCAGTATGCCAGAGATTCGTAGCGAGCCTTTGCCGGCGACGTCATCAATTCCATTCACGCAGCAATTCGCGTTCGTCGATGGGCTGAATAGTCATCAAGGGCCGGCTAGGAAGAAGACAAGGTCGTTTGTAACGAAACAGCATTACAGGAAGAAACGGCTTGATATGGGGAAGAAAGGGACCGGCGACGTGCGGCAGCCTTCGGAAACTGAAATTCTTGATTTCCGATCGCCGGTCCGTGGACAAGCTTTTGTTTGGGACTCTAATGATGAACAGAGGCGGTCGGAGCGGTCGCTTGATTCAGGTTTGTTCAAGAGGCTAGGTGAGGGACGAGTAGATCCGTTTGATTCATACCCAATCCCTGCTACAAGAGATGTGCATGAGCTTGTGGATCACTGTGAGTTCAACTACGGTCCCAGAGCCTCCAAAGATCACACCCCAGGTATTCTGACTTCATAGATTCATTCGTCATCCCCTCGCTCGTTCATAAGCACTGGTCACGAGCCGTGCGACGACCGCGCTCTTGCTGGGACTTGCTGAAGCTGTACCGTAGCGATGAGGTCCCGTTTCTGGGTATGCTTCACCATGCGGCACATCACCTTGCACGCCTACGTGGCTTGGACATGACTGTTCAGTCCATTGAATTCAAACAGAGATCGTTGGTCGCTGTGAACAAGAGTCTAAGACGGAAGAATGGTCCGTGCAATAATTCTATCTTGCTGGGGGTTGGACTGTTGGCAAACGCGGAGGTAGGTGCGATCGTAGCTAGTGCGTGGTAGTCCTCGGGTCTGACTTGGGTAGCGTCTATGGGGCGACCGAGATGTTGCGAGATTGCACTGGGGAGCATTAAAGAGGCTCCTGATCGAAAGGGGTGGGTTTTCTGCTCTGAAAGGTGAGCCGATTCTGCATACGAAAATTGTATGGTGAGCGAAAATCAGTCCAAGGAGTTGTGAGTTTGTAACGCTGAGCCCATTTTTCAGGAGTTTCATTGCACTGTCCTGGCCTGCCCAGGACGGCAATCCAGCATATGCCAATGAATTCACTCAAGTGCTGGATAGGCCATATGAGATATCAAGCATTTCCAGTTCTGGATTCGAACAGAGTTGCGAAGAGCTGATCGAGTTTCTGAAACTCAGGAAAATGCAGGTATTGAAAAATCTCCCGTCCACAGCGCAACAACAAGGTCGCTATAGAGCTTGCAGATGGCGTACCACTACCTTCAAAGACGGAACAAGCATCTTTGCCGCACTAAAACAAGGTGAGACCGGGTACGAGAGTCCTGACAAACGGCGAGCGGTAGAACACTGCCGGATGGCATGCTTGATCTATCTCAATCTCATCATAGCCGAATATGGTGATCTTTCTGAAGCTACCGAAGATTACCTACGAGGACTTCGGCAAATTTCTGATGACGAGAATGATGATAGCAGTCTCACCGCTGAGCATCTTTTGTGGACATTGTTGTCACTGTCACAAGATGGTGGTCATTATGAACGTGTTGGGAAGTTATGCAGACTCACTGGTGTCCTCAAGAACCTAGGTCATGAAATCTGGATGGAAATCGGGCAAGCTCTGAGAATATTCTTGCAATTCCCTGAGGACAATAAGGGGTTGACTGATATACTGATAGGCTGGGCAAGGCACCCCCAGGAGTTCTCCAGACTTGTCACAAGAGCGTGCACAAAACAACAAACAGGCCATGACCTGGGAGAGAATAAGGCAATTGTGTACTCTGCTTCATGCTCTGAAGACTGTCAGATATGTCCATTGAAGCCTGATTCGTATTAGTATGAAAGCATGAGTAAGGGAGAGAGGGAAAGTGATAGAAATGGACCCGTTTGATGTTTGTTGGGTGAACTATGACATCATCTGGCTCTTGCTTCACTCAACTTCACTTTCTGTGACTGTTCCAACGAGTGGACCGCGCTGGCCTGCGCCGAGATTCCTCGTCACGCAAACAGTGACACACTGCGCTGCCTACAAAATGGCTTGAGCTCTTCTGTATGATGCTCATTTCTTCCAGTCATCGCACAGTGCATCGGCGGTGGAATGGTTACTCCCGAGTCTGTCGTACAACCCTTACTGTGTAAGTGTGGGACCCCTTCTACTTCGAAAACTCGGGCTAACCATAGCCGACCTCGTGCAGGCCGTTTTTACTTCTTCTCACCGTCTCATTTGTTGTATGTGGCCTACTCGAGGTGACCGACTTCAGCATGAGTAGCCAGAAGGGTTTCGACATCCATACCGATCCGGACCCCAGCGCGGGAATGGAGATCGGTCAGAGCGGCGAGAAAGAATCACGTTACAAATATACGACAATCACCGGATACTTCCTTCAAGACGATCCTGCCACCGATCCATTCGGGTTCGACTTCACCAAGACCAACTTTGGTTTGATCGACCGACCCTATGATTCTGACACCAGTCTTCCAAACAACGGGCGGGAGCTGACAGGCTGGCAGAGATTCGAGCATCATATCTCCAAATTGAACCAAGACGCCCAAAAGACAAGAGATGGATCTGGAAAATCAGCAGATGTGTCATACAAACTTCTCTTCCTTGGCCGCCATGGAAATGGGTTTCACAATGTTGCTGAACGTTACTACGGAAATGTCGCATGGGATTGTTACTTCTCCGCGCTTGATTCCGACAAAGATAATGTCATGACATGGTCTGATGCACATCTCACAAAAGAAGGTATTCGCCAGGCCCAGGAGGCAAACAAGTTCTGGAAACATCAAATCAAAGCCGAACGAATCAGCCTTCCCCAATCCTACTATGTCAGTCCTCTGGATAGAGCCCTCGAAACAGCAAATGTCACGTTCGGTGATCTGCAACCTGACGGGGCTGCCTTTCGCCCAATCGTCATGGAGAGAGCTCGCGAAGGCTCTGGTATCCATACATGTGACCGTCGGAGCTCAGTGACCTACATCAAGTCTCGGTTTCCAACTTTCATCACCGATGCTGATCCGCTCCTGACCGAAGATGACACCTATTGGGATCCTGTTTACCGGGAGACGAACGAAGCCTTGACGATTCGACAGGCAAAACTTTTGGACAGCATTGTCACCAAAGACAAGAATGAGAGAATCAGCATCACAGCCCACTCAGGCGCCATAGCTATGTTCTTGCACGCTATTGGGCATCAGAAATTCGGCCTGGGCACTGGCGCTGTCATTCCTGTTCTCGTCAAGGCTGAGCCATTGAGTCAGCCAGCCGATTTCATCGATGATCGAGACAAATGGCAAACAATTCCGAAGTGTCCTGTGGGTCTCGACCTGGAAACAGTTGGCGTTCAGCGATGGAAGATGGGTTTGAAGGAGTTCTTGGCTGGTGTTGAAAATGGGACTCTTCAAATCGAGGAAATGGCTTTCAAGGGCCGACATTGAGCAGTTGAGCGAGTGTTGATGGTATGCTCTTACGATGCAACGAGATAATGATGACTTGAGCACGATCCCTGACTCAGACTTCTGTCTCATAGCCAGTACTGGTCGGATGAATAGAATTGATTAGATCGGTTATGCCCGAGAAAAGGGCTTGTCTTCAATTCCATTGCGCTCCCTCTCTACCTCGTTCAAAGCAGCGTATGTAGCGGTCTCTAGGTGGCTCCTCGGGCGAGGAACGAATGACAAGGCTGGCGCTCAGCCTCGCCATCGATATTCCTTGCCAAGGTAAATCAAACAGCCTAGCCTGAAATGGATTGGTCGATCAATTCTAATTTTCTCACACTGCTTTGCTCTTCTTCCTCATGTTCGGTCAACGTGTTGGGCTTTCTGGCTCCTCCACAACTTGTGATGTCCAGCCTACCGGCGTCCAGGAAGAAGCAGTAAGACCCTGGGAGTGGTCTGGTCATATTGTTTTACTGCATGCTCATCATCGGGTTGAAGAGAGCCTCATGGTTCTCTTGCGGTGATATCTCTTGTGCCAGGGACCTCTTGTCCTCTCAACCTTGCCTGTCATCTACTTTGCATACTAACCCTAGAGCTATAAAGATCCTGGGTGTGAACATCAGCTTTCGTCGCTGCCTCACATGAAGATTGCCCGGTACAAAGCTGATTTGAGCTGGCAGAGAGGCGTTAACAGAATGCTGTAAGTTACCCCCAGCTCTCCCTGTGTCAATCACCCATCAATTCCCGTCTACTGCTTGAATTTCAATATGATGTAAACATTGGAACGGCCATTTGATTCGGAGGACTTTGGATAGATGATTTTTCATCGACCCCACGGGCTTCCCTGAAACAAACATCCAAATCACCATACAATCCCTGAACTTGATTTGCTTTATGCCGCCTCACAAAACATTTCCAATTTTTTTTCACTTTGTATCCATCGCTGACACAGAGTCTCACTTAGTGATTCGGGACTGAAATACTTCTCGAGACCAGCAACTCAAGTTGGCGGTGCTTGTCCAAGCCAACGGCCAGGCCCAGAAAGGCTAGTTGGGAAGCCTGTCATGACTCTGTGCAAAGAGCTTTCGAAAACCAGTGTATGCTGAGAGAAGCACTTGTCTCTGACGTATCATTTTCTCTTTGAGCAGACGCAGCGAGCACCGTTAGGGAATTTTCTCGCTATCGATCTCCTCCCGCCATTATTGTTGGGAGGTGTGATTGTTGAACATTGGGTCCTGATAGTGTACCTCGAATTCAAGAATTTACTTCTCAAAGAACCTCCATTGCTTGATTAGAAATTGCCCTACACCCTCGTCTTGATTGAGGACGATATAACACCTCGTCGCCTCCACAAGTCCGTTACAATGGCTGATGCACTGCTGATTAAGTGCACATAGTACCTTCGAGATGTTCGGAGCTTCGATCAAGATGCTCCATTCGATGTGTGAGCATATTTACCAATTCATTTATCGAAGACGGCCTCTCGCTAAACTGATTGGGCTACCACATAGCATGCTCCTATTTGGGTAACTTCGTGCCCAAAACTGACCAATAGAGAGCAAGGTTGAGTTATATACGGCAATACGACTCTTATTAATGACATTTCACCCCCAAACAACCAAATCATGATCTTATGTTCAGTGTTATAAAAAAGGCTACCCTCGAGTTGCGATGGAGGAGATGCCCATTCTATCATCATCCTCACTCAGAAGAATCAACAACTACCAGCATCTGCTATCACAGACAATCAATACACAATGGCAACGTACGAAACCGCAGAGAACAAGTTCCTAACGATTAACGGAGTCAAACATGCCTACCGTCTTTTTGGTCAGACCCATGGAGTGCCGCTCTTCCTGCACATCCACTTCCGAGGCAACATGGACTCCTGGGATCCAGCATTCATCAACCGACTGGCTGCGAAACGCCCAATCCTCCTCGTCGACAGCACGGGCGTCGGTCGCAGTGAAGGCGAAGTACCCACCAAGTACTCCGGTTGGTCGTCGATCATCATAGACGTCATCGACGCCTTGGGAATTACGAAGATCGACGTCCTGGGGTTCTCGATGGGCGGTTTCATCGTGCAGCTCATCGCTCTGGAGGCGCCGCACCTCGTGCGGAAGCTTATTGTTGCGGGCTCCGGACCCAGCATCGGTGAGGGCGTGGTTGGCAGCGACCCGGAGTACTTCACCCAGGTGGCCAGTGCGACGACCGATGAGGAGGCGCAAAAGGCGTTCAAGTGGACGTTCTTCTCGCACTCGGACAAGAAGCAAGAGCTCGCCGAGCAGTGGTGGCAGCGCATGACAAAGGCGCGTTCAGACCGCGCCCCGTTGCTCGGGCCAGAAGGTACGCAGAACCAGATCGCTGCTGTTTCGCGCTTCATGTCTGAGGGCCACCGCGACGAGGGTACGTATGATCGCTTGGACCAGATCAAGATTCCGGTCTTGGTCGCCAATGGGAGCAATGATCTCTTGGTCGCCACTGAAAACAGCTATGTCTTGTGGAAGAGGTTGGTCAATGCTGATGCTCACCTGCATCTGTATCCTGATAGTGGGCATGGTTTCTTGGATGAGTACCATGAGCATTTCTCAAATTTGGTCAATGTTTTCTTGGATGAGGAGTAGTCCATGGGAGATCACCTTGTTCTACCCTGGAGCGGGTGGTACCGAGCACGGAGACCACATTTAGAAGAGCACTTGAAAATTGACGATTGTCACAACTTGATTCTCCAGGCCAGAGCCAGTGTAATGTTTCCGATCATTTGCCGGTACATGGTGATGAATCTAAATAGATGACAAGACTACAACGAATCTTCCAAAAGTTGGTTCCACGGCATTATGTGAACTATTTCGCAGCTTCCAGACGTCCCATAGAATGGCGGTGTTCGATCCAATCCTTAACCGTTTTTACCTGTCTGCCAGTTACACAAGAAATGGGAGGGTCCCTCTTTACTCCACCCTCGATGCCTTCGAGGACCTCAAGCAGTGTGTCTTGATTTGGGTGGCAGAAGTAAGCCATGGAGAAGCGATCTTTGCCATGATCTTCTGGATTTGGACTTTTCGCAACCCGATGCAAAGTGCTCTTCATCAAACCGCCAGAGAAAAAGGTCATTGTTTCACCAATGTTTATGAGCACGGCGCCCGGTATTACTGGCGCGTCGAGCCATTGCTCATCGTCCTTAATTGGACCTGTATACTTAGGTGGCCGTACTTGAAGTCCTGCAATTTGATTCTGGAAAAGGATAGTGATCACACCTTGGTCGGTGTGTGAAGGAAGTCGAATAGGGGCGGTATCATTCTGCCGAAGGGCTGGGTAATGGATGAGACGAAGGGTGGTCACGGAGGGACTCTCGTGTTGATGAATCCGAGGAAGTCTGTCTTTCGTCAAACCGAGACCCAACCCCAAGCACGCAAGCAATGGCACGGCGATCTTCTCATGTGTCTCAGCCATAAATGATTGAATTTCGGGATTGAATCGCTTGAGTGATGGAGGCATTGGCTGGTCGTAGGAGCTCTCCTTACGAATTACAAACACCTCTTTGCTGTCTTCGGTCGACATAATCTCATTTGCGCCATTCTCAGAGAAGTATCCCTCTGTTCCAGTTTTGGCATCATACCCTGCATTGTAGATGCTGCTCCATGGCGTACTGGCTTTCTCTTCCCGAGATGTGTCCTTGAAGAAAGTCTTGCTGATGTGGAACATATTGTCGATCTTACTTTGCTCCAACCCATGGTTCTTCAGGTAGAGAAAACCCCAGGCTTCACAAACCGTTCTGACTTCCTGAGCCAGACTAGGAAGATCCGTACCAAAGCGTGAAAAGTCCACGATTGGAATGTGATTTGAATCGAGTTCTGACATTGTTGGCGATTTCACGGTAATGCCGTCGGGCACCTAGCCTATTTCTTGACTGAAGCAAGTAAACCTTCACCTACCTAGAGTTGCAATCGAGAGGGGATTGGGGTGAGGACAAAAGGCATGATCATCTACAGGAGCCTCCGCCATGGGCTAGTCAATCGTGCAGATAACAGCACGTCCATCGTCCAATCGGTGTATCATAAAGAGCAAATGCTAGTAGCTCAATGGCCAGGGCAAGATAGTCGTACATATCATCTTTCAATCAGGTAAGGCAACACCACATAAGATCAGCTCTCGGGACGGAATTGATCGCTGAAATCCGCGTATTTCGGTCAAGCGTCGATCCCTTTGCCGGAGCCCCTGTTACACCAGAGGTCTCCCACACGAGGGGGAAAGGTCAAGCTCGATAACACGTTGTCGGACAGGTGAGAGTGCGCGATCTGAAGCTTATTCTCGACTTTAATTCAATCCAATTTTGCCCAACCTGGCTCAGTTTTATCTCGTTCGAAAAGTAGCACTGATGTTTGAGATGAGACGGGATATACAGGTGGCGCAGTAGACGCGAGCGAGACTAGATTTAGAATAATATAAACCAACTACAATTCTCAATGCCGACATTTAGTTTCGATAATGTATGTGAATTGGCCTTGGAGGAGGACTCTTGATGGAATAACAGGTGTGGATCGGAATCAAGATGACTTTCCTCACGTGACTGGATTGGCGGGGCAGTGCAGTGATTGGAGTATGACTGCTCGTTTCCCGATGACTCAATCAGTCTTGGCAAAGGATCGGGATGGCAACTTCTAGATGCTCATGAGTCTGCGTCTGAGGCTGATTGTTCAGGAAGACAATAAACTCAGCCACTCACCAACAATTTCTCCCTCAATTCTACTCATAACGTTTACTTTTCCTTCTTTGACAGATCTTCTCCCAAGCCCTCACGAAACCTCATATTCTATCGTCTCAGGTTGAGATCGTACTCTTCTCAAACAATAGACCGCCACTTCTCTCCTCGATCCCACGAATCTCAACAACGACATGGCTGATCAAGACTGGGACAACGTTACAAGAATTGGAAAGAGCGCTAGAGGACCAGGCAGTGGTGGTGTTGATCGAGAACGTGTCATCAAGGGCAAGTCAGCCATCAATGCTGCTGGCCGCTCTGGAGCCATCATCGGCACCGAGAAGAAATATGCGGGTGCCAACACCGTAAGACTGTCCACAGCACACCCCTTCCAATGATGTTCCCAGCTTATTCTAACGTGCGTTTCCAATCCACAGAAAGCAGCCGTAGAAGGCCAGCACCTGACCAAAGTCGACCGATCCGACGAGATCGTGAAGCCCAAGACCGTCGGCCGAGACGTCGCCCAGGCCATGGTTAAGCGAAGAAACGAGATCACCCCCAAGATGACACAGAAAGACCTCGCCACAAAGACCAACATGCTCGCTACCGAGATCCAAGCATATGAGAACGGCACCGCCGCACCCGATCAGACCAAACTGTCCCGGATAGAGAAGGCACTTGGCATCAAGCTGCGGGGTTCAGACATTGGCTCGCCGTTGACGTTTGGGAAGAAGAAGTGAGAGAAAAAGGGAGATATCGTAACCAAATCATCATGGATTGACATGGGTTTCCCACCAAGGTTGTTCTTTGCAAGCGTTTTTGATTCGGCAGGTATAGGAACGCCGTATGGTGTATGGGTCAACCTTTTGCCCGCTTCAATTGTTGTGGGGACACCATCATAGAGCATATCACATAGACGTGCAATGGGCATTGGGACGAAAGCAAGTGGCGGAAGTCGAGAGACCTTCACCACGTTGAATTTCGAATTCCATTCAAACAGATGCAGAGACTGAAATTAGAATTCAATGCACCTACCTCTCTGGAGTCCTTTTTTCAGACTTCTGCTCACGCACCGATCGCAAGGCCGGGTTCTGCTCGTGCTCAGTTGTGGCATCGAGATAACGTACGGCACGTTTTACTTATGACAGATTGGCAGGAACGACACGAGGTTAATGAGTATCACTTTCAAATTTTGACGTAGGGCCATTTTCGTGGGGCTCTACTGGGAATCCGAACAGGGTATCAAGAAGAACAGGTCAATGCGACGAAGATTGAATGTCACAGACAAATCGGAAGTTGACTGATTCATGTAGGACCATTTTATTCATTTCCAACTGTCTTAGGCTATTTCACTCCTTGTCCGAGTTATATATGGGTGAGGCAGAGCAGTAGACATGCATGCAGAGCGCTCGTACGTAAGCAGAACATCAACTCCTGAAGGCTGTCAAACCAAACATTAACACCATTTCTGAACGACCTGAGTGACTGACGCCTTCGGTCTAGCAAAGTATTGTGATTCTTTCCCGCCCTCTATGCGTTGTAAGCTTGCGATCCATACAGAAGACAGCGCCCAAAATGCACCATGAGTGAGGTCTAGTCAAAGAGCGGGGCGTGTGGAATCTCAAAAAGCTGTCTGAAGAAAGCCGAATGCCAAAACCTGTGTTGCTTTAAACTTTCATCTTAGTCGGGAGCTGAGCTATCGTTGCTTCAACGGAAGTGAATCACTTCTTGGCAACATCCTCCAAGCCCTCAGCAGCGAGATTCTTCTTGAATCGCTTCTCGATGGCCTCCATGAATTGGCTGGTCGTGACCCAGGCCTCACGCTCCTTCTTGCCACAAGCAAGAGCCAAATCTTTGGTCATGATGCCGTCCTCATTGACTGTGTCGATGACGGCTTTCTCAAGGCTCTCTGCCCAAGTGACGACCTCAGGGGTGTCATCGAGCGAGCCGCGTTTGACGAGACCTCTGGTCCAGGCAAAGATGCTTGCAATGGGGTTGGTGGAGGTCTCACGGCCCTTTTGGTGTTCACGGTAATGTCTTGTGACCGTACCGTGTGCGGCTTCTGATTCGTACGTGAGGCCGTCTGGGGTGATGAGTTGGGAAGTCATGAGGCCGAGGGAACCAAAACCCTGAGCAACGATATCAGATTGCACATCACCGTCGTAGTTCTTCATGGCAATGACAAATCCGCCGCTGGACTTGATCATCTGTGCGACCATGTCGTCGATCAGACGATGCTCGTACCAGATCTTCTTTGCCTCGAATTCCTTTCGGTACTCGCTCTCATAAATCTCTTGAAAGATATCTTTGAAGCGACCATCATAAGCCTTGAGAATCGTGTTCTTGGTGCTCATGTACAAAGGCCAGCCCTTGTCAAGCGCAAACTTGAATGAAGCATGGGCAAAACCTTGAATACTTTCGGTGGTGTTGTACTGAGTCTGTGCGACACCACCAGCCTCGGGGAAATCAAAGACCTTGATGGTCTTGGCTTGCCCTCCATTCTTGGGCGTGAACACCATTTCCAGTGTTCCTGCCTCTCTGATCACATCATCCTTTGCCCGATATTGATCGCCGAAGGCATGACGTCCAATGATGATGGATTTCTCCCATCCAGGGACCAGGCGAGGGATTCGGGGAATGACGATAGGTTCGCGGAAGACCGTGCCACCGAGGATGTTTCGGATGGTACCATTAGGTGACAGCCACACTGGAGAGCTTGTTAGCTGGCAAACTTGGAGTGTTGCGAGGAGGGCGACATACTCTTCTTGAGGTTGAATTCTTTAACTCGCTCTTCATCTGGTGTAATGGTGGCGCACTTGACACCAACCGAGTACTTCTTGATAGCCTCGGCAGCTTCAACGGTGACTTTATCGTCCGTCTCATCTCGGTACGGTAGACCAAGGTCGTAGTACTTGAGGTCAACGTCTAGGTAAGGATGAATAAACTTGTCCTTGATGTCCTGCCATATTATTCTGGTCATCTCATCGCCATCGAGCTCGACGATGGGATTCTTGACCTTGATCTTGGTTGCGCCCGAGGCGGACCGGACCTGCTGTGTGTTTGAAGACATTCTCTGTGCTTCAGCTTGCAATCTGTTTGCAGCCATTCTAAGGGAAGGAGACGGAGTCGCGAAGGATTTTCTAGAAGCAGCGCCCAGCAGGGCAGATCTGATGGGAAGCATGAAGTGCGGAAATGGGGAGCACGGTAATCAAGCCGTTCTGACTTGACAGTGGACACGATAGGACCCGATAGAATCACGAATGGCCATCAAAGCAATAGCTCTGCTAGGAAAGAAGGGTTTTACCTTGAGTCTCGATCCGTGGCAGCGTAGTTACTTCGGCGTGAGGGTGGGCTGAGACGCTGGTTGACAAATGAGGTGCGATTACCAGCAAAAATGACGACGTGAAAAGCCGAGGGAAAACGAGAGATGGATCAGGGAAGAGGTACCGGCTCCGAGTACTTACCCGGCAGGTGGTGGGGATGGTGGGCTGTTCTGAGAATCAGTGTGGCATCCTCACACATTAATCAGTGTTGCAGCGGAACGTGGGGTTACAGGTGCCAACTCTGGAGAGTTCTGCCGTGTTGAAAACTGCCAGCGTGCCACTCTCTCCAAGATCACGGAGCCATGACCGGAATGTTTTGGGGCGAGAGCGGAGGCCACTTCTTGATCTCGGAACTCGCAAATTGACAAGCCCACCACTCGAATTTGTTTTGACCTTCGGAAACACGCCGAAGGGAATGTGGAAGCTTTTCTTTTGGTGGTTGGTGGTTGGTGGGTTGCGGTTGCCGTCCGCTATCGCGCCGAGTCGGAGAAGATCATCACGTGCGTCTCCGGAGAAAAGTCCCTCCGACATATCGCTGACTCATCCAATTTTCAAACTGCGCTTGAAGCAATAATCAAATCAGCCAGCAGTATGACCTTCAATGCGACCTCTTCTGTAGGCTTCAGACTAACAATAACAGCATCGTCAGTGACATAGTCCTCATCGCAGTCAAAGACGCTCAGCTTACGACTCCACGATCATGGCCGACAAATTGCGCACTCTGCAGCAACTTGAATCACTCCAAGCCAAATATATTGGCACCGGCCACGCAGACACCACTCGCTACGAATGGAGCAACAACATCGTTCGAGACTCATATGCGAGTTATGTCGGCCATCCACCTCTGCTTGCCTACATGGCACTGGGCATGGGTGAGAGCAAGGAGGTCCTGCGAGGACAGATGATAGAGAAGATGATCAGGGCGAGTGGTCCACCACCAGCGAGAGACGATGATTGAGGCTGGAAATATCTGGTCAACACCCCATCGCCCTGTTCGACAACTGCGCCAACATAGCCTCAGAACTGAAACAGTCACCGGACAACTACTGATCTCCTCAGAGTCAACCGCCTCATGGGCCCTGCAGACATTAATAAAGAAGCGGTGACCGGTAAAACTATTTACCTTCCACATACCAATGTTCTCGCCCTCAGCCTTGCATCATCATGACTGATGCAATCCGAGTTAGATGCGAGGCGTGCGATTCAAGCCACAGAAGACATCACGAATGGCATGAGAGGAAGCTCAAGCAGATGTATATCACTGAAGCGAAATGTATTCATTTCCATTCAAATACAATATGTGCAGCAAAACTTCACCGCACATCTTTTCACCGGATGCTCTGGAAAGGCAATTGCTACTTTCCCTGGTCGTGCACCTCTCTGCTCCTTCTCCCAATTTATAGTTGAGCCACTTCAATCAATCCTGCCCGTGAAAAAATGTAGTCAAGGGGTGTAAGAGAAGAAAATCTGGTGACGGTCCCAAAACCCTTTCTCGAGAATAACATAGGAAAATGTTGGTTGCAGAGGACGCCGCTTGCCAAGTCCTGTTGGAGCCGCAATTGAATCCCGATGTTCCATACCAGGGCAAGAAGTTCTGGACTCAGGTCATGTCGAGTAAGCCTCAGTCTGATGACGGATTCGACTGCAGCTGGGTATTATCAGACCATGTCGAATACACATCCTTTGCCACTGATAGGTTCATCATATAGTACCGTTCCCATTGACGCCCGACTCAATGCGTACGCCGTTTCATATCCATGAATATCCCATTTTTTGAAAATCCCCGTTATAGCAATCGACCCCGTGGTGGTGCTTGTGGCTTCCCCGATCCCGTGTGGTCGAAAAAATCTACCCAAGTCATAGTCGTAGCCAGCAATGGCTGATGTTGAACATTAAACAAGACACCGAGGCATCATTAGAAAATTCCGTTGACAATGTTGCTGCCGATGGTGGCTCCCGCGCCAAAGATAGCAGCATTGCCCATCTTCTTGCCGAATTTTTTGCCTTGCTCTTCCAGCTTACTATACTTGCGACCCTCGGGACCGACAGCCGAACTGGATTGAGTGAGTTGAAGAGGCATATTGCCATAGTCGGAGGTTCCAGGGACCATGGGTGGCCTTTTCTCTTCCACAACATTGACATAGCTACGAGGGAAAATTCCTTCCTGGTTCGTGCGCTCGTTCCGACCTCTCCACCCTATTGAAGTGTTAGCAATGGGCCTGGAAAACAACGAGGAGACGTGAAGACATACAGTCATTGTTCATGTGTTCTGATACTGACACAGTATCACCTGGTTGCAATGCCAAGTCTCCAGCGTCTGTGGGAGAATATGCGTACAACGCCGAGGCTATGGCGAGGACCTGAGGACTTTGGACGTATGCTGGTGGTGGAAGGGGCGCTGGCGTCGGTACTGGGGCATAGTGTTCCTTGATGTTCATATTTGAAAATTGATCGACGGGGGTGTTGGTTGAGACATTTGTAGGAGCGTGTAAAGGAGCGTGTAGGGGGGTCTGGGCAGGTAGTTGAGCAAGGATTGACGATAACTGCTCTGGTGAGATGATGGAACTGTCTGCGAGAAACTCGAGTTCCTATTCAGAATGTTATTGGCGATGCCAAATGGAATGGAATGGGATGGGATGGGATGGGATGGGTTGAAACAGGGTTACACACAGTGCGGATGGTACGGAGGGAGCGGTTTGTCAGGGCGATGGAGGCCTCGGAGGCCATGGTATCGCGGTGGGAGAGGCAATTCAACGCGTTTCTGAGGAGTCCAGGTGAAAAAGATGATTAACGAGAGAAATAAGAGAGTGAGGAGCTCGACCGCAAGAGTCAGAGGCGAGTTGACGTTGAGTGGAAGAATAGGAACAGGATCAGAAACAGGTGGTCGAAGGTGAAGGTGAGGCGCAGTTACAGGTAATAATGGTACGCCGTCAGAGTACGGGTACCTACCAGGTAACGGATGGGCGGTGGTGCATCCCAGTATTGGCGTGACCATGATGGAGGAGAGAGTCACTTGACGCAGGGCTCAGGTTAAGCAATCACTGGGTCATCTCAACCCGGTTAAGGGCAACAAATGCCAGAGATGGCGCCGATGGGGAGCCAAACAGCACCCTCCTGCCCACGGAAGGCCAGCTTAAGCGACAGAGCAACACCCGGGCTAGAGGGTTCCTAGGCCTGGAAAGCAGCCAGCACATTGGATCCCAAGCCTGGCTTTTGGGCACAAGACGTGGCTGCCAGCTAACGGACCAGGGAGTTTGCGAGGTAAGCCAGGACAAGTCTAGCGGCGTTTTGGTAAAATGGGTGCCTGACAGCTTTGCTCGGGAATTTGAAGGATCGAGCGTCATTGATCCGCCGCCCGTCCTTGACTCCCATTATTCAGGCATAACCATCCACACTGCCCTGTATAATTCGGGGCTTTGTGTGAGCACTACTCATAAGCGACTTGTCCGCACGGTGGCTCTCCGTACGGATACTAATTGAGGCCTTTCGTCGCAATTGATCTGAAACACGTAGAATCCGTCTTACGAGATCAGCCAGTAGCCATGGAAACAGTGAACGACCCTTGAACGCCTCGAAACCTGCCAGGCCATGTACCATATTCTATACCTCGTAGGGATATCTCTATTCATATTATCCCAACGTCACAGCGCCGTTCCGTGGTCGCCGAATATGTCCTGATATGTGATAATGATATGTCCTTTTTCCTACCAACTTGAAGGACATGTCAATGGTTTTGAATCCTTCCGATTGCGTCCCACTTTACCCAAATTAGTGCTGTTTGACGAACCCAACAATCCCGGCCAGACAAATGTTTTCATTCGTCCATGATGAAGAGGGCAATTAGAGATGGGGCTTGGATGCCAAGGTGCTCATCGACAGGCATCTATCTGTCTCGAGTACGGAGACATAACTCTCTATCAGTCTTGAACCTCGTGGCATTGCTCGCCGACTGACTCAACCGCGGTTGCGATCGAACTGCACAAAGCAAGTATTTGGCAGCTACATTGTAGACGTGAAGCTGTCGTTGTTGACATCTCTGGCTATCAACCACGATACACTTTGCTGTCCCTGAAATGGAGCAACAAATTTCAACTCTCCCTTGATCGCATCTCATCCAGCCTTGCCGTTTAAAGCGCTTCCTATACCTTTACCACATATGCCATAGGTGGATGGATAACATTACCGTCATCGATGAGCATCTGAATATTCACATTGTCTCTGCAATATGCGCCCACCCACCGGGACAATCATGGGCTTACACCTGTCCATGTGCAGTGGTCGCAGATTAACAGGTTTTATCTCTTCTGTAAATTGTATTAACAAACAATTCCGTCAGCGTCAGCGCAATACTCAAGGTTCTTGTTGGAATCTGCCTGTCTCTGAGTGGTTGTGACAATGGGAAGGCATTCTTCAGAAAATACCGATCTTGAATGAGGTTGGAACATCTGTTTCAAGGACAAAGGACGTGTTCATGTACCTCAGACACTTGGGCAGGTAGGTTCAGCAAACGACATGACATCTGCACAAAAGCCTGTGGAGAAACAAACGAGCTCAGCCTCAGTTTCCCGCAGCTTGGTTCTCAGATGCAGGCTGCCGCACTGGCTCGCATGCTTTGCTACAAACACCTTCAATGATCGTTTGATTTTGCAAATGGAGCTGACAGGCTTGGTCTTGTCTGTCTTGTGCACATATCTGGTTTGAGCACAATACAGAAGGTGACTGTGTGAAAGGACATATATCTATGACTCCCATCTACAATGCATCTGAATTTTGAATCCCATCACTCTCTTCAATCTATACATTCACAGAATCGTTGGAATTGTGTTCAGAAAAATTCAATTAAACAATACAACTGCAGCGAGTCGTCACCTGTGCCAGCCTCGGCGTACCCCCTGACCCTGAACCCTTTATTGTGACTCTATTCACGAACGACAGTGACATTCCTTCAGCCTATTGTGAGTAACGCTTCCTTCACTCGAGGCCGGCTTCGTGCGCAAAGGTCAGAGTCTCTGTCGTCTATAAAAATCCCCCTCCCTTTGATCTGCCACAGACCTTTTCTTTCCCAACACATCCCCAGCGCAAACCTTTCTTGTATTTCAAGCTATCTTGAGAATATAGATCACTGACCTATTGCAAAGCTTTCGAAGCAATCTCAGCGCTCCTGATCAACCAAAAACTCTCTCATTGATCATCAACAGTTTTAACCTCATTCTTCCCATCAACCACAACCTAGATCGACCAATCAACAACTTACCAACATGTCCGCAAACATGTCCAACGCTCTCAGACCTCGCTTCTTCGTTGTCCGACCCGATGATCAGAGAATGGTGCCCCTTATTGCCGTGGACGAGCTTCCTCCTTTTGTCATGATCCAAGGTGTCCCAAGGGCCCTCGCAGCAACTGAAATCACCGGAATGATCTCTGTCGGTGCCTACGAACTGCGTGACACTCAACATGTTGTGGAAGGCGTCTATGCCAACAAACCACCAAGTCCTGAACGTCCTTCTGTCCCAAAAAGTCCTGGCCAGCAAGCACTTCCTCTTGTCTCCAGCAGCCCGACCCCAAGCACCAAGATCACCAATTCCAACAAGGTCGAATCGACTGCCACCAGCATAACCCCAGGTACCAAGATCTACTGTGATCATTGGATTGCAACTGGTGCTTGTTCATTTGTCCAGAAAGGCTGCCACTACAAGCATGAAATGCCATTGACCCGCGAGGCTCTTGCGGCAATTGGCCAGCCGGACATCCCAGCGTGGTACCGCCGAAGCTATGGCGTTGCCTCATTGAACCTTGCGCCTGGCATGACAACTCCAAGCTACAGCATCAGTGATTCCCGGGCACATCACAGCAACAACTGGCGAAACTCCCAGAGCCAAGGAGGCCGTGAGCACAACGCAGGCTCTCCTGGCCGCCGCCCATTTGCCGCCGCCCGTGGTCCTCGTGGTCAAGGACGCCAATACAACAAGCCAAACATGCCCGCCAACGAAGTGAACACTGAAGAGGCACGCAGAGCAACCACGGCAGCCAAAGAACTGGACCGTGAGGCAGAGAAACGTCGCCAGGCAATGCAGGCCAAGTACAAGTCGTTGTCACCAGACCGCAACTCGGTCTTCACACACGACCCCGATTTCAACAGCGGCTTCGACAGCGAGGCGGAGTGCAGCAGCCTGATGAGCGACCAAGACCGATACGACACCATGTCAGATGCCACTTTCGAAGCTGAACAGCTAGACCGTGTTCGCCGTGTTCATGCTTCCCGTTCTGCTTCCGCCAATGCCTCGGCCTCGGCTTCTGCGTCTGCGTCTGCTTCTGAGGCCTCCTCCGGCTTGTCTACTGTTCGCGGAAAGGGCCAGATGGGTCGACGAGTTGGAAAGAACAGCAGACCTCGGGGTGTTCGTGGCGGAAGAAAGCACGCCAGGAACAGCTCTGGCAATGCCAGTGCGGACGGAAGTGGTCGTGATGGCGGACCCGGAAGGGCGCCAGCCAGAGATATGAGAAAGGTTGTGGCGGACAAGGCCGTTGTTCAGTGAGCCAGCGTTGTTCAATGAACCAAGGTCGGCGATTTGGTGTGGTCGGCTGCTTGGAGAATCGTTATTGCCCCGCCTGGTGATGTATTTAGATAGAAGCACAGAGACACAGAGAGGAGAGAGCGCTTTTGGACTGTGTGTCCCCTTTTCTTCAAGTCTGTCAACCAGAAAATTATACGGATGAATAAAAAGTGGTATTCTACATCTAGTTTTACAACATGCGACCTTTGGCAGGAGTCTTCTTCGCCGTGAGTGATTCTACATAACTGTGCACCAAACCCTTCCCATCCAGAGGATTGACCGGGGTTGCATCCACTAGGAGTTTCTGTTCCTGTCTCGCCAGTAACAGCTCTTGGATTCGTCCAGGCTTGATCCTCCACTCGTCGGGAAACTTGATGTGCTTTTTACTCTTGTGGTGTCTCAGATCGAGCGGGATATCTTTGAAGTTGTCTTCGCCATTCTTCGCCTCATCAATGAGTTTGTTGACGAGATCTCCCAGATATCGTTTGTTCTGCGCCGGTGCTTCAAACTTTTCGCTGGACATCTTCACAATGTCATTGTCCGGGTCGTAACGCGGTCCGACAAGTTTGATCAGTTTCAGCCGTTGCTCCTCTGTCAGGCCGGCCAGATCTTTGGTGCAAAACTGCACCACGACTTTCTTGGCTGCGGGATGCGATTCTCCCATGTAGGTTGTGTATCGGAACCGTAGAGGTTGACTTTCTGTGGGAGGTTTGAACTCTTTGACGAAATCTGTAGCAGGATATTAGTGCTGGACCTCAAGTAAGGCTTGGATTCCTTCCACATACTCGTCAATAATGGCATGTCCCAAGCGACCACTCGAGTATACTCTCTGACTTCACGGTGCACCTCCAACTGACTGTGTGCAACAGATGTGATATGCGAATCATCAATATCATCATCGGCATCTTCGTTCATGGCGAACTCATCGGCATCCTCATCGTCAGCAAACCAGCCCACGTCACGTTTCGACAGCGTATCTATAGGAAAGTCGACGTCCTCCTCGGCGTTGATATCCCGTTCCATGTCGTCCATTATCGCCGGATCCAAGCCTTTCTCTCCATCGAGAGATTCAGCTAATGCCATCAAGTGGTTGTAGAGGCCGATAGGATCACCAGGCTTGCCTCCAAGGAGTTCTTTCATTTGCTCCAGCTCTTCGGGACTGACCTCTTCGGCAACGATGGGTTGTGCCGGTGACAGGTAATCTTTCGGATCCGGGGCCTGAGGGTAGAATGATTCGAATTTCAGGGCGTCCGCTTCGTTCAACCAAAATCCATCCTCTCCGCCAACAGTATCCTTCTTGGCCGACCCGAGTCGGAGGAATCTTTTTTCCCCATCATCATCGCGCTCTGGCAATTCGACCCAGTAGGGACCCTTCCCTTCCTCGGTTCTTTCCAATTCACTGGCGGAGGCTTCCTCGGGCAATTCTTCAGACTTGGGTCTGTCTGCCTGACGAATTGGAGTGGTTGAATATGTTCGGAAAGGAGGAGGTATTCTCTGGGGAGCTCGGAGGCACTGTGGTCCCCATTTCCGTTTCGCTGGCAGCTGTTGCCGACCGGCCTGGAGTAGCGTGCGGCATAGGTGCCGCGTTGGTGTTGCCATACCGTTACGGCAGTATGTGTAGCCGTTGATATGGTGTAGCAGATAAATATGGGTAGGAGTCGAGCTGCTCCAGAAAATAATGCGCACGTCGTTTCGTATGTGTATGCTTCGACGTGAAATCAACTTTATGGTCCTCCGTACCAAATCCCTTTGAATTCAATGGATTTGCTCAAGCCAAGACTTGTCAGTCCGCATTGCCTTGTAGTATGGGCTAACCACTCCGAATAACGGGTGTAGATTTCGATTATGGCAGGTGTGCAACAGAGCCAGAAGCATGGGAAACGATGCTTTGTGACCATCGGCGCTACCGCCCCTTTCAACAGCTTGATACAGGCTGTGCTCCAACAGAGTTTCGTTGATGCTTTGAGCGGAGCTGGATACGACGAGCTACGAGTTCAATACGGTAATCATGAGGGCGAATCAATCTTTCAGTCAAGGACGAAGGAGATCAGTGCATCTCCGCATGTGCCCAAACTCGAGATCACCGGCTTCGGCTTTGATAAGGCTGGTTTGGGCACCGAGATGTTCGCCGTGAAGGGATCGGCCGAAGTTGAACAAGGAACTGTTATTAGCCACGCAGGTGAGTCGGCGACGAGCCTTGCGCCATCCTGGTAGGCTGGCTTAACAGCAATTTCAGGATCGGGTTCAATACTGGATGCTTTGAGAGTCGGCGTTCCGCTCATTGTTGTGCCTAATACCGATTTACTGCACAATCACCAAGCGGAACTCGCGGATGTTCTCGCTGAACAGGAATATGTTGTGCATGGGAAATTGGAGTATGAGCCCTAGCCCTATCTTCTATTTTCATGTTGTACAGAACTATCTTTCCATAAATTCCTCTTCACGGATACGATGAAGATTTGCTCCACTTGCTGACTCCATTTTCAAGCGATCTTGCATCGTCAATCACGGAAATAGAATCGCTTCGACGCAAGATGAAGCAGTGGCCGCCACTGAGGTCGGGAGAGGAGAAGTACAAGAATGGCCTTGCAGATGTCATGGCCGAAGAAATGGGCTGGCAGATCGGCTAAACAACGTCGTATTTTTACCACTTCGCTTTGGGTTGAGTTCTTGGATGACTGCCCGTTCCTAGCCAGACGATGATCAAGTTCGAATTCTGTTTATTTGTTGCTGTTCCTTGAGACACATCCATTTCTGCAAGATCCATCACAACACTAAGCATGAATGACGGCGTTAATAGTTCTGAGATGAATTTCTCTGACTAACGCAGGAACGAGTGGAGAGAGGAAGACCTTCTATCTCAATGACAGCACCAAAGAAGTCGCAGTGGGGCGTGAATTTATTGCGGTCCATGAATTGTACTGGTATGCTTTTCGAGGGTTGGGTTCAGACCTAGCAAGAGGCATGAATGGATGACTAGTGTAATCAAACCCCAAACAATCAACAAAATTTCGCACTCGAGGTACCTGTTACTCATCGCGCGGAGACGGAAGTCTATATATAAACTCTCAAATGTTGAGTGCACCGGAACAAATTGCATCTGTCGTCGTACATTTCGTTGTACATGGCCAAGTTCAGTCTCCAGGGCTTTGTCAGTCCGACCCATCAGCACAGGTATCAAGTTGTTTTCTGCGTGCCAAAACTCCATCTCGATAGGTCTTCAAGACGACTTGAACGCAATTTTGCCCGCTTCTGTAGCTGCAAGCTACCCCGATCATCCAGATCATCCAGATCATCCAGATCTAGTCGGCCGCAGAATGTGTGGGAGGGCCATCGGAGGTCGGCTGAACATCAGGAACAGGGGCGCTCTGCTCTTCTGCTCTTTGTCTCGCAGCTCTATTGCGCTGTAGTTTCTCAAACCATGATTGTTCATGTGCCCGAGCCGTTCTTAGCAGCGCAGCGACCATTGCTTGCTCATCCTCATCCTCACTCAACGCCGCTTCGACGAAAGCATCATCCTCGATTAGGTCTCGGATCACCAACTCATGCTCTTCTAGTGCATCCGTGGTTCTAATCACGCCAAGATACGGGCTGTCAAACATAATGTCCTCATATGTGTAGTCGAATTCCAGGTTGACCTCCATATCTCGCTTATCTCGAGTGTATCGCACGATTGGGGTCGCAAGGGTAATCGCATCTACCAGAAGTTCATATGAATTCGGCGGACGCATGTGGGCCTTGATGGTCAAATGCTTCAGATTGGGAAACGCATCACCCATTGACTTTAGCCCCTCGGACCAGTGAACCCGGTTATCGTCATTTACGTGAACCCAGATGGCGACCGAAGTGACTTTTGTGTTGATACCTGGGAACGGCGGTCGTAGACTTTCCATGGTGAAGATTCTGTCGCCGAAACAAACCATAAAGGAGCCAAAGAGAATCGCTGAAGCCTCATCATAAATTTGCCGACATGTCAAAAGCGGACGGAAGACTTCTGCCCATAAATTCGGCTTGACATGGTCTCCTTTCTGGCAGGCTAAACAGCCTACTTGTTGATAGATGCTGGCTTGTCCTGAAGTGGGAACCACCAAGTGTGTCTTGAATGCTAGGTTCCAAATCTGATCTCGAATTTCCGTTGGCAGTTCAAGCAATGTGATAGGCATTCTGTGGAAGCTTATAGTTGTATCTAATTACCTAAGTCAACTTTGATCTCTGTTTGCAGAATTTTCCAAACATCAAAAGTGTTTGTGAGAAATACGAGGTTCACTTTCAGCTGGCGTCAGCCTTTCTCGGATGTCACCTGATCCGGTTTCCGGAGCAAGGCTGAGTACCCTGTCCAACTTGAAAGCCTTGCCTTCAGCGTGAAGCCCCTGAATCTCACTTCTTGAATGACCACTTCCACCGTCATGCAAGTTCTTTGTGTCCATTTGAATTAAATCCCCTCGAGAACAAAGAGGATGATTTTATGGATCGAGATATCTCCGAATACAACAGTCATGACTTGAGGCTCGAACCATTCATTCATTATCTTTGGCTTTGTGAGCGCTCCTACCTTCTGCTATTAGGAACCCAGAATTGAGGTACTGAAAGAAATCCGATCTAAGTATATAGAACATGTTCTTTTTGAGGAGGCATCTCTTTCTGTCTATTTTTTGTTCCCATTGCCAAAATCACAATAGCATAATGTGAGATCTTTGTTTCCGGGTCTATCCACACTGGGAAATTCTGGCATTGAATGTGCCAGGAAGTTAATATAAGGACGTCCTACCAGCCGCAGCTTCAAGTTCTGATCTCCAAGCTTCTTTTACGAGGAAAACTAAACCCACAGTCTAATCTTCTTTAGATCGAAAAATTCAACCGTCCGAACACAGCTATTCAACTAAGGATTTTTCGAACTTCCTCGATTTCACATTAGGATCTTCAGCCCAAGAAACACCCCTTGGATTCCCAAAGTCAATCAACTATTACACCACATCCACCATACTTCATCTTTCACACCAACAAACTTCAACATGGCTCCCGCAAGCACCATGGATAGCAGAACAACCACTCGTTCAGCCCATCCTTCTGCAGGTCGTACTCCTCATCCCCCTGCCACCTCCAAGCGCGAGGGTAAGCCCGCGCGTGACTCAGTTGCCTCTTCTCGATACCTCGAAGTCATCGGTCAATCACGTATGGACAGTACTAGAAACACTAGCACTATGCGCTCCAGCGATCGTCGTCCTCATCGTGGTGGCTCTACTGCCGACACCATCAGCAGCAGAGCTCCACGCACCGACCGCGAGCATCGTGAATGTGAGAAGTCGACTGCATCAACCATCAAGGATGGCTCCGTTCTTGGCTCTGACTCCTACGACCCTCTTACCAGCAGAAATCTCAGTCGCCACGATCGTTCCGCCGGTCGCTTTGATAAATCGAAAGTCCCTGTGACCATCTACGAAGAGGACAGTCGTGCAGGATCCGCAGCCCCTCGATCTTCTCGCCATGACACCGCCAAGCCTACTCATTACGAGTCCTCAAAATGCGGCCACTTGGTCCCTTATGATGCTTCGCGTAACAACCGAGACGAGGGCGCAATGACTCGTCGCAATGACAAGACCTTCAGCGCTGGTTTCAATGAAGCAATGGCCTCACCCGATTGTTCCAGCATTCGTAAAACTCATTGGAAGGAAGAAACTGCTTCTGGCACTAAGTACGACATTGTCCAGTATAGTGTTCATATGAAGCGCTAAAAAGAGTCAGCCCAGGTGAGTGCTAATCATCCCCCCTCCCACCCCAAACCCCTTGCTTTTTTTTTTTGAATTTCACAATGTGCTCTGCTCGCATTCAAGTATCTTCCTACATCATAGGTGGGTCTTTAATGCAAATGCGCGGATCATCTGAATAATACAGCTAGCACGGTGTTACAGCTAGGGAATTACAGTATATGCAGGGTAAGTTAGGAGTACTCGAAGCTTGCAAGCCTAGATCACTTAGGTACGCAAGGGGCCGAGGGCGAGGACGAACTTATCCTCACCAGTTCATTGATAGACAATAAAATATCCAAAACCCCATCCACTTTTCGTCTCTCTGACTCGTACGCTTCTGGAAAATATGAAGCTCAATTTCGAATCTCCTTGATTAATAGTTGCCGTGCGGAAAGCTGCTCACTTGGGATTTTCGTGGGGAAACAAGGCCAGGCAGCAAGTCGCACTGATATGCTAGATCAACCAATAAAGCTTGGTGAATTTTGTAACCACTGACGGGCTCTTCCAAGACGAGTCGCCTCTGTAAGCACTTAAAGTCATGGCGGGAGTAACAGCAGACCTTGCTCAAACTGAGAAATAGTGCCGAAGCCTGACATTGAGCCCATCACAAGATCCATTGCTTCATCGTCTAATTGATAAGCACGTTGGTTGGAAAACAACTTGAATTAGCTAGCTATGAATACAGTTACTATGGGAAGTGCTGTAAAAACCCATATCAGAGTACGATGAACAACTCATCTCGTGGGAGACCTTCATCCTTCATGTTGGGATAATATGGCACCATCGAGTCCGCTGAATGGACGTATGCATCATTGTACAATCTCCAGTAGGGCGTGCGGACCTTCCTGGCTGGGTGAAATAGTCCAGCCCAGACGTAGTTCATCACAATGCCAGTTCCGACAGCCATTCTGATGGCCTCGATGGCCTCAATAATTCGGTCAATGACGTGTGGACTTGTTTCGAAGAGGTTGGGATATAGGAGGTTGAGGAGATGAACCATCGCATCTTCACAGCCGAGTCCAACGACCCCGAGAGCAACGTGCTTGACGACACTGGCAGCGGTTTGGCGATGGACTTGATCGCGGTCGATGAGTGCGTCTTCGAGTAGAGGAGTCACTGCATAGACGTAGTCCTTTGCCATCTCGCCGATGTACTCGAAGAGGAATGAGAGGGACTTCAGCACGCCGTTTTGAACATTGAGCTCAGGCACCCGATACTCGTTCATCAGCGCTGGAAGGACAGTGAACGGCGCACAGGTCTCGGCGACGATGCCGATTGCAACGGCGGTGCAGACACGAGACTGCCGTTCCTGCACACGAAGATTGTTGAGTAGTGTAGCGAGAACATCTTGAGGCCCAATTGCCTTGGCAATGAAGCCGAAGGTGTTGTTCGCTGCCCGGCGAATACCCTTTTTGTGAGCTTTCAGCATGTCCAGCAGCTCGAAGCATATACGCATCCATTCACGTGCATTAACTGACTCGGGGCCCCGATCTGCGATACGGCCAACGAGGTCGATGGTATTCTCCTGTACCTTTTCGTGCCGATTTCGAAGGATGGGCGTTAAGCGCGGGAGCAGGTCTTTGATCGGAGGCTGCATTTGGTTGATGCCGACAACGGTGACTATTGACCGAAGAGCACCCAAAATTGAACCAAGAACTTCAGGGTATTCTTCTCCCAGGTATTCGTACAGCACAACACCTAGCTTGCCCATGAGTGCGTCTTCACCGCATTGTTTCATCACCATTGCTATGCGAGAAATCAGATCTGCCGCCTGCTGACGTACAGTAGCAGATTTATTGTTGAGCCGCCAAAGGATGGTACTGACGATTTGTGGTAGATAAGGCTTGCATCGAGTGCCAAGTGCATTGACCACTGTACCGAATCCGTTCAGCATGACGATGTCCTCAATGCTTTGTTCTTGAAAAGCATGCAGAATACCATCGACAAGTCGTTCTTCCAGGCGTTCGCCTATGTCTGCAGCGCCGAGAGATGCAATGACCTTCTCAATGGTTTCCACAGTCATCTTGCGGTAGGCCTCGCTTTCGTCTTTGAGGTTGTTGACCACTCGCTCGACTATTTCGCTGACGCCCACTTTCTGTCCCAGGTCTACAGTTGTCTCCACCACTTGTCGATAATTTCGTTTGTCAAGGGCCATTCTTCTAACCCAGAAGCTCTTGAAAAAGTCCTGTAGCACATGCTCCTTGAGATACCCAGCTGTCACTCCATCGGTACTTGCGCACTGAGAAATGACTTTTAGAACAACTTTCTTCATCTCTTCATCAGGAGATGCGAACTCTCGAAGCAGAATTTCCATGATTTGACTAGTATAGTAGTTGGCATATTCTTCGTCCATGAGGGGTATGATATAGCCAACGGCCTTCAAAAAGCCTGCAAGGCCTTTACCGCGCTGCTTCCGAGCACCAGTCCAAAGCGGGTTGAGAATGTCGTCGAAGCTCTCGATACCGTAAGGGTTCGCAGCCTCGGCCAGAGCAGCAATTGCTAGAGATGTCACAGTCCTCACCTTGGCTTGTTCGTCGCTGAGATTATCAGCGATACAATCCACCAAGCCTTTGAGATGTGGCAATATGGCGCACCCCATTAGGATTGGGATTTGTTGGACAATCTTCACTCCAGTGTGTCGAGCTTGCCAGGACTTCTTGCTCCGACAGACAGCACGTAGGAAAGGAAGCAGTGCAGGGATACCCAAAGCGGAGGCGACCACGGCGAAGGCCCGGGCAGTTGTATTTCGGACGTATTCGTCAACATGATCAATATCAGGTCTCATCGTACTGATCATGTGCGCCAAGCCCGCTGCTTTGCTTAGATTAGAGATGATCTCTCGACCTTCGACCCGAGCGTAATAGTCCTGATCAATGAGTAAGGGTTCAATAACGACCAGGATCTTGTGGACGTATGGTCGGATCAAGTCATCAAGCTTGTATAGAACTCGATCGATGACCTTTACAAGTAGATGCCTCTCTTGGTCTTCCAAAGTTTTCTCCATAAGCAAGGGCAGGATCTGGTTGAATAAAGGGCCTGCTCCAAACTGGCGGGCGTTATCTGTCAACTGTCGTAACGCAGTTTTGCGCATTGGCGGGGTGCCGTTCTTAACCTTGAGAAGTAATCGCATGATCTTGCGTTCCTTCAGCTCTTCCACCGACATGGCATTTTCATCGGCTCCGTCCACGAGTTTACCAAAGTAAGCCATGTCTTCAGTTTTGAAGAATTGCAAGTCGCCCACACCAGGAATATCAGTCGGAAGCTGTTTACCCATCATTCTTGGATTTTCTGGTTCTTGCATCATGAAACCGCCAATTCCGGATGAGCTACCGACTGCAGCAGGAGTTGCTATGGCCTTTCTAGTCGCGATCCGGACAGGCGCATACCCTGGAGGAGGTTCCAAGACGGTATAGCCCTCAGTAGGAAGCATCATGTCGAGATCCTCATCAGACCAAGTAGCGCTGCGGGCTGTAATATCAGTCCCGAATCCAGATTGAGAAGGGTGCATCGGTGTCGCGAGTCCGGCATTTCCGCTGGGTGTAGCTGAACCAAGAGCGGGAGCCTGGTCCCATCTTGATCGTTTCGTCGATGTAGATGCTTCCTCGGGGCCTGGGGCCTGATCCCATCTTGAACGCTTCTTTTCCTCTGCACCACCGGTTGCTACCGCGGTCTCACTTGAAACGTCCCATCTCTTCTTCCGCTTCCGTCCCGTTGCTTCCACGGTGGAGCCTGCATCAGCGTTTTCTTTATCGGCTTCCTTTAAAGAAGGTTTGTGTTCGGCGACGGCAACGGCGTCGGTGTCGGTCTGTTTCTCAGCTATGAGTTTCTTGACTCGCTCTTCTTCTCGCTCAAGGTCCTGGAGTTGCATAACTTCGCGATAAGTCGAGCCTTCAGTAAGGCCTGCATGTTTGTTGGCAGCGAACGGGTCGGCTCGTGTGGGAGTGAGTGCGCCTCGCTCAAATCTTCGCTTCTGATAATCAGTCTCACGATCTGCTATTCTGGCAGATTTCTCACGCCCAAGTAGAATATCTTCCTCCTCAACTCCATTCCCTCGTGAGAACTCATTCATCTGGTCTTTTGTAGCAGTGTATTGACCAACAAGCCTCCTACTATCACCAGCGTCTGGCATTTCTTCGTCGTCATCATCGGTAGGCAGAGAGGTATGGTACCCAGCGAACTTGTCCGGGCCATTTCGGTCGTAAAGCTGTGTGTCGAAAGTCTCCGTCAATGAGGCCTTGGTGGAAGAGTCAGTGCGCTGACTGGAGGGATCAAAGGTCTTTGAACCTTTTTTGCCAGCCGACTGAGCATTGCGCTCGGCCTGCAAGCGCCGAACAGTGTCGAAGTCGGCTGGGGTGGAAGTCAGTGGGACGTGAGTGCTTGATCTGATGGGATACTTACCATCCGACATGGTGTTTAAATGATTCGCCTTCGATAACAAATGCAAGACCAGTTGATGAAGGCTCTTGAGAAGGTTAGCAATTTGGTCACAGAATCACTACCTTCATGGCTCAATACCAAAAGTGATAGTACTGACTAATAAATCACGAATTTCAGTCGAACTTCAAGGCGCTCGAAGTTCACAGAGACTTTTGCCCCCGGAACAATAACGGGCCGAAACTGGCACGTGACTATGCCCAGCTCAGACTTCGATGAACTCCAGCCCCTGACAATCGGGGTTAGGGACCACAAAGCCAGCCCCAGCTTCGCATTGAGACCTAGTTCATACATGATTGCGCGTTGATATCACTATCTGTGTACGGAACACGATTAGGAGAACGTTCTCTAAAAAGCTACCCTATTGGTTTGAGGGGAAACCCGGACGACTGGAGAGGATAGAAAATGGACCGGAGTCAGGCCAGACCCCGGGTACCTTCTCGCTACGAGGTGTCTTATTAGTCGTGCTTAAGTAGCAGAGACCCGTAGTCTGCGCAGCAATTGCATCTGGACGGCTGCAGTAGAGTCAATAATGGGCATATTTCAAGTATTTCCGGGAGGGGCAGATTGTGAAAAGCAGGAGCAGGCCACAGGCTCCCTCAACTACATAGATATCCTTGCTCTACTCTCTGTAGAACGAAAGAAACAAGAAAAACTTGGTTGGAAGCGAGGAGGGCTAGGGACGAGAAGGCTAGCTAACTATCCATAACCCGGGTATTCGTGCTATTCAGTTGGGTATAGCTTGAGTTCCTAGGTTTGGAGAGCACTTGCAGCCAAATGTGTTTGGTACCTGGAGATGAAATCCCCTCAGGAGGAAAGCCTGATTGCACAGTGAATGGCTCAGCGGTGGTACAAGCAACCCCACTCCCGTGGGTGGAATTAGAAGCCAGAGAATGAACTAATGATGAACAACCTGGAGTTAGTGTCTTGTTCACGCCCAAAGGCCAATTACTCGGGTCTAATTATCACCCAGGTACCGAGTAGTTAAAGCGACATGCCTTTGTAGAGCAGTACGAAGTGCCTCCCCACCGGGAGCCGTTGGCTGTAAGTGACCTGGTGCCTCCTCCCACTACCCAGGAGTTGACCACCCATGTTGTAACTACCTGTACTATCTAAACCCAAAGTCTTCCCAATCCAATCCAGCCCACAACCTGCCAACACCCGATCGACCCATCATCCTTCATCCACTGGTATCGACTACATCACGGCCTACTGTTGTCTGGCATTTTCAACACCCAATCGAGCACTTCTATCTTCTACCCTACATTCACTCTGCTTTGTCGCTGCACACGTTCCTGCATAAGGCTTCAACTCTCCCCATTTCCATCTCTCTCCTCTCCGATTCCCACTCCCCCCATCCCTCCATACAATTGTTACCATTGCTGCCACCTGCAGCTGCAGCTCTCCCACTGAAACGTCGTGTTGCAGTCGCATTCGGCTCCCTCCATCAATCCAATAGCCGTCCTCGTTTGACTCGCCTCTGACCTGGCGCCTGTCCATTCGGATCAATTTTGCACAAACAGCCCTCCAATGCCGTCCTGACCGTGGAATTTGCTCCTGCGATTGCCTCTCGACGGCACTTCGTTCTGGGAAAGACTCTGCTCTTGGACTCGCGCAAATGCCCGAACGCTTGACCATCATCCTGGCTCGAATCCGTCGAAGGAAAGCAGAGAACACTTGTGACGCACATTCACTTTTCGCCTGTCAAATTGTTGCCCTTAGCAGGCCAATAATTGTATCCGAAGAAATCTAGCGACGACCGTGCGTTGTGGCACAAGTCATAGCGCTAGGACGCCCCATCACTCAACGCAATGAGGCCCAACGAACGAGACGAGACGAGAAACAGTACTGCCTCGAGATCAAGACCCCAGAATCCCCAACGACGATCTAGCAGACAGGCTTCCTCACAAGACCGACATGGAAGGATATTTGAAGAGACAGGCCCCGAGCAGGTGACGATTCGAGCTGTGACGCCGGAGTTTGGAACGGGAAACACAACCACTTTTCGCAGTGCCTCCTCCGACACAAACTTGGTACATTCACCCGTTCTCCCCCCTCCCAGAACTCGTGGTTCACAGCGCAGGAGAGAACATTCTACTTCGGTATCAAATACAGATGAGGAAAACACAATCGAAAGACGTCGCCGAAGAGCGCAGACTCGGTCTGGTACAAAAGAAGACCCCCCTCTAGACTCTTCACCGAATTCTTTTATATCCAAAACTCGCAAGCGTCTAGGATCCATCACTACCACGGGTGCTCTAGGACCACGTGAGAATGATGGCCACGGCTCTATAGGATTTCCTTCTGTGGTTCAAAGTCCAGACAGTTTCGATCAGAATGACAGTAGGCGCCCTCCACGGACTCCACGGCGAGCCTTTTCACCTGAGGATATGCTTCCCATGTCAGCCACCAGCCTCCATTCGCCAAAGTTACTGGACATTGATTCGGCAAAAATTCTTCATTTGATGAAGACAACCTGCGGTCGTATGCATGGAATCCTGTTCTTCAGACCCCTCCATACTACTGCTTGGGCATCTGGTTACTGCGCAATCAATGTGGCACCCGGTAGCCTTGTATGTCAAACCAAAGGCGAAGTATCCCAGAGCAAAACCTTACTCCCGGATCTGAGAGGATGTACCGTCAGAACTCACTATGACTATGAAACACAAAGTACGTACTTGAGCGTGTTGATCGCATCTACAGGAACTGGCTATCAATTGCGGCCGCCAGTGCCAGAAACTTTTGACTCGTGGCTTGCAGCCCTTCTCTGCTGGCAACCACTAAGGCCAAAGGGAATTCACAATAAAATGTCCAAACCTCAACCTACTGGTCTAGCCGACAAGAAGCAAGTGTCTCAGCGAAGGGTCTCGTCGGATATGACAAGTCCGAAGAGCACCGCTATCGTCAAAGTCGGCAAGATGGTACTTTGGGATGGACCATTACCTTCAGGCTCTCAAATTGGACCAATCTTTACCGGCCTGGGCCAGCCGCTCTCCGAGGAGACCAACCTTTGGCGCAGGGTCAGCAGCACCCTGCATGAAAATGGCCTGTTTCGTCTTCTAGACGAATCCGACGCGACAGTTATATGTGCGACACAATTGTCACAGCTGTCGCGTTGTGCTGTACAAAGGCTAGACGACAGTGTTCTGAGTGTGCCGAATTGTATTGCAATATATCCTCAGTATCGAGTACAGCCAGCAGCAACAAGAATGTCGCGTCCAATGGTTCTCTGTTTTGAAACCAGTGCCGCCTTCCAAGCGTGGTTTGTACTATTGCGAGCCTTGACGGTGCCTGAGTTGTACGGCCCAGAACAAATCCGGTCAGAGACTTCTCAATCTTCTCCACAGAACCCGTCACAAAACGGAAAGAGATCATCCACACGTGACATGTTTCGCATAGAACGCTCGCTCACTGTGAAGGTCACAGAAGCGAAGTTTGTTCATCGATTTCCTTCAACTCAGCAATACGAGTCCACCAATTCAAAGGGCAAATCCTCAAAAGAAGACCGAAGCAAAGAAAGTGTTTATACAGAGATTATAGTCGGGAAAGACTTACGCGCACGGACCACCACAAAACAGAGTGCTTCAACGGCCTTTTGGGCCGAGGAATTCACCTTGGAGGACCTTCCACCTTCCTTGACAAAACTTGTATTGGCTGTTAAGATCGCCAACCCTGCCGAAAAGGAGTGGACTATGGTCGCTGATGTTCTGTATGATATTTCTGCTGACGCTGGGTATCTATCCGGCCTTGGAGGCTTGGAAATCTCTTCTCATGATCCCATATTTGGACGTGTCGATTTACCGATAGACGAACTAGAGAACCAAGGTCCAGTCGACAAATGGTGGCCACTGCTTGACAACAATGATCAAGGAGTTGGTCAGCTTCTGGTTCGAGTCGTTTTACATGAGACGGTCATACTGTTGGAAGAGGAGTACAAAGAACTTACCTCCATGCTTCGCAGTTTTTCTAATGGTCTAACAACTCAGATCGCTGCTCTATTTGGTCCTGATCTTCGACAGCTTGCGGATATTCTTTTAGACATTTTTCAAGCTGAAGGTACGGCTCGTGACTGGATCAGTAACTTGGTCGAAGAAGAGATTGATGGGATTTACAAAGAAACGCCGCCCATGCGGATGAGATTTAGTGGTCGCATACATTCCAACGACTCTTATGAATCTGCCGAACAGCGCGAGATGCTGGTCAGAGACCTCAGCCGATCGGCGACTATGGAAGCCAACCTCCTCTTCCGCGGAAATTCTCTCGTAACCAAGGCTCTTGATGCCCATATGCGAAGGCTTGGTAAAGACTACCTTGAAGAGGTCCTTGGAGAGAAATTGCGAAAGATCATGGAACGTGACCCTGACTGCGAGGTCGATCCCAATCGAGTCCGCACTCAAGAACAATTGGACAAGAATTGGGCGAACCTGCTTTTTCTCACCAGCACTATCTGGAAGTCGATCCATGTCTCTGCTTCTCGTTGCCCGGTAGAACTTCGCCTGATATTTCGTCATGTCAGGTCCTGTGCTGAGGACAGGTACGGCTCCTTCATTCGAACAGTCAAGTACACGAGTGTCTCAGGATTCTTGTTTTTGCGCTTCTTTTGCCCGGCTATTCTGAACCCGAAACTCTTTGGGCTCATAGATGGTAAGCTTTGATCTAATGAGTTTGAGCTGACCATAGCTAACATATATAGCTCTGCCTCCTGATCGGACAAAGAGGACATTCACGCTAATTGCCAAGTCTTTGAATGTCCTGGCAAACACGGCAAAGTTTGGAACCAAAGAGCCATGGATGGAACCCATGAACAAGTTTCTTGCTGCGTCATCGAATGAGTTCAGGTCGTTTGTTGACGAGATTTGCGCAGTCAGCTCATCGCAAATGACATCTGCAAATCTTGAGCCCCAATTCGCAGCACCGAATCAGATAAGGAATCGACTCCCTCCTCTCTCTCGAGAAGGACTACCATGCTTGCCATATCTCTTAGACCATGCCAAGCTCATGGCTCAACTCGTCGACCTCTGGATCGATCGCGCCCCGGAAAAAGTCGACATGATCGAAGACGACTCGATTCGAGCATTTCATACACTTTGCGTTAAGTTGGGACAAAGGAGCAAAGATTGTCTCAAAGCAGCAGAGCAAGCAGAACGACCTGATGAACAACAAGCCGAACCTAGCTGGCAAAGGGCCCTCAGTGATCAGCAGAAGGCTGGACGAAATAATCAGCTGGAAGATCAAATGATGAGAGCACGAATAGAGAACGAGATAACCGCTCTTCCTCAGACCGCAGATGCGCTTACCGAAGTTGAATACAAGCACACCGAGGTTTCCCCTGTGGCAGGAGAAGGGGACACCACTCCTTCAAGCTCTGCTTCCGTCGCTTGGGATCGCCGAATACCCTTCCCCCATCGTGGAACAGAGGCCCGCGCTTTGACGAACTCCACGAATTCGTCTACGGCCTCACTTGAAGTTATTGACGAAGTCCGGCCGAGGGCGCTACCAAACAGTCGCGACGGACCCTCCAAGAACAGACTGTTTGATCTGATGAGCTCTTCTTCTCGTAGAAAGGGAAAGGCAGGAGATGACAATCTTGAATGACCATTATGAACAAACAAGCATAACGACTCGATGCCCAATGATACCCAAGGCATGTATAAGAGGCACAAAATATTCTTTAGAGATGGCCAGGAGTCTTTGCGCCATTTTAGCAAGCAGCCACCATGTCTGTATTAAATTCAACAAAGCTCAGAGTATGACATCGTCATGAGACTCAATGATCCTTTATGAGTTCCATAAGCGTACCTCGGGCAGAGTTTCCCAAGGCTACTCATCTTGTCTTTTGATGTCCTGCCTGCTACGTGTTGCCTCCCTAGCCTCCCCTGGTGCTTCAGAAGCATACTGATTTATACATTATCACCACCATCCCTTTCAGTGGCTCGGCTCTTCATACCAATTTCGAATTGATCAGAACTTTAATCACATCATGAATACTTTACAATTGACCGAAGTAGACAACATTCGATAAGAACAACGGCTAGCCACCGTAATTGTCATGTCGAGCTATCCTTGTCGACACCTGCAATTATGCTCTACTGTCTCCAGCTTGTCGTGGCTTTTCTAGTCTCACCAACATCCCCCTTCGCTCACTGTTGCTTTTATAGCAATCTTCCTATTGTCCCTCTTCGCAAGGAGATTACGCGACATTATTGAACGGTCTCTCACTCCGCGTGCGTGATTCAATGCTAGTCCCTCTCAGGACGTGATGCCGCCGAGCAGTGAATGACCGTGTCGGCGACTAACTTAACCCTCCTGCGACTTCTCTTCGTTCTACTCCTTTGCACTCTACACTTTTTTCTTGCTAAATTTCTATGAGGCAGTCAAAATCAATGGGCGCAGTTTGTTCTCCTCATTTCCACCTTTCTTTCCTACTTCTCAGTCGGCCTTTTCTTGTGCCTTTCCCTCCTCAACCTTCCAACATTGTCTTCTCATAAGAGCACTTTCTTCTCTCACATGCCACTCAAATCTGTTGCTCTACCAGAAACGTACGCAATGACCTGAGCTCTTAACACCTCCAGCTTCCCTCTTCTTCTATTGTGTTCTTGGTTCTTCTTCGTTGACATTACAACACAGAGTCTGTGTGGGAATCTTGCGTGGCGCTTCGAAGAGCGAGACATGCTCAATGATTTCTGCTGAGATCATCCACCGGTCTTTACCAGTTTCCAGATCATCTCGGGGAAAGCAGATTCAGCAAGACGACACTGAAATTTTCGTCAATCCTCATTCTACGAACATCATTACCGACACACTCTTCCCCCGGGCTTTGATCGTTGCTTGGAACGAAGAGAATTGATCCCAATGAACAGTGTTTAGGCTCTGTCTTTTCCTTACAAGACCTTGTCAACAACCAGTCAAACATCCTCTCGCTTGTTATTTTCCATCTCTCAGAGAAAACATGCACTTTGTTTCCCTCGATTGATCGGCCATAAGCCCACTAACAGCCCTCACATTGCTCTCATATCTTTCCCTCAAATGCGGTTCGACTTATGTGCAGGCACAATGCCAGCACGCCGTGTCTGGATCGAGATTAGTGATGATGACGATGAAAATTATGAGTACCCAGACTCAGCAGGAATTGACGACGAAGAAAGTGAAACGTTCTCCGAGACCTCTATGAATGAGGACGCGGATTCAAATGAGCAAGATAGCTGTGATGAGACATCCTCATCGGGAAGTGAGAATTCAGATTCACACATAGATGATCTTGATCTTGATCAGGAAGTTGCAGAGCTCCAGGATGGCATGCCAGAATCCTCAGATGACGATGAAGAGGAAGATTCTCTAGAGCCCGATGATACTCTCGCCGATGATACAATTGAGCTTAGGAAATCTCTTCAAGCCCTTCAGACGAAAGAAGCATTGCGCATAGGCTATCCTCCAGAGTTTTGGGCTTCGACGCCAATACCATATGTCGACGAAGGTTCGGCTTTGGACGATCTTATGCTAGCAGCAGGGAATGATGCTCCTATGGACATAGATCCTACAGACGATTTCCCTGACTTTATCGCTACGGAACTTGACGATTTCTATGTCTATCGATCACGACGGCATCCGCACCGCGGTGGCTTTCAAGGGCAATACGAACGGCTTGACATTGTCGCGAGTGAGCCTGGACATCATCATTGGGTATTCTCTGGTGTGGTAAAAGACCGAAAGCAACAAAAACAACGCATCACAGGCTACGTCCATGGTATCAGTATTAGAAATATTGCAGACCTCAGCGCGCACACTACAGCAGGAGCCATCTGGCTGAGAAGCGAGATCGGCGAATGGAAAGATTGTTGGTATCAGCTCCAGGAACCCTATTCGGGCTACCGAATGTTCTGGGTGGATTTTCTCTGGCTATCAGACTTCGGGAAACTCTTCAACGACTACCTTCACGAATCATCGAAGCTCAATAAATTGGTAACGCTGCGAGACTTTCGGTCTAACTTCTGGACTCAGATACAAGAGTGGCATGGGGCTGCTCTTAATAGTTGGTATCGACAAAGACAGCGCGACCCGAAACAGACAAGAAAGCCGCTCGATCTAAGAAAAGATGTGGCTCTGTACAAGGACTTCCTTCGCCATCTTGTCTTCACTTCCCGTGGTGATACTGAGAGCCAAAGACGTCATCCAGTCTGGGATGAAATTGTTGCATTCGAGGTCGATCCGCAAAGTACATCTAAGGAAGAGAAGACCGTTGTCACTAGAAATGTGGCTAGATGCTTCCAGGAGACGTTCTCTCACTGGCAAAAGAAGTTTCAACTTCTAGAGGTGGTTGACATATCTCCTCAAGTGGAAATCTTTCGAGAAAGCCGTCGTCGACACTACGGGTTTCCCGATAAATTATCGAACCAGAACGCAGGCTTTTCTGGAGATTCAGATTCAGATAGCAAAATCTCTCTTGTTGATCATTTGTTAGAGAAAGCTGGGATACAAAATTCTAGGCAAGTTCGCCTATACGGTGCTCTCAAGAATAAAGTCGTTATAGTTCGCGTCGACAATGACAAACGAAATGAAGTCGACTTTTGTTATGCGTGGGTCAGAGAAACTATATCACCGACAAAAATCCGCGTTGTGTGGCTTGTTCGCCCATTCGAAACACTTTGCGGAGATGGGTTCTATCCTCGAGGAAATGAGCTCTTCTTTAGCTCTAGGTGCAATTGCGAGCCTGTTTCTATCCATGACGTGGTGGAGACCATAAATGCATCAATATTCAGTGGCCAAGTAACTGATGATACTAAGTTATTTGTCCATGGTCTCTTCAACGAAGCTCAGCAAGTCCATTTAACTGCAGATCCAACGAATGTGGTCTGTCATTGTCAGGACGAATCCTACGAAGATCCAAGAGAAGCGGCTAAGCAATATCTACCTCACGATTCCTCACAGAATACACTACCGAAGCTAAAGGCCTTATCTCTATTTAGCGGCGCGGGTCTACTTGCTTGGTCGATGGCGAGGAGTGGATATATCCAAACTGTGGTTGCGATTGAGCAGTCGAAGCTAGCAGCTGCTACTTTTAAGGCTAACGATGAGCTCGACCAGGTGGAGGTAAAGCACGCTTCTGTTAATCCTTGTCTTGCTGCGGATTTGCAGAGCAATAAGTCGCTCAAAAATTTTGATCTAATCGATGCGGGGACTTCCTGTAAAGGTTTCTCACTACTGAACGCCCTCCAGTCATCGAAGAATTCCCAGCAGCAGCAGTCACTTCTTGCAAATACACTCTCATGGTTCGAACTCTATCTGCCAATTTACGGGATAATTGAGAATGTACCAAACATGGATAGCGGTTCCCCAGGCTTAAATCCGTGTGAGCAAGCAATTTGCGTCCTGGTAGCTCTCGGTTACCAAGTACGCAAGATGACAATTACAGCATCAACGTTAGGCGGTGCTTCATCACGCAAAAGGTTGATTATCATGGTCGCTGCACCTTACGCTGAATTGCCAGATGATGTCGCCGAGACTCATAGTGAGATGGGTATGCCCCGGACAAGGACTTGTAAGGATGTTATCTCTGGTTTAAGTCCCATCAAAAACGACACAACTCTCAATATTGCCGATCCATACCATGTACCCTTGCATCGATTTGGAATCAATTGGTCGAAAGGTGTAAATCTGCGCGATGTCGTCGAGAGAATCCCGTCAGAGCCACCAGGACTTGGTCTCGCACAGACGGCAGGAATGGGTCTATTATCCCGATCTCAGAAGACATGGTTCCAAGGGCTTACTGACTGGCAGAGGGACCCCAAGAAGAAGACCTTACGCAGGATCAACAGGAACAAACCGTTCCACACTATGACCACTCATATCGACCCGTTGGATGCTAAACATAGCGGGCAATTTCTCCATTACGAGCAACACCGCACCATCTCCTCGAAAGAAGCAGGAATGGCGATGGACACCCCCAACGATTTCCTAATTATGGGAACCATCAAGCAGCATTACAAACAACAAGGCAATGGAGTCGCCTGGTCGGTTGGTGGTACGGTAGCTAGGAAGCTTCGAAAGGCTTAGAAGGCCACTCTCATCAAGCGCCCGGAGCTGGCTAGCCCACCCACCGAGAAGAAAATAGTATCTTACTCTACGACGAATGTTACTCCTTCCAATGTCCCATCACCTCACTACATGCAACGAGCAGCACCCATATCAGCTGAATCAACCGCCACACCGCCCGCACTCCACAAGGCGGTCGATATCGGTTATAAAAACTCGACACTGCGGACCAGTAGGAAGAGACAACGACCTGCTTATGTTGACGAAGATGACTCGGACATCGAGTTCATAGGTTCAACGCCAGTCCGAAAGCAGGTTGATCAAAAACGAAGAGATGGTTGAACATCCGCCGAACGCTCTTTGTGTCTCAGAATGACAAAAGCAACGATGTGTATGGAAGACCAGGCATAGTCTCCTGACTGATCAGTTCGTGGCGCCAAACGTCTTGGTATGAAGTGTCAGACTCGGCGTGGGACGGGGAAAAGCCCACAAGGGAGGGAGAGATGAAACCTAAACACTCTTGTATTCTAGATAGGTAGGAGACACCTGTGGCTGCAAAGCCCGTCACTGGTAGACTTGAACGTCTGCGAATGAAATGTGGTCGTTCGGAATGACTCGGTGTATAGAGTATAAATGATAATCCATTAAAGAAGCTCAAAATTGATCAAATGCGATCAGCATTGTCATAATCAAGGAAACATTGCTAAGCCTGTAGGGTGGAAGCAGCCATCCAAAGTCAATCGGCCCGGAAGGAAATCTAGCCCGGTACTGAATTCCATCAAAGGGATGCCAGCCTTGCCAAGCTTTCTACCGCTACCCCTGAGTTACACAAGGCTGTCGACTCTCTTGAAGACAGCCTCAAATATCAGTGCAAGGTCCCCAATCATGGCAATCCTGGCTAGCACTAGCACCTGACCTTAAATACTGAATCATGCTCATTTTCCCAAGCGTCGACTGATCAATACATCTAGGGGGCATCGAAACTTGCTCACAAGTGCCGCTAGCCCCAATCTGGAAGTTGACCACTTCAAGTTCAAGTTCTTGGAGGAAAAGTCCTGAACTTTGGGGCTCTCTGTCCCGTGACCAAATCATGCGCTTTCAGTCGTAAAGCGCTTTGAGATTCCAATCTTCAGAGACAGCTTGACGCCTCCTGAAGACACAAGAGACGTGGCAAGGTCTCAACCAAAATCGCAACCAAACCTTTTGTGCCAGATCTCGCAAGAAAGGTACATGTCATGCAAGTCATGCCACCCAAGCTTTGCCAACGGGCGCTGGCTAAGTGGTACGGAGCAGAAACTTGCTCGACGACGCACCAATGCCAGTTGCGAAGATCGCTCGAAAGTCGCGTGCTGCAATCAATCACGTCTCCAATCTTGCGCTAAGCGACTTGAGTTTGTGCCTGCCGTCGTCAAGTCTAGACTTTTTCTCCTTGCCCTAGCATTTTGGCACCTTTATACCTAGCCTGCATCCTCCCACTTGGTAGATTGGGCTCTACACTGGACAAATTGGCACATGCACTCATAGCTTGGTTCACGCCACCATTGTCTGCTTGAGCTAATCAACATTCCGCTTGCGATGATCCATGAGCACGATACCCCCGTGCTATCACTCCTACTAACCAAAGCGATGGTGGAGTTGAAGCTGAACTCCATGTGGTGCTGATATATACTTAGGTCGACGAAGTCGCCGCGTGAGCAGGTTTGGGGCTTTTACTGTTGTTATCCGTCTTTCCTCAACTCTACCTCATTTTTGTCTCCTTGACCGTAGGCCTATTGCGCTTCTCAAGATGGCTTTCGGGTTCTCATTATTCGCATTGTGTGTAGCATTTAGCGCCTTCGTCACGGCGCAAGACCTGAGCATCACTGACGCGCTCAAGGGCCACGCCGAATTGTCCAACCTCACATACTACCTTACAAAATCCCAGGATTTCGTGACATGGCTCGGATCTCGTGAGAATATCACCTTGCTAGCACCAAATAACCAGGCATTCAAGTTGTTGGCCGGGACAGCAGATATTGCGAATGTCGAAGTTGATCAGGATGGGCTCGAGGCTCTCTTGAAGTATCACCTCCTGAATGGCACCTATTCGACCTTCGGGTCCGGAGAGTACGAAAGTATACCATCCCTCCTCGAACAACCCGATTTTACCAACGTTACTGGAGGTCAAGTGGTTGTTGCCAAAGCCTCAGCGACTTCCAACACGACAAGATTCTATTCTGGACTGAAAGAACGATCGTTCACTGTTGGCTCTGCCATCCAGTTCAAATCTGGCATCATTCATGTCATAGATAACGTCCTCACCTTGCCTCAAACATTTACGGACACCGCTGAAGATCGTTTATTCCTCGTCGCCGAGCCCTTCGCCGATGCACAGATCGCTTTTCCTGATTCAGCGGTGACAAAAACTTTGGATGAGCTCTCAGACATCACTGTTTTCTTGCCAATGAACCACTCTGTCAGGGAGGTTGGCAATTTGATCGAAAAGATGAACAGAAAAGACTTCGATCGAATGATTGCCTACCACACTCTAGATCAAAGATTGGTGATCGAGCCCGAGGCACCACCTGCGGGAACATACAAGACACTTGAAGGGTCAGATGTGACAATATTCCAAGCAAACGGCCATGTATTCGTGAACAGTGCTAGGATCGTCAGCTCGCCTGACTGGCTCTTCACTGGAGGAGTCATATACATCATCGACGGGTGAGATATACCACCTTGATTCCATAATCTTACCGAGCTAACAAACCGTCCAGAGTCCTCAATCCAGACAACCGTACGGTCGATCAGAATGCTATCCAAGATTCCCAGATCGCATATACTGGCGCTTCATATACCGAGGAATTCGAGTTCCCGGCACCGTCACAATCCAGAGGTTCTGCCAACAACAATGGTTCAGGAACAGGCTCCGGCTCAGATGACCAGACTAGCGAGTCGAAGAGTTCCGGTGGCCTTTCGAAGGGAGCCAAGATTGGCATTGCCGTTGCGGCCGCGGTCGTGGGTCTTGTACTCATCGGAGCATTAGTAGCGTTCTTATTCATGCGTCGCCGTCGCGTCAGTTCGAAGGGGCACCAGCAATTGGGAGGACTCACCAGGCCGGAATATCCCATGTCGGAATTTACTCCTTCACAGAAGGACCTCACGAGTGATGCGGCTGCGCCTGGTTCGAGTCGATACTGATGCTCCTGATTGCGCAAATATCCGTTTTTGTGCCTCATTTTGAGCTTTGGTGTTTTCGTCTTGTTAGTAGACTTGGGGGATCTGGTTTCGGCTCATCTTGGAGAGGGTTGTGGTTTGATCAGCTAGCGACACGCCACAGTCGAGGATTGAAGAGGTTGCAGTGGGCAGGATGTTCATCATTCGTCTCTTATTTCCATTTGATATACGTCGCCTGCAAGCAGCAGTATCAACGGCTCCACGATACAGAAAGTCTCCATTATTGGACTGACATATTTCTCAATTATTAATGGGCAGACAGGGCGGAAGGCTAATTCATTATTAACTTCATCCACACTGGTTCCAGGCCATCCACACCACCATACGATATTGGATATGAGTAATATTGGATATGAGTACTATCTGGGCGTCCTGGTACATGACACGAGTGTTCCAAAAATATAAGTGCTCAGTAATTCTTGATCGTAATTTTTGGCCCAGGATACATATTCCGATGGTGAATCCACCTTGTTGACACGATCGTTGATTGTAAGTTTTAGAGCGGAGATATCTGTCGAACAGCGAGGCGTCGGCCGAGTAAGTGGGACTGCCTGCACTTTTCGATCGCGTTATTGGAAACCTCGCTTTGTTCAAAGTCTCTTCTTGCATTGGTGATTATGGGTGCTGATCGAGGTTCTGAAACGCCTGCCTGTAGCTAATTGGATCTTCTGCAAGGGTCAAACATTGCGAAGTCTGGGCCGACGGTGTTTTCGGTTTTCTCTTATGCTCCGGACATTGGATTCAGCAAACAACTGGTGCCTGTTGTCGACATCGGTGATGGTGTCTCGAGGCTTGATGCATGTCCTGCTAGTGTTCGAATCACCTGGCTTCTAATTTAATTCTGATTGTTACCTGAGTAGCCGCACGTATATAAATCAAGTCGCCGCCAGGTTTCTCAGTAACATCTAGTGCGTGATGAAATTCGCTCTATCTGGATCTGCTCTATCTCTTGGAAAGTCACAGATGCGTCTTGATCGACACATTCTTGCCTTTTTGTCAACGTTCAATCACAACCTTGTCCCTCGAGGAAGTCGAGGATTAAACACAGACTTCATCACCAGCCACAGAACCCTCAGCACTAGCTCGAACCAAGACCAGAGCTTGAGATCGTCCTCGCCAATGCCTCTCAAAGTGCTCATCGTGGGCGCAGGCATTGCCGGCCCAGCGCTTGCGTCGCTCTTGCAAGGTGCCGACCCGAGTCGCAACATCACAGTCGTGGAGCGGTTCCCATCACTGCGCACGGCTGGCCAGCAGATTGATTTGAAGAACCAGGCGGTCCCGATCTTGAAGAAGATGGGTCTCTTTGAGGCTGTCGCCGCACAGTGTGTCAATGAAACAGGCGTGCAGATTGTGGACGCACAAAATCAGGTCATCGCCCAGTTCGGGATTAGTCCGTCCGGTCAGAGACGACGGACGTTGACTAGCGAACACGAGATCATGCGCGGCGACATGGTCAGAGTGCTGTACGAAGCTAGTCTCAAGCAGGATGCGAAACTGAAGCAAGAGCTCGGTGATAACAAAGGAGCATTGACGTACGATTTCGGTAACTCGGTTGAAGGGCTCAGCCAGGACAGTGAGGGTGTGGATGTGAAGTTCTCAGATGGAAAGACCGGCCGATATGATCTTGTCGTCGCAGCGGATGGCCAAACATCTCGGACCAGACGTCTTGCGTTTGGAGAAGCCGAAAACAATGCAAGTTTCAAATCATTGGGGATTCATGCCGCCTATTACAGTATGCCGAGGGCTCAAGGAGAAGGGTCGCTTGCCAAGGCGTATATGGCGCTGGGGAGCAGGATGATTGTGACGAGGAACAGTGAGCAGCCAATGACGCAGGTGTTGCTCTTCACTATGAAGGACACCGAAAAGCTGGGAGCCATTTACAAGGAATCGCTAGAGAAGCAGAAGCAGGCATTTGCCGAGAATTACGAGGATGCTGGCTGGGAAACAAGTCGACTCTTGAATGGTATGGACGCCGCAAAGGACTTCTACTGTCATGAGATGGGCCAGATCAAGATGCAGCAGCTGCATAAGGGGCGAGTTGTTCTCGTTGGAGATTCAGGTTACTGCCCGACACCGTTTACAGGCATGGGAGTCACGGGCTGTCTCACCGGCGCATACCTCCTAGCTGGTGAACTCTCAAGACAGGGCGAAGATGTGGACAAGGCGCTTCAGTCATACAATGAAATGATGCGACAGCCTATCGATGAGTGCCAGCAAATGTCAACAAGGTTGATGGGATTCGCTTTCCCCTCTTCGCGGTTGGGGCTCTGGAGCCTGCAAACTGTTCTGTGGGCCACTTCCAAGCTTGAGCCGTACGCTTATCGAGGACGAACACAGGACGATACGTTTTGGAGTCCACCAGATTACCCTGAGCTGAAACTGAAGCCTGAAGCTGGACTCTGATAAAAGGAGAGGGAGGCTATGCGAAGAATCTTGATCCAACTGATTTCGTTGTAGTACGAGTGGTTGTGTGGTCTTTCATCTCGAACATTTTAATTTGGAAGAAATCTCTGCTCAAATGATGTTTAACGAAACATAGGTAGACGGGCTTTGCCAGTAGATCATTTTGATCGAAGGCCAAAAAAATTGATAGTCGAACAAGGATATATAGATAAAGTTGTACAGCACTGGATTGTGCTGGCGTTGTGCTCCTCAGAACGTTATTCTCACCAATTGTCCAGCTGGAATTATGCAGTAGCTGGTAATATAACACGCGGAAACGCTGGAGACGACAGATATGGTTGTAAAAGCGGTTGTTCTGAATCGTCTCACCAAGTATGAGAGTCCATTCCAGTAGGAGAGCCTGAAGGTTCGTGTAGTGAAAGTTGATCATCGATGATCTGCATCCACTCTTGAATTCTCGCAAACCAAAGGACCTGTTCATGTCTTCCCCACCAGTTGGTATTTCTCCCAGTTGACACGCTATTCTCTTTCACTCCTGTTTCCCTCATACCAGCTGCACGCTCGTCAACAATGTGGCGGATGAGGCGAGCGGTCTCCTCGTTGAACTCGACACCACTGTTTTGCATTTCTGAAAGAAATTGGTGAACTTCACGAAGCGATGAGTTTCTCTGCCACCTCAAGGCAATGAGAGTATTATAGAATTGTGTAGAGGCACCGAGCACATAGCTTGTGTGGCCAAGCTCACGAATACGAGGGAGTAAGTTGAATGCGAAATGAGACGAAGGGAAGGTCTTTGCAAAGAGCCGAAGGGCAAAGAGCAGGACAGCGGGATATAGATGGTACAACACGGCGCGAGCTTGGCGAGACTCTAGCCGAAGGCTCAGCTCTTCCTCAGGACTGTGAATTGCCAAAGGCGGCGTTGCATTGATCTTACTGGAGGCCTGGCGGTTTTCTTTGGCGTCAAATTCTGCTCTGTGGCGTTTTTGTTCCTTTTCAAGAATTTCCATAGGCTTATCAGACTTCTCTGCGGTGAAAACGAATTTTGAAGGGCCTAAAAACTTGGGTGGCTGATAAACTGGCTGTTGGGGAAATTCTGCACCAAGAGGGAATATTTTGGCTTCGCAAGCATGCCACAATGCTATGTCGCCAGGCTGCTGAGTGGACCCTGCGGCTTGTCGCAGAGCATCGACAATTTCGTGCATCCTCCGATGTACAATTGCCATGATGGCGGGGTCATGTGTTTCGCGAGACGTGGAATTTGTGGTAGATAACGATTGGTCATTATCATGAGAAAATGGTTCTGGTTGCACAAGAAAAAAGCTGGGTGAGACCGTGTGCTTTTGAGATTTGGTGGAAGTGCCGAATAACTTCAGGATGTTTTCAACATTGGTGTCACTAATGTCGACAAAAGCGGACTGGATTTGAACACTCTGTGGAGGTTTGGAAGAGCGAAAGATGCGCTCAAAAGACTTGGCCTCCGATTGGGTGATGTTAGACGGGACGTGAGCACTGTTGTCGTCGTTGACGATGAATGAACCCTTTTTAGACTCAGAGGACCGGGTCTTGGGTCCAGACCACGGTGTCTGTCTTCGCAGCCGAGACTGTTGAATATCGGCCTCAATCTTGAGAGCCGATGACTCTGAGCTCAAACATTTCTGAAGCGTATAGGCGCGGAGTCTAGTGACCGGTCTATGAAGAATAGTGCGCGTATGATACAGAAACGACAGCTGTGGTTGAGTAGCCATGTGGTGGAGAACGTGAAAGACTGGCTTCTGGTGAACAGAGAACATGAAGGCGACAGGGGCGGAAGAAGTCAATCGAGAACTTGAAAATGATATCCCAGTCACGTGGAGATAGGGATCCTATCATGTGGCCTCGGAGGTTTGACTTGGCGGGAACCCGGGTGGTAATGGTCGAGTCACGCGTCTCTCATACCTCTGCCCGATGATGGTGCCACTGGGGACGGACTCGTTATTAGTGGCCACTCTGTGAGCACCTGCAGCCTAAGATGCAGCCTGGAACGGCCTTGGAGAAGGGGGGGTAATAGGTAAATAGGGCACTGTAAGATGCACCCACGATTATCGACTGACCCCACCATTCACAAGTGCCTTGACCTGCGCATGCCATTCAATCAGTGCCTGACCTCGACGCTAATCCGCCCGCACCACTGACACTGGCACACTCTGCATGGCCTCATTGATAAAGACCATAACACCATTGACACCATTCCTCGTAACTCTCCCATTCAACCACTCATCTGTTTCGCAATCGCCAATTCATCCTCTATCTATCCTCGCCATCTACCGATATCCCCCGTCAACATCCTCCATCACGAGTCCTACACACCACCGTTCGTCTATCTCAGAATCCACCCCACGCAGCCTACCACATTGAACCAGACCGCACAGCCCGCCCGTGGGGAAGCCTGTCGCTGTCCTTGTCCTTGTGCTCGTGATTCTACTCCATCATCCTCACTTCCGCTCCGTCTCTACGCGCTTCGATACTGCCGCATGACTCGTGCCTCATATCTCAGATCATAGCCTGACCTCTCACTGAAGTCACTGCTTTCTGCTCGACCTGCTCTTCTTCGCACCTCTCACGCGCAGAGACTCAGGAACCCCAGACCTACCACGCACTGCGCAAAGCTGAATACCATATCAGGGTTATGAATCGTGGGCACACAAATTCCATTTCTTCGCAGAACACCAGCTCTGCATTCCATTCCCAACTCAGAGGTCGAAACGACTTCGGTTCTGCAGGTGATAAGGCCGTCCCGGTCCCGGGATCTTCAGTCATGTATAGAAACGGCGTGGACAGGAAGTCCAGCATGGGGGCCAATGCCACACCATTGTTCGACCTCGCACGAAGCCCTCCCAATCATTCAGGCAACAAGAGTAAGTTGGCTTCATGTGTATCATTACAACCATCGGACAGACCGACTAACGTCAACTCCAGACACAAAACATGTCCCATGCAAGTTCTTTCGTCAAGGCGCCTGTCAAGCAGGCTCGGCATGTCCCTTCTCTCATTCAATGGATCCGATGAACCAGCAAGCTCCTTGCAAGTATTTCATGAAGGTACGTTAGAAAGGTTCTGTCTCAACCACTTGCTCTACAGGACTGACCACTGTAAAGGGAAATTGCAAATTCGGAGCCAAATGCGCGTTGGCTCATTATCTTCCTGATGGACGGCGTGTCAACAGAGCCGACCTCGATGCTGGCCTGGCCATGGCAAGTCGAAATTACAACTACAGCGGCCGCCAAGAACAAACTTCATACCATGCTCAAGATCCTAGCCTGGTCGACCCCATATTAGGTCCACCAAACTATGGTGCCGACTATTTCCCCAACCAAGCCTTTCCATTGATAGACACTGACGAGACTGATGGATTCCCGGACCGGTACAACCAGTATCAGCCTCGCTCCGCCTTTGACTCTGGTTTGAATTCACCCCCTACTTCTCAATTTGGCTCTCCTCCCAATGACAATCCATTTCCCAAATCTCCTGTTGACAACATTAGAACCGCGCTAAATGCCCCTCTTCCACAATCTTTTGATGCCAATGGCATATCGCACATCGCCAAGTATGGCCCCCTTGGTCAGTCGGTCCCTGACAAGTTTGGAATGCGATCGCCCGCGGCGTCTTCCCTTTCGAGGCAACTTGGTAGCCCGCCAGATTCCATTGTCAATGTTCGGAATGCCAACCTGGGTTCGAATTTGCGAAATGCTCCATCGCCCTTAGGCCTCTCGCCGCAGAATGTTGAGGAATCGATCGGACAGAGAATCATGCATTCTCAAAAGGCAATCAAAGCACGTGGATACTCAGCAAGTGTTCCACGTTCCAATCTTGGCAACGAATGGGGTGAAGGGTTCGGTCTCGAAAGCGATCTTCTACCCAACAGTCTGCACGATGAAGTCCTGACTCCTCAGGAAAAAATGGGGCGCTTCTCACGACCTGAGCAAGAAACAAGTTCCCGAGATCATGTCCATGCGCTAGCCATTCCTAGCGGTACATCGAGCAATGTGGGATCGCCCCCTGCAGGTAGTCCATCGCGGTTTAGTGCTCTCTGGGCGGAACAGCGAGAACGAAAGGCAGCTGAAGCCCCGGGAGCCACAGGATTTGGTCATGTTGGCTCACCACTACGAGGGTCGTGGATGCCTAACGAGCCTTCACCAAGTACCCAAGTCTCAGGCATCTCACAAGCAATGGCACGTATGCAGCTAAATAGAGCCGACTTGAGTGACATGAACGGGGCAAGAGGGCCAACAGGTAGCGTTCTTAGGCATTCCTCTGCCCCAATTGGCCGCCTTGACCGTGGTATCTCCAGTCCTGGTCTCAGCTCGAAGAAGATAGAAGAAGAGGTCGAAGGTGCTTTCTTTCCAATGGATGAAACGAATTGGTCCGGTCAATCACCAAGACTAACGCCACTGCGTGAAAAGTCCAACGGAGATTTTTCGCGAAGCAGAAAAGATTCCAACCTTGCCGAAGATGTTGGTGGGAAAGCTATGTGGGGCTATCGATCATGACAGAACCAAAATCACAGTCAATGCACATACATATTTGCACAAGGAATAGCGAAAATAATGAGACACGATGGAGTTCAAAATTTACAGCCCACTCAGGAAAATAGTGGTTGCTTTGAGAATTGCTTAGCGGATGACCAGAAATAAAAAATTGCATACCACCAAAACCAGGCGTTTGAGTGGAGGACTATTCCGGTAGGCTGAATCACAGGCACGGGTATCAGCGTTGGCTGGAAGTTTGTAAATCCCGGCCTCAAATCGAAGTAATTACCATGCTAGAGCTGTTTTACGTACAACATTTCATCTCAAATCTCCATGATCGCAATTGCAGAGAGCAGGGAACAGCGGCTTCTATCACACTACTTCCTTTGAATTTTACTTTAATGAACTTGTACACACATATATGTATATGATGGTTAAATGCCAAGTCCACACTTCTGTATACCATAAGTTGGAATGTCTTTGAGAGCGAGCACGTTTTAAAGTGATCATTCGCAAGGCTACACCACACCACGAGGCTGAGCAAGGCTCCCAAAACGACACTCCGATTGGCTCAACCCGCACATCCTTTAGGGTTTAATTTTTGGCTGTAGTGAATTCGATTCAACCTTCAACCTCGAAGTTCTAGGAGGCAGAGCTGGAGTCCTCTTCCTTTCCACTCCTTTTGCCAAACATTTCATCTTTCAAGGCATGTTGAGTGGTAGCCGTGTCAGCCGGCGGCTATGCTCAAGATGCCTTGGACATTTACTACCCACGGCAGCTAGGCATGTCTCCATGTCCGCTCGCCTTCTGAGTTCGGGTGAGTGAATCACCTGCGGTCACATTCTTTTGGTTGGGCGTTATCGGTGCTAACAATTCTAGCATCAGCGAATCCCGAAAATGAGCATATTTCCTCTACCCTACTGCAGCGTGCGCGTGCGATCGCCGCTGAACACAAGACCCTGTCGGTTGCCAACGCTGAGAACTATTCTATTGCCGCGGCGAAAAAACTCGGCGAGTTGGGCCCGATTTGCGAGACCTTGAAAGAGTGGGATCAGGCACATAATGTAAGATCAGCACGATCAAGACTGGCCATGAGAAGAGAAAGGGTGGAACGAACTGACAGCGTACTTTATACGATATCTAGTCCCTCCACGAGCTCCACGGTCTCCTCGGGGACCCATCCTCGGACGCTGAGATCCGCAGTCTCGCACAGCAAGACATTGATGAGACTCTAGCTTCGATCCCGGCACTGGCATCCCAGCTCAAGAACTCTCTCATCCCAGCACACCCATTCGCGAGCATGCCGTGCTTCATCGAGTTCCACCCTGGTGCCGGAGGAAGCGAAGCATCGCTGTTCGCCCAAACACTGCTGGACATGTACCGACAGTTCTGCGGGCGCATGGGATGGCCAACGACGCTGGCGGCGTACCAGTCTGACGGGGCCGAGGGGGAAGCCGGGCTGTCGGAGGCGATGCTCGAGGTCAACCACCCCGGGAGCTACGACATCCTACGCACCGAAGCAGGTGTGCACCGGGTACAGCGCGTGCCGGCAACAGAGAAGAAGGGCCGCACACACACTTCTGCAGTCTCGATCCTTGTGCTGCCCACGCTCCCGGCCCCCGGCGCCGACAGCGATCTGAACTACGAAGACCCAAACTCCGACTATTACGTGTCGATAACGGAGGTGCGGTCAGAGACAATGCGCGCGCGCGGCGCGGGCGGCCAGCACGTGAACAAGACCGATTCGGCGGTGCGGCTGACGCACATCCCCACCGGGATCGTGGTGGCGATGCAAGAGTCGCGGTCGCAGCATAAAAACAGGGAGAAGGCGTGGGCCGTGCTTCGTTCGAAGTTGGCGCAGAAACGGCGCGAGGAGCGCGAGGCCAAAGTCATCGCCGTGCGGCGCGAGGTCATGGGCGGCGTCAACCGCTCCGGTCGCGAGGATAAAATCCGCACATATAACTTCTCGCAGAATCGCGTGACGGATCATCGCAGCATGCGTGAGACACTCGATTTGGATGGCGTGTTGGCTGGTGGGGATGCTCTGGAGGATATTATGGATGGGGTCAGGGAGTGGATGGGCGAGAACGAGATAAAAGGCGTTCTCGCGGAGGAGGAGTTGAAGAGGAGGGAGGTGGAAAAGGAGAAGGAGCCAGAAGTGATGAAGGGCTGAAAATGCTCCTCTACGACATAATGAGCTACAATGACTCAAATAGAGAACAAATGAAAGGCGAAAGATAAGACACGGCGAAGTCAGATTGATGCTCTGAAAGATTCCCTCTCCAGTCTTGCACCAGCATTTCTCATTATTTTCTCATATCTGTATTCGTCTCGGGGCCACCCAAAGCCTTGAAGTTTGAGGTTTTCGTGCTTCGCTTCTCGACGCTGCTCCAGATGTATGTAGGACGTCATACTTCTCTAGTCCTCGCCTAGTTCCTCCTGGGTATCTTCTCAAAATGCCCGCTTCACACTATGTGCATTTGTGACGCGCCGATACAAGTGCTTGATCGTCCCCAAACCCCACAGAGAATTACGAAGGGTAATTTCGCAATTTCGTAAGATTTGCAGGTTGTGTCGTTTGTGTGTAATTTGTGCTTGATTTGATCGACCGCAATAGCCTCGGATATCATCAAAAATGACTCCATCTGGTATCCGATGTATCTGAACCCCGGTCGATAGATCCTGGTTCTATTACACCAGCAGTCATCTGCAAGCAAGTCCTGGTATGTGTTCAGGTGACTGATTTCAGAGGGTTCAACACCGGTCTCAACTGATACCATGATCAGTAGACACGGCATAAAACACCGTTGCTCTCCCTTCCTCCCCAGAAGCCGTCCCCAGTATCCGTATCCGGTAAATTTGTTTCGTCCTCTCACTACGGGAAATCGACCTCCTATTTAGCAACAGCGGCGCTCAAAACTTGCGTTCGGAAGAAGCCGCCCTTGGTCTTCTCAATCACCTGCTGGTATACTGATTGAGGTGGATGATTCATAACGACCGTGCCAGCCTGGTAATCGATCTTGGCGTCGACTTTGGTGTCACGGATGAGGTTGACGATCCATTTCTCGCCCTCAGACGATGAAAGACCTAGACGCGTAGATAGATCCCTGCAGAAAAGTGTTAGCATTTGGGGGTTCAAGGAAATGAAAAGCGGAACAGGGGCGGAAGCCAGCAATAACATACCCAATATCGATCCTCTGGTGGATCTTGCAGTAGAGTTCGGAAATAAGATGACGGGCGGAATCCATAAAGGCGTCTGCACTTGATCCTAGAAAGAAGTCTCCTCTAAGGATACCTTCTGCTTCGCTGAGTTTCTTCTGTGCGCCTTCAAAATCAAAATCGACATAGAGTGCTTTCACGAACTCGGTGACGGGGTCCTGGTACTCATAGACCTCCTGCTTTACCACTCTAACGAGATCTTTGAGTTGTTTCTGGTAGTTGTGTGAGTTGTTGAGGCGGGCTCGGTTGGTGATGACAGCAGCTGAGAGATATCGTAGGATCCAAGGGCACACGGTCTGAATCGAAGAAATATAGGCAGGGGAGAAGAAGAGCTCAGTAAGCTTTTCACGAGCAGGATCGTAGTTGAAGAATGGGAACAATGCATAGTGGACCAAAGATTCTCTGGCCGTCAACTGTGCTCGTGGGTTGTTGAACAGTCGTGTCTCAATGTGTTCCTTGACTTTCTCCACCTCTTCCAAGGCATTCTCCCATTCTTCGCCCAAGATCTCACAAACGAGTTTTCCCCATGTGGCCTTGACGACTTTGTCATTGTCGGTAGACAGGACTCGGAACCGGTAAAGTAAATCGGCGGCCTCTGGGTAAAGACCACATTCATACCGGAAGCGGCCAAAGTCGTATAGATTATCCACCATCTGCTGTGTGACACCATGTGACTCTTCGAGGAATTTCAAATTGGCTACTTTGTCACTTCGGAGTTGGGAGGTGACATTTTCATCACTGAGGAGGTTTGTGAGGTGGGCGGATTCTTCTTCGAACGTCGACAATTTACTGAGGACTTCTTCACGCTTCTTTGCGTACTCTGCAGGTGTGGAGTCGGTCTTGTTGATCTCTTTGTACAGGTTGCCAACATAATCTATCATGTTGGTGTTCTTGAGGAGATTGAATTCGGCGAGTTTGAGATCGTCGTATCGTTGCTGTGAGATGTCTTCCTCGCCGAGTTGATGTTCGAGGAGGGGAAAGATGAGATGTCGGTCCATGCGCGGGACGAGTTTCGCGAGGAAGGCATATTCGCCTGTCGGATCATCGATGGCACTCATGTTGGGATTCTGGGATTCCGAGTGCTGTTCTGGCAGGATTTGAGGCCGTTGGCGGATGGAAAGGGTGGGGTGTGTTGTGTGAGGCGGATTTTGTGAGCGAGCGAGGAGAATAGTTGCAGAGGGCTTGGCAGTGATGAATACCGAAGTTTGTAGAAACACTATGAATGGAAAATTGAAGGAGCCTTGATTACCCCAGGCTTTGTTTGTTACGAGCATAAATACTACAATTATCTACCAAGTCTTCGAGAGCAACCAGTTGGTGGCTCATATCATCATATGGCAGGTTTGACTGCACGATGTCCAACGACATTTTTCAGTGTGTGTCTCTCGGCTGATAGTCGGGACGAACGATTCTAGTCCGAACATGGTTAGCGGTAAAGCCTCGTCAGTCGCATTCTCACGTGATAACCCTTACGAGGCTGAAGTCTATTTCGAGCCTAGTACAATTCGTCCTGGACGTCGTGTGTAAACCAGTCAAGTCTGACTCTGCAACTCGCCGCACTATCTGTATCTACTGTCCCAAAAGCGTCCCTCGCTTTAGCACAAGATGAAAGCCCCTTCGACGCTTTTACTGAGGGCGATGCTGCGGCCGCAGCAGCCTCTATGCCAAATACGATCAAAGTCAGATTGGATGCCCCGAGAAAAATATGCGAAAATCACATTGCTAGACAAGCTGCACAGACGGCAGAAGGATGCTATTCGGAAAGAACGTATGTGACTCATATCTCTTGCCAATTCCATGCCACCCGGTGTCTGACAGAAAACCATTTAGGCCAAGACAGCGAGCTACGTGCACAAAAAATAACCTCCCTTCCTCCGACGCAGATGGCACAACAGGAACAAGCCTCCGCGGCGACAGGCCCTGCGGCCTCTTCCAACGTAACAAGACCTACAACCACATTTCCTTTCCTCATCTCGCGCACAGCATCCAACAATATCCCGGTCTATGAGACCGCCAAAAACGGTGGAAACAGGCACATCACGTCGATTCGCAAGATCAGTGGTGACATCGAGAAGCTAGCGACCACGGTGCGTGACGCGCTGGAGCTACCGGAGCACATCGTCGACGTCAAGGGCCGCAAGAAGGACACGGTCGTCATCAATTGGACCACCAACCAAATCGTCATCAGGGGCTGGAGGGGAGCAGAGGTCAAGAAGTGGGCAGAGCTGAGTGGGTTTTGAGGGCACACAACGTGCCGCAATGAAGTAGATTGTCGACGTCGGCCGAGAGAGGGCAAGATGCACCGCAGGGGGTGAGCCACATTGCGCAGTGAGGTTTCGGGAACAGGTCTGCGAAAGCACCTTATGCGGTCTACCATTTCCGCCACTATAAGGAGGCGCGCTCTGAAGCAGCGAACGGGGATTTTTAAGACGCCTTCAACTCGTTCTATATCGATGCAAAGCCACGCGAAGCTCCGGAACTCCGTCAGAGTGGGAGTTTCTCGACGAGACTGCTCGATATCTTCGGTTGCATAGAAACAGCGATGAGGAGAGAGACTGGAGCTTGCAGACCCTATTTCTCTGGTCGCCACGCAAGGAACACCTGAAAATTCCTCAATGTATTACTTTATGAATCCGAAAAACTCTGAGAAGAGAGTAAACAGTGTATATGTTGTGAAAGAATTCAAGAACATTAATCAATGTTCTCATTGGCTTATTCTATCCTCAGGCATTCGAGGCTCCTCCTTTTGGAAAGAAAGGAAGTGTCGTACGTAGGTAATCTGTAGACCGGACTTGACCTGGGATACCTGAGTATAATTATGGAGACCTGACGGATATTGAAACTCACGAGGGATCAATCACAGGTACGTGGCTCCTCCGAAGGTGGACATGCCCTGACACCGAACCTTTCTTGAAACAACATTTGTGCTTTTGAGTGTACACATCTGTATCACACGGCACAGAAGGTACTAGTTATAATGGGAGAAACCAATCGGTTGATCTTGTGATCGGAGCATGATTCAGGTCAGGTACTTAATAATAAGACAATAGAACACACACTGGTATCTTCGCTTATACTTCACACAATCGACACATCTGCCCTCCCTTTTCTCTCCACCTAGACATGCCCTTTCTTCCGTCAGCAGTTTGCTTAGTTACCATCCCCAGTGGCATTTCTCCTCAGAAGATGATTTTCAGTCGTGGGGGAACGACGTCCTCGGACGATGCTAATTTTCTGTACAGTGGTCACGGATGAGTTCGCCCAGCATTTCATGCAAATCAGCGGAAGTCCCAACGCTGCAATCTTCAGAATACATCAGTTACAATAAACATGGTTGCGCATCTCACTCTTCCAGTCCGGCGTAAACACAGAGCTGGCGTAAAATGCCAGGATCAATGTCTTCTTGAATCATAGCTCCGAGCAAGCTTTCCTTCTTGGGCATGACACCAAGAGGAACAACAGTGGAACCATTCTCGCCAATCGTTCTCGACTTCTGTACAAGGGTCTTCAAAACTGCCATTGCTCGGTTGGACATCGCACCATAGCCATTGGCATCTTGCTCAGCGATATTTCGACTGTTTTGCTGTGATGCATGTCTTGGAGTTGCTTGTGATGTTCGAGCGGCGCTCACCGCACTCAGCAAACTGACCAGACGTAGAAGATTTCCGGCAAATCCGTCTTCAGACTCTAACCATGATCGAGCAAGTCCATGGTCGGAACCTGGAGCCAAACCAGCAAGAATTTCTGCAGCTAGCATACCCTGCAAAAGGAATGGCTTTCGAGCCTCGATGATCGTTCTCGTGTGAGGTGAGCCTACAGGAACTGAAGAGATAGCCAGGCCGAAAGTTCTCGTTAGGAGTTCGTATGGTGGTGAAGATTGACAATCGGCAGCAAAGATGGCTTTAAAGTAAGTTCGGTTCGGCTCGTCATGTGCGAGCAGTTTGGCGAGGCTGTCAACGGCCGAAGGCATATATTTATGCAAGGATGGAGTGTAGATTGTGAAAGATACCTTTGAGGTTGCACTTGATGTCGGCGCAGGGGTTGGTGCAAAAATAAGAAGGAAATGGAGGATACACAATGCCTCCTCTCGTCCAGGTAGTTCTAGGGATGTTGAGAGATTGCTGAGATAAATGACAACGTCTTTGACAAAATCTAGAGCATTTCGATTATTGCGTAGAAATGACTCTGTGGTACCCATTTGGCGGATTACAGTACTCAGGAGCTTCAGAATCTCTGGCTGGCCAAGCACTCCAAAATTAGGTTCATAAAAGGAGAAATTTCGGATCAGAGTGGTAATGCATATGAGCCGATCGGCTGCCCGTTCAAGATCATATAGCACTGTTCCAAATTGCGGTGGGTCCTGTAGTTGCTCCGTGTCAAGACGACACTGTCGAATGAGATCTTCATAGGACAAAAGCGAGATTTCATCGGATATACTCTGGGTGTGTTCACTAAGGTAGCTGACTTGGTCTTGTGCACAATCGATCAGAGCGTCCATGAGATCATCGCATTCTGCCAGCGCCAATTGGAATGATGACTCTGTCGAAATTGTGATCAGAGTGTCCAACGCTACTCGTGTATCAGCATGCAAACCAGACTTGATCGCCATAGTTAGAGCATGTACATCAATGATGCCAAGTTCTCTCGCAGAAGGAGCAACAGGTTTGAGCTCAGTAATGTGTTGGCTGAGGATGAAAACCTCCTCAACATTGATGGGTCCGTGAAACCTACTTGTCGGTAGAACGTCAGGCCTGAATGGCTCTTCGATAGGTCTGGACAGAGGTTTATTCAGGTCAATCTCGGGTTCAAGCGGTTTAGTACTGGCAGTTTGAGGACGTTTCTGAGGCGTCTGACCTTGTGCATGTGCTTGTGCCTGTAAGGCACTGATCTGTTGTGGATCGAATTGCCTGGAGATACTCTGTCGATGTTGTGGGGTGACTGGAGGTTCTTGCTGTGTGTGATTGGCGACAGATGGAGCAAAGTTATGTGCATTTGCCTGTTGCATAGGCGGCACCGACTGGCCATTTAAGGAGGGTGTTTTCTGGTGAGACGGATCTTGCGGTGGATGAACGTCTCTCGTGGGTGACATTTGAGATTGACCTTGAGTCTGAATCGCCGCTTGAGCAGCCATTCTCTGCTTTTGTTGGTTGTGATGCCAAGCGGCTTCGTAAGGTGCAAGGTTGTTCAGCCAATATGCCTGCAGCTCTTGCCCAGCTTGGATCTGCTGCTGACCTTGAAAACCAAACTGTTGAGCAAGAACAGCCCATTGATTCATCTTCGTTAATCTCTGGGATCCACCACTCTTGACAACTGCAGCATAGAGGCGAAGTAATTGCACCTGTCGACCACAGATAGTAGGGTTGAGTTCTACGGTGCGGCCTCGAGCGGCCATAAAAGTTTGTAGACCACGAAGAAACTCTTCTGGGTTGCTCGGTCGTGGAGGCTGAAAGGTTGATGGAGGTCCTGCAGGCATTTGAGGGTGGGGACCGGGAGGAGGGCCACTACCTCCCATAGTACCGTTCATCCGTGCCTGGGCCTGGGCCTGGATCTGCATCTGACGTGCCTGAGCTTGCAGTTGCATTTGATAGTTTCTTTGGGCATTATTCATGCCTTGTTGTTGATGCACCATGTTCGGCTGAGGGCTCATCCCCATCTGCGGGGGCATCCCATTGTTCATGCTCTGCCCGAACTGTGGCTGACTGAAACCGGGCGGAAACGCGCCATTTGGCATGAAATTCTGGGGATTGTCGTGTGGTGTGCCCACTCGATTGCCGTGGTCAGGCGCAGGTGATGCATGAGGAGGCGCATGCTGTGGGGAAAATGGACTTGGGGAAGCGGTCGCAACGCGTTGACTTCCAGAATTTTGGTTGAATTGATTCAATTGAGAGATTGTAGGTGATGGAGTCGCGTTTGAGGTCGCTTGCAGATGTTGGAAAGGGGTGGGAGCATTCGACATTGGAGGCGCGCCATTGGCTTGTGGATTGTAACCTGGAAACGGAACTTGGCCGGGAGTTTGGGATCTAGAGCCAGGTATTCCCCCAGGCGCTTGTCGAGGGGATGTCGCTAGACTATCTTCCCTTGCTCTTTTTGAAGGTATGACGGGGTTCGTCTGATATACAGGATTGTGGAAGGCGGGTGAAGCGGTGCGGCCGGCGCCATTGAGGAAAGCAGGGTTTTGAAACTGCGCCGGGTTTATGGTCTGGGGTGGTTGCAGGAAAGACATGCCGGCATCCATGGGAACTCCAAAACCAACATGATTGTTTGGAGTCAAGGAGGAATCGGATGGCCAAGGGTTCATGGCTTGAATGAGGTTCGGTCATCCATTGGCTAGAGGAGTCGGAATCATCAGCATCAGGTCAACCAGACGCGTTGCCATCGGACACGCAGCAGTATGACATGCAGGCGATATGGCTTCGGGCAACACAGGTCCTCTGCGACGGAGTAGCCCCACGGGTTGGAAGTTTAGGATCAAGGCAGGACATGTGGCAGGTTGGTGAGAGCGACGCGTCAGGAGGGCTGGGGAATGGGTGAGCATCGCAGCGCGAGGCTAGGTGAATACAGGCCAGAATGCAGAGGACAACAGGGAGAGATGAGGATGGAGATAGCTACTTACCTGCCTGGTAATGATTGCGTGGAATAGTCAGAGCGCAGAAGGTATGCGAACCAATGTCGAGATTGGGACGATTTTGTGAGGCAGGGCTTGGAAGGCCCAAAGAGGCTTAGCTCGGCGGCGTGATGAGAGTTGAGCAGCCTCCAGACTGTTGGCCAGCAAGTCAGCAATGACAAAAGGACTGGCAATCAGAGGATTGTAAAGGGTCCCACTCGGATATCATGGGCCGTGCAACACGATCTGAACTGAGGTTTGATGGTTGGAAGACGCTAGTGATGGATTTGTGGACAGAAAGAGATGTGAGGAGCCCATGTGCTGTGCTCATTCTAGGCTGCTGCAATCCGGCGGCTGAGTAGAGGGCAGCCGAATCGAGCGGGTGATCGTGTGCAAGGGGTAACCAGTTGTAGGACTTGGAACAGGACACGGAGGGGCAAAAAAAGCATCAGAATGGAAACTAGGATGAGGCTTACCTTGACGAGAGGGTGATTAGACGCGCGATTGATGGCTCTTTGATACGTGGTGGTGGTGCTTCGTACAGCACGGAACAGGAGGGAAGAGAATTCACAAGAGCGGGGGCGATGGTTGAATAGGTAGGGTAGGGAGGAGGTACTCCAAGTCCCAGTCCAAGGGCTAGGCAGATCAACAGGAGGTGAATCGACAACAAAAGTCAACCGGTTCAAATCCCAGGCACAGGTACAGCTAAAAGTCACGTATGTAAAGAGTGACCCGGGCAGTTGAGTAAAAGAGGAGCCTTAAGCGGAGGACAACGCTGGGGGGACGGGAACTTGGAAGTGCTTGAGACAAGAAAGATCAGTGTTGCTTTTTTGGCAGACAGAGTCGGGGTCACTGGCAGTGCAGGGTCAGGGTTGGCAACTTGGGGGATGTGGACGTGGACACTCGGGCTCAGGCTCAGACTCAGGTTGCAAAATCAAACCTGGACCTGTAATAATAACTGCAGTTGTGAGTGGCTGGTTCGACCCGAAGAAACCCACCTGGCTGTTCCTCTTTTGTCACTAGTGGCTCCCATATGTAACCGGACTTTGTGTTGGAATCATTGCACCTCGAACCACCGCCATTTGGCGAGTTGAGATCATGTTGGAATCAGTTCGTAGTCGTCCTGGTGTAGAATTCGCATGCTCGCTGTTGTTCCGTAACCCGTTCATCAAGGTGAGACCGAGGTTTTCTGCCGGCCAAGATTCGGGTCCCCGTGGGTATGATGCGGTTTTCGATGCAAAGCCAAATCAGGGTCACACCAGTCTCGCTTTTAGATTAGGCTTTTTCCTCGAATTCCTTGGTTCAATATCCGAGACGCCATCATTTGCCATCCTGATGACCTGGTCATGATCCCATGGACAGGACGAATTTTCCCAGAGAATTTGGTCAATTCGATATCCCCAGTTGCGTGCACAGGTTGTAGGCCGGATGGCCGATGTCGACCGTTCTTCCCACCCTAGACATATATAAATCGTATCTTGCAGACTCTAGAACAGCCTTTGGTCGGAAATGGCCGTGCGGTCAGATTGATGGCGTGAGGATGGGCTATTTGGCAGGTCATTCATAGCCTGCAAACCTTGGTGGTGTTTGTTCATCGTTGATTGATATATTGCGTATTGTGTTGGCGAAGCGAACCTGTCTCTTACTCTCTCTGTATGATCATCTGCTGAATGTAGAAGCATAGCCAGAGTCCAAGTCATAGTTCCTTGATGATAGCCTGCCAGGCGTGCAAAAGCATGGTTCCAGGGATAGGTTTGAGAAAGTATTAGGAGATGACGGTAGTGTGATTGTGTGAACGATAGGAAATGTGAAAGGAAAGAAGACAAGATTTATCAGGCACAGTCAAAGAGCAAAAGGCTCACAAGTCCCGTCCTCAACAGCTCATCTAATGCAAGCAGAAGCCAGGCCAGGTCGTCCTTCATTGGTGGATCCCTGCTGGGTGCAAGTCCCTGACCTCCAAGTAGCAGGTTGAGCCTTTTCAGACACCACTGCCGTCCCTCGAAATTCGACATTCTTCCTCGTTGTGTCACAAGCCAGACAATTTCAAGCGAATCTGACTCCGTTGGCAGCAGGGCGGATACCTCGTACTGCTGATCTAGTAACGGATACGGATACAGATCCATGCAGAACAGCACCACGAATTCTTGTCCCATTCGGCCATTTAGTGGCATCTAGCCCTTGCTTGTTTCGCTACAGCATATCTTAGCTTGTTATTACCTTTGCCTATCTACTTACCGAGCATTTGCCTAGCAAATTCAGCTGTCCATGTGCCCAGATGGTCCTGTCTCGTGTGAAGCATTTGAGTCCTGTTCTGTTTCTATCATCGACTGGTGTCCCTACGGAGGAGCCGAGCCTACCCAAGTACTTTCTTGAACAATACATCTTACCAGTAATGACCGGAAGTCTACAGACGGGAGACTTTGATCCATCCACTGAGTTTGAACTCATATATGTGAGGGGGAATCTAGGGACCTACAGCAAGTTGTGATAAAATATAGATATCCTTGAAGAGGTTAGAGGGCCGCAAAGTGTGGGATCAACCGGTAGGATCCAGTGGTGCCGCAAATGTACCATTGATTACGAGGGTGACCTGAGGTGGAAGAACCATGATGATCCAGGCCCCAGCTTCGAGGACTACCTTTAACCAGCTTAGATTCTCCTTACATGCAACACTTGAGGAAGCTAGAGACCCTACCCAGGTACCGAAGCTGGAATGCAGAGGACATGGTGGTGGCCAACAGCCTGGTCGTGCCTGACGGATACAAAGTCGTCCTTGGCGGCTGAGGCCGTCCACTTTAGGCATAGCTCCAGTGCATACATAATTCACTTGGGCGCCTTCAACTCTCATCCGCAGTCGTGTTGAGTCTTGACAGCTTGACTTGTTTATCTCTACCTTCAATCCCTTTTGGACTGCTCATCGTCACGAATTTACCTTCTCATCACGGCCACGAGTGAGTGACCCAGAGGTCCCAATTCTAAACTCATCGAGATCCCCACGCGCCTTCATCATGGGTGACATTCTTCTCGAGAATCCCATCCACACGATTCCGCCTCACAAGAAGCAGCCAATCTCAGATTCCATCCCAGATATTGATTCGCTAGAAGGCGCCGGGGCCGACAGTGGAGATGAATATTCTACATTGAAGAGATTACAGAGACATCTTGAGTCAGCGCCTAACCTCCGATCCCAAGGCCAGAAGATTGACTCTTGCCAGGTACATCAAACTACAAGAAGAATACATCAAAGATGAACAACGGTACGTTGGACAATATATGTTTTGGTTCCTCGCACTGACGATTTGATCAGATCACTCAAACGTGAACTTGTCCGAGCACAGGAGGAGATCAAAAGAATACAAAGTGTACCACTCGTCATCGGCCAGTTTATGGAGGCCATCGATCAGAAGTAAGAGGGACTTTAGCACAGGCGTTGCGAATCACTGATGACCCCTATAGTACCGGCATAGTCCAATCCTCGACTGGCTCCAACTATGTTGTGCGAATCCTATCCACACTGGACCGCGAAAAACTGAAACCCTCATCGTCCGTTGCACTCCACCGCCACTCCAATTCCCTCGTCGACATTCTTCCTCCCGAAGCCGATTCGTCCATTGCAATGCTAGGAGCCGATGAAAAGCCCGATGTCACCTATGCCGATGTTGGTGGGTTGGACATGCAAAAGCAGGAGATTCGAGAGGCAGTGGAGCTTCCACTGACGCATTTCGACCTGTACAAGCAAATCGGCATCGACCCACCGCGAGGTGTGCTTCTCTACGGACCACCGGGTACGGGAAAGACCATGCTGGTCAAAGCAGTCGCCAACAGCACGACGGCTAGCTTTATTCGAGTGGTTGGCTCGGAGTTTGTTCAGAAGTACCTGGGTGAAGGTCCGCGAATGGTGCGAGATGTGTTCCGGATGGCGCGGGAGAATTCACCTGCTATCATCTTTATCGATGAGATTGATGCGATTGCAACCAAGCGATTCGATGCACAGACTGGAGCCGACCGAGAAGTTCAGCGCATTCTGTTGGAATTGCTGAACCAAATGGATGGATTCGACCAGACCAGCAACGTCAAGGTGATCATGGCAACGAACCGAGCAGATACGCTGGATCCGGCCCTTCTCCGACCCGGTCGTCTGGATAGAAAGATCGAGTTCCCCTCATTGAGAGACCGACGAGAACGACGACTGATCTTCTCGACCATTGCCAGCAAAATGTCACTGTCTCCCGAAGTGGATTTGGACTCACTGATTGTCAGAAATGATCCATTGTCGGGCGCAATCATTGCAGCCATTATGCAAGAGGCTGGTTTGAGAGCTGTTCGCAAGAACCGCTATAACATCATCCAAGCCGACTTGGAGGACGCATATTCCAGCCAGGTCAAAGGCGCACAAGAAGCCGACAAGTTTGATTTCTACAAATAGATTGGCATGTACAGTAGGGTGTCAATGAGCAAAAGGGTTGCCCCAAGGCCACTTCTGGGACATTGCATGGAGTTTGACATGGACCAAGGACTGATTGGATGGGTTCCTCTTTATCAGGTGACCAAGAATCAGTCGCATGTATTACCATTGCTAGATCTTTCCACGATTTCCAAGCGAAGCAGCTTAAGATCAGACCGTAGGGGCTTGAGCTACCCGGAAATAAAACCCATAAATCACCAACAGAGAGATTGAGCGCTGCATGAAGTTGTGTGGTCGGGCACGCTTTCCATTGGCCTGGCAGGCACGGCAGGAATGATATTTCCGGAAGAACGAGTACAGACATGCAGTGGCTGAGAGAGTTGGGAATCTGATCATTGCGTCAGGATATATTGATTCATGGTGCAAGTGGAGAAAGCGGTGTGTCCTTGCACCACTAGTTAGTTGTACTTAGTGTCTAAAGACCACCCCTCCAGCTATCCACCCTTATAGGACGGATACTCTCTGTCCAAATTCCAGTGTATTAATAATGCACGAGTTCTCTCAAGACAGACATGATACTCGTAAGACGCCACGCCAGGATGGGGAAAAGACCCTTACACGCAGGGCCGCCTTGCCACCGATGCTTCATGGTGCTCGTGGCATGGTTCGTACACGCCAATAAAGGGGCAGGAGGTGAATGTTTGATAATGATGGTCGAAGATTTTGGGGGTACTCTGCAATAATAGGGAGGCGTGAACGCTCATTAGCCGTACGAGTAGGTGGTAGAGCTCAGGAGGCTCCTAGGTGTATTGAGCCTCTCCGTGATCATTGGATGGAGCCATGATTAGCCTGCAGAACAGAAGTCCAGTGAAAGGCAGACGATGCTATGAACATGCAGCTTCGGCTTTCTCAACCAGCCTAGTCTGTAACAGGCTTAGCGGATTCCGATGGAGCGCAAAGTGCAAGAGCCATGGACTGATGGCGTCAGACCTCCCCCAAGTCGGTAGGTGGCAAGAACTCCCTTCTTTCATTTCCATTCCTTCTCCCAATTCTTTCTTCCTGTGCGCTGAGGTCATCGATCTTTTCTCAACTTCAATCTCCTCCCTTTCCATCAAAACCAACGACCAAAAAGTGACAAACACGAACCACCGGCCAAACAAAGTCACGGGATATTGACTTTGCACTATTCGCATTTCCAATCCCAATCCCAATTGCACTGGACTTCGATACATTGCCATTATTCTTCTGCTGTCTCTTCTGCTTTGGGCTGTCTCGACGGCTGTATTACCCTAGATACACACGTCATCAACTTCCGAGAAAGTCTTGACTCTCCGTCTCCAGTCTCGCTTTCGACGCGTCTTTCAGTCCATTCTCCGTCGCATCTCTTGTTGCACTCGTTGACAACCACACGATTCGTCTTTTGGTGATCGAGTTCAAACTTGACAGAGGAAGTTTACAAGTAATATCCGTGAGTAACAATCAATCACTGTTCTTTACCTTTCCCGAACCAATTTCCGTCTACTTGATCGAGTTTGGGGTGGCGGCTGGTAAGGGTGGCAACTCGTCTACCTCTGACTGGCTCCTCAATGGCTGTCGATCGCGATTCCATTGCCGGCTTCCCTGCTGACACGTCTTTGATTCGCAGATCACTGTTTCCTGCCCACATCGCCCACCCACTTGCTGTTGATTCAACCTTGCTACCTCGCGTCCCCCCCAAAGAGGCCCTAAGCCTTTGCACTTCTAGTGCCTACCTCGCCCACCCTACCAGAGTATATGAGGCGCCAGCGCCTACCCAACTTTATCGACGTCACTTTTGCAACGGCTGACGTTGTTCCTTCACCTACGTATTGCTTTATTCCCTTCCCGACATCATGGCGAGCGCCGCAGTCGCAACTCAACCATCACAACAACATCTCGGGGCTGGCCCTACCTCTCGTACCTCGTCGCCTATGGATAACAAAAAGGCCAATTTGAAGCAAAAAGGTTGGTCTACCTCGTCGCCCCCTATCCAAAAAAATTCTTTCATCCTCACCCGGCACCACGCGATCATGCTACTTTCCCACATCACCACCCGCGCATATGCGCATTGCGAGCTTCTTTGCTTTACCATGCATATAATTATTGAGAGACCTGTCTGACCCATAACTGACCCGTTGGATGTAGATCCTGCTGCAAACACCTCGCCATCACAGACCAAGTCGTCGTTACCAGGTACGCGTCGCCGACATCGGGTTGTCGTCTACTTGTAGAGCTAACTTGATTACAGACTCAAAGACTACATCGCTGGCCGAAGACCCAAAGCCTGTCATTCAAACATCGGAACCTCTTGCACCCCCACCAAGACCTGCGCCAACCAATCCTGCAGAAACACCAGACTATTTCTCTGCGCTGCACAATAACACCAGTGGTATCGGCCAAGAATTCAACCCCTTTGAGCAATCCTTTGGAGCTCCGTCCACCGAGACACCTGGCAAGAATCTTCTTCCTCCAGTTGCTGCATTGACTTCGCCCGCTATTCCAGGGACAACTTCCTCTGCAGGTTACAATTGGCAAAGCTCCCTCCGATCTGGGCCATTGAGCCCTGCAATGTTAGCTGGGCCTCAACAGGGTGATTATTTCGACAGTATCGGTCGTGGCTTTCCCACTCCGAACGAGTCATCTCTTCGCACTGGTCTCACGCCCGGCGGCGGCGGGTCTATGTTCCCTGCCCCTAGTCCTAATTCCCAGGCCCTTTACAATTCGCTCGCAAGTGGCGGTGCTACACCAGGTACTCTTGATTTCCATCGCACTGCTATGAACGCAGCTGCGAGAAATAAAAACAATCAATTCGCCACAACTTCGAATCCGCAGGAAAGTGCCCCACAAAATAACCCCAACATGGATGCTCAGCATGATGCCACTGATGCTGCCAACGGATTGTTCATGCTTGCCAAAGGCGGCCAAGGCAACAATCAATTTGCAGTCTCTAATCCTTCTCAACCCGTCAGGAATGGTCCAGATCAGAAGCCCAGCAATGGTGACCATTCTGCAGCTGATGGCGAAAGCACCGGAAGCCCAGAGGATAATACCCGATCCAACACTCGCGGTGGGCGTGGGAAGAAGGCTGCTAAAGCAGAACCCGCCACCAAAAACTCGAGAAAGTCGGACGCCGCTCCCAAAGGTAGCAACAAGCGATCGAAGGGCAACACAGGAGTTGCCAATGTAGACCCTGCTCTTGACCCGCATGACGAAGACGACGATGACAACAGTGAAGTGGAAGAAGATATGGAAAATATGACTCATCCCAATGGCAAAAAGATGACAGATGAGGAGAAACGAAGAAACTTCCTGGAAAGAAATCGGTTAGTGAATCGTACAGTCTGATGTCCTCTTTGTCAACCATACTGACCAATGTCTTTTAGTGTTGCTGCATTGAAGTGCAGACAGAGAAAGAAGCAGTGGCTGGCTAATCTCCAAGCCAAAGTTGAGATGTACTCTGCTGAGAACGACAGCCTCAACAGCCAGGTCGCTCAACTCCATGAAGAGATCCGCAACCTCCGTACCCTATTGATTTCACACAAGGATTGCAATGTCGGTCATGCTCAGGGCATTAACCAATTTCTCAACGGTATGCAAGACCCCAGTGGATTTCCTGGCCAGCATGTGAACCCATATGGCATGCCGATGCCCAATGGGCCACAAATGCAGGCGGGAATGCAAAGATCTTGATTGCCAACAAGTCGATATATGCACCTGAAAATCTTCATATTTAATATCTTGATTACGAACATGGGATTGCCCCTTTATGCAACAGGTGGTAACTTCTTCTTCAACTTATGGGCTTTTCACTAGCTCCACTTTTACTACGCATGTTCTTCAGTGTACATAAAAATCCGGGGGTTTGTACAGCACCAAGAACAAAAGAAATGGGTTCTTTTGCACAGGTTTGGGTGCAAACAGGCTGCAACTGGTCACATCCCTGTATTCTGTCATCATGTGTTATGCGAGCACAAATACAAGTAGTGCGGCGGTATCGGTCAATGGCAGAGGCAAACTGGAGTCTGGCGTGTCATGGGCCATTTTATGATTGTCATGGGTTCCGTGGAGAGCTCTTCCGCTAATATACGAAGTTCAAGTCCGCAAATTCAAGGGGCTGAAGGATAATTCATGATTTGGCGGTGTGATAATAGATTATGACAAAACTATTGTTCTGATCAATGTTCTGACTTTTCGAGGATTGCCGTGTTAAAAGTTGCCCCTGTGGTCGAAGTTCGCTAGTTTTCGTCTCGTGACATTTGCGAATATCGCCTCAATATCGGTACATTGTTAACATTACCTGTTCCGAACCGTTCTGGAGATGGGACATCGACCTTCGATGGAATCGTCCAAGGACTAGGGGTGAGAATACAAGCAGTAGCCTAACTCATAGAGTGTTGTTCAATGGACAAGTAAATATATACGGGGAGGATGACTGTGTAGGTCTCGTCAAATAGATAATGATAGCATCTTTACACGTTTCGCCCACTAAAACTTGTCTCTTTCTAATCATCCACCAGACGATAAACCATACCTAGGTACACATACGCCAACCAGAAAGAATGCCCAGGTGGATGGGGGTAACATACTGGGGGAATACTGCCCCCTAGTACCAATCATCTATGGGTGATGAGAACACAGTTCAGCCTTGTCTCATGCAAGGCTCCACCACACCTGATCTGACATCGAATGTCCTCCAACTTGAACACTTTGGAACTTCTGCCCCTCTCCAACAGACAAGACAACCTCCCCCTGTGAAGGTGATCGCACCCCCAACAAGACTGCAGATGCAAAATACGGAACACAGGGAATGTAGACCATACGTCCTCGACCGCTCCTTTTCTTAAATCCTCACCCCATCCTTCCAAACCTCCAGATCAGCCCCTGCATCCACCCCAACACAGAAACAAACCAAGCGATGGCGACCATCACCTCACCGCGCAGCGAATCCCCCGCGGCGAACCCGATCCCCCGCATCACCTCACCGCAGATCCCACACTCACCCAGCATCGGCGGCACGCCGACGTCGTCGGTGCGACCGTCAATCGAGATCCCCGTGCGGGGGACTACCTCATCCCCATCGCTCCAGCAGAATGGCAGCGGCCAACAACCACACACACAACAGCGGCGCAACCGCGCTGCACTGCGCGACTACTATAACCTCAAAGCCAAGGGCGCACCAGCCGGTGGCGGAGGAGGAGGAAACGGGGCCGGGAGCATGCACAGCGTGAGCCGGACGGCGAGCATCGCCTCGAACGCGTCCGAGTACTCCGCCAGCGGGAATGCGACGGCCGAGGACCGGGCAGCCTCGTCTTCAGTGAGCGCACAGCTCGCGGCACGGCTGGACGACCCGGCCTTCGACGCCGAGGCGCACGTCGCGGAACTGCTGCGGTCGGCCGGGCTGCGCGACATCCTGCGCACGGAGAGCGTGCTGGTCAGCGAGATCCGCACGCTCGACGGCGAACGCAAGGCGCTGGTCTACGACAACTACAGTAAACTCATCAAGGCCGTCGGCACGATTGCCGAGATGCAGAAGGGCATGCATCGTGGCGCGGAGCGAGGGTATGCTGCGGCTCCGGGAGGGTTCTTGGGTCAACAGCACGACCGCCTCGGTGCCGCAGCAGTGGGGAAGGGTGGAAATCGCCAGCCGCAGAGTCTGGGCCTGGAAGGGGTCGAGAGGTTGGGTGAAAAGCTGGAGGCCCTGGTGGCGGTCGTCAAGGAATTGGCGCCTGCTGTGGTGGCAGCGGAAGCGGGTGCGCGAGTCGGAGCGGAAGACCAAGCAGGACGCAGTGTACAGAAAACTCGGGATTTGAAAAGACAGAAGGAGACGGTCAAGTGGGCATTGGATGCGCCGGCGAGATTGCAGGATCTTGTGGCGAAAGGAGAACATGACGAGGCTATCAAAGAACACGAGGCTGTCTTTGAAGTTATTACTCGCTGGAAGGGCGTTCGTGGCGTCGATGAGCTACGGGACAAATGTGCCAACATCATGACTGGTGTTAAGCGGACGTCGAGCCATTCAGACGATGATCAAGAGAATGATAGTGACGAAGATGACGACGACGATGACTCTAGCTGATAAAGGAATTCATAATTGACCTAACAGGAACATTGGTATCGGCAATCATTGTTGATGCTATTCTACCTGTTGTGTCTCGACCAAGGTTCAGATTTGCACCTTGGAAACCATCTGCCTAATCCTGCTGGGGTATCAAACACAGAAACGAAAGGAAATTTGCAAGAGAAGAAACTTGAGAAGAAGGAAAATGATTGCAAGAGCAAGCAGCCGCATGATGCCCCTCTGAAGGACATTGACAATCATAGCATCTGAATCTGCCCGCGCTCGGATCAAACCAGTGGCTCAAAAACTTGAGGATGTGGTGGCCTGTGGTGGCCTGTTCTCAATATGGACTGTTGACGATCTCTTCTCTCAAGTGGCTTTGTCTTGTACCATGTCTTGGTGTGGCAAAAGCTCCTGTGCTGAGTCGGGCGGCTGGTCCAGCAATGCTATCTCTTGTGGGCTTCTTGAAACTTTTTCGACTAACCATGTCGACTTCATTCGGCAATGCAAGGATGACATTCTTATCAGATCCGAATTCAAAATTATCAGCCATCACTTGCGCACTATAACGCTTAATCTGATAAGGATCCTTGTTTCCTGCCAGTACCTTCTTAAGGGACCAAGTGACAAGAAACGGGCCGGTGGAGGTGATGATGCTAGTCTCTTGCATATTCTCTCCAGTATTGAATTTTGCTGTTGTAAATGCAAGAGGAGCACCAGTTTCATGTTGGAATTGAGCAACATGACTTGGGGTCAAGCCAAGTCGACGTGGCTGAGGTTTGCTATCCTTTGCGAATGAGCGTTCGAATCCAAGTTTCCCTTCGTTCTTTCCATCCTTCTGGAGAGTATCAATGAGGAGAAGATATGTGCGACAAGTCGCAAGCAGCCATCGACCGTCTGCGCTAACGTCAAGACCAATGATCGATTCACCAAGAGCAGGAATGTGAGTTTTCGCGTTGACTCCAAGTCGATCAAACAAGCGAACATCACCCTTGTTTGATGCCACCGCAATATGGCCCTTCTCAGTCGTGGCTGCGGCGGAAAAGTCGTTCTTGGACATGTACTGCTTTAGTTGAGATTCGACCAACTTGTTGCCAGCAACACGAGGATCAATGCGGAACAGAGCGTTCTTGCTGTGACCAATGAAAGGTTGTGCTGCAGTTTGTTGAGCAAACTTCGTTTCAGGGGCAAAATTGGTGACTGGGATATCATCGTGGATCTTCCACTCATCCACAATTTTGCCATACTCAAGATCCATGCGAAACAAGGAGTTCGGGTTGCTATCATCCTGCATCACCATGTTTTGATCTTCAGCGTGCAGCATAATTTTGCCAGGTTTGAATGTACGTCCTTTCGGTGTCTGAACTTTGGAGATGTTTGTTGTGAACTCAAGGTGTCGGTTGGGCAGGTGTTTAAAGACACCAATCTTGGAGCCACGGATGACGAAGGATCGGTCATGCTTGGTTCCTACAGCAAGCTGGGAATTGACATTACCGTCCTTCTGTTCCGGATCAACATCGTCTTCAGACTCATCCGAGTCATAATGTTCGCTGCGCTGAACTGCTTGGCTATCACTCTCATCATCCTCTTCATCCTCTTCAAGGAAATCTTCTTCAGCTTCTGGGGCATCATCCATAGTCAAGTCATTGAAAGCTTCGATAACGTATTCGCGATCTTGATCTTTCGCCTTCGCCCATTTGGTCTCATTCAATTGCTCCCAAAGAGCTTGCATGATTCCCTCTTGGAACGCTTCGAGAGTTGGCTGGTCTCGAAAACGCAGGAGCCAGGAATAAGCTGATCCATCATCAGTGTAATGGTTGAAGATGGCAGAAAGGTACTCGAAGTTGAAGACCGGGTTGATATCCGCGACCACCTCTTGACCCAGCCATTCTCGGCCATCAGAACTAGTGATTTGTAGCCAGTAAGACCACTTGCCTAGGTCACTGACAACAGCAGTCACGGATGAGTCCTGCAGAATAAAGGTACCTGTAGTAAAGTCGAACAGATGAAGTTCACCATTCTGAGTTGTCAGAACATCTCCGGAACTTGGGGCGCTTTTTGCGGCAGGTGCTTCTGTTGGACCAGCAGTAATCGTCTTGGGTTTTGAGGTGTCAGCCTTCTTGGGCGATTTAACATCTCTAGCCATGCGGTCGGCAGATTCTTTGCTGGTGGGGACAGGGTCACTCAGGTCTGGTACAGAGCTTGCCAAAGGAATTATATCGTCGTCGTCAAAATTGAACTCGAGCAGCTCAGCCTCAGTTGCTTTCTGAGCAGACCTCCGATATTTGCGTTCGAATTGAGAATCGATCGCAGCAAGAACGAACGTTTGCACTCTATCACCTTGGGCTGAAGCGTCACAGACGAACTCGTACAAGTCGCCGTGATCACCACTAAGATCACGCCAAGCGAGGACGTGTTCACCACTGGCTCGTTGTTCACACCTGAAATGGAGGCTCTGGTCGAGGAGGAAGGTCTTTTCGTCCTTATCCAAGTTGTCGATGCCTTGGTCGTCGTCGTCCTCAGCAAGTTCTTCTTCTCCCTCTTCGTAGGCACGTTGAATGACCAATTGATACTGGAATTCTTGACCGGTTCGTCTGATGGACGCAACAGCGTCTTTGTAGATAAGTTCGGAATAACCCTTCGGTGATCGAGGGCGGACTATGTAGAGCTGTCCTTGAGGAATTTCGGTAATGACCTCTTTGGAAGCGTCTCCAAACAAGTACTTGCTGACTGCGACAGGATAAGTTAGACCAAGACCGGGATAACGAGAGAATAGGTGGGAGGCGCTTACCGTTCTTGATCATAAACATGGTGAATGAGGGGCAATCACCACGATTGCGGGCTTCAATAAACAAGGCAAAGACGCAGGCCAAGTAAATCTCTTGACGTTTGGGCGGACGCGAGAATTGCTGTATCAATTATCATGAGACAGGAATTCTTGCCACGAAGCTAAAGTTAGGAAAGGCTCTTATGGTTTGTCTAATGAGTGTTGATTTCTAGGCAGGCGCAGGCAAATATGGGTGAAGAGAGTCCTTCAGGCCAAAGCCTGAGGTATGACGCAACAAGCCCACCATAACCTGAAAGTGGCCTTGTTGGACTAGTGCCTCCACTACTGACACTAGTGCAGCACTAATATTGACAGAGATCTCCTTCCCCGTATCTGATGGAGTGGCAGCATGTCTCGCAGGAGATTGGAGATAGAGTACCCAGGTAGAGACAGGCTTCACTCGCAGGCTCAGCCTCTCAGTTAAAGTCGCCAATCCTTCCCCCGAGATAAGCTTGAGCCACCAGCGTGAGGTTGTCATCCTCCGATCGCCAGGAACCACTTCAAGTTAAAAAAGCTTGTCCGTGTTAGCGCAAACGAAAACAGTCTCTTGGCAGCCTTGCGCGCGTCAGCAGAAGGCTGAACCTGTTCATCTTCCAAAACTTGAACCCTCGGCTGCGTTCGTATTATCGCAATAAAACATCCTCTCAACGCAGCCATCTGCGCTTCGTCCCCTTTGCTGTGTGGCATTCTAGAAATCAGAGATCGATCTCCGACTCGCAATTGCATCACACACATGGCAGATCCACGGATCCCTCCTCCCAGTCCCAGTCAGAATCCAAAACCACAAACGCTTGCGGATAACCTTCATAATCCTAGTTCCGCGGCTTACTTGGCCTATCCTGTGAAACATGTCGTTTCCAGTCTTTATAGACGCATGACAGAACCTCCAGAGCACCCTGTCGGCAAATTGTTAAACGCACCTTCACTCCCTGCCTCCTCTGGTCTCTACACCCCCCCAAGGAGAACCCAGTCGCCATTCCAACCTCCACCACTCACCCCTCTTGACCTGAGACACAGCCTATCTCCGAGGGCAGCCGATTCTTTGCTCTTGACGAGGTCTCTCGCGGAAGAAATCCGTCTATTGATTCCTCCGAGGCTTCAACTCTTAGAACACTGGAAGCTAGCCTACTCACTCGAGGTTCATGGCTCCTCTTTGGCCACACTGTATGAGCATTGTGCACAAGTGTCAATACATTCACAAAGATCAGGCTATGTTCTGGTGGTTCGCGACGGCACGACCTCAGCAGGCCACGGGTCGGTGTTTGGGGCGTATCTCTCAGATGCACCTAAACCGGGTCTCCATTACTTTGGTACTGGGGAATGCTTCCTCTGGAGGGCCAGTATTCTGCCCACACTGAGGGATCTGTCGTCCCAGCTGAAAAATGTCACAAACACCGCCTCGGGAGATCTTCTGGAGTTGGCCGGTCTTCCACCGCCTCCGAGCGCGGATACCACCCATCTTCAGAGAGTGACGACGGTCCGGGGTGAACGAAGGTCGTCTTCATCTGTGTCCTCACCCACTTCTCCCTCCAATATGAAAGTCAATGAAACGTTCAGCCATCTACAATCTACCGCCGAAAGGTCGGGTACCTCAACCCCAGATCGCATCAGGTTCAAGGCCTTTCCATACAGCGGAATCAACGACTTTCTGATTTATTGCCAATCAGACTATCTGTCTGTTGGAGGTGGAGATGGGCATTATGGGCTATGGCTTGATGATGATCTCGACAACGGCATTAGTGAAACTTGCCCGACTTTTGGCAATGAACCTTTGAGTGACGAGGGCCGCAAATTCGAAGTGCTGGGAGTCGAGATCTGGTATGTGGGTGCATGAACGGATTGGAGCCTGTCCTGATGATGGCTCCAAAACGCGACAACTACAGGAACGGCTACGTTATGTCGAATCCGCCGGTCTCTGACCTGACCACCTTGATTACCTACCCCAACATCGAGTATGCAGACGTGTCTAGGGCCAAGGATTAACCACATCTGCCTTTGATTGCACGTACTACACAACTCAAATTCATGTATGGTCCTTCAACCGGACATGACCACGATCTCGGTTGTAAAGGCAGATCGTAAAACACCACACAGAACTGCTTTTGGGACTAACAAGTTCTACTTGGATTTACGCTGACTCCAGCCATTGACCCGATCCCTTTCAGAGAGATCTGGGGTTCTGCACGCCGTTCTGCGGGTGGGATCGTTGCTGAATGATCGGCGATTGCACCAGACATGTGTTTCAACACTTGCGCTGATGAGGTTGAGCTCCGACAGATTGAGTCTTCTGATCTCTATTGTTTGCTCTGCAGTTTGGCCTACTGTGCCGTTGCTCTGCACGATGCACGATAAACGCAGTGGTGACGTTGTGGTTAGAAAAGGTGAATGTTTTGCTGCACGAGAGTGTTGCAAGCCTCAACAACCGCCGCAATGCTTGTGACAAAGCAAAGACTTGCAAGGTAGCTTAAGTAGAGCAAGGTCCATCAAGCGCAAGCTTATCGCTCGCGCGAGCAAGGATTGGACCATCGGCCCGAATTGATACTTGCAAAAATGGATCATTGTACCTGAATGACGCGATCGCATGTCCGAAAGCGTGGGTACTTGAGACCTGTTCAACTGTCAAAAGTTTGGTTCATTGGAGAATTGATTTTGGACTTGGACTGGAGAAGTGACTAAGGCTTTTGTGGCCGAGGCCGTATCGGAGAGTTGCAACCAGGCGAATCAAAAGGCTGAGACACAACTTCTCAAAACGGTTCGTTGCTCAGATGAGGGTCAGTATATCTCTGGGCCGTACGGGGTACTGTGTTGTCGATAGAGTTGACATAACTCAAAATCTTGTATAGTCACACATAACAGGCGTCCCATGACGTAGGTCGCAATCTCTGTGTTAAGTTTGTACCAAGTCCGAGGTACAATGCAACATGAAACCAATCAGAGGGCCAAAACAATCCCCCAAGATGAGCAAAGTGGCTTGCTTGGAAGGAGAGGAGAGGGACAATGGTAGAATGATGGCCCTAGAAAGATGATGCAGCAGAACAAAGTGCACCACGAAGGTCGGCTAGTAAACAAGTTGTTGAGCCAAGTATTCAGCGCCAAAAGGGAAGGCCTTTTCCCTGAAAGGAAATGGCTGCAATATGAATGATGATGGAAAGCATATTACAATTTGGTTAGTCACCGTGACCATCAGCCATGCTTCGGCGATTGCCATGGTGGCAGTCAGAACGATTATCCAACACAAATACGAGGTACCAGGAAAAATACCAAATCCTTCGAAACGATTACGGGTGATGGGTATCAAATGACAGGGCTTTTCGGTGTCCATTTTAGGAAAGTTCAAAGAATTTGCAACTGGGCCAGTTAATCACCGAGACTGCATAACGATGCATAAGCAGCGCCCATGCCAACTAGTACGAATTACGAAGTAGTGTGCCCTTGGTGCCAACAGGACGAGTGTTACCCCGCTGCCGAAGAACGGTCGTTGGAATTATGCACCGCAGTACGACCAACATGAATGGATGTATGAATTTCCCGTTAGAGATACTGGTTGTGTCGGGATAAGATGATGTGCCTTGTATCGAGACACTCGATATTGGCGGCCAAGGCAGAGAGTGGCACTAGGGAGTATGAATAATGATGAATGAATGCATTTAGAAGTTGCAACCAGGCACCGTCCAAAATCACAAGCGAGCTCGGTCAATCGTTCCCGCTCGAGGATTAAGGATTCGTACGAGTGAGTTAGGGAGGGACTCCATACAGTGAGGACCCCAGAGGCTCTTGCCTAATTAGAAGGTTGCAAGGTGCCCGGGTGTGTCTCAGCTCGCAACTTCGCGCCTAACAGTGCTGCCGATAAACCGAGGAAAAGCACTGGAATTGTGCCCGAATACCGCGATGAGCAGCTGATTTGCGCACTCGGATCCTTTTAGTGAACTGGTCACTGCAGTGGTACGGTCAGTCAAAACTCTCAAGGTATCCGTGTCCGTATTCCCGTTTGAAATGGTGCTACTCGTACGCACGGATTTCATCCATGGAGTCTTGGGACATGTGCCCGCGCATTCTGCAGGGTCCAAATTTGCCCTCTGGCCATGTCATCAACAGTACGAGTACTAGTAATCATGTCATCACGTTGCTCCTGACTCTATCCTTACACCCCTGCTCGCTTTTTAGCTTCTCGCGGCATCCACACCTGCAACTCCCTCTGGCGCTAAACCTTTCCATCTTTCCTTCTCATCACCACCCTGGTCATGCATCCCTCATTTGTGTCCGAGTACGTGCACTGCACTAACTACGCTGCCTCAAAATTCTCCCGTGCGCGTTCGCTGCTCGGTCAGGTCCAGGTTGGCAAGTGAACCTTACCAACAATGCCTCATGCTCATCCTGGCTCCACTATTACCACCGCTGCTATCTTACTAACCCAGCCCTGCTAACGATATAAGGCCTCATGTCTCGATGCTTTCCCACCAGCAAATAAACATCCTCTTCTCTCGTATTCTCGTTTGATGATAAGCTGACCAGCCCACCTCAGTTCGTCGTGACTGTTCGAATATTCGTCCCGCATCCTTTAATTACTATACACTTACCACTTCAGACCTTACACCTCTCATCACTCTTGGTATACTGTCACGCTCGGTGCCTCGCCATTCGCGGACCTCTTACCAAGCGGCCCAAAAAAAATCTACTCAAAGACATGGGAGCAACTATCATGACTCCCCCTCTAGAACCCTCATCACCGCTCGACGGCGGCATCAGAAAACGAGTATGCAAGGCCTGTGATCGATGTCGCCTAAAGAAATCCAAGGTAAGTGACTTCTTAGTGAGTCAACTCTCGAGCTCGAATGCTGACCATATATAGTGCGACGGGGCAAGCCCTTGTAGTCGGTGCAAAGCAGACAACGCTATCTGTGTGTTTGGAGAACGGAAGAAGTCCCATGACAAGGTCTATCCCAAAGGGTGAGTAATTCTCTCGTACTCTCCTTGAGCACTTCTAATGTGCGCTACAGATATGTTGAGATGCTAGAAAGCCAACAAGCTCAACTTGTATCCGGCCTACAAGAACTCTACAAGCGCGTCCAGAATGGCCAAGGCTGGACTGGCAATCCTCTAAAAGAAAACACCCACGGACAGCCCTTGACGCACGACATCCTGGAAAGATTGGGAGCGTTGAAACAAGAAGGCCATGCAACCAACGATTCCTTTGAAGAAGACCTCAGTCTGTTACAACAGAAACTCATCGCAGACGGTGCTGGCTTCATGCAACGAGCCCCGTCACACGATTCACACTCGGAAAGCAGTGCGCCGTCCCCAATCTATGAGCCTGTTGCTCAGCGACCTAATTTCTCCAACCCCTTCTCGCTTAACCAATTCCCTCCAACACCTCCCAATCAGAGTCCATACCCTCAGAATGCGCGGACGGTACCTTCAATGAAGTCACAGACATACCCACATGCCGCTCTCAACCACTCGAATCTCAACTGGCAAACTCCTATCTCCGAGTTTGACGACAGCATGGACTTTGCGAACCAATTCGACTCTCCCATGATGGACTCGACTCTAGACCTGTCTTCATTTTCCGTGAATATGTTCCAAGATCAGATGGTCCCCACTGCAATCAATCCTTGTCTAACGATGAAGGATTGGGCAGGTCAAGAAGATTTCCAGCGGTATTTCAATCCGGCTGCCATGATCTAATCATGTACTTTGCTTATGACCTTATGACATGACTATTTGGAATGCATTCTAAAAGCGGGTATTACTGCATTTACGGCGCTTTCTCATTGCGGGAAACGGATATCAAAGCCGGACGTGGCTGACACGGGAGGCTATTTTCTTTCTTTCCGGTCTGGGAATTTTTATTTCAGATCACCGCTGCGTCATGGTCCATTCTAGTGGACGATGATTTACAGCACACTGACGGTTGTGGTGATCGTTTTGTACAGCCTCGTGTAGCTGTTGGGCGACGGCGATTGGATCTGAGCAGGACTCTTTGCGGACCGAAAGACTGCACACCGTCGCTGGTTGAAACTTGTTACTATTAGTATATTACAATTTGACCCCTCAAGACCACGGGGGTAAATCCTCAATGTGGCGTCGATAATATGAAGATGATCAGAAAGGCCTTTGCTTGTCATAGCCTTTAGGTTGTCGTTTCAAAATCCGTTGGATTGTTCAATTTGATTCGCATTATTGGTTCCTGGCGTCTACTTCACCTGGGATCGCTCCAAGAGTGCTATCTTTTGCCACCCATGTCATACCGCCATTCTGGTGATAGATTGCACGGCTTTGAGTTTGCTCAATTTTAAGGCCCTCCAACCTCCCGAGACCTTGAAGATATCTGCTCAGTCGAGATAGTTCCGCATTGTACTGCACAGTGTGTATATTCCCCCAAGGTTTGGAATAACTCAAAAGCTATCAGACTTGACATCACGAAAAGTGGATTTTCCAGACAAAGCTACTTGGATAGTGTCCACGCGGCTCCTTCGACTGGAACTTGAATTGGAAGTAACTCGGCATCTTTGTGATTGGGTACCTGCTTCCAGGAACATTGAGAGAAGAAAACCACCTCATTGTGACACTGACTCTGGCATGACAACCAGACGGCGCTACCGTTAGCAGGCCTACAGCTAGAAAGTTATTGGAGCTATTTGCACAGGCTTCGGTAGCTCGGTATGGATCCGCAACATGACATTTGAAGAGGGTGGATAGGGCCCGGGATCGAGATTTTTTATCATCAACACTTCAGCAAGCGACGGGCTCAATGAAGTCATGATGTTTAATTGTGTTGTGCAACTACACAGCGAGCGAGGGCAGGAACCGGAAAAGGATTTGTTACCGTTCTGTGAATGTGCCAGTTTTTCGAGCGCTCAGCTTGGTGTTGTATTGCATGTGGCGGCCACCATCCATTGAATGTTGAGGTGTCTGTGTGTGTTTGTGGGCTTTAGCCGAGGAATCGGAGTTGAATACTTCAGCCTCGTGGAGGGGTTGTACAACAGCCCTCACCATACCCGACTACCGCCATCAGTACTACAGAGAAATCAAACACTGCGGATTAGGCACCTTAGCCTGCGTACTTGCAGCACTATGATGCACACTGGATACAAACCAGCATTATGTGCTATTGAGTTATCGAGGAGATTGATTGATGAATTACTTTTCAAATACCCCGCACTTCAATCACAAACCACCCAGACCATTGTTCGGAACAGCGACAGCCTTGCAGATATGACCCCCTTGGCTACGGGATATCATTTGCAAGCCAGAAACAGCTTTGTTTCCAGACCTGATCCCCATGCTGCCGTGTTCTTTGAGATTCTCTCCGCACACATTGCTTTAGGATTTGGAGTTCTCTACAGTAATTCAGCCTATGATCCATCTTTTTGCCAATGTTGATCCGGGTAAATGTCCCCCGAACCAGCATTGGCTAGGCAAAATTTGAATCGGAGTGCCGGTGGTCACTTCCATAGTTTATCATGACTTCACGCTGTGCTTCTCGAAGGTGATCACGATCAAATCATCAGACCAATAGTGCAAACGAAGAGAATTTTGATCTCTTTTGGCTGTAATTTCACAAACGGCGAGTGCAACAAACACGAATCATGTCTTCAGAGTCCGGAGTCAAATTCCTGCCCACGGGTGCCATAATCCAGGAGCTCAATGTTGCCGGCCACAATATTGTGCTGGGATATCCTACCGTGGAACCATATGCCGAAGCACCATTCTTTGGCGAGACCATAGGGCGAGTCGCGAACCGGATAGGTGACGCCAAAATCGAAAGCCTCAATGGAAAGTCTTACGAGCTGGCCGCAAACAACGGTCCCAATCATTTGCATGGTGGCCTACAAGGCTGGGGCAAAAAGATATTCAAGGGGCCTGAACTCGTGAACCGTGATGGTAAGGAGGGTGTCCTGTTCACCTACCTGTCACCTGACGGGGAAGAGGGTTATCCTGGCACCGTTCAGCTCAAGGTTTGGTACACATCATGGGAAGAGGCTCAAGAAAGTGGGACTCCTAAGCTTGTGCTCGAGACGGAGTATGAGGTCGAGTTAACAGGCACTGAGGTTGATGAGACTGTGGTCAACGTCACAAATCATAGGTAAGCCTCGTGGATGAGCACTTGACTATGGGATTGATGCATCTAACCCGCCTCTCAGTTATTTCAATATTAGTGGAGGCCCTACCATTGAGGGAACAGAGGTGACATTGTCAACACCGAAGTACCTGCATGTGGCCGACGCGATGCTCATCCCCACCGGAAAAATTGAGGACTTCCCAGGCGTGGAGGCAGACAAAGCCATCGTGCTAGGTGCCAAAGAGCCTCAATTCGATCATGCGTTCATCGTAGACTCTGACACCGCCAACATCCCACTGGACACTCGAAAGGGACCCCTCCGAAAACTCGTCGGATTCTCTCACCCCGCAACAAAACTTCATATCGACTTCTTCAGTACCGAACCCGCCTTCCAATTCTACACAGGCGAGCACATTAACGCAGCTGCTCACGGGGACATTCAAGCCAGGGGTCCCCGTGCAGGGTTCTGCGTCGAGCCAAGTCGCTATATCAATGCCATCAATGTACCCGAGTGGCGAAATCAGGTTCTCCTCAAGCGTGGTCAGATCTGGGGTGCCAAAACCGTATACAAGGCATGGAAGTCATAAAGGGGGAAATGCAAACGAGATGCGTCGACCAATACGAATGGTCAGCTGCCTAGGGTGTGCATCAATTGCGCCGTCCGCTGCATCATGTACGCGGCCTAAGCCATGAATTCTACAAGTACAACTTCTGCTTACTCGCCAGGACTGGTAACCTTTGAACCTCACGTGGGAAACGTCATAGGGTGAGACGAGATTTGAACGCGCCCTACACATGATCTCTCGAAGTTGCGATAACATGAGAAGGAAAAGGGGCACTTCGCGAGATTCGAGAGAGTGGTCATGGCAAGTCCGGTCAATCTCCGGTCTCTGGTTACATATCAGATCCGTACCTTGAATGCATGAAGTTTGAAAAAACCTCACACGTGCCGCATTGCCATGAAAGATGAGTTACGCGCAGGAAGTACAACGTGAACGAAAATTAAACAAAAAATGCCTCATGTAAGAAAGGAACTAATCTCCAGTCTACGAGCCAAAAATCGTTATGTTTATTCATCTACTCCAGAATATTTCCTTGTCCATTGCAAGTGCCATGTGGTGGGGCACCCAAAATTTAGTTAGAGCCGCGCCCCCGCTGGACTTCCGTCGGCCGTAGCTGATCCCGGGCCCGGAAACCAACTTGACGCGATTTCTGGACAGAAAAGTCGTCCACCTCCGGGGTTCCACAAGAGTATCTCTCTGGATACCTGGTAAGGCTAATGATGAAAAAAGAGGAGACTCATGACGGCGAACCATTTATTTATCTGTTAGAACGGCGATCCAGTTTGGATGTCTCATCATTCTCGCGAGTCTTGTGACTATGGGTCATCCGGTCACAGGTACTGTAGATTGGTGCCTCTCAGATAGCCCAGGCTGTGGACAAGCCTTTGTTGCCCTCCGTTCAGGGTCTTGCAATAGTAATTGCTGGTCGCTTACATCGTCAAAGGGTCCCCTTCTGCGAAACGCCCCGGAGGATTTCTAACCCATCAAGGTTGAGCATCGGCGGCGGCCTTAGCCCTTTAGGCTGTCGATCAATGACCACGGCGCACGAGGTAAACGCCGAAGCGGAGGTCGTGAGAGATTTTTATCCCCGGGCAAAGGTGACCTAAAATATTCGGCACTCTATTGTTCCGCATCCGGACTGCAGTGTATTTCGCGCCCGCTGGAAGGTTGGGACTGTCATTGTGGTTCACGTGGACGAATTTCGTCCTTGTGCGGTGCGCTTACCTGGTACCTTGTAAGCCACGGAATAGTGACGATGGCAACAATGGCTGGGTGCTGTAATCATCATCAGATGCGAAGGTTGGCGAGGGTCACGTCAATCCAAATCAATAAGTTGTTGGACATTGCGAAAGGTAGTCGTTCGTGATACCAATTATAGAAACAGGCTTTCTTTAAGGCTCGGTGGTTGATCGCAAGCACTTCCAGATACGAAACTTGTGGATAGGAGCGTAGCTAAGTACTCGTAGGCAGACGGAGCGTATTCCAAAGTCTCAAAAAGGCCTAGTCAAGCGTCCGAGTTCCATTGCTTCTAGAAGACACTGGCGTTTCAGGCCCAACACTAAACCGGTTGGCAAATACGATATTTCGATAGGGCCAATTTCACAGTCCAGGCATCAGCATTTCCAACGATCCTGATGTAGAATACATTGCGAATCCTGCGACTACCGAGGCAGGGACTGGTGCCACGAGTCTGACTATTACTCGCAGTTGTTTGTTTCAAGTTACAACCTGGCAACAGGAGCACAGCCCCAGGTCCACCAACTTAGGTACGCGTATTCGTGATTCGGTACTCGTAAAAATGATACCAGGTCCAGCGGCGCATGTAACTGGATTGGAAGAGGTGATGCCAATGGTGCGTTTCCCCCCTTCCCCCTCTCGCAAAGCCTCGAGAGCGTCGTAATCGACATAGACAGACAAGAGCTTGTCCACAAGAAATCAAGAGCACGATGGAACCTATCTAAAATTCTTGGGAAACGGAAGAGCGAGCAGAAGCGAACAGTGTTGCCTTGCGAGGGCCAAGAGGCTTGAAGAAGCGCGTCAATGGCATTCAAGACGACATGCCCTAATCGTGGCGCGGTGCCCATGATCGCATTGTGTTCTTGGTGTCGGCTTGGATGAAGGGTTTGGAGGTTGTGCAAGATGAAACTTGTGCGTCGAATGGCTTTACATTCAAGCCACCAAGGGCTTGGCCGTTGGCCTCGCATAAACGATACCCTGGGCCGCGGGTTGCACAACTCGTCTGCATAATATCCGCCCAATTTTTGATCTGACCAAAACCCGTTACCGTATTGTATTACACAGTAGGGATGTAATGACCGGCCAGAGAATCGATTCACTTAGGTCACATGACTGGAATTGTTGCTCGACGTACGAGGTATCTCTTCCCTTGGTCGTATGTTCCATCCAAGAATGGCGTTTGCGAAGCCATGAGGATAGACGGCTTGGTCGCTGACGAAGATGACTACCAGTCGACTAAACACCAATCCTCATTCTCTAGTCTCCATTTTGTTTGTTCACCTCCTGCTCTTCTCAATATGTCGTCCAAGCGACACTATGGTTAATCGTTGACACCTTGCTCAGAACGTACAAAGGAGCATTGCCACAATGGGAGCTTGGTGTTGTCGGCATCAATCTCTAATCAATACAGACTCCCGCTGATACAGGATAATCCGCTCTTTCGAGGTGCCAACCGCCCGCTTATCGCGTCCTAAGTTGCTTTTGAGGAGTCTCATTGGTCATGAGGAAGCTGAGTCAGAACCTCTGGTGAGCTTCAAGCGGCTTGGTGGCCTCTCCAGGGGTCCTTTGTCATCACGTCGCTGCCGCTCAATCAGCTAGTCCTGTGCAGGGAAAGTCGCATTCGTTCCTGGCCTAAGGATGATCGTGTCATCAAGAAGCCTTCAAGACTCTGAGCTTGCCTACCTAAACCAGGAAACTGTTTGTATGCCCTTTCTGGGAAGTGGGCACTTTCTTTGCACCACTAAGGACACACCTGAAATGTACGAGGTGCTACTGCTACGCAAGCAGGTGCTTTATTCTCAACACGGGAATACTCCACTGCCCGATAGGGCCTCCAACCTCATCTCCCTGAGTCACCGGCGGCCCAGTATCTCTCAGACACATTCTCGACCTCACCCCGCCGGCCGATCGGTCCCTAGACAATCCTCAAAGGCTATTCATTTCGGGCCTTAGCAACTATCAATCGTATCACTAATCATCTAATGCTCCGAAGTATCGCTACGGCCAACCCTGAATAAAGCCGATCCTTCACTGTGTTTTTAAACACAACCGCTTGAGTGAGTGTGATGCGAGGCACATCGAACTTGTGATCCCGACCAGAGCAAGGCTAAACCGGACCTGGTAGTCGATACGTACGATCTGGATTCGCTCATTACCTGATCCACTCCCACGGGGATTTGCATCTCGTTCAGCAAAGCTTGTTTCCTACTAGGTTTTTCCAGCCCAAAATGCTAATCCCTCCACATACTGACCAAGGTGCGTATCTTTCATCTTCCTCCCGTTGCTGATAGCCACAAGCGACCAGTTAAGATGCGTGTCGGAAAACAGCCGGGTGGAACCATTCCGCAACCATGAACACACAGTGGCACAAGCGAGTACGAGCACAGTGGTTGCAATTCGGTCCAGTTAAGATCGATAATCAGGAGCTGATTGAGGCCCTCGCATCAATGCTCCTCTTGTGGTAGCTAGCGTAATGTCCATTCGTTACTGGACCAGACAAAAGACTGGCTATTATTGGATGCCTTTCAGGACCACAGCTTCTGCCGCAAGCCGAGGATCACTAATTTTCGCAATGCGCAAGAAAAACTGGACCGTTTTTTAGTATTATTGGTATTTCCGCCGTTGGCTTAGTCCCAATGCCACCCCCAGGATTCGTGCTCAGTCATGGTTCTAGTCTCCGCCCAGAGATGAAGCTTTGCTCAACTGTTCACCGAATTGACTTCCCAATCGTTGACTACTCCACTCTATTGATGAGGGCCTAATCACAGACTAAGCCTCAGCCCTGCCTGTACCTGAGCTTTCAGGCCTCTCAGCCAGGACCTCCGCCACTTGAAACCGAGAGCCGTGTCTTAACAAGGTCCGAATTGTATGACAGAGCTTGCATAAGTTCGTTCCTTGGCTGAGGAGAACGGCCGCTCCATTTCAAATCATGTGTCAGTCTCGTTCCTGAAACCCGTCCATCACGAATTTACCAAATGTGTACAACAAAAGCATTGTTAGTCAGTGGTGATCTCGGGGACCCCTCGACACGGCTCCACATACAGTTGGTTGCAAGCTATTGCCGAGGACCACATTCCCGCTGTGAAAGCCTTGTCAATGTGCTTCTACCGCAATTCAGTTCCAAGTCAGGCTTATGACGAGACGTCTCTGGTGCACGACAGCCTGGGACCTGCCCAGCGAAAACTAAGCATTGTGCTGATCTTGCGAGGCTCATGGAAGTCGACTAGTCATGGATTTCACTCTTCCTCAAGGACTAAGCCAGGATCCGCACTATGTCCACCGTTCTCGCACTAAATGCCGGAGTGACCACAGAGTACTCGTAAGGAGGGAGTGGTCCCCGTCTGACAAAGCTCACACGCTACAGTAGCGTTTCGCTGTTCGATGCTACAGCTGTTCTGAGCAGGTTCTCAAAAGGACAAAGCCCCCACTGGGACAAATAGAATCATCACAAACAACGTATGCTTGTGGTAAGTCCCCGCCCTAGACCTCGGTAAGCAAACCGTTAAGCGAAACGCCTCGACATGCTCCCTCATCTCGCTGGGGAACAAAAGTCAAAGTCTAGCAAAAGCAGTGGCAGAGGCAGTGGCAGTGGCAGCATATGATCGAAAAAACCGCTGGTAAATGTGTGGAGCCACCGAAGTCTTGAGAGTTGTGACCTTACCAAGACAGGTGATCCATTACAAGTTCTGATCACCTATGGAAAGCGGTGTTGAGATGAGATACTGCCTATCTGTACGGCACCATCTACACAACGCCATTGGCACGTCACAGTTTGTGTGGAGCTTCACGTGCCTTCCACCGAGTATCAGTTGGCCGCGAGGGTATACCTGCCATCCTCAATGTATATATCCCCACTTACATGACCGGCTTGATGGTTTTGTTGGAAGTCGAGTGGTGACTACCTTGGTGAGACGTTCAGCACACACTTACTCGTATGTCTTGAGCACAACAAAGTCCTGAAGGCTGGAGTTTTGTGATCATATAGTGCTAGACGGGTAACTGAAGTTAATGAAAAAGTACTTGATGACACGGAATTCTGGTCTTCTTCATAGACTCTATTCGCTATTTACGTCTAGTCCACCTATCGATAGCTATGCATCATACCTTGTCTGTCATTGCACGTCGTGAGACTCGTCACTTTCGTCTCCGCCATTTGTCATTTCCCAGACCCGGTACCTCAAGCGCTCGATGACTTCCCTCCTCAACCAGGTTCCTCCTGAATTCGCAAACCACTTGTCGTCGGCAGAAATGTGCTTCGCTGTGCTCTTCCCATGATTTGATCTCTCCGAAACGTTGCGACCCTCCTGGATTTCGCGCTCGATCTCTTCATCGTCCTTTTCCCAGTGGTCGAACCATGCAAATAGAAGCCTCAACTGCCAGAGTTTATTCTTCTGCATTTCCAGGCTCTTCCAAGGCGCGTCGTTGTCAAACATGGTATCGGGTGGGAGAATTCCTTTCTCGAACTCCAGTCTTGTATCTACGACTGTGCCAGTGAGTGGATCTGTTCCACCCTTGGTGGCGGGTTGCAGAACAAGTGCTCGCTCTGCGTGGTCGAAATTTTTAAGAGTCCCGAGATCAAAAAGCCACTCGAATGGATTTGTAACTTTAAACCCTGCACCGGTGGTGGCCGCAGCACCGTATCCGTGAGCAACATTTGGGTCCACGCTAGGTATGCCACTGGCCTCGCTGCGAGCCTGGAACTCCGCAGCGAAAAGATCTTGTGGAGGTCTGTCATATGCAACGCGTCGTGAAATGAAGATGTTCACTGCATTGTCCTTTTTGATTTGAGCTTTGTGTTTAGCTGCAGTGTCTGGCGAGTTTAGGTCGAGCATACCATCCCAGAATCCGTGGCCTTTGACTTCAATGGAAGCAATAGTATCCAACTCCGGAACCAGTCCTGGAATTCGCATAGTTTGGACATCACCATTCTTCAAATGGATCGTCCCTGTCATTCCACCAATAACGGATCCATCAGCCTGGTCTTTTGCGACAAGACATCTCCCCTCCACTGCCAATACCCACAAGTGACGTAAAGCTTGCAAATGACCACGATTATCGAGAACATCGTTGGGAAATACGGGATAGAAGGCGATGCAGAGACTGGCGATTGCAAGGTTCGAGGTGCCAAAGGTTCTTGTTCCACCAGCGAGAAAAAGTGCTCCTAGCGCCATATGGGCAGCAAGATGGCTACCAAATGGAGTGTCTTTGTCAGTTCGGCCATGTAGGGATCGTAGACGCCGCATGACTCGTAAATCGCCAGATCCGGCCATTACCGCTGATGTGGCGAGTGCAATTGTATCTAGACAATTGCGAGTACTATTCAAGGTAACGCGAGCATCATAATTTCGTGCTGGAAGTCGACTCAGTCTAATAAAGTGGTCAAGGTAACTCATGAGTAGATCACGAACATCGTGTCTTTGAGATCCAGCGAAGCGTAATCCAATAGCAAGACATATGCCCGCAATGATATTGAAGAATGGCATGTCCTCCGTGCTAAGAACCTTGGTAGATTTCAGGTCAACTCGATGATGGTATGGCTGAGGAAGGGATGCGCGTATGAAGTCAACTGTTGGTTTCACCGAGTCCCACATGATAAGATGACGAGCTAGCGTGCGTAGGAGAAATACATCGGGTCTCACGTAGTCGAATTGGTGGAGGGTATCTGGAACATCAACTTTTCGAGCGATCGCCTCGTCATTGGTCTTGAGAAATACAAAAGCAATCGCCATCACTGCACCTGCAGTGGCCCGATCAAGAACATGAACCATATTCACGTTCTTGGTCCCCACTGCGATCGCAAGAAGACGTTCGACGACATTCATGTCGTTGAGACCATGTAGATGTTTTCCATGGCCGAGGTTGATTAATCCTAGGGAAAAGCCAGCAGCTAGCCTGTAGCCTTCATCGCGAAGCACGCTTTCAGCTGCAGCACCCTCCTCTGGATCGTTGTTCTCAATCTCTGAGAGCATCACCTCTGACATTCGGCGATGTTGAGAACTATAGTAGAGCAATCCGATGCCAATGATTCCAGTCGTTTGAGTGAGAGGTGATAAATTCAACTCAGCTGCGCCTGGGGGAAGCAGACGAGTGACATGAACCGACAGGAGCCGAGTTATGAGAGTGTCCATCGTGCCGAGAAAAGAGGCCGACAGTCCTAGAATAAGACCGACAGAAGTCATGGTATGTTTGGGTGTGAGGTACTTAAACGCAACCCATTTCGCGAGTGATTTGAGATGTCCGTTCAACCCAAGAGCAAGAAGGAAGCCGGCATGTCGGTTCGTTAACTCTGGGGGTTTGTTGTAGAGGATCCAAGAAGTGTCAATCCCCTGGGCATCATTTGCGATCATTAGACCCATTGAAGCTCCATTATGGAAAAATGCCCAACAGACTTTTTCCTCAGTAAAGGCTGCTTTGTCGGCGCTGAAAGTCATTGCCTGAGTACTTTCGTTCGAGCGCCGAGATTTCATGATGCACTGCAGACTGAAGGCTGGGATTGGCACCCTCTCTGTAAGTAGAGGAACTCGGGCATTGAAATGCATCATTCCTCGCCCTGTAGCCACGGATAGTGTGCGTCGAGTGACATACTGTGCTAATTCTTTCTGGGCGTCGAGAAGCTCAACTTCGGTCCATTCTGGTTCAGGGGTACATTCCACAACAGGAGGTCTCGTTTGGTTGACAAGCTTCGAAGCTTCCGGAAATCTGCGATCTTCATTGAATAGTAGTTTCGTGATGGCATGGCGATCAGCCTCTGAAGATGCATCCCATCGTTGAAGTGTTTCAGTTTCCAATGATGATAAGCAGATTGTGTGGTAATCCCTGACTGCCCCATGGTTTTGAGTGAGAATTATTTTATGGAGCGAAGACCGTTGAACGTCAGTGGTAGGACTGAGTGTGAGAGACTGCCTATCAAGTACTTTTTTTTCGTCAATAGGATCAAGCACAAATGAGCCACGCTTTGACAGTATCGCTTGATACAGAGCGGCTGCTATTCCATCTGGGAAAGTCTTAATCATGGTCTCATCGATCCCAGCTTTTGAAAGCGTATGAATAGTGTGCCGAGTGCCGATGTGATTCCGACTGCTCTGCTCATATGACAGCAAGGCTAACGTGCGAGGTGTCAAGGCAGCGATCCGTTGCCATAGAATGTCCTCCGTATTGATGACCTGCTTGCCACCACCAGCGACCCTGGCCAATGTAAGAAATGGAGATTCTGGAACACCGCGGATCCAATTCTCCAGATGTGCATAAATTGAGGGCGGCGCGAATGGCTGTGCAGGCATCTGGAGACTGTCAATCAAAGCTAAATCGAACAAACAATCTTTTGACTGCGGCGCTTCGAACTCATAATATGAGCCTGCTTGGCATGTCCAGTCCTCCCATCCAAGCCAGTGACCAATCTGTGCCATGATGAATACGAGATCAGATCCGGGTGAGCCTGTTATCGAGGTCGACGACATATTGAGCTTACGTTCTTCATACAAAAGATGCAAACCAAGTAGTATGCTGGGGACGGCATTAGATCTTTCCTCCCGATTCTTGTTCATGGACGTCGGCAGATAACCTTCTGGGCCATTCGCGGCCTCGCCTACAGGTGTCTGTACATATTCTCTCGCCAGGGCAATGCATTTTTGGATGAAAGTATTAGACTTCGACTTCCTGGGGCTGAGGTCTGACGTGATAGGTGGCGCAAACCTGCCACTTTTGACCTTTGGAGTGGAGTCGATGGGATTCTCTTGCTTTTGTGACAGCCAGCTCCACGCAGGATCCTGCACTCGATAAGTAAATTTGGTTTCATGTTCGTCATTCTGCATGGTATCATAACTCGTAAGGTCAACAGCAGTTCCACTACTTGACCGTAAAAACGCACTCTTCTTTCGTCGATGGCTGGGTGTCTGGGGTGTAGTGCTGATGAATGGAACGGCCAAGGAGAAAAGTACAACAACAAGCGTCGTCCATTCTGAGATAATTGGAAATTCTCTAGTCTTCAGCCAACGAGAAACTTCCCAGAAAGAAACAAGTAGGCTTTCTTGCTGCTCAGTACCACTCACAATGTCACACATTTGCAGAATGGACGCGACTAAGGGGTCGGTTGGGCGTAGACGAAGTTGTATGGTATGTTCTTGTTGATCCTGGTCAACTACATAGAAGCGTCCCTGTGCTCCTGATCTTCTCAGAGCTTGTATGTGGATATTTTTGGCTGAGATCGTCCTCCTTATGCCAGCTTCTTGACTTCTCTTTGGACTGGTCACCATCTGCTTGGTTGCAAGAGGATCAAATAGGCCGAAACTTTGCATGAGTTCTAAGCGGTATGACGGCGACCATGGTGCCTCAAGATGTAGAGCCGTGAGCTGAGTTCGAGAATGGGTAAGGACAATCAGGCGCTGAACATCCCCATCGTGGACCTTGCAAGCATCGCTGATACCACTTATTCGCTGAAGCTCGGTAGCTTTGACCTCAAAAGCTTGCGCTTGAAACCGGCTCTTACCGCGCTTGTGGTCATGAAACTTGACCAAAATCTTGACCAAGGTCAATTGCCGAGTTCCCTTGTCCATAATGCAGACAACAAGATCTGTTGAGTGAGGGTTGCCTTGGTGGACGCATGCATGTGGACGTAACGTCGACACTTCGATATCAGCGTTAATATTGAGCGTGTCATTGTCTGCGGATCTTGGAAAGTTCTTAACTTTGAAGAAACCGATATCTCTGGGAAGATTGCTTTCTGAGCCATCAGAAACATCGTCTTCGAGCCGAATCGACCGGCGTAGGGGGTCGAACTCATCCAACAAACCACGAGCAGATAAATCTAAGAATGAAGTGCCAGCACTCATTATAGATGCATTGGCAGTGAACGAGCTTCTTCGACGGAAACCAAGGCTTTGTCGATCGTTAAAACTACCAATTGATTCGCCTCTTCTTCCAACCCTATTGAGACTTTGGCGGCCTGGGTGGCCCATCGCAAGATCGTTAAAATTGTTTCGATCATTTGCGGAACCCAGGTCTGTTCGTGCCAACATAGAGCTGACTCTGCGAGCCGAGCGTGTTTGCACACCAATGTCACCGAACTCGGGTCCCAGTTGTGAAACAAGATCGTTTGGTGGAAATAGCTTCTCCTCGTCGACAGAGGCAAAGAGGCTTTCTCCGTGAGATTGAGGTTGAGCTGAGGCATTGATGCTCTCTCTGAGATGTCCAGGCCCTCGAGTAATTGCAGCAGGTGCAGCGCCCGGATCCCGAGCGTATACGTTTGAGCTTTTCCTCAGAGAAGGACGAGATCTTGTAGAGTTACGGTTGTGGCGTTGGGCTGCATGGAGACGATCTGGAGTGTCCGGACTAACATGCCATAGAGTCAGAGAAGAGTTGGTTTCATTCAAGGTTAGAGCTATGGCTAACGGAGTGCTCATGGACGAAGTCAGACCTAATTCTGAGCAAGAGGAAAGGAAGATAATCTTTTCTGTCCGAGGGAGCGCTCTACAGTTGGCCAATTGTTCTCCTTGACGAGTTGGGCTCCAAACGACCAAGCCCAATTCCGACATGAGGTTAGTATAGGAATAGGTCCGTGGCATGCCATGGGCGTTGGATTTTTGTGGGTTTGAGAGGATGTGTTGTTTTTCGGGTGACAATAAGGATGGCCTGGAACTGTTACCGCCAATGGAGTTGAGGGTTTCATTGATGATACTCAGGTCGTGGTGCAAAGCAGGAACAGGTGTTCGCCCTGTTAGCTCGTCATCTCCCAGTTTCCGTTGCAGCACGAAGCCTAGAGGGAAGGGGAAAGCACTTTCAACCTCAAAGGGTAAGGGCACAACATGAGTGTCTCCTGAGAGGAGAAATATATGGGCGTGTGTCTTGAGCACGACGACCAAGCCACGCTCCATGACCTTGGGTCGTGTTGTACCCTCAGTTGTGTGGCTGGCACCATCGCCTGACGTCAAGTCTGTGACGAAGGCATGTAGGATGGACTCACCCTCGACATTGAGGTTGAGTGCCCGTTTGACGATGCCATTCCTTGACCACACAACACAAGACTCGGTAATTACGATCTCTTCCTCGACAGACTCGGTATTATGGCCACTATGGGTGTGGAGAAGTGACCATTTGTAGAGAGACGGGGAGGGATCAGCAGGGAGAATGGACTCCCCCACCAAGTAAGGCAAAGCAGATGGCTCATGGAGGCCGAGGGATTGGATTGAGGTCATGGCTCGGGACGAATTTCGAGAAGGGGACGGTGGTGGTCATTAGGGTTGTGGGGTTCCAAGAGCCTAGACACAATATAGCCATCCTAGAATAGTATGTCTGACTTCATGAGGAAGTCTACTTCTAGACTGAAGTGGTGGTAGTTGAGACCGAGACTCGTGGCAAGTGTGGAATACAATATCTCAGGTAGACTGGCAGTCGCGTTGTTGTAGAATAAATAAAAGTATGCGGGGAAATTCGGATTCTAAAGACGTGGATGACGGCAGATTTATCACCATAGACGGACAAATGACACTTGTCCCTTAATACCATGAGGCGCCTCCCGTCCGCGACGCGACTAACTTCACTGCATCCAAACTCCAACTGCAATTCAACTTAGTAGAGCTCTGGACGTCCGTACTTTTGATTGAACTCCTTACACATTGTCAATCAATCAGTCTCCCAATCACAACCGGATCAACTCTACCTCAACTTCCAACCCTACACTCAACGACATCATTCTATCTCCTCGCCATGGACTATTCTGTCCTGCGGCAGAAAGACCGCTATCAGCTCAGGTATGGTTCGAAGTCCTGTGGCTTGTTTTGGTCTCTTGCTAATCGGATCCCACAGTTACGACCTCTCACATAAGGCATATACCTCCTATGTGTATCCTCGTCAGTCTTCCAATGGATCTACTGTCATAGTTTATGGCCATGAGCGAGGATTGCGTATAATCTGGTATGCCGGAAAGAACTTGAAATCTCCCCAAAAAGTCTCCCCACCAAAGACAAATGGTTCCGCAAAGACTGATCCTATGGTCATTGACTTGTCCTCCGACGATGGAGAAGATCAATCCGCATCTGTTTCACCTCCGGAATTTGAAGACGAGGAGGAAGAGATCGATCCCGCAAAGCCTTACCGTGGTATCATACGTCAGATTGATATTCCCTTGGGGACCGCAGCCTTACGAATTGCAATCCCACACATCCCCAAAGACATTGCTCAAGCTCCTCCGGACTCTTGGCCACCTGTATTTCTGGACCATATCCTGGTTGCAGCCGCATGTGCAGATTCTTCCTTGCAAATCATCATTGCTCCACTCCTCCCTCCTAGTCTAGAAGTTCAGGATTTCACCAAACTCGGCATTCAGACTTTGAAAATTGTTGGTCCTAATTCCCACCAAGAGTTCATCTCCGACATAGCCGTCACCCACACGCTTGATGTTGAAAGGGATGATTCGGAAAATGATACACAAGCCAGGTCCAGACCTCAGACTCGTTCACAACCAAATCAAAACTCAACCGACACCAATGCGCAAAAATGGTCATTGCTAATAGCATCAATCTCGTCTACAGGGTCAGGTTTACTCTTGGTTCATCAGATCCCTCTGATAGGACAAGCATCCCTGTCCCCAAAGCCCGAACACCTACTCCCATTGAGGAGGCAATTCTTACGTTCTTCGGCTCTTGGTGCCACCATGTCCTTCAATCCTTCTCCTTACCCTAATGATCGACATTCCACTCTACTCTTCACTCTCCCCGCAACCTCTACAGTCAAACTTTACCAAGTCTTTCCGACCCATACAAGAGAACGTCGTGGCTCAACAGCAACCTCAGATTCTGCTTCTACTCGCGCTTCTTTGCGGACTTCTGGTCCCGACAAAGGCAGGATTCTCGCAACATTTCTTCCTCCTTTCCTTCACAACAACAGTGCAATCCTACCTCGAAGGAAGAAGTGCCTGGATGCTCAATGGATCGCTAGTGGCCGTGCTGTGTTAGCACTCCTCGAGGATGGTGAGTGGGGTATTTGGGATGTTGAAGCTATTGGACCCAACTCCTCTGGCACGCGGAGCAATCTTATCCAGGGCCAATCCAACATTTCGGGTCTTCAAGGAGGTTCTATCACGAAATTTGCCATTCGATCCACTATTTTCCCGTCAGAAGGAAAACAAGCAATTTCTTCAGATGGTCAGGCCCAGCCAACTTCAGGCTCCCTGGCCCTGATGACACCATCAACACGAAAGATTCGTTCTGAGGGTTTGTTCCATGGTGCTTCGCATCAGGATGCGGACCAGACGACCTCTCAGAGTCCTCATGGAAGTATATGTGTAGACGAACAGCCGACCAAGAATGGCAGGCCACTTGACGAATCCATCATCATCAATTACGCTCGTGAACACATTTATATTCCATCGGTGTCAGCGTTCTGGAAGTCAGATGTTAAGCCTATTCGCTTACCCGCCGTCAAATTGGGTGGACAGCAGCCGCGCAGAGTTGGGCTCCTTCACGATATGGACGCGAAGGCCCAAGCAGGGGGTGCAATCTTCAGCTCTACCTCGTCATCCGTCCCAAATTTTGTGGTGCAGACCTCTCATCGTCTGATTTTATCCGTCCATGGTCTCTCAGATACCACAGAACAGCCTTCAACATCCTTGAAATCTGGCGACGCCCTTCCACTTTCTTTCACAAAATCCACCTCTGACCAGGTGTTACTCAACTCTGGAGATCTAGATATCGATGGCATGGATCGAATCATTACCAATATGGGTACCGCTGGTCGAAGATCCAAACCACTGAACCTTTCAGCCAACAACACGTTCATCAATCGAGAAGCCTGGACTCAGGAAGAACCTGATGAGGACGTCGATATGATGGCAAACTCGCCAACGCCATTACATCATTCATCCCGTGGATTTCCCACTCACACCGAAGGATTTTCGCCGCAAAAACGTCGATCATCCAGAGAAAGAAATCGATTATCCCATAACCGTGTGCGGCCAACTACAGAGCGACGCGTCTTTACTTGATCAATATCTTCCTCAATGTTACAGAACGCTATCATGAGGATTCACAAACCTCGTTCAATCCTGCGGTTGATTCGACCCGGCTATGAAACATTTGCAAACAGCGGAGAAATACTTCTCCTCAAATCATGATACCCACCATAGAATTTTGAGCACTTCCGAGATTCAGCTCACTGGGAGCGCCGTCTTGAGTTTGCTCTGATGAGAAGGCGTGGATAGTTGAAGCAGCTAATTTACCAAGTCCGGATCCTCCGTGATTGTGTTCGTCGCTTTTCAGTACACCACTCTGTCCAGGCCGTATCAAGTCTACTGCTCGAAATCCAGTGTCCCTCGTTTGTTGCTTTTATGTTACCCGTTTCTCACTTCTACGTCATTCCCCCCCCCCCCCCCCCATACAACCCCCAAACTCGCGATGCCAGGTGGAGCACAAGGTGAGATCAATACCTTTGTCAAAACACACAAGCTCAGTATCCTTCGCGAAAGATCAAAGGAAGAGAAGAAGAAACGGACACTCCCCCGACCCTCCCGGCCCTCCGATCTAGGATGAATTTCCCAGATCGTGAGTTCCAACCCTGGAGTGGCGCATGGTGATGTTTTCGAGCCCTTTGTTGTTTTTATGCAAAGAGCAAGTCTCTTCTTACATTTACCCGAAACCCTCATATAGTATGATTCACACTCCAAGCCCATGCTCCCCATCGTTTCACATGGGGGTCCTCAGGGGGAATTGGCCTTTTTGTCGTCTGACTTCTGGCAATTAAATGCATCTGGCTTCTGAGGTCCGTGGTGCACCGGGGAACTCGCGCTGGCGATGAGCTCTTTTCTCCTGACGAGCGGAGTGTTCGGAAGACCTTGAGCTGGACTGAGCTGCCAATTTAGAGATATTGAAAAAAGGATATGTTCTCCCACCTACTACCCATATACCAAGATTTGTCTGTTCAACCGAAGATATACTCGATGTATTGCAGTCGATTTGAGTAACCTACCTAGGTTGATAATCCGTTTTTGGAATTGTGTACCTAGCTAGGCAGTGCAGGGCGTTGAGGCGTTACCGCGACTACTTAGGTACTTGACTGCAAATCAGGCTGTTTACCAAACGAACTGGAGGGCCACGACTGACATGTGCTCTTGTCATGAACCCCGACAGGGACCTTAGAGCTAGTTAGGACACCCAACCAAGATGATTCCTTGACATCCGTAGGTCCACCCACCGGCACGCACAGTGCGAATCGCTTGACTTGATATCTAGCAAGACGCGGGGTAACATCGTTTTCCTGTTCCTCCAATTGGAGGACAACAACAACCTTTGTAGGACTAAGAACATTCATATTGGTCGATCCTCGCTCAGAGAAACCTGGAATACGAAACAGCTCTCGAGGTAACCCCGATTGACAAGCCTTCGTTTACTGCTTAGCAAACCTGTAAAGGCAACATGTCGCCTGCCACATTCTGGACTGGGATAGATTCCCCGGTTCGTGTGATTGGGGAGAGCAGGGAAGCTGTACTCAACCAGAGACCTGTCTAGACTCTGAGTTCTTCACGGACAGGCGCCCATTGAACTGTAAGTCATAAAACGGAACGAGGAGTAGGAGGAACAAATGAGGGGCAAGGTCTGCAAGCGACATTTCAACTTGGTTAAAAGAAGGACTGATTCGATCCCAATCATTCCCTCGCAAGCGACATGCTCGACTTCTTGAGCCACTGGTTGCTCGCTCGTTCTATCTCTTTTCCCTTCGAACTTCTCTGAACATTCAAATCAACGGTGCAAAAGCCCAGGAACTCCAGGACACCCGTCAGACATTAGGCTTTTAGACACGGCACGCGTCAGTGCTCTAAGCACGTTGACTCTGTGATTCAGCCTTCCTACTCTGCTACGTCATCATCTCTACCCACATCGGTCGATCAGGCACAGATCAGAGGCACGTCTCTAAGCCTGACCACCACATATTAGGGCAGGCCACTTAAAGTCGAGTACCGCATTCAACCTAGGTACTCGTGCGAGTAATATATATCGCACAGGCAATATCACGCGAGTGCCCACCTACAACCGTGGTCACCCCAGTCGCCATTTCTGTCGAACAGTGGTACAATACTCGAGTTCCAGACTTTATTTAACTTGACCACATTTCCTTTCCTTTTTGCTATCTGGTATCTTATCATTGATACAGTCGAGCTATTGAACGTATTCACGAATATCCACCAAACCAATCCAAATCTACCAACCAACAAATACCCTCATCAGTCAGCAGCCTGAATCAAGATGTTTTTCAAACAGACGGGCTACAAGCCACGCACGAACAGCCAATCATCAGGTAAATCAGGAAGCGCCTCTGTAGCCAGCAGCCCTCCCAAGGACGAGACCAAGACAGCCAGTACGGCTGCTGCTGGTGACAATACCGTTGTCTCAGCGGCTGTCGCTGGACGACGAAGAGTGAGTTTGTTTGATAATCACCATGAGCAATATTCAGGGGGGACATCGTGAATACTAACAACGGTGTGTACAGTCCTCAGCTGCTGGTGCAGACAAGTTCGCTGGACTGCAAGGCTTGAAGCGAGGGAGCCAGGATACGACCAAGTGGGCGGAGCAGAAGCCTGGCCAGGATGGTATTCTGGGTGGTATGTGGAATAGCTTTACCAAGGGTTCATAAGATATCCTTTTCGAAATCTTGGATGCTCAGGGGAAAACTTAGGGGGATTCGGCATTAAAGGCCCCCACCGTATTGCTATCGAGTATGACCCGAAACCGAAATTGTCTCATTGCGATGAATCATGAACTAGGAGGGAGAAGCAGGTCCATCATGTTGGCTGAATTTATTGTCCTACCGTTCTCCTGCGAAGCAGATATATTTTAATTGAGTGTACGATGTCGGCACTTCCGATCAGGCTCGATGCTATTGACCTGGCATAAGCCTTCGACAGTTCGAGGGATTATCGACTGTCATCTTCCTCAAGCCTCCTTCTCACACATAATTTACAGTTCAATCCACTCGTGTTGTTGAACACTTGCGTGTGAATCTCTCATTCGATAGTACATCTCCGACATGTAGACGACGTGCAAGCGTACAATTTTGCCGTTCCCGCCAGTTGTAAATCGACCATGTTCTGGACCCCTGCTTCTGCTTCTTCTTTCTGCTCTTCTTCTCCATCATCGCCAGTAATCTCTGCAGTACTCTGCTTCCTCTTCTGCCAGCTGCTGATCTAGCATCTGCTGCATCTCTGATTCGTCATCATCAATCTTCTCTGTCAACTTCAGAGGTGGAATTGGCGCACTTGCGTAGTCCCTGACCATCAAATCTCTCAGGGGTGGTGTCTGGACAATTACCTTGCGAGGCCTGGGTCGTGGTCGAAAGGGAACGTCTGGCGTGGTCGCGTGGGACCAGCCTCGCCAGCCTGAAGTATCTGACTCTTCAGAGCAGGGGCTGCCTTCGGGTCCGGTCGAGAACACCGAGAGACTTCTACTGCATCGCTCCCTGTAGATACCTTGTACGAAGTTTTCAAATTCCCTGTGTCGAATGCCTTGACTGTAGCCCTCGACCTCAAAAGCTCTTATAACCGCATATGCAAAGATTTCCTTGTAGCGATAAGGGATGTCGTCAATAGACTAGGAATATATGTTAGTACACCCTGAGAGGTAGAATCTCGTAACACTCACGCTTCCAAGGAGCAAGCCGCTGTCGTATCGCAATTCTTTGACTAGTTCCATTGCGCCTAGAAGTTTATAGATTGCTTCGTTGGTAAGCTCTGCGACCAGTTCATTAGGGACAGCGCCCCAAATAATAAACTATAAGGAGTCATGTTAGCTCCTTATTCTTCAGGCAAGAGATTTCCCGCTTATAAATACCTCGCCAGTCCCAGTATAATTGCGTTGATGCTCAGACTTCATTGGATTTTCATCACGAATCTTTCTCAACTTGCCGAACCTCTCATCGGTATTCTTTAGATCTTTGCAGAGAGTTGGGACAAGCCAGATTTTATCGCGCTCTATGCCAAAGCGACTCTTGAGGCTCTCTTCCACCTCATTGTAGTCGATGACTGCTAAGTGGAGTTCGTGTTTTGCGGCCGCCATGATCTTTAGAGCTCGACTGAGATATTCGGTGAAACTAAGCCATGGCGAGTTGAAAGTTTCGTCGCTACTTAGATGGCAATATGCCGAGTCTCTAAACTCTTGTGAGCCATATTTTGGGGGACATGACACTGGAGTCGAATTAGTTAAAAATCTTCGGGCTTGTAGACCGTGGCTAGGGCGAAATGCCCGAAACAATAGGCGTGGTCGTGTAGGCACTTTCTTGCCATTGTAGTCGCGGCGAACCCTCAACTTAGGAAACACTCGATCCTCTTCATTCTCGACGGGTCCATCTTCGAAGCCATCAAGGCTAGACTCGTCGCTTGCTTCCTGCCAGGAACTCCCGGAACACGATGTATCCGAATCAGTAGATCCTGCTAGTGACCGCTCGGAGGCCGAGTAGGTTCCTCTCTGGTCGAAAGTTACCCTTCTCCTCTTTGTAGGGGTTTCAGTCTCGGAATCAGCTGTAGAGTCTGTTGATTGCCGTGATCTCGAGGTAGGATTGGCAGCTTCTGCAACGGGCCTCAACTCGATATCCATAGAAGCGGCTACTGCCTCGATCTTGTTTCGGACAAGGCGACTTGACCGCAATGCCTGCTGAAAATCTAGCTGACCAAAATGTCTGAATCTTTTGCCTCGTGGGGATTGGCGTAAATCGGCGACTTGAGAGACCACAGCGCCAGTGGTGAGGCCGTTGTCAAAGCCCTCATGATTCAGTTCTTTTGCATAAAATTTGTTGAAAACGTCCCGCCGTTCGTCACTACTGATATCATAAAATCGCTCCAGGACAGCGAGCGTGTCCCTTTGTTCGGCAGTCCATCGATGCTTGGGTGTGCCTTGGTCCATGATTGAGATAATAGATCTGGTCGACATCGGTCAATGGCGTAGGGAATGGATTTGAACTTGACTGAGATCGAAGGTGTCGCTGGTGGAAGTTGCAAAGAGGGAAGTACTGAAGGGCGAGACGAAGATGAGGTTTAGGCAGGGAAGGTGAGGAGTGTAGAAGCTTATGCAAGAGAGTCAGTATGGGTAAAAGAGAAATCATAGTTGTCACATTAATAGGGCTAAGTATTGCGTAGGTTGATAGCAAGAAGAGATGAAATAGAAGTGAGAACAAAGTGAGTCGTTATTCATGGCTTGATTGAGTGACTGACTGACGAGATCTAAGGTCTTTATCGAATCTATCAGTCTTCTGTACCCAGAGCGTGCTACCGATCGATAAGACCGGCTGTTCGAATCTATCTGAGAAGCTCAGCGCAATAACTAGGTACTACCAAGAGCGTACTCCATGTCGATAAGGCTGGTCAGGGTTCTCTTCTTAGTCATGTCGGCATCTGAGATAACGGCACTCGACGGGGACAAGGCTGCGTACCTCTGCAAAAAAGGGGAAGTGATGGGGTCGGACCGGAATAAGCATGCCCAGAGTTTGGCGCGGGAGGCATTTGGTATCCGACTTGGGTGCAGGTCGCTAGTTAATACTGCACCGTAGATTCACTTCCTCTCCAATACGTCAGGTAGGTACTATCGTTCTCCTCCACCAGACAATACTCACACTGTCAAACGATAGACTCGCCCAACTGCTCAATGTTACTCTGAAGAGGCAGAATTTACTCGTTCCCCCGCATTACCCACCTTGACACCAAGATGGAGGAGGCAGAGGCAGCGCAATATCTAGAATCGTTGTTAGGCAAGACATTACACGTGACAATCCCCGATGGTATGACTGGTGTTCGAGGTTTCGATATATGATGGCTGATGAGATGTCTTGTAGGAAGGCTCTTCAACGGCACGTTCCGTTGTACAGATCGAGTAATAGATACCAGCAAATACTCGACGCCATGACTGACAGGCTGACAAATCGTAGGACAGTAACATCATCTTATCAAATGCTTTCGAATATCGCATGCCAAACAAGGCTACCGAAGCAGCCGCGATCAGCGCAGCGAGAGCGACAGGTCAAACAACTCGAGCGGATATGATATCGAGATTTGTTGGACTAATAGTGATTCCCGGGAAGCAGATCGCGAAGATGGAAGCCGAAGAACGGAGAGACTACCCAAGTGGACTTGTTCGGCCTCTTACTATTCAAACGAGGTCCTGAGTCGTTAGAGAAAGGGGTTAGGGAATGCGTGCATTTGATGTTTTCAACACAGACCTAGTTAGCGTGGGTTGGAAATCAACAGAGTTGTCTTCACAGCTAGAGGACAGGTAATGTTGCACACAGACGAGTTATGGACCAAGATGTGCAACAATGAGAGCCTGGGGGCCACCAGATCCATCTTAGATCCATCTCCATGACCATGTCAGATCCGAGGTTGCTGAACAATAGCAAGAGAGTTTCGGTGCCAAGCAGCGGAATCGGTCTGGCCAAGAGGACAGATATTGAGGCTGGAGAATTGGGTGTTTGACTGGCGGTTTTAAGGCAGGTATGGCCGAAGTCACGCCAGTGCCAGTGGTCGTCCGGCATGTGTTTGCCGCACGAGTGTTGGTGGTTGATGGGCCCGAGGGGCCCGAACGCCTACTAGTTAGACTGGTTCAACTTCACTCTAGGCAGGGTCCTTACTCCTTAGGGCCCAATGGGGGCAACCAAAGACCCAAGTTTGGCCAGGATTCTGGGTAGGGCGGACTCCCTATGGCCAACCACAGGCCCATGACAGGGGACTTTGCAACTACCTCCGCTCCCCGGGGCAGGGACTACCGACTCGTCAAATACCCGTACCTCTCCCAGACTTCTAGGCTTTCAGCGGATGGCCAGTCTCGAAAGCGCTGCATCCATCCATGGGCTCAGGCTTCGCTGTTCCGTGCCAGTGCCAGTGCCAATACATTTGTCCATCTACATACAATCCCAAAGCTCTTTACCTTGGATCAAATCTCAGCCCCAGAGCGTCCTCCCCAAATCAACTACATTCTCGCAAAGCTCTCCTTCCTTGACTCTTTCTTTGTATCCTGAAAACGCGTCGACACTCCACTACTCCTTCTCTTACAGGTTAGTCCAGGTGGCCACCTCCCTCGTATCTGATCGAAACCCCCGATTTGGGCCAGTGACGCAACACTGTTTCACTTGGGTCGATGATACAAAATCAATCACGAGTGATGATCTAGTTACTTAGCTACTGCTCTACATAATTACCTCGTTATTGCTGAGCAGGTCGCACGCCAATTGGTGCAATCTGCCATTCCTCCTACCCGCCGCCCAACTTTCACTGACATATGACTCCCTTCTTCTCGCAGGCAAGACAAAGAGGACAATTACCAAGAGACCTACAATCCCCTCCAGAACCCTATTGTCGACATCTTTCTTGAACATCTTGCAATCCATGATAATCAAACGAGGAAGATCAACCTATTAAGTCTACGTGGGTCAAACAGGACAACGCGCGCTCTCATCAGAGGCCCGCTCTGCAAAGCCGCCAAAACGCATTCCTCAAAGCTTCTGCTTATCTCACTCCTCAAACCTCCCTGACTCCGGCTCTTCCACACTCGACTCGTATCGCCTTCGTTCATCCCTGTGCCAGCTGATTGCATTAAATGGGTCAACAACAATCAAAGAGTAGCGATGGGACCAGGACTCCAGTAAAAAGTTCCTCGTCACAAAATCTCCCCGAGACTTTGCAACAATATCCTTCCATTTCAAAGTCTGATACAAAAGACAGTTCCTCCAGGTCCATTCGATCCTCTATACGAAGCAAAATCAAGAGCTCAGGAGACGATAAGACAAACGATAGCCCTAGAGCTTCCGCATCCGCGCTTTCCAATGTTGACGGAACAAACAGTGATAGGGCAGATGCAAGCTCTATTGCAAGTGGACGCTCAGGCTCGTCACGAGCCACAAAGGATAAGTTCAGCAACGGCCCATTAGTCGAATCTCCAACATCTCCAACCGACGATGATGACGCCCCATCTCCAGGTACCACAACCCCTGCACGACCGCCATCACCAACGCAGTCCAAGTCGGTTGGAAAAGGGCACAAATCGGTCGATAGAGCCCAGAGGACTGGGGAGGTCGGGGCAGTCTCGGATGAAGCCCCACACCAAGCCCACCACCATTCTTCTACCCAGAAGGCTGGCGAATCCATCCTGGTCAAGCGCGAGAACCAAATCAACCCAAGGGCTCCCGAGACGAAAGCTTCACTTCGAGCAAAACTTGCTGATCTCCCAGGCGCATCGCCAGGAGGAGGGATGGGCATTGGAGAGGTGAACGACATGGATTTGGATGACATGATTTCCCGGTTGTTAGATGCTGGATACACCACCAAGGTCACCAAAGCAGTATGCCTTAAGAACGCCGAGATCACAGCAGTATGTACTGCTGTTCGAGAGGTACTGTTATCGCAGCCAGCCTTGTTGGAGTTGAGTGCGCCAGTCAAGATCGTGGGTGATATCCATGGCCAGTACAATGACCTGATCCGGTTGTTCGAGATGTGTGGTTTCCCTCCCAGTTCCAACTTCTTGTTCTTGGGTGACTACGTGGATCGAGGGAAACAGTCACTCGAGACTATCCTTCTCCTCTTTTGCTACAAGTTGAAATATCCCGAGAACTTCTTCATTCTTCGTGGCAACCACGAGTGCGCCAATGTCACTCGTGTCTATGGTTTCTACGACGAATGCAAGCGGAGATGCAATATCAAGGTGTGGAAGACATTTATTGACACCTTCAACTGTCTGCCCATTGCTTCCATTGTGGCAGACAAAATCTTCTGTGTTCATGGTGGACTCTCACCTAGTCTTTCCCATATGGATGACATCCGTCAAATTGCACGACCAACAGATGTTCCGGACTATGGACTTTTGAACGACTTATTGTGGAGTGACCCTGCCGACATGGACCAAGATTGGGAGTCTAATGAGAGAGGAGTCAGTTACTGTTTTGGTAAGAAGGTCATAGTAGACTTCCTTGCTCGGCATGACTTCGACCTTGTCTGTCGTGCTCATATGGTGGTGGAGGATGGGTACGAATTTTTCAACGATCGACTATTAGTCACTGTTTTCTCTGCACCAAATGTAAGTGAAGTTATTGTTTCAAGTGAATCTGGAATTATACTAATGGTCGTAGTACTGCGGCGAGTTTGACAACTGGGGAGCTGTAATGTCTGTCTCCAGCAATTTGCTATGTAGCTTCGAGTTACTGAAGCCTTTGGATTCGAGCGCACTGAAGAATCATATCAAGAAAGGACGTAATGCACGCCAAAACATGCTCAACAGTCCAGTAAGTCTATCAATTTCCAATGATCTTGCAATAAGATTAACCAAGTTCTTTAGCCGGCACAAGTTTCAGCTCAAAGCTTCTAAAGCGTGGTTCACAGCAAATGTGGTCAACAACGACCAATTGCTTCCATAGCCCCACGAGGCATCTGTTTCAGTACCCGTGGAGAAGTGCCAGGCTTCAGGTCAGAATTCTAAACAACATGATTATGAGTACAGCACAAAGAGGTCTCCATGCTTATCCGTATTGCGCTGGCGAAGAGGTCCCTCTTCTGCTGTGAAGTTGCCCTGCGTTAGCGGAACGGAGACCTGACCCACCACCCCGACTCACAAGATGCAGACCAGGGTATAATGTGAGCGAGCAACAGAAAAGACAAGCAGTCAGGAAAGTAATACAAAAGCTTAAGGTCTCGAACGATTGTGGATAGTTTGACAAGGACGTCCTCAGCGTGTCTATTCGCAGAGCACCATGTACTGACGTACTGAAGTTGTATCAGAAATCACAAGTGGTGTTATGGCGGGCTTCTCGGAGACCAAGGAGACGACGAAATGGGGTAACGAAAACGAGCCACGCTCGATGAGTATAGACGGGGGAATCTGGCTGAGGTAGTGGGGTTGAGACTACATTATTTTTCTACATTGTTGCTTCATGGGACGTAGTCGTCTTCTTGCCTACCTATCTAGGTAGGTAATATCTTATTGACTCCAATATTGCAATCTGATGGCACTTTTCACCAAAATCAACTTGAATCACCCAGTGGCTGACTAAGATCCCAGGTGGACCCACGTGACGCGTGACAGATCGATGACGTAGCGGTGGTCCCTGCTGTGCCCAACTTGAAACTTGAAACCCAAGTCTGGGGATGATCACCACTGCGACTCCAAGTCACACTTTCTTGCATGAGTCCTCCTTTAGCGACTTGGACTTGTTACCGAGATCTTTCTGTCCAAGGCTCTGGTCCTAAAGTATTCTTGGTTCGGACCTCGCTTTCTAGACGTGGTCTCATAACCTTCCAGCCATCATTCCACCTATTCCATCTATAACACAGCTGTTTCACCACTCTCACTGCTAACAGGCAACCCCCGCAACCAGACTTTACCTCTTCTTGAACCAACCTCCACTCAGCCCTCCAGGGGTTCCCACAGCGTCTCTTTACTGCGATCCAACAACGTCAAGTAATCATACAACTTTCAAAAGTGTACAACCATACTTGAGACCTGCTCACTCACCAAACTATCCCATCCTCAGACATTGCAAACCCGACTTCCAACAACTTTCCATCCTCACCTGCGTCCATCGCTTCCTGCCCACCCTCGAGGTTGGATAGCCAATCCAAGATGCCGAACAGAGGCCCAACACTGATCAACCGTAGGCACCTGCAAACCCCAGGCGGAAGAGAACATACTGACCAGTACATCAGTTCCCCCTCCACCATCAGATCCTGCCACCCCGAGTGAGATGGGACCCGGCACGCCAAACTCTACAACTACCTGCCTCTCAACCTTGTCCGTAGTCGCAATTAAAGACGGCGCGATGGGACACAGCGGGCGAGGCGCCGCTGCATCTGCCAATACTCTTGAAGCTGAAAGAGCCGATCGAATCTCCCGTCTTGCAGGTCTCGAACGTGTCGCTACTTCTCGGCAACCACATCTTGGACAATTTGGCTCCGGACCGGGCGCCTTGTATGGGCAAGGCTCCTTTGACAATGTACCACAAGTGAGAGAAAGAAGTACCGTCGGCAGTGCGAGTGCGACAGGAAGTGTAGGAGGCAGAACCACTTGGGCAAGTGAGAGCATGGACTACGATGCAGATAAAATGAGTGAGGATCAAGACGAGGTGTCAAGCACTGGAGGTTTCAGCGATGAGGACAAAGCCAGCCTGGTGGGATTCGGTGAAGGAGCAGGAAGCACCGTCAGCGGTCCCGTGTCTGCACCATATAATTCTCGAGCGTCAATCTCACGACAGAGCACGAATGTCAACGCGCCCTCAACACCACGCACGGGAAACATTCCGGCATTTGGGTCGGGGCAAAGCACACCTATGAGTGGCATCATTCCTAGTGGACCTACTGGGAGCACCGACCCCAAAATGATGGACGGGATGAGTTACGATCAAAATTTCGTTGATACGACGATGCAGCCAGCCCCACCGATCGACCAGTCTTATCAGGGCAACCGATTCTCGGGTGTGGGAACAGAAATGGCGGAGGGAATCCTACGAGATCGGATAAGTGAGGCGGATCAAGGGCGTCGACCTTTGGGCACGGCTGAAGGCCAGACTCTTGGTAAATTTCCGTTCGAAAAGGAATGAAGGTCTTTGAAGTTTCGGGGCGTGGAGTTTGCTATGGGTTGCCAGTTCACCGACCCTTGAATTAATAGGCTGCTGAATTGACCGAGGCTCTATCGGTTAGCATGTATGATATCCCCTCTTTGACAAGGTCAAAATAGACCTTGAACGCAAATAGAACGAATGCGGTTCTTTCAATTGGGATGTACGGAATATGAACCTCGTTGATTGCATGTTTACGACTTGCGTATCAAATGGACATGGGCAAGGCTGTGGGTGCATGGTTTCAGCATAAATCAAGGGCGAGAATAATGGTCTTGGCCAACGGAAGGCCAATGGATGAATGGTGACAGGCTGGTGTGAGGCTGCCACTGTGTAGCCCGTGGCTTAGCGTGGCTCGAGGGATGTTAGGCCCGCTTCCCAGTTGAACCTGCCCATAAGTGTGGGCGGTCGAGCCGACTCCGTAGAGGCCTTTTGAGCCACAAGGGCCCTAAATATTTTTTTCCACTTAGCGTTCCAGTGCCGGTGACCGCACCCATGGACCCTAGCCTTGGGCACCTCAAGACTCAAGAGTCAAGGCTCTTACGTATGGGGCGGTCTGTGTTTGCGCCCTCTCCGTTGGCCGACGTGCGCGGCGCTCGTCCCCATTCATTCTCTGCGCTTCCCTGGGTTATTATGTGTACACTTTATTTACATCAACTTTCTCACTTCCCTTTTTTCTTTGCCTTGTTCTTTGTCCCTCTTCACCCTTCTTCCTTCCTCGCCTCGTCACCAAGCAATCCGTTCGTCTACCGCAATCGCTGACATTGACTTGTCAAGTACGGAAGCAGCCGAATTGTGACCATTCCACTGTGTCTTCTGCCCCAGATTTCCCTTCGCCGGATTTTTCACCCCGGTCTTGAGAAATCACATCCTCTGGACTTGCTCCACGTCTTTCGGCCTCTACACTCTTGAACAATTGTCAACCAAATACTGCTCTTCCAAAACCACTCAGATACCGAGTTTCTGCTTTGCTGCAACTCATCATGGCTGTTGCAACCCAATTTGCTTGTCAGTGACCACCCCAGCCTTCGCCGCAGCCAATGCTGACCTACTGTCATAGTTCGCACTCTCAAGGGCGTCGGTGTAGTGAATGGTGCACCCACTTATGAGTCTTTGCCAGGATTTCAGAGGTATTTTCCGATCTGCCTTGTCAGCACCCGAAATGTGTTACTAACATTCTGCATTCTAGACCCGAAGGAAACATTCGTGCTTGTGGCTACTCCCCTTGCGGCCGATACTTTGCATGGACTTCTGTTGAACAGTACGATGAGCAACCTTCTCCCCCATGACGTTCAATAATTAACCATATGCTTAGGGTGACCATCATCAATGCGGACAACGGCAACGTGGTGTCTACACTACCGGCAGAGAATGTCTTCGAACTCGGCTTTTCCCCCTTGGGTACCTATGTCATCACTTGGCAACGGTCCTCCAAAGACGAAAATGGCGATGCGGTGAAGAACCTCAAGGTTTGGTTGGTCATTGATGAAAAAGCCGCATCAGAAGGCGTGGAGAAACAGCCTTTGGCTAGATATGTTCAGAAGTCCCAGACTGGATGGAACTTGCAGTACACTTATGACGAGGCTTATTGTGCGAGAACTGTCACCAATGAAATACAAATCTACGAGAGCCACGACCTTTCGACTGTCTGGAATAAGATCCGAGTCGAGGGAATCACGGATTTCGCCGTCTCTCCAGGAAAGAACTATTCGATTGCTGCTTTCTTGCCAGAGAAAAAGGTATTTGGGCCTACTTTTCCTCACAAACTCAAATCTAATGAAGTCTCAGGGACAACCGGCTGCAGTTCGCATCTACAACGTGCCGAATTTTACCACTCCTGTTTCCCAGAAGAATTTTTTCAAGGGTGACAAGGTGCAATTGAAGTGGAACGATGATGGCACTTCTCTCCTCGTGCTGGCACAGACAGAGGTTGACAAAACTGGAAAGAGCTACTATGGAGAGACCACTCTGTACCTGCTCAGTGCCAATGGGGGCTTTGACTCCAGGATTGACCTTGGTACGAATGCGTCTCAATCTTATATATCACTTGTTGGCTAATATTCCCCAGACAAAGAAGGTCCAGTACACGATGTGTCATGGTCTCCAAAATCCACCAGTTTCGCCGTTGTCTATGGCTACATGCCAGCGAAAACTGTCATTTTCAACGCCAAAGCCCAGACCGTCCACACCTTCCCTCTTGGCCCCAGAAATACCGTACTTTTCTCTCCGCATGGCAAATTCGTGCTCGTGGCAGGCTTTGGAAATCTGGCAGGCCAAATGGATATCTATGATCTTGAAAAAGATTTCACCAAGATTTGCACCGTCGAAGCAAGCAATGCTAGTGTCTGTGAATGGTCCCCAGACGGGACGCATATCCTGACTGCAACTACTTCACCTCGTCTGAGAGTCGACAACAGCATTCGCATTTGGCATGCAAGTGGCCCACTTGTCTACAATGAAGACATGAACGAATTGTACAATGTCTATTGGCGCCCTCAAGCTTCTTCATTGCATCCCTTGGGCCCAAACCCACTTGCATCAGCTCCGGTCACACATAGTAGTGCTGCGGACTATATGGCCACAAAAAAGACACCAAGCAAGCCCGCAGGTGCTTACAGACCTCCAGGAGCAAGGGGTCAAGTGACACCGCTGTCCTTTAAGCGTGAGGATGAGGGTGGTGCCGCCTATGTCCGTGACGGCGCTTCGTCATTTGCCAGCAGTATTAACGGATTTGGAAAATCACGCCACCGTAGCGTGCCTGGTGCTGAAGCTGTAGAAGAGAAGACTCCGCTGCCACCGGGAGCAGCTCCCGGTGGTGGTGTGAGTCTCACTGGGACAGGTGAAGGGGCGGATGGAGAGCCACTTTCCAAGGCTGCCAAGAAAAATGCAAAGAAGCGTGAAGCAAAGAAAGCCGCTGCCGCCGCTGCACGTGAGCAAGGGACAACAAACAACCTTGCACCAGAGCAAAGTGGTGGCAGGGGAAAGAGCCCAAATCGCAGTCCAGATGGTCGTGGTCACAATCGAAGCCGAAGCCGGAACTTTGTACCCGCCCCAGCAGCCGGTTTGGAGCCTCCCACTGGCCCCAAGAAGGAACGTAGTCGGAGCAATTCCCGCAGACAACGAGGTGATACAACGGGCTCACAACATCGACACAACCATGTCAACGGCGCACAGAAAGGACCCGTTAACAACACCCCTAGCACTCCGAATCAGAAACCCCGCAAGGTTCCAGCAGACATCAACACAACCATCAATATCCCACCTGCCCCACCGATCCCTGATGGTCAGCCACCTGAGCTCGAAGTCACCAGCCCATTGACACCTGGTGGAGATCCCAGGGACAAGAAGATCCGTGGGCTTTTGAAGAAGATTCGCGCCATTGAGGACCTCAAGATGCGATTCGCTGGAGGCGAGAAACTGGAAGACACTCAAATGAGAAAGATCTCCAGCGAGGACTCGGTCAGGAAGGAGTTGAGTGGTTTGGGATTTTCAGGTTGACATTCTATCAAATGATATGGTACCTGTGACTACGGGGTTTCTAGCAATAAAACTTGATGGACATGTCTTTGGGCTCCGAGGGTTTTCACCCCCAGAAGGACGATATTCAAGCAGATCCTGTCTCACGTGAACAGGGTGAGCTTCATGACCAGCAGGGTTTTTTATCATGCTGGTATGGAAATGGATTTGAGGTTTCGATACTAGGCGACGGTGTGTCTTTACGGTGAGGAATTCGAGTTTCAAGTATTCGTTGCGGATTTGGTTGAGGGCCAAAAGCACGGAGGGCAGCCCCGAACAGGATACCACAGGGCGTGTTTTAATGCGAGTTCGATATCCTTCTGGCAGGTCGGTGCGATTGGCGGTTTCATCAGGAGTCATTTGAGTTGTATGGTTGCCATTTTGCAGGAGAAATCGAACGCTTTTGCGGTATCATGGTCATACGTTGCGAGTCTTGACACCATTCGACATGGGCTGAGAGGCCAAGCTGGTCGGAGAGTTTGAGGTATACCAAATACCCTTGGATCTCCATCTTCTCTGTACTGTACGTAGGTAGGTATGTTTAGGCTAGTGAATGTGATGGGAGTCATAAATGCCAGAGCAGAAGTAGCTAGATCATGTTCACCTACGTGACATCATCGCCGAAGTTATCATTCCGTGACTTTATAAGGGGCAGGGGGCAGGTTCACGAAAGTGAGAGGAGTATACTTGGGTCATTAATGCTGGAGAACTCTACGAGGCTAAATATGCTAACTGCTTGAATATCCCACAGGGGGCTAGTAAATATCCCCACGTGACAGGGAAGGCGGCCTCCTTAACTTTACTGGGAAGTGGTTTCTAGAGCCTTTGTTTCTAAACCTTCCCTTGAAGCCGATGAGCGTGAACTCGAAATAGCATGTTTCAACGGGGCAAGTATTGCTAACCACGAGGAAAGAACTGGAGACCGAAGGACATAGGATAAATGGGACCATAGAGGATAAGATTGCTTGAAGTCGTTGCGTGTCACAAGTCACTGTACGAGCTGATGGCCAGATCAACGATCCCAAACTCCAAATTGTAGAGAATTGTCGAAACTACCGTTAGATATCATGAAGCACGAGAGCTTGTGATGATAGAAGGCTCTCCAGTAAAGGGATTACGTAGTATCCCTCCCGGAATGCTCAGCACCGAGCCTCTTCTACGGCACGGCCGCAAAAGTCACCGGACACCCTCAGTTTACATGTCACGGAGAGTTCCTACACTCGCGCCATAGGCTAAAGAGACGAGAATTCTAGGCGTTGTACCTTGATTCTAGGAACTGTATGGTAGATTTATTGTCGCGGGCGGCCTCCCGAATACTATCGGACAAGGTGTTCTCGTGATAATCTCGAGTAATATAGGTATGTATATTTAGTCCTATGCGGAAACTTTAGCCTACTTAGGTATGTGGTGTAGTAAGTTGTTGGAGGTTTCGAAGTCGGAAATGCACTTCAGGAATTGTCGAATTGTCTCTATTTTCTCTACTTATGGAGGCTGTTTCTCTTCCTATATGAACCATGCGTAGAGACGATCTAGAAAGGCCTTTTCCGCATCTCCTGAGACCCTTGTCGAGCTGTAATAACTGGTTGATAACCGATCCTGCTGAGGTTTTGGTCCTGGTCGAGCTGACAACTGCACTACTAGCAAATTTAATACGGTGAATTATTACGGCGGAGTATAAAGTCCTTGCAGCAATATAAGTTTTGTTATCATGGGAGTGCTCCCGGGACACATCGTGATGGGTATTATATGCTTTTTGCCGTCAACACCATGTTTCATTGTGATACGATCCAAGGGGTTGTTTACTAAGGATAACACAGAATAATCCATACCCTAATAACAATGAAACTGCCTTTCACAATCTGTAGGTTCAGAGATCCATTTTTTCATTGCCAGGTGATATTCCCAATCTTGCGCCAGTCATTCACGTTGAAGCCGCCTCATATGTACCCGATCCTGTTCATGCTTTTGCAATCTTACAGACCAAGTCCGACCCAGCAACGGAATCTCCTTCTTTGACAAAGATTTCGCCTACCTTGCCCGAATGTGGAGCGCTGATAACCATCTCCATCTTCATTGCGCTGAGGACAGCAACTGGATCTCCTTTCTTGACATCATGGCCTTCCTTTGCCCTGACCTCGACAACGACACCGGCCATCGGAGCTCCGACCTGACTGCTATCACTAGGATCAGCCTTGGGTCGGCTCGTGTTTTCAACTGCCGCTTTGTTGTCGTCAATTGTGACCTGTCGAACCTCGCCGTTCATCTCGTAGAACACTTCTCTTTGGCCAGTGGTGTCGGAAAGGGGGCCAATGGCCAACATCTTCAAGATAAGGACCTTGCCTTTTTCCAATTCGACATGGAATTCCTCGCCGATCTCGGGTTTGTTAAGGAAGTATTTTGTTGGCAGAACAGAGAGATCGCCGTACTTCTCGACAAACGCAAAGTAATCCTCGGTAACTTTTTTATACATTACGTACGAGGCCACATCAGTCTCTTTGCTTGAGTCGAATTTCTCCTTGACTTCTTTCCTGACTGCGTCAAAGTCAATGGGTTCCAAGTAAAGGCCGGGTCGCTTGTCCATCTTCCTACGGCCTCTCAGAGCCTTTGTGCGAAGCGGCTCTGGGAAGCCTCCATAGGGTTGGCCGATGTAGCCTTCGAAAAACTCCAAGACGGATTCTGGGAAATCAAGTGTGTCGGCTTTCGCGACGACGTCCTCAGCCGACAATTTGTTGGATACCATGAACTGAGCTAGATCGCCGACCGTTTTAGAAGTAGGAGTAACTTTGACGATGTCGCCTAAGAGTTTGTTTGCTGCTTCGTATGCCTTTTTGGTCTCGATCCACTGGGCCCCGAGACCAAGTTGAGTTGCTTGGAAAATCAAATTGGTGAGCTGTCCTCCAGGAATGCCATGCTGGTACACATCTGAAATTTGCGAGTTAGTCAAGCAGAACAATGCTAAAAGGAAGGAAACGCACCAGGGTCGGGCCCAGTCAATCCAGCTTCGAATGGCGAATACAGGAGTCTCACTTGAGACCAGTACTGGTCCAACGAGCGGACATTATGATCATTCAAGCCTGTATCGAGATCAGACCCCTGGAGTGAGGCGAGAATTGCACCGATGCTGGGTTGCGAGGTCATTCCGGACAAGCTGTCGGTCGCGGCATCAACGGCGTCGGCTCCGGCTTCAGCACAGGCGACCATGGAGGCAACGCCCGTTCCAGCAGAGTCGTGACAGTGGACGTGGATCGGAAGGTCTGGATACTTTTTGCGAATAGCACCCACGAGCTGACGACCAGCATTAGGCTTCATAACTCCCGCCATGTCCTTGACTCCGACTATGTGAGTACCGATCTTGACGATCTTGTCAACGAGATCCATGTAATACTCTAGAGTATACTTGGTATTCGGGTCCTGAAAAAGCGTTAGCAAATCGAAAAGAAAAGCCGAGAATGCGGGAGATCGTGTCAAGCTGCTGGCGGGACGATGTAAAATGACCACCAGGAGTATGTCATTTATAATCAGATATGCCAGTGAATGTGATGGGATTGGGAGAGAATCGCGGACTTACCAGCATGTCGCCAGAGTAGCAGAAAGTGCCTTCCACGACACCGCCTGCTTCTTGAACAGCTTTCATGCCAACCTCGAGTTGAGTAATGTCGTTGAGAGCGTCGAAAACTCTGAAGATATCCATGCCATTCTTCTTAGCTTGCTTCACAAAGTGATAGATGGCATTGTCAGGGAGCGACTTGTATGCAACTCCATTGGCACCTCGAAGTAACATCTGGAATGGAATATTCGGCACCAGTTTGCGTAGCTTACGCAGACGGCTCCACGGGTCCTCATACAAGAAGCGAAGAGCAACGTCGAACGTAGCACCGCCCCAGCATTCTAGAGCAAAAGCGTTGGACAAAGCGTGGCTCGTCTCTTTAGCGATGTTGCAGAAATCCACTGTTCTCACCCGAGTGGCGAGCAAAGATTGATGGGCATCACGCCAGGTCGTGTCCATAATCAATGTCCCCTTGTTAGCACGGACTGCTTTCGCAAAGCCTTCTGGGCCTTCCTTGTCGAGGATGTACTTCCAACCTGTTCCGGGAGGAACTGACACGTCGAGAGGCTTGCCTTGGTTGTCCAAGAGGGTAGGATAGATGACATCACCCTTGAATTTGGACTCTCCAATTTGGCCTTTGATGCTACTGCCATTGACTGCCAGGTCACCAAGATATTGAAGCAATTTCTGGGCTCGGTTCTGACTACCGATCAACTTGAACAATTCAGGAGTATCATCGATAAAGGTGGTCCAGCACGTGCCTTCAATAAAGGTAGGGTGGGTGAGAAGAGAACCCAAGAATGGAATATTCGTCTTAACACCACGGATTCTGAATTCGACGAGCGCACGTAACATCTTGCGACGCGCGATCTCATATGTCGAGCCATGGCAGGTACATTTGACCAACATGGAATCATAATGAGGAGTAATGATCGCCCCAGCGAAACCATTGCCACCGTCGAGTCGGACACCGTTTCCGCCCGCTGAGCGGTAGACCTCAATCTTTCCGGTATCAGGCTGGAAGTTAGATGTGGGATCCTCTGTAGTGATGCGGCACTGAATAGCAAAACCTCGGGTAGAGATACGGTCCTGAGTCAAGCCTAATTGCTCTAGAGTAGCACCAGCAGCGATCTGGATTTGAGCAGCAACAATGTCGATTCCAGTGATCTCTTCCGTAATGGTATGCTCGACTTGAATTCTAGGATTGATCTCGATGAAGTAGTATCTGTTCTTCTGGTCGACCAAGAATTCGGCTGTGCCTGCGTTTCGGTAGTTGACGGATTTGGCCAGTCTGACTGCATCGTTCAGAATGGCATCTCTGACATCGGAAGGAAGATCCTTGGCCGGGGCAAGTTCGACGACCTTTTGATGTCTGCGCTGAACGCTGCAGTCTCGCTCATACAAGTGAACCACGTTTCCATGATTGTCGCCCAACAATTGAACTTCAATATGCTTGGGTTTGTCGAGGAAACGCTCCACGAAGACAGTGCCATTTCCAAAAGCCGACTTGGCCTCGGAAGTGGCTCGCTCAAAAGAGTCCTTGAGACTCTCTTGATCTCGGACGACTCTCATACCTCGGCCACCACCACCGTAGGCAGCTTTGATGATGATGGGAAAGCCATATTGGTCAGTGAAGGCCTTGACTTCTTCATATTTGGCCACGGCCCCTTCGGTACCTGGCACTACCGGAACATCACACTTGATGGCCAGTTTTCTGGCGGACACCTTGTCTCCAAGTGATTCGATCACTTGATAAGAAGGGCCCACGAAGATGATACCGGCCTCTTCGACTTTCCGAGCAAACTCGGAGTTCTCAGACAGAAAGCCATAACCGGGATGGATCATCTGAACGCCATGTGCCAAAGCGATCTTGATGATCTCATCACCAGCAAGATAAGCAGCCACGGGGGTGTACTGGCCTCGCTGGCCGATCATGTATGCTTCATCCGCCTTTTGTCTGTGCATGCCAAGTCTGTCTTCGTAGCTGAAGACAGCTACGGTCTGGAGCGAAAGCTCATGGGCGGTTCTGAAGATTCGAATTGGGATCTCGCCTCGATTTGCAACAAGGATCTTCTTCAGTTGCATGATGGTGGAATTGGCTCTCAGCCGGGTATGGACTGAGTGCTCATGGTGATGTTGACCATCCTCGTGGTCTGGAGTAGCAGTTCCAGCGGTAGGATCAGCCATGGTGAATGAAGAGGTTGAGCCTGGCTGCTGGGAGAGGCAGCTCGCGGCAAGGAAGCTCTTATTTCAAGGGACCAAAAGGTTGAGAAGGTAGGTAAGTGAGTCAGGTCGGTGAGGAGGGTAAGAAGGAAATTAAGAGTCCCAGGGTACTGGGTACTAGGGAAACGAGAACGGTCAAGCAAATGTTGAGTTTGTGGCGTGGATGGATGCCCGGATGACAGGAGGAAAACAAAAAAAAGAGCTATCGGGGAATGGTAATATAATGAATTCTTACTGGAGCTGATTGTTGATGCTGGGACCTGGGTGATAAGCAGCTAGCAATAGTGGGACAGTGTGCAGGTAGGTGGGTGGTGGTGGTGGAAGCTCGACGAGCACGTCCGGAGTATTATTCACAGACCGATACAGGCAGTGTATTGCCTTTTTGCCTTTGGATTTTGGGGGGGAAGGATGATGTAGGGAGGGGAACTGAAAGTACTGCCAGTGCCCTCAAGCTGTTGCTGTGGAGCACGATTTTGCGGGCCGCATCAACCTGTATGAATCCCCCTCGTCCCGTGCATCCTGGCAACCTGAGGCCTAGCATGGGGTTTCCAGCTCGCACTCGCACTCGCAGTGCCTCGGACTTGCTTCATCTTTGTCGGCTCTCCCCAGGCTATCTGGGCTTCCTCCCACGAGCTTGGCCGAGGGTGTCGACGGCTAATCGAGGCAGCTTCCGACTTGGACGGAGACTTTGCTACTCCCTGTGACTAACTCAGGTACTAACTAGCCCAAATTCTTAAACAAAAAAGAAATCCTGATCACGCGCGGTGACACAATTGTTTCTTTCGTCGGTGGACGTTCGGAAATCATTTTTTCTGGTCCTTTGAGGCTCTTCTCAACAACTCACCGTCCCTGGGAGGAATGGACATGTGTTTCTCTACTTTTGGGCCTGCATTCCTGAATCCGGATGCCTTTTCTCTCAACACTGCGCTGATGGCTGGGAATGTGGGCCTCCCCTACACGTCTGCCTATGGTTCAAGCCCAAGATCCCAAGAACCCGCTCTCTACATACTTCCCCATAGCCTTTGGATCGACAAACAATCGTACAGAATCAACCCAAGCAGTTAGTTTCCGGAGAGAGTATACTTTTTCCAACCTTAAAAGGCCACATTTCCCCCCTAGCCTGCAAGGCTGATCGGGTTCTTGTGCGAATCTCGGAATCGATTAGACAGAGTCTGAGAATTCCGAATCATACCGTGGATGAACAACGGATTCTGCTTCTACAATGGGAGATATCGAAAGCTCCCCGCAAGACGAGACACGGCGAGAATGCGGCGAAAGTTTGGCCAAGATAAAGTTCTCGATATCTGCTTGACCGACCGAGCTTCATTTTGAGAGCAACTATCTATCCGTGCTCGATTTCTTGCTACGGGACAACCCTACAAAGGTAATGATGTGACGATTCAAGCCCCACTTAAGTTGGTGACTTCACTTGATCTGATGTTCCTGATAGCAGACCGATAAGTGATAAAGTTGATTATGTACAGAGTATGTAAGAATCAACTTCGCTTATCTCTCAGTGGCTGCATGAGTGGTCAATATGAACTTCTCACTATTATTTCCCCAGACACGCTCGTGTCCAGACTGGTTAAAAGTTAAGACGGCTTCCACTCCCCCAGGAAAACAGCTGAGCCTCAATTGTACTAAAAACTACATTTTACAAAACCTCCGGCTTGTGCTAAATTCACTCCCGAATTGAGCTTCAACACAAGCTCGGCTTTTGTCGTTCCTCGGTAATGCTCTTGCAACGCTTTTCACAACCTTCCTTCCCTCTCGCTTCACAAGTCGAATCCTGGATCAATTCATTCCGCCTTTGAACCGACTGGCTACAGCATCCCCGAATATTCCCGATCACCATTCTGATACTCCTAGACATCCCTATTTAGAATGCCCGTGGAAATCCGGTTGGTTGCGGCGTGATGCCGTTGGTGTGTGGTCCAGTTGCAGGGCCTTGCGTCAACATCAGACGGCTTCCGATGATTGGAGTATTGTCATCATTTTGTTGTTGGCTCGCCTCTTTGGCCTTCCGCTCCTCATTGTCCTTCCGTAACTGATCAATCGTTGATGCCTGTTGGCTCATGAAGCTGATCATGAATGGCATCGTGAAATCATTCAAACCATGTCTCCATGAAACCTCCATGACGGTGTGTAACGGAATGAGATCGTAGCAAGCATACAAGATGCCCACGAAACATTCACGGCTGCCAATGTCAACGAACTAATGACCGTTAGCTTCTGTGTTTTCACAAATCTTCTGACCAAACTTACGTATCTGAGTAGCTCTTCCACGACTTCCGACTTGCCAGAAATTGCAGCTGTTTCAATGGCATCCCGGAACAATTTGTCTTGCTTAGAAAGGGTGATAGACTTCTCCCATCTCTTATTCTTACGGTAGATCTGCGCGGCAATCTGTCGGAAGAAGACCAAATCATGCTTTTCGAGACGCTGAGCAAGCTCAACCGCATCATAGTTGTCATAATTCTCCACGGAGTCCTTGAGAGTCTTGTGGTCCTCTTCTTCAATGAGAAGATCATGGATTGCGTTGTTTACAACGCGTTTGTTCTGACCTTGTACGTTGAGAAGGAATGGTTTGATGATAGGGATGTTGTCTGATTTCTCAAACATACGCACCACTCGGTTGACATCGACGCGAGCTGTCAGAGCCTGCAACAAATCTGTCAAAAGCAGTGGCTGCTCCTGCAAATAGTGGTTGAGAGCTCGGTAATAGATCTCCAGATTGGCCACTTTTACAATAATGTCCTTGAACGAATGATGCTCCCAAGCGTCGGCTGCTCTCTCCATCATGGCCAAAGCTGCATTGTCCCATTCGTCGTAGTGACAGTATAGGAAGATCAATTCTGGCCAAAGATGGGCTTCCTCCGTGGCACGAATCATCTTGGGAATGTTGATTCTGGACCAGAAAAGCTTGAGATGCTCCATTACTCGGTCTGGATGATATTTGGTAAGGGCAATTCCAAGCTCAGTGAACATGCCCATGTGGGCGCGCTCTAGGCCAAGGCCAGCCTCGAGTAAGGAGATGAGCTCTTCAAAGTATCCTTCTCGTTCATACTGCTTGACAAGATCTTGCAATTCCTCTGCGTGGACAATAAGATTGAGACCACAAATTTGAGCAAGACGAAATTCTTTCTTTGCAACACAGGCTGCGTTGACTTGCTTCCAAACCTTGACACTGTTAGCACGGCGGGCGCAGTCAACAGCGTTCTGATATTCTTCAAGATGCACAAGAGTCGTGGCCAATTTCGCCCAGTTGGAAATGCTGGTGAAGAAAATCTTCGCGGCTTGATGATAACCCTCCTCATATGCTTTGTCTCCCGAAGCTTCGACATCAGCGACGTTGGCGGAACGTAGGAAGTCTTCCAGTTCTGGAAGTTGATCAAGTCTTGCGTAGCTGAATGCAAGTGCAGTGTCAATGGCTGGCTCGCGCTGAGTTTTTCGGGCCATCTTCAAGAATTTGACAAGGTCTTCATCTTTGCCTGCATGGGTAGCGGTCTCAATCACTTCATTGAAGTTGCTTGGGTCCTGTGATTTGATATAAGAGTCGATAGCATCTGTTACTCTAAGACCATCAAGCTGAGCTTTGGCGACTTTGCTCCAGACCTCTGGCAGATCAACGTTCTCGGCATAGTCTTGGGCACGATCAATACTGACAATATGATCCACCAAAACATTTGCGGCTGACATGTGATCGTTCACCTTTTTGTAAATCTCAAGCGCTTCTTCGTACAATCCTTGTTGAATGCACATATTGGCAATCTCTTCGGTATTGTACTCTGAAAGACGTTGGATGTAGTCCATGAGACGAGACTTGTCAGCCTTAGCAGCAGTGAGCATAAGCAAGCTCTGGAGACTGCTATTGTCACTGAATGGAGATGGTTCGAGGATGATCTTCTCCAGCAACTCAATCAACTCGGCAGGAAGATCTGCATCAAGGAAAGCCTTGACAGCAACAGAGACCTTGTCTGGTTCATTGGATTCGGGAACAGCTGTAGCAATGACTTGGTCGACCAAAGATCTTCGATGCTCATTGTTCTGTCCGAGCACAAAACCCCAAATTTCAAGGTCGGCACGCTCCAAAAGGTAGCGAGCTTGGGCACGGAACATAGAGTTGTCATTGGTGATGTTGATCAGCTCCAGATCATTTTGACCCTTACGATAGGCGATATAGGCGAGATTGGGATCACGCTTCTCGCAGTATTTGCCGACCGTCAAAGTGTCGTAAAGGTCGTTCTCCTTCAGGAATTTCTCAGGATCTTGATTGCTATCAATGTAGATCTTGGCGAGGGCGTTGTAGACGGCTGGCTGTTGATTGCCACTTGACAATGTTGCCTCAAGGAACGGAAGTAGAATCTTGAGTCGATTCTGTGTTTCGACTTCTGACACGAGTTCATCGATCGGCACAGCAGATGGATCGACAGAGGCCAATAGATTCTTGATGACAGACTCCTCGCAATCAAGGGAGAGGAGCGCACCAACAACAGCTGGAGTACGTGCGGGATTGACCCGTTGAACATACACCTCGATTGACTTGTATTGCTGGTTCCGGTATAGGTAGTTGACCAAATCCTTCACGAAATTAAATCGATCACAAACGATGATGAGCGGAAGCTGCTCGGCCAACTTGGCCTCAATCAGGAAGTTCTTGACCTTCTCGGGGTTGAAGTGGTTGTTCTCACGGCAGATGCGCTCTACCTCTTGGAACTGTTGCATGGTGACTGCAGCTTCGAGATATTTGAAGACTACCTCAGCATCTTCACTCAGGTTGACGATACTTCCAAGATAATAGTAAAGGCCTTCCGCCGTGCGATGCTTTTCAAATAGTGCAATGAGTCGATTGGATCCCAGGAGGTCAGAGAATTTGGTAGCGATTTGGACAGCAGCAGCAAGATTCTGACGAATGTTGACTTTAAGCATTTCGTCCAGAGATTCAAGACTTTGCTCCACTGACATGCGACCGAAATATTGTTGTAACCATTCAGGGTTGAGTTTATCTGTCTGAACGATAATTCTCTTGATAGACGCTGTGTCGTCAGTATTCTCCAGGGCACGCTGGAGAAGGCCTGCTTGTTCACAAAGTCGAGCAACTCTTGGCTTGTCGTAATAAGAAAACATCTCATTTCCTAGGATCGCATCGGCAACTTGAGGGGCATTAAGCAGATTCATTTCCAATAAGCGAGTCTGGAGTTGTGCTTGCTCCGGGCGATTCTCCTTCAAGGCATCCAACAGAAACGCCGTTGCTTGTTGAACCATGTTCTGCGACATGAAGACATCAACCACTCTGTCAATGTCAACGAGAGGACCACCTTCATGGTTTGCAAGCTGAGTGGCAAATTCCGCACCCTTTTCGGGGTTGGATCGCACAATGTGTTGTAGCAAACTGGTGAAGTCTGGTTGGTAACCTGTCTGTTGGGCGTAAGGAAGGATCTCCTCAAAGCGTCCCGTCTCAGCCAATGCGGCCACAACTTTTGGTGATGCATTTGACTCTCTGTAGATTTTCAAGGCCATCTCCAGGTCATGCAGACGGACGATGTCTCCAAGTTCCTCAGAAGACTCCAATTTGCCTTCACTCATCCACTTATCCAGCAGGTTTTTTCGATTCTGGGCAAGAACAGGTTTGATGAGCTCCACACTTTCATACTTGTTTAGCTTTCCCTTGTCCAACAGTTTTCCGAAATACTGTAGGATGACGGACAGCTGACCGGCTTGCTGAGGCGCACTTTTGAAACGATTGATAGTTTCCGGGGTTCGCAAGAAGCCTCGTGGAGAATCTGCTGCAATTTGAGCTGCTTCCGCATATTGTCCTTGCGCAAATAGCGCCTCGAATTGTTGTTGGTACAAGTTGTCAGCACCTGGGAGACCTCCTCTTGAAGCAAGCTTGACAGCCAAGGCCGAGTTGGCAGGATTCTGTAGAAGGTATGGGATGACAGTGTTCTCATCAATGCTGACAGAGAGAACCTGTCCTTTTCGATTGATACCAACAAAGCCGGCAGATTCGGAATCTGCTGTGGTGACGAAGATGGTCTCGCTGGAGATGCGGTTCATGAACAGGCAAGTGGCGGTTTCCAGGTCGTAGAGGTGGATGAAGCCGTACTTGGTGATCAGATAGATGATACTATACTTCTTGGAGATCTGCATCGCGACAGGGAAATCGCTGGCTGCTTCCTCGGGGAAGTAGAGATCTACAGCCTTTTTGTTGAATCGTGGATTGTTCTCGTCGTGATCAATCTCAACGACATGTAGCTTGCCCTGACCTGCGGCGTTTCGAACTGCAAAAGTGAACAATTTGTAAGGAGTTGCCATGCCTTCTCCTTGATATGTGCCAAAGGCTGCAGCATGGCCTTCAATGTGCTGACTTATTCCCCTATTCCGGGAGTAGAGCTGCATGGTGCCTGCAACTCTTCCTTCCTTCTGAGAAATTCCGACAACGACAGCCCATTGTTCATCATCACTCACGCGGTAGTTGATGATCTGGCAACCGGAGAGATTGGCGTTACGCTCGAAGATCTTGACAGGGGCGGATTGTGTCGGATCGAAAACATCCCAGTGATAGACCGAAGTGTCAGTGACCAGGCCCAGGCTGCGCTCGCTGAACCATTTCCAGAAGACTACATCTTCATTCATCTGGGTGGACTTGAGTTTTGCTTTCGCCCCAAGGTCGAAAACCTGAATTGTCCTGCCTTGAGCTTTGAGCGCCAGGATTTCACGCGTCCAATGCATGATGGCACTATCGGCGCTGATTGCTCGCTTGATGACTTCATTGTTCTTCTTGAGGTTTATGATTATGACTTGTGGTTTGTCTTGTTCGTTAAGCTTTTGTCGGACGCAGACAAATGAATCGGACTCTAGTGTCTATGCAGGTTGTGAGCAAGGGTATCGAGAGTAGAAGTAGAAGAACATACACATGTGTTGAACGATATCGATTGTGGCTAGAAGTAGGACAGAGAGTTAGTGTGGCATTCGAGATGTTTGTGATATGTATCGAGGATCGGGGCGCAGGCAGATAGATTAAACATAAGGTGATTGTCGAATCTGGATCGAACGCGAGCTTACCGCAATATCAAGACCCGTCAACTAGATTATACGTTAGAAAAGCCTGGCTTCCAAAATCAACAACTTGATGGACGAACCTGAGTGATTTCAGTGAACTTGATGGGGAGCGCCATAATTGCGACCGGCGCGGCGGCCTCATGCACTTGGAAAGAAGCTGGGATTAGGGTAGGAAGAAATCAAGGCCTAAAGAGCGTGACCCGAACAAGGGAATGTATGAATTGAGAAAGACAGAAGTTGAGAAAGTGGTTGGATGAGGAGCGAGAACTGAAAGTCGAAGAAGTTGGGTGAATGGGTTGTTGATAGCGAGCTTGTAAGGGGACACTTTTGAACAGATTACTTTGGCAACTCTCCGTACTTTCCTCCCTACTAATTTGGGATGGGTCAATGCTGGCAGTCGCGGATGAGATGGGACGGCTTGCCTGCACCTGCACCTGCACCTGAACCGTGACTGCCACGCCAAGACCATGCTCCTGGGCTCAACTTTTTGACAGTTACGCACCTTAAAGTTGCCCTTTCGACAAACCAATTTCACGTGCTGACCGGACTAGTGACACGCTAACTATATTTGTACACAGTGTGCCTGCTAGATCACTGTAGCGCTATGCTAACGCTGCTCTCTTGTTCAAGTTCGTCATTGTAAATTCAAGGGCACGAATAGTTCTTCATCGAGGCTGTTTGCAGCTTGTCCTTGAACTTGTCAACGCTTCAAAGTCATCCTCCCACATTCCTCAAGTAATGATACCACGCCTGAGCAATACTCGAGTCTTATCAAGTACTCCAGCTCTATCTGTATCTCGATACCACTTGCACTCTCCTTGGTCACCTCTCCGTCGATCCTACTCATCACCGCCTTCCTCAAACAAGACTACTGCGATCCCCCCACCAGGTGGTCGAGGAGAACGTCTTCGTTTCTGGCCCTTTTTCTTCCTATTTCTTCTCAGCAGTGGCTCATACACCCTCATCGTAAGACAACGCACCAGCAACGCGAACACAGTAAACCCTGAAAATCGCAGAAAGGCACATACTGAGCGATAACAAAGTCAAAAGACAACATGGCCACTGCCGATCCTGTAGCACAACCTGAGCTGCCTCTTGCTTCGGCAGGTAACATCTCACCGGAATTTGATCCCGAGAAAGTCACAGTTGTATACATCCTTGGTGGCCCTGGTTCTGGAAAGGGCACTCAATCAGCCAACCTTGTACGAGACTACGGCTTCGTGCATCTCTCGGCAGGCGATTTACTGCGAGAGGAGCAAAATACCGAGGGCAGCGAGTATGGAGATTTGATTAAAAACTATATCAAAGACGGCCTAATTGTGCCTATGGAGATCACGGTCAAATTGCTGGAAAATGCCATTCGTGCCAGTCTGGACAAGGCCGGTAGCGACTCAGGCAAATTTTTGATTGATGGGTTCCCACGAAAATTGGACCAGGCTATCTTCTTCGAGGAATCTGTCTGTCCTTCTAAGTGCACCCTCTTCCTTGACTGTCCGGAAGATGTCATGAGGGAGCGGTTACTGAACAGAGGCAAGACCAGTGGCAGAATTGATGACAACGAGGAAAGCATAGTCAAACGCTTTCGAACTTTTCTGGAAACCAGTATGCCAGTGGTGGACCTGTTTGACAAAGAAGGACGAGTCATCAATGTCTCGGCCACGGGTTCAGTTGGCGACGTATACGAGAACGTGGTCAAGGGTTTGGCAAGCAAAGGGCTCTCTCCAAGCTAGGGGTTCATATCACGATGTGATCCTAAGACATCCTCAGTCCTGTGGCACGGGGCAGCATTATTCGAATAATCTCAAGAAGTCCTGTGGAAATACCTGGGAAGTTGTAGATTCAATCACACTTCTATTTCTCCATTATTACCATGCACTCAATCACTCTCGCTTTCGCTCTCACTATCATCCTCTCCATTCGATTGATCAAACCCCTCAAAATCGTCGTCGACTTCATCGTCCCCAGTTTTTGTTGCAGGCAACATAACAAAGGCCTTGAGACACGTGACTCGACTTCCCGTTTCATAAGAGCCCACCAATGTGCCGACTTGCGGCGCTGGCTGGCCTGCCTCAATTGTAGCCTCCAGGTCCTGAGACATGAGCGAGAAGACCCGAATGGTCCCATCACTACTCGCTGTGACGACAATCAAGCCACTGCCTCGAGACGATGGAGAAGAATCGGTCTGGGAGGCAGCTGTAAGTGCCTCGAAGTCTTTGATCCGGCCGGAAATCCCTCCTGCCTTGCCGCCGAGTTCTCCTTGGAGAATCGCATCAGGTATTGTCGTTGCTGGCGCAGAGACTTTACCATTTGTGGACGGAGAAGCTTCTGGAACAGCGAGCTTGTCGGTATTGTAGAATGAAATCCTGCCATCTTCCGTTGACACTGCAAGGATCGTGGTCATTGGCTGGTCCTTAGAGCCGTTGGGTATAGACAGGTATGAGATCTGGTGTAACTTCGTGAGTGGCTGAGGTAGAATCTTGCATCTTGGTTTGGAATCCTCGCCAAACACGACGACACCACGCTCGAAGGCCACAGCAAATTCGGTTCCGTCTGGACTCCATCTTATCCGGCGTCCTTCACCACTGCTGTATTTCCCCTCTTTCACGCTTTGCAGAATCTCTCGGCTGAAGTTGAGAACGCCAGCCTTCTTTCCTGTTACCAGATTCCACAGTCTCATACATCGCTCACCTCGTCCGACACTGACCATGAGCTTCAGACTAGGATGCACGGCGAAGTCATTGACTCCGGCTGGTGTTGCACCTGGCGGTGCCGTGTCGCCGCTCGGTTGACCTTGGACTTTAGGGTGCGGTGCCTTAACGGTCGAAACAACAGTGAGGTCTCTCAGCCTCGTGACCGCAATCGTGTTGTCTTCGGACGCTGAGAGTAATTTCGATCTTGTGGGGAAATGTAATGCACTAATGTTGGAAGAATGATGCAAGAGGGTGCCCAGTTCCCGGTTCAGAGGATTCTCTGATATTGCCTTGCTGCCCACCGATGGCATTGCTGGAAACTTGCCATCTTCAACGACTGGAGAGGCTGATAGACTGAAAACGTTGATCTTCTCGTCTGATCCACCAGTTGCCAGATACACCCCTTGAGTGTCGTCTGATCCTGACTCTGGGAGTGGTGATAATGCTAGGCATCGAATTGCGGATGCGTGTGCATTGAAAAGAAACGAATCTGCAAATTTGACAGACGGAGTTGCATGTGACAAATCTGATATGGTTGCCGTGATACCGTGTAAGACTCGCTCATATGAGCCTGTGATAATTTGAACAACGGGTTCTACGGTCTTGACATCGATATGGCCGTTGGTCTTGACGATTTTGGAGACTGTACTATTATCCCTAGAATTGCTGCTGGTGGTAGACTTGCTGGTCGGGTTAACTTCTCGCTTCCTCTTAGCCATGGTAGAACGCTGTTGGTGGAAAATTTATTGATGCAGATTGCTCCGCAACAACGACAAGGGCTTTTTGGTCTGGCACCGGGCCTGGCCGATTGACGTGATTCGATATAGCAATATAGCGATATCAACGAGTTGAGAATAATTCAGGGGCTGTTAAAAATTATGATATAAACATTCACCTTACATCAGGGTGTGGAAATTTTGAGTTACTAGATTGATATGAAAAAAAAAAGTTACAGCACGGGACTTGGGTGATAGCGTCAGTTGGCTAATCACCGAAAGTGGTCGTCGACTGGCTGAGGGTGAATTGAATGGGTACGTTGGGTCCCTTGGGCGCTGGGGCCGGCTAGGAAAAGACAGTCTGGTTCAAGTCATGATGGGCGGTGATGGGGAGGAGGGAATAACACCTCGGGCTCGTTACGGTTGGCACCCCCTGCCTAAAAGGACACCATGAGCCTATGACATTGACATGGCCATGAGCAGGACTCCAAAGGGGAACCCAGGACCAAAGGCAACACCACTTTTTGCATGAGTTTTCAGCTTTCGGGCGGGTGCTAACCAACAGTTCCCCCATATCTCCTCCCCAAGTCATTCCTACTCAACCCCCCGCCTGCACTTCTGCACCACCTCCAATTCTTGCCAGAAACACCTAAATCTGTCACCAGCGTCCGCCAGGTCTACCAACTTGAACAGTCTCAAATCAACAACAACGCGCCCAGATAATCCATTCTGATCGAGCGGTTCATCTCTGGCGGCCATAATCTTGCTGCCATAGGATCCTCAGCAATTGTTTCGATGGAACCACGCCAATTTCGATAAATGAAATGCACGTCGAGCAGCTGCGGAACAAGAAGGCTGAAGCACAGTCAGTAATCCACCTGCAATATTGCTTTTTCGCTTCCCAAACGTGCTCTGGTCCTTGCTTCAGTCCACTGATCAATTTTGGTGAATTTTAGAAATCGTTTGCTATCGAGAAAGCGCAAATTGTCCGAACTCTTCTCCATCACCGCGTATCAATTAACCCTCGACGAGCCACACTACAAACAGCAACTACAGGCTTTCCATGATGCAAATGATCTGGAACGGTATGTTTCCCATGTCGCTACCCTGCTATGATCTTCCAACTACTGTCAAATGATTCCTGGCCCTATTTTGACCACTCTACTCACTGTTGTTCAGAGGTCGATCGTTCGACGAGTCGACTCTTCCATCTCGATTGCCCATAGTAGTTCAGACACGCCGAACCAAACCCTCACAACCGACCTCCACGATACTGCGGCCTGATGAAAACCTCACACAACCATTGAAGACTATAAAACCCGACGCGTCGCCATCTCCTCTTCCGACTTCTTCAACCAAACCACTTTCTCCCAACCACGAACGTCCGCCGCAGGCTACTAGTGATGAAGAACGTGATAGAAACCGCCTATTTGAGCTTGAAAACTCAAATGACAAACCAGATGTCAAGAAAGTGATTCCCACGGGCTCAGTTGCGCTTGATGTTGAGCCAGGTTCTACTCCGAAGGAATCAACTCCAAGTCTCCCTCCAGGTCCCCAAGCCAATTTGGCGAAGCAAGCCACGGCAAATGAGAGCCCAGGAGGCATTGTGGGTGGGGCTTTATCTCCTCAGAGGAATGCCTTGGTGGGAATAGACGCCGTCGCCTTAAGTCTTAATGGAAGTGAGAATGTATCGGCACCAGCAGCGTCCGCCCTAGATACCCATTCATCACCAGCTTCAACAAACGGGATAGACTCTTCGAACACTCCCGCCCCGACTGCTGGCTCGCCAGGCACAAGTCCCGGTGTGGATGTATCGCGGGTTCCGCAAGACTCTGTCGAATTGACAAAACCATCAACCGAACCCCATACTGATTCAATACCCAACGATGAACCCGCGAAGTTGAACCTGGATCAAGTAAGTCGACGTTCAGAGCAGTCTGAAGATGTTGAAGTGGCTGGAGCCCAAACTTCCGACTCAAGCACGGTTCCGTCACTACATCTCGCCCAGCATCCTCAAATGTCGACCTTATCAACCTCTACCAAACCAGACATGCGCATCGACACACAGACAGGCATAGATTCATACTTTAAAACAGCCTCAAGTACCGGCATGGTTGAGAGCCCGGCACCAATCTCCACCGCTGCCACTCCAAAACGACCCGTGGCAACAGCACCCTCTGCACAAGAACTTCCAAAGCGAGCGACAAGAATTTCATCTGGCGTGCTTCAGAAGAAATCAGTTTCCGAGATACTGGGAGAGGTACCTAAGCCGACGACACCACAAGCAGAGTCCCCAGCATCCCCGTCCACATCTTTTCCAGGGCAAGTACTAGATCGTGATCGCCGAGAGAGGGAAAGAAGTCGACTTTCAACTGTCGTCTTCGCGAAACCACAAAAGCCACTAACTAGCGAGCCCAACTTCGAATTAGCCAGAGTGGAAGACGGTCTTGATCAGACAGCAAATCCGGGAGAGAGGGACTATCTTTACACACTTTTCGAAAACAAGGCACATTCGATGTCTCGGCAAACCTCAATGTCCTATTTAATTCAGAACGCCCACAAGACATTATCCACTTCCGATCATCTGATTGAGTACGAATTATCGGCAGAATGCAGGATTTTGAAGCGACTCTATCAACTACAAGAGAAGCAACGTTGGGCGCTGCGGCAATATAAGCGAGCCGATGAAGCTGTGAGGCCGACATCGCATTGGGATTTTCTGCTCGATCACGTAAAATGGCTCAGGACAGATTTTCGAGAAGAACGAAAATGGAAAATGGCAGCAGCTAAGGATCTGGCCGAATGCTGCGCGGAGTGGAAAGCCAGCTCCAAAGAAGAACAGAAGCGTCTACAGGTGAGAACAAAACCACCGAAATTCCTGCCAATTCAACCGGAAGAACAGGATGTCGCCATGGAAGATGGTGCAGGTCAGACTATTTCATCCCAACCAACCCCTGATTTAATGCCTTCGAATGAAGACGACTCCATGAGCGATGATATTGCCGATCCTCGAGAGCCATACTCCTCAACCTTTCCTGCGGCAATATTCTCCCTGGGTCCTTCCGAATTCGCCTTTGCTGTTGACAAGACACCGGCATTTGACAGGCTCTTGAGTGAGCTACCTCTGTACGAGCCTACACCTGTCGAGCCTGACCTGTCCAAGTCAAATCTTGCGGAACGACTGGACTCCAAATGGAGAACAGATATTGTTCCAGTGTCGCGGTGGGCAACGGAAAAATTACCAGTCAGAGATTACAAGCCTTTAAAGAAACGAAGTCGGTACGAATACCAGCTCGAGCCTTCAACAAAGAAAAAGTCCTCAATCTTACCTCCAGAAGAGAATAACGTCGCATTATTCATGCCTGAGAATAAGACCATTAGGGACAGAATACATCCTGGGCATTCTTTCCGACCTCCCTCAGAGCACCCAATGCCAAGCCAGGCATTTTTTGAGACAAGATCGTCGTCACAATGGACCCATACTGAGGATGATGAGCTCAAGAAGCTGGTCAAAGACTATTCATACAACTGGTCGCTCATTTCCAGTTGTCTACACCCTCGAACCTCTTACACCTCAGGCGCCGATCGTAGAACGCCATGGGAATGCTTTGAGAGATGGATTGGACTCGAAGGATTACCAGCGGACATGTCCAAAACTGCCTATTTCAAGACCTATTCAGGAAGAATCGAAGCCGCTGGAAGACACGTTGCTGCGCAAATCGAGGAGGCGCAACGCAGAGCTGGTGCGAATGTTCAAATCTCAAACCGGAAACGAACCACACAGCCAGTACGCGTTGAGCGTAAGAGAACTCAGCGTCACTTGGCCATGTTGGATGCCATGCGGAAGCTCGCCAAGAAACGCGAAACAGCCATTCAGAAGCAACAACATCAAGCCGACTTGGCTGCAATGCGCAAAGTCAACGATGCAAATGTGCCTAAGCCTTCGTACAAGACCCCTGCTGAATTCTCCCAGCTTAAACAAGAGCGTGAACAGAAGATGGCTGAACGACAAGAGATCTACCGACAACAACTCATCGCCCATCAGCGGGCTACCGCGCAGCAACAACGTGGACAAAATGCTCAACCGAACGGTATGCCGAATGCTATGCCTCAAGCTGCCATGGGCATGCGTGGTGGTGGCCCACCTTCCGCTGGAGGCATGCCAGGGATGCCAAATGGAAATTTGCAGGTTCCCAACGGACAACCACGCCCTCATCCGGGCATTATGGCGATGCAAAACAACATGCAAATGCCACCAGGCATGATGGGGCCAAAGGGTATGACACCTCAGATGCAGGCTCAAATGCAAGCTGCTCAGATGCAAGCCCGTGGGCAAGCAACATCGCCACAACAAATGCGTATATTGCAAGAAGCACAGAGGGTTCAGCAGGAACAGCTGATGAGGCAGGCACAGCAGGCTCAAAATGGTGCCCATTCCTCGCCGAACAACCCACATGCTACCCTTGCCAATGGGAAGGGAATGAACAACCCCGCCTACATGGTAGCAATGGGCGGTGCAAATGGCGTCCCGTCACCATCCGGTCATATGAATGGAAATTCTGCCTCGCCGCGGCCTCCTTCCTCTGGTCAAGCATTGTCTAGTGGGCACATTCCTGTGCTGACCCAGGTTGCGAACAAGATTCGTGAACACCATCCAAATCTCCCAGAAGAGGATATTCAACGCCTTGCTTCTCAGCAGATTTCTTCTTATCAACAACAAGCCACCGCTGCCGCCGCAGGTCAAACCATCAAACGCCCGCCGCATAACCAGGCCGCTTTGAACGCCGCTATTGGGGCAGTCAACGCTGGGAACCATGCTTCTAATGCTGCCGCAGCCGCGGCCGCTGCTGCGCAGTATGGCCATCCTGGCATGATGACCAATGAGCAAGTCCAGCAATATAATCAACGTATGAGGATGCAGCAGGCCCAACAAAACGCAGCTAGAGGCATGCAAGGACAGATTCAAGGGCAGATGCAACCTGGAATGATGGGTGGAATGACTAATGGGATGTCGAATTCACCAGTAATGAACTTGGCTCGGCCTGTGAGCCAACATACCAATCAGGGCCAGATGAGTCGAAGTGCGACACCCAGGGACCAAAGGTCTGGGAGCCAAAGCAATCCCAATGGGAATGTGAACGGGAATGGAGCAGCCCCACAAAGTAGTCCTCGACCAGCACAGCCAACGATGCAGGCATGAATCAACGCTGCGTATTCGGCCTGCTGTGGGCGAAGTCGCAGACGGTGTTGAAAGCAAGGCAGCAAGCTGCTCTGATTATGGGTGGGCGGGCCCCTTTTGCATTTGAGTTATCCACCCAAGTTCGTTTCCCCACAAATACAAGCAGTTGCGGAAGGTGACCGCACCAATTTAACAAAGCTCAATTGATAACTTAAAAAGTCATATGTTCATTTCAGCGAACGTCGTGGTGTTATTAACATAAATGATACTCAGATTGGTCTCGGTGCAATTTGCTTGGTCTTCCTATGGTCATGCACTCATGCAAAATCTATCTCGAGTTTCCTCTTCCGGCTTGCCACATCGTCGGAAGAATCGTGAATACGTCCAATTCAAGAATGAGAAGTGACTCAGCGGACATTTTACTTTCTTCTTTCTCTCTGTCTCTCCCCCATTGACTTCTTTTCCGCGTGCTTTTCGTATCAGACATACACATTGTGAGCCCCTCCATGAAACGCTCTCCTAAAACCGGTACCAGGCACCGTCGGCTAGCGTGAGAAGAAACACGGTCTCTTGCCGGCGAAAAACCCGCGGCATGCACCGCCAAACAATCGCCGGTACAACACATGAAAAGAACTAGTCACCACCACCGACAGCATCAACCTCACGTGCGCCGTGGTGGTGATGCTCGCGCGGCTCGCGAGGCTCACGGGGCTCACGGTGCTGACCGCCACGGCCGCCACCGCCCCGACCACGACGCTGCTGTCTATCACCTCCGTGCTGACGACCTCCACCCTCGCCACCATCGTTGCCAAAGCCGTTCATTCCAACCTCGTTACCACCTCCGGGACCTTCGCGGGCGAATCGCTCGCGCTCCGTCTTGACGGCCTGTAGCACTGACTCGAGACTGCGGCGCCACACGTTCAGTCGGCCCTGGATCTCTGCCCACTGCTTCTCGCCGAACACGCGGTAAGTTGCGCGCTGCACCAGGAACTCCTGCTTCAGCTGCGACAGCTTGCCCTCGACCAGACCTGCGCGGATCGTGTCGATCACCCACATCTCTACGTCTTCTGAGGAGATTTGCAGTGCCGAGGCGATGGTGGAGTATGACACTGAGCGAGTCGTTGAGGAGGCGGCAATGGTGGCGAGTGTGAGGAGTCGTATCTTAGTGCTGAGGACTTCGGCACTCGAGTCGTCAATGCCTAGGCTGGAGAGCTCGTTGGTCTCGAGGAAGTCGACGTATGAAGCGTAGTCGTCGGATGAGAAGATCTCGAGCAAATCGAATAGATTGCTGTCGGACTTGCGAATCGCTTGAATGGCATCGGAGGCTGTCAGGGGTGTGAAGTCGGTAATGGTGGGGTTCGTAAGAGCGGTGCGTAAAGTACGTTTGGCCAGTTCAATCGACTCGCTCTCGCCCACTGATTCGGTCGGGATGGTCTCCAGGGCCTTGAGCAGATAGTTATACGAGAGGCTTTCATTGCCCGTTGTGCTGGCCACATCGGCGACCGCAAGATAAAGTGTTCTTGCATCTTCCTCGTCTAACTGCCATGCGGATAGCCAGTTGGGGATGTTGGTCTCAAGTTGTGGAATAAGGGCATCGAAAGCTTGAGGCGATGAAACGGTTTTGAGAACTTTCAGGATTGCAAGGAAAACATGGTACCGTGCATCGCTGTTCAGAGGGAGGACGTTAAACACGGTGGTTAAGGCTTGGATTGCGAGTGAATTTCCATGAGTCGGAGATGATGTGACTGGTTGATCGGACAAGTATTGACATATCCGTGCAAAGACTTGGTCTCGAATTGACGATTGTGATGACAGGCTGATCAATAAATTGTATGCTGCCGAGAATTCTGTACCTAGTGTTAGCGATGGGACTCAAATGCGTAACTTGAACATAGTGTCGGTACCTCTTTCTGGGGCCGAGTTGAGGACAGCAGCCTTTGTGACAATCTTTTTCAACACTTCATCCTTTTGTTTTGATACCGAGGCATCGTCTGATGGCTCCTGTGACTGTTCTGCTTCTCTGATAGCGCCCAAAAGTTGTTCAATCTCCGCTTGAACGCCTGCGCCTTCTTCAGTTTTGGCTAGGGTGTCGATGTATTGCGCAAGTTCTTCGGCAAGTTCTGAGAAAGTGCCCTCAATCAGCAGGGTATTAGACGGGCCTGGCATATCGACGGTAGAGGTTGGAATGGCGTTTGAGAGGTTTGGGTTGCAAGCCTTGTCGTCGCTGTTCAATCCATGAAGCGGGCGATGTGGGAAGCGAAACTTTGGCTTGGATGAAATCTTGGCACAGTCGAGGACAGCGATTAGATTAGATCGCAGTGGCAGTACGGGGCAGTATAGCACATCTCGATCAAGTGCTTCACCGCATCGTATGTTGCCACAAATACTAGGTACCTTGAGGCTCCATGAATACTCCAGGAATGAAGGTGGCAACTGTGAGTTTGAAGTTACACATATGAGTCTTGAATTCTGGAGCATCTGTCATCATCGTCTCTCCAGTTTGTACCATTATGTAGCTAGCTATCCGCCAGGCTATCAGAACACATCATTTGCAACTTTGACTGTAGTAACATCGGGGATTGGCACCGCCGTGTTGTCCTTGGCCGATACCTCATCTTCAATAAAAACTCCCAGTCCTGCGAATGCCCGGTTCAGACACTCGTTGACGTATTCCCATTCACTATAGCCCGAAGCGTCCTTGATATCGTTCGGCTTTCCATGTTTTAGGCGAGTGACGTAACTCTCCTTGACCTGATAATAACCCTGCGTTCGTGGCATGCCCATGAATGCATCGTACGGCGCGCGCATTTTGGGTTTGATGATCTTTTTGAGGCCTTTGATAAGACCACTCGGATCAGCAGCGTCGGTGTCTTTCCGCTTAGTAACTTTCGCTGTCGTCTCTGCAGTAGTAGAGTCCGTGGTATCTGGTTTGATGCCATTTGCCTGGGCATATTCCTTGAGTTTACGATTTGTCGCCGCAACATCTGTGCGGAAGACAAGGTTCATTATCAACTCTTCTCGGAGCTCGAGGAAGTCGTCAAAATCGCGCTTGCTCTCAAACTCCACTTCTTGCCGTTCGAGTCTGAATATCAAAATCAGCCGGACACTGTATAAAGGTCAGGTTTGGACTTACACCCTGTTGACTTTCTTGCGAATTTCGACTTCCCGTTCAATCTTGAGATCTTCGAAAGTCTGCGTCCGCCATTCACGCTTCCACAAGTTTACGTGGCATCCTCCGACTGGACATTCAGCCTTGCCGCTGGAGAAATTGCGGTCGACACAACCTTCACATATCCTGTGGTAGCACTTGGTATTGATCTTGAAACGTAGTCCAGGGTGTGTACGAGGGTCACTGCCACATACTGGACATTTGTTGGGTGCTAGTCATCCATATCAACATACGGCTCAATCAAGTGGTTTTCATGGGGAATCATTCCAAACATACCAAGGGTATCATCTTCATCCATGATGCTGAATGCTTGCCAAGGTGTTGATATCACCCGGCATAATTACAACAGCAGGATGATAACCAAATGCAACCTCCCTGTAGTTGAAGAGAAGAGTGACATATATCAAGCAGAAGTTGTCACTCCTGGCGACTGAAATAAGGTTAGCAGCCCGTTACCCAATTTTTTGGATTTGTCAGACAGAATGTTTTGCGTCATTTGTTTGCCCCTTCACCTTCTACTCCTCACGCAAAATTTTGTAAAAGGCGTCTCCTGCTCAGACGTCACTCTTCTATCGTGGTAACCACAATTCAATTACCTATCCGGTTCAATGGACGATGCAGCTCTCGCCAGAGTGGAGAGACAGAGACTTGAGCTCGAGTCTAACATAGCCAAGCTCCGCAAATCTCTCAGACACTGGCAAACATTGGAGATCGATTATGAGGGTTTAAAGGAAGAGTTCTTGGGACTTCCGGAAGATTCATCACTTGACGACTGTCTTCAGGCTGGGTTAGATTTCAAGGCCGAATTGGTTGATGAGAAAGAGCTGAGTTCGCTACTCAGGGTCAACAATGGACGTGTTCGCGAACCGTCACAATTGGTTGATCTACTGTCCAAGCGGGTTGATTATGTGTCTAGAAATATCGAGACCGTGAGAAAGCAACTTTCAGAGGCTGAGAAGAGGAGAAATGCGCTACTCCTTGTAGAGGAACCAGAGCATCGAGATGATGCCGGTCTACCTCTTGCAGAAATCACGGAAGAACTTGACGACTCTGGAAATGTTATTTCGAGCAAAGTCCAAAATCCAGGAGCGGATGCGCCTCAGCTTATAGACGTCTTGAAAAAGGCAGGGATTGACGATCTCAAAGAGACGAATGGCACTATCACAGACAGCAGCCCCTCTACGTTGGATCACACCACAACTAGCTCCGATTTGACCAAAGAATCGCGAGCTGGATCTAATCCTGGGGTCATTGCAAAGAGTGACAGCGAAACCCTCTCCAAAGACAATGAAGAAGAAGAAGCACTTCTGCGACAAGAAATGCATGACTATCGAAATGGACTGGACGAAGTTGGTGCGATTGTTGCAGAACTCGACCTCGAAGAAGACGCCTCCGATGTTTCCTATGATGAAGATGAAGATAATTTTGATATTGATTCTGACTTTGACGACGGTGACGATGACGATGACGAAGAGTCTGACGATGATACCGGCAAAAGTAAGCAACGCCTGCGGTTGTCGAAAGATTACCGGAAACAAATGGAAGATCTGCAATCCAAATTGGGGTTGCAGAATGTTGGACCAGAAGGAGATCTTAGCAGCTTTATCAAGCAAAAAGCCGCCACTAATCGACCTGCTGCGGCAGAAGCAGCCCGTGAAGCAGCACTAGCAAGACAGGCCGAGGCTGTGAAGAGTAGCCTGAAAGGCCGGCCACTTGATGATAGCAACATCGTCAAGGTGGAAGACGGAAAGAAGAAAACGAAGAAAAGGGTCGCCTTCTCCTCAGAATTGGATATTGCACCCGAAAGCGCAAATGCTAAAGCCCCATCAAAAGACTTGAAGTCCGAGGGGAGCGCTCAGGGCTTATACACAAGACCTGTTCTTGAGGCTGTCGTCGAGCGCTCAGCTCCCATTGACGAAAAAGATAGTGTTTCACCGACAAAACCATCATCTGCACGACCAAAACAGTCCCTTTTCAAGTCGGCTCGTAAGTCTCAGCCACAGAATTCCATTCCAGAATTGCCAGTGACCGCCGCCGCAACGGTCGAAGCCAATGAGCCGAAGCCTCCATCAGCAGTCATTACAAGAGACCTGGTCGAGCGTTCAGTTTGGGATACACCCACCGCACCTGATCTAACAGATTTCTCAGACGCATCTCACAAAGCTGAGATAGCATTGGAATATCAACGTATGCGCATGAAACGAATCCAGGCCCAAGAGGGTGGATTCATCGGAGATGGTGAAGATGACAATTACGGTGAGATGATCACGCCCATTGGGGAACACGATGAAAGGACTGGCAAGGAGAAGAAGATCAGTCGTTTTAAAGCCGCCAGGCTGAATAACACATAGGCAATCAGAAGTCCAGGCTGTCTTCAAATCATAACTCGACGTCTCCTGGCAAGCTACAATCCTATCACGGTTCAAGATTCGCTGGTGTTCGAAGAATGATTTGCAAACCGTCCGTGGAGTCAATGAATGCCACAAATTGTTGTGTGCATTGAAGGGGAATGCAGCAAGTCTCATCTGCACCGCTCCGTGACCTGATTACTCCAAGATCAAAGAAAACGAAGCTGGACTCTCTGACGCGCACTCAAACCAGTGAGTGTGGCGGCTCGTTTCACCCAGTACAACCACTGCCCGTGAAAAGAATCCCGGATTATGTGTAACCATAGAGTCATGGATACTAGAGTTTTCAACAAGTGACTCACCATTTGAACGTGACGCCTCTGTAGATAGAGTAGTCAGAGCGGCCAGGGGAGCTCTCGTGCACCGCCTTGAGCTGCACTGCATCACTCTCCACCTCCTGCAACCCTTTCCAGCTCGCCGTCTCCGATCCAGCGCCAGATACCCTGGGTCTCATCACTCACCATCTTTAACCCGACACTTTTCAAAAGCCCGCCCGCCTCTTTCCAGTCATCTGCAGTCCGGAAGTAACTCAATTCCCACTTCTCGCCAGACGTGTTTTCCTTCACTCTGAGAGCTCGCTGTTCTTCCTCAAGTCTTTGTTTCTCCTTTCCTGCCGTAGTTAAGTCGCCTTTGATGATCCCGTCTGCAACGTGCTGCCACACACGCCTGCTCTCAACAGGCGATTGCTCTGAGATGGGCAGCACAGAAATCGGTATGATTTCATCCTGATCGGCGGTCTTGAACTCCTCGAGCTTACTACCCGAGGCATCAAAGACATTGAACGCCCCGCCCTGCCATTGTCCTTCGACACGGTACAAGACCTCCTTCGGCTTTCTCTGGCGGAATAGCTTCGCTCGGAACGAATTCTTCTTCCCTCGAATCCAACCTCGGCCGGAGAACTCGATCTCAGCCGCGAGACCGTTGGTACCGACGATGAATGTCGTGCCGACGAGCTCCGGGTACGGTGGCGGTGGGATCAAGCCTACCAGATGCATGTCCGGCATAGTCATCACATATGATTCGTGATATTTGTCCAATGAGAGCATGACGTGCCCGATTCTCTCGATCTGAGGCATTCCGCGGAAAATGGTTTTTTGTAGATGATACCCTTCGAGACGGATTTGATGCTGAGTGTTGCTGATGTGATAGGCTGTGACCGGTGGCTGATGGCTTACTTGCTCCGCAACCAGCTCTGTCTTTCCTGTCCCGTTATTACTGTCCCAGTGCCCTTTGAAGATTTCACCTAGAATTGGATTCAATGGTTTCTTCCTTCCAGGTCCCTTGCGTCCGCCGGGAGGACCAGCTACAGGAGGACCGATGCCTTCTCTCCGCCCATACTGGCCACGAAGAGTGCAAAGATACCATTTCAGCACCGCTAGAGCGCGCAGATCTTGAGTTTCCTGATTCGCAGGTGCGATAAACAGGGACGGTTGTTCACACCAATAAGATGCATACTCGGTCAGTGAGGTTGGACCGAGGATGAATATCGGTGCTGAGACTTTGCTGAGATCGCCTTTGAAGTTTCGCATTGACTATTGGGTGTTAGAAACGGGATGTTTTGTGATGCATCGAGAGCTAGCTTTGGAGTGTAGCCTTACTTTGAAAAACGCCAGAAACTCGGCCATGCGATTTGCTGGAACCCCGTGTGGGTGAGAGCCTTCATCGGCTGGTTGGACTGGAGCTGACATTCTACTTGTCATCTACGAAAGGACAATAAGTCTTTCGGTGAGGACTTGTCGACAGTCCGGGATGGGGTCCTTCGCGCGAGCTATGACAAGAAGTTTGGACTCAGCTCGCGACTGGTGTCCAAGGCGGTTACTAGGATGGCACATTCATATCGAGGAAAGAGGAGGTAGGTGAGAGTATGATATGAAAGAAGAAAAAAGGGAGCCTAACATCATCTGGACCCTGCCTATCTTAGACTTTCTTCCCTGCCCACGTCTTGAAATAAATACACCGACTTTCCGATTCGAATGCGTCGGAGCCCAGGGGTGTGAAAACCCGCGGATAGTGTCACCATACTTAATGGCCCGCATTCGTACCAACCACTTGCGGTGCGTACAGCTTCTGTGTGAGGAAAACCTGAAGCATCGACGCGGCACCTCATAGGAAGGGATTGAAGAGTCGGATGCCTGTAGGGATCTCATCATTCATGGCTAGAAAGGGAAAGGGTGCCTGGCGTCGTAAACGAGTTGCCAGTGTAAGAGGTGTACATGAACCACGGCACATCGGACTTTCGGCGCCGAGCAGCTAAAGTCGGCCCTGCGAGCGTGTGAAAGGAATAGATGGCTGGCTATCAACCGATTGACATTAATGAGTATCTACTTAGGCAGGAATTATAGGTTGTTCAAGCCACTTTACGTCTATCGTATGTACCCGTACCAGGCTGTGCCTTATCCAACCACGAATACCTGCATAGCCTCCCTGTATAATGCAAAGGAAACCCGATGCCCAGTCTCTTTGTGAGTACAAATGAAATCTTGGGAACTCATTTAAAACATATGTCTGATTGTCGGAAGACCGCCCACTAACCGATGCAACAACCGCCACTCTCAGCCCTTTGGAAAGCGCCCTGGAAAAACTCCATCATCGCAGTATAGTGGAACAAGATACCTCCTAAGACTGCAAGGTGCCAAATATTGTGACTTCCACCTGCGTAGTCAAACAGACCCGGCCACCATTTCTCAGGCACCTGGCTTGCATATATAATGGCACCGGTCAAATATACCATGACACTCTTGGTCACTGGGGCGTAAAAATAAAAGGTCCAGGCCGCGCCACGTGTAAGATTTAACTGTATGACTGGGGCGAACCCAGTGGTGGCGAGAGTGACATAGAATGCCACTCGTGCCCATGCCATGTCGGCGCGATTGAAGCTCTCTCGCCAAGGTAGAATAACCCCTGCAATGCCGAGAACAACTGTCAAGGTCATATAAATCGCTCGGGAAACTGGTTCACAGTAAAACGCTGTCCACTCGGTGCTTAAGATACTCGCAGCAACCAGAAAGGATATTCCGGTATAATCGACGCACGCGAACCGCTCGAGAAGACATTTGTCGGCGATACTATTCATCGTGTGCCACATCGTTGAGCAAATCAAACATTTGCATGCGGCGGCAAAAAAGCAGGCCGCGATCAACACATCCCATTTCGAGGATAGTGGGAATGTCGCTGATGAAGGATAATAATAAAATGCAATGGTAAGAACAATGATCAAGCCGATTGCGTGTGACCAGATATTGACGGTCTCGTTAGAGGGTCGAAACATCGAGGTGACGCACTCGACTTTAGTTTTATTGAAACGATAACCCCTGAGGATATGGGGGTTGATCCTCCATGGAATCGGCAGGTCATCGTAAGTGATGAGCCTCGTTTCAGCCGATCGGTTCAAAGCATGTGCGATTGAATGTGCCAGCATGTCCCTTGCTTGGATAGCCTTGTCGTAACCATCCTCAATGATTTCTCGAGTGGCTACTAGTGAATTGTCGACAGTCTTCCATCCCGAGTCGATCAGTTGTTTCTTCCGCGTGTGCGCTCGTGCTTCGAGTTCGGACAGATATGATTCCAGAAGTCGTAGACTGGCCTGTGCCTTGTGCTCGAGAGACTCCCTCGTCTGCAAAACTTCATTATAGCGACTTTCGAGGGTTTCCACCAGAATAGAAGCACGTTGGCGTGCAGCACCCCAGAGATGTTCACCGGAATGATACGGGGAGCACGAGTCGCGAACATCCCTTAAGGCATGGTATGCACGCTCCAAGGAGGCGTCGAATTGTAGAACACTGTCCTGGCGGTATTTTTCCAAGCCGTCCATCCTTCTCCGAAGTTCGGTGAGGAACAGGTCTACCCTCACGAAAACAGCATCCGCACTGCATATGCTGGATTGTCGTGTACGGCTTGTGTCATAGGAGTGGCGCCGACCGCGTCGGAGTAGCGCTGTACGCTCATCGTCGCAGGATGTACTCAGGGCTTGAATGGCAGAAGATTGCTCGATCGTGACCGAGGACGCGGTGAGGGTCATTGTCGGACTCGCATTATATGCACCAGTTGGTATGGGAAAGCCAGTAGAGACAAACCCGTCCACGAGGAGAGACGTGTGGTCGCTAATGATTCGGAAATTGGTGTGGCGCTTGTCTCGGCGTAAGGGAGAGAGGCGAGATCAAGTAATCGAGCGGGTTGCTTACGGTTGGTACATACAACAGCGTGGAAGTGAGGAGGAAGGACAAGATCCAACTTGAAGGAATGACTTAGGTGGGGTAGGAGAGGAATATGAAAGACGAAGTGGCGGTTGACAGCTTTGAAAGGTTGTTGAAGGTTGGTAGAAATGTGAGGTGACGACCTAGTGACGAGCCCGACGAAAAAGACGCTGGAGATGCGGAGTCGGAAGAACCTATCGGCTGGGGGTTGAGCCTTGGCAAGCCTCGTCAGCAATCTTGGTTTTGGGCAATCTTCACCCCATAGCCTCCCGAGGTCGGCTTCACATGCCAAGGCATACTGACCTCATTGGCCATGCGTTGTTGTATCGCTGCAAAGATCTTGGGACAGGGCAGTTACTGGACATTGGCATGTGATTTTGGCACCCGAATGTCTGCAGGAGAGAACTGTTCTAGGCTCTACGCGGTGTATCCCTGAGAACAGCTATATCAATCACGCTCCTTGCAGAGCAGCTTCCATTGGTCGCAACGAAAGGTCAGCCGCACCCACAATTTGAGGGCACGATACTCGAACGCTCCGAACCGAAATATTGAAGCATGTTGTTGGCGGAGTCTATCCGTCTCGTCATTCACATGTTCATGCGGTGCTCAACTCCTTCTTGCAAAACCGTCCTTGAATCCAGCATCGATACATTTTGATTCGTCGCTGGCGGTTCACAATCAACCTTCGGTCCACATCTAGATTGCTGATCTCGAATCTCACGTCCCAGATTCTCTCCAATTCGTCCAATTCAAAGAAGTAGACTCTGGTCCCGTCACCCCGTACATAGAAGTTCTCGCTCATCCACCTTTTCGCCTTGAACCTGACTTGTGCGAGATCGCCCCGACCATAGTCTCTGAACAGTACTTGTCCTCCAGGCTTCAGTACTCGATGGATATTGCAGACAGCTTGTTCCCATTGCTTGGGATTGAGAGCTGAAAAGATGAAGATCATGATGACGATGTCAACCGATCCTTCTTCCACGCCGATCGGTAACTCTTCGCCAGCGACATCCCAGACATTCGCTGACATAATACCGTCACATGTTGAATATTCTTCGGCGGCGGTCATTGTCTCAACCGCCTTCTTGCTGAAATCTACTGCATGGAGTCTCAAGTTCGGGTTCTCGTTCAGCCGTAGAAGTGGAAAGGCAGTATTCCCTGCCCCTGCTCCAACCTCAAGAACGACTTTCTCACCAGCATGTGCCTGGGTGACTTCCTTGAGCACTGGAAATTCCTGCATCAGCCATTTCCTGTCCTTAAAAAACGTGCTGGTCTTTTCCTTGTAAAATAAATTCCACCACTTCTCTGGCTGCTCGTTGAACCGATTGCGATCGAAGTCGGAAACTGGAGTCGCACGCTGTGACGCGTATTGACTTTCACAATATTCGTAGTGAGATTCATCTGGCACTACATGATCCCAGGCGTTGAATGAAAAGACATCGTCCGACTCGGAAAGATGTCTCTGTCCAAACTGAAAGGGCTCTGATGTTTTTGCATTCGTTGAAGGGTCATGCGAAAGATGAGCAGGAATAGAAATAGACTCTTCAGAGACTAGTTCACTCGTCTGATTACTGTCATCACTTTTGTCAGCAAGATTGAGCGACTCCAAAGTTGGAGTGAGGACGTTGGGCTCCAACATCTCTCTTTCGATTCCTCTGTCTGGTGACATCTTGGGATTATGTTGCTATCGTGGTATCCAACCTCATGGAATCAGGGGACTGAAGAAAAATATTGGGAGAGCGTCGGATTAATCCTTGCTAAACGTGGGGTGAAGAATTAATTCTCCGATTGGCTGCAGCTCGCCCCACTTTGAATGTCTCCAGACGAAATACAGGCTGCATGCGGTTTGAACTTCAGACTGCCACATCCACCCTCGACTTCCACTGTACTTACAATCCATATCCCACTATTCTGCGCAGCAGCAATCGATCAACACAGCATCATGGCAGTTGACAGTCTTGTTTCAGATCCCAACTTGCGACCTTTGTTGGAGACTTCACAGGCTACACTAGCCCAAACAGCATCCGTTCTAACCTGGCTACAACAGCAACCTGCCGTGCCAGAACAACCCTCATTAGAACAGAAACTCGAACTGTCCCAACAGCAGAAGATCCTCAATGCATACCTCGCCAAGCTTAGAGGCCAGAGTCGTCGAGCCGTATTCGGCGCAAGAGCCACCAAGCAGGAGACAGCTGAAGCCCGTCAAGAAGTAGATCGATTGTTATTGCAATTACAAAACTTGTACTACGAGCAAAGACACCTGATGGGTGAGATAGGCGCTTGCGAAGGCTATGAGTATGGTCTGGATTTCTAGAAGTCTGAGATATCGTCACTAACGTTGTGTAGTCATGCTTACACGCACCTTCCTCTCCATTCCCTGGATGAGTATCTTGCCCTGTTTCCCGAGCAAGCCGAGCTTCCAGAACAAGAGCTCATGCCACTCAGAATCGAGCACGAAAAACAAGAGCGTCAGAAAATGGAACAAGAGAGGCTGGAACTGGTCAAGATCAAGGACGCACTAGTAAAGGAGAATACCAGAAAAAAGGATGAACTGAAGAAGATGGACGAAAAACTCGAAGCCATGATCGACGGACTGGATCCACTGAAAGAGGCCTTGCAGAAAGACTTGGTTTCATGACTCAAGAACAGCTGAACCTAGACTTGAGTGGACTTCTGGTTCCACACCCAACACAGCGAGATGTGCAAAGGTCCTGCATCACGAATGCGGCATTTATCTCTCGCAACGGCTGACACGAGGTCAGTGCCTCTGAACATGTTGTCAAGGCACGGTATCAATGACACTCGGCGCTATCCAAAGGCAACGTACATTGGCTAGCTGGCTAATCTCAACGCATGATACCGCGTCTAGGTATGGAGTTGGCGACAGAAACTTGCCACAACCCGACGTTGAGCAGAGCCATCTCCATCTGAAGAGTTTGACCGGTTCAAAGCAGAGACGATAAGGATGGCAAGTTATGTGCTTATCTCTGTGTCTCTGTTCTTATGCGATAGTCATCAGACGCCTATCTATCAAAGCCGGTCTTCAAGCCGCACATCCTGTGACAAGGGTATCGTCTGATCACCTTGATCTCACAGAACACGGCAGATTCCCATCATGGCATTCTTCTAGAATGGAGGTCCATCTTTCTAAATAGGCGAGAAGTCTCCATGCAATGGAAGCCCGGTTGAAGTCGGAGATTACGGCCAGTATATGGAATCATGATCGATGATCTTCAGAAGGCGATCAGAGAAGCGAGTTGGTTATACTAGTCCCGAGTTTTCATTCTTCTGAAATTTCATTTCAGTATGCATACCCAACGGGCACCTGTCTAGCGAGATCTTCTACAACAATCATCATCGTCTATACAGTTTTGTTCGCCGCTTATATACAAATCTAGATGTATAGTATGGAAATGAGAGGAGTCTTGCGCCTACGCTGATGCCCCAGTCTAGCCCTTTATTCAAACCACTCTGATGCGCCGTCTCATTCTCTGAATTCTCTGTGACCATGTCCAATGTCGTACTCGTACATCATCCCATTTGTGTTTCGTAGATGCTTGATCAGAGGGTAAGAGAGTCAGATGCCCGCACTTAATCACAACTTCCGTCCTTCCAACCATCCTTCCAGCGCTCTTTCCACAGAGTGCAGTCGAACTCCTTCTTCCCCAACTTGACATTGACGACATTATGAGCTTGACACATCCACATGCCTAGCTCATCCTGTCCCTTGACTTTTGGCGCATTGTTAGGCTTTGCCATCCAATCCTGCAGGTCTTCCGCACAAACGTAGCAAGGATAAAGTTTCGAGAATGTGGAGAGAAACTGCTGCATGATGGACTGTGTTTCGGGAGGTGCGACTGCGGGATATGTCGCGGCCATGGAGTGCAAGAGAGTCCAAGTCGATCGACCGAGTTCCTCGACGTCGGGTGGGCAGTCGGACGCTGGTGATGGGGTCTGGATGGCTGCTGCTTTGGGCTTCTTGCCGGTGCTTCCCTTCATCATTGCCATCCATTCTGCAGAGGAGGTGCATGTTCGACATCTAGGGAGTGTTAAATTGTGAGATACAACGTGCGGGTGGAGTTGACTTACGGCTTTCCATCCTTGCCCAGAACGACGCCAGGAGGGTGGTCCTTAGGTGGCGCATCTTGGATGGTCGAGGCTTCTTTGGACCTTGATGGCTGCTGAGGGAATGGAAAAGACATCTGCGTCTGGTCTATCGCCCTCCGATGACCTTTAATGCTTCCCTTCGCCCTCTCTCCAGATACGCCCGTTTGTGTTCAGGTGTCCGCAGGGTCGAGACTTTATGCAGCACCGCTGATAAATTGCAGGACAAAAGTGCACGTCATTTCAAGACGTTAACCACCACTAATTCCGAGCTAGTCTCGGCTAACTTCCCGAGATCAGCCGCCAGCAGCTTCAGCCGACTCGAACTCTCGTTTCATGCGGGGAAGTGATCCGCGACTCGGTCTCGCGATCTGCGATCGTCAAATCAACTCCAAACATAGTCGTGTACCTGATGATCTTAAGTTGAGTGCGCGACGGTCGATCATCTCAAGGAACGCGTTTTCCTAATAGTGTTGTCGACATGTCGGACTCTGACCTCTCGGATGCGCCCATGACGCCCCTCCCTGCAGACGATGAACTCGAGAAGAGTTTGCGACGCGAAGTTGTGAAGGCGCAACGAGCGGGTGCTGAGGATTCTACGGTCAACTCGATACGCGCCGCATCCGAAGAAAGCTTAGGCTTGAAGTCGGGTTTCTACAAGAATCATGAGACCTGGGTGGCCCGAAGCAAACAGATTATCAAAGAACAATTCGTGAGTCAATACTTGAACCGTGCACTCAATATTGCTCATTCTGACTGGCTTTTTCCAACACTCTAGGCTGTACAAGACGTTGCTCGAAGCTCTTCGCCTCCGCCATCGAAAGTGAAGAAGCCTGTGGCGGCTAACGGGCCTAAAAAGCGCGTTTCTGAGGAGCGGGAACCATGGCCAAGGAAGAGAAAGAAGGTTGTGAATAAGCCTGAAAAGTCGGTTTCTTCAGACGATTTATCTTCGCCGCCGAGCGAGAGCGATTTTGAGAGTCCAGAAGAGAAACCGAAGAAAAAGCAACAGCGAAAGCCTTCTCATTCCGTGACAAACCAAAAATCCAAGACCGCAGTCCCTTCGCAAAAGAAGCGCCCTGTGGCCAAAGTTGATACAGACAGTGACGAGCCTGAAGAGAACAAGTCCCAGTCCGAGGAAGAAAAGAAGGACGAGGTCAAAAAGAATGCCGTGACCTCCTCCAAAAAACAACAGACGGAAGATGACGATGACGATGACGATAGCGAAATGTCGGAACTGTTGGACGAGGCACCACCTCCGAAAAAGCGACAGAAGCAGAAAGACTCGACAGGAGAAAAGTCCAGCAAAGCAAAGCCCGCCAAGTCCAGAACTGAAACAGACACAGACCCTGACCAGGCAGAGATCAAGCGACTCCAGGGCTGGCTTGTGAAGTGTGGCATACGAAAGGTTTGGGGAAAGGAGCTCAAGCCTTATGACACCCCGAGGGCGAAGATCAAGCATCTGAAGGATATGTTGACGGATGCCGGGATGACTGGTCGGTTTTCGGTCGAAAAAGCAAGCCAGATCAAGGAAGCGCGAGAGCTTGCTGCCGATATCGAGGCGGTCCAAGAAGGTGCCGAGAGATGGGGCGCAGATGATGAAGATGGCGAGGTCAGGACCAAGGAGGATGGGCGACCGGTCAGGCGACTGGTGAGAGGAGCGAAGAATTATGACTTCCTCAGTAGTGATGGCGAGGAGACAGATTGATCGTCAGGGGCTTGACTCGATGTCAGATAACTTGCCTGTCCCTTTTCATATCTCGTTCATGACCAGAAATGTACAAGTAATGATCGGTCGTCATCTATCAGATAGAAGACCCATCGTACAAGATAATAGACGTATCAAAACCTCGTGGTTCAGCTCCAGAACAAGTGGGATTATTTAATCGTCTTGATGCCGCTCATCCGTTGAGCAACCAGGCTGAAGACGGCCACGGACGATATAAACAGCACTAAATTGTAAAACTACCAAAGCGATCTGTCAACAGCAATTCAACCGTACGAGCTACCGGCACATGGTTGGTGTCTCGATTGGAACTCACAGCATTGCGGGAATATTCATTCTCCTCGGCCTCTGTGCGCGCTTCCACAAATAGACGGCGGAGATTCGGAAGCGCCATTCGGAAGCTTCGCAAGACAGCTGATATTTCGTTGTTGGTGAAGATGCTCTTGCTTAGCTTTCTAGGTAGGTAAGAAATAAGCAGCACCTGGATCGTCAGAACTGAGCTCGAACTTCAGGAGTGAAGTCTTGGCGTTCATCGACGCGTTCTACAGTACACCCAGGGACCATCATCTTGGTTGGATCTGTGCTCATTCTGTACCTAGGTACCAATGCAAGGTCTCGAAATGAACGATGCTGTCCTTTTCAATATCCCCGTTGGATTTGATTGGTCGTGTAAGAAATGGTAGGCACAATGAAGAAGAAGCTGAAATCATTGCACGTGAGCGTGTCTTAAAGGCCACGATGGTAGCCGAACAGAGAAAGCAGCAGGAGGCAGACCCCGATACTCGCAAGGGCTATAACTTTACGGACATTGACATCTACGTGTACAGCGTTGTGGGAATGATTTCGGTGGAAAAAGGCACTACACTGCAGGCAGTGGTACGCCCTCGATCCAAAGTTTCAGTTGCACGGCCAGAAATTCTACCTATGTAAACCCATTATCAGGCTCTTGCAAATCTGTTCAGTCGACATACGTCGTGCCGATAGTCGATATACAGACGGTTAAGCATGTCAAAGCCATGGCGGAGGCCTTGCGGATCATTATTTCCAAGGATGAGATTGCGACGATTCAGAGCGCATACACCTTCGATCCTCTCTTCGCCATGAATTTCCTCTTCAACCACAACAACATTCAACCATATGGCCTTTCGCTCACAGCAGCCAATGTTCAGCAGTATCAAATGGCAGCCCGGAGTAATGCTCTGCTTAAACTCGCAGTACGTACGAAATCTTCAAGCTCGCTTAACCCATCTGACATTAAATCACAGCCTTATCAAGCACGTATCCCCGAGCCGCCACGTTGAGATGACCAGTGGAAGGAAAGCAGACTGTGTATGAGTTGGGTGGTCTCATCTACCAGAATCCAGTCATGTCAGGCTGTTGTCAGCCCTTCAATTTTTGGAGGCAAATGCGTCAGAACGAGCCCCTCAGGCGATTTAGAGGCGAGAAATCAGGCGTTCAAGGTACCAATAATCCCGTGGGGCAGCCGCTGGGGTGGGATGCCACTGGTATCTCCGCAGCTCCAAATTAGGCGGTTTCTCCATTGACTTTTTATCTTCCGCTTCTCTTACATCTGGAGTAAATCATGTATCAAGGATATCACTCTGTGCCAACACCATATTGTTTCATACATCAGAACACTTTGATCCCCATGATATACTGTAGTCCTGCAAGGCTGGAGCGCGATGCGCAGTGAAATGCAAACATGACAGAGGCAACCCGGACGAGGAAGACGCCTGGCTACAAAAGAACGTTTACAGTAAGCACGTCCATTCACGCCCACTGACGGGAGCCAGATATTGAGCATTCGCTTAGGGCTGTTGGAGATGTCGTTCGCGCAAAGTCAAGGTATGGATATGTTTTCCACCCATACCTTCGCAGAAACCCTGCTAATAAAAGAGCCAGTGCGATGAGAAGACGCCTAGCTGCACTCCTTGTCTGACTACTGGGCAAGAATGCACGGGCTATCAGCAGAACCTTGTTTGGGTTGGCAAGAACCAGAAGTCATATAGCCACAACGGCAGGCGCTTCCTCGACCCACGTGAGCCAACCCTTTCCTCGTCTAAACCATCGCTGAACATCAACAGGCGAAACTTGGAGTGCATGTCGAGCTATCTCAACTTCACGCATCGAGCGACTCATCAGTATCTGCGATATCGATTTTGACGACGACTCTGTCAATGAGGAATCCCGGCCACCTTTCTCGGTCTTCCGGCTTGCACCACAAGGTTGTTCAGTGGAAGCCCAAATAGCTGACGATGGTGGAAAGACTAACACTTCTGTGCATCATTTGAATTCTCTGAATCATCGAGCAACTAGTCCCGAAACCTCTATTGAACGACAAGATCAATTAGTTCTGGCCCATCCCCGTCCTCCATTGACACTACTTAGGTCGCCCAGGGCAGAAAATCGCTTGGACCCATCTGAGGCTTATCTTTTTCACTCCTACATAAATTATGTTGCCCCCATCTTAGTCCCAGTCCACACTCCACAGAACCCATGGCTACGTTATCCTGCAATTGCACTACATCAGAGTTTCAATCAAGGTCGAAAACACCTTCTACACGCAATGATGGCAATCGCGGCAATGCATCTCGAGAGGGAAGGCCGGAAGGAATCATCTCCACAAAGCACTAGGTTATACTCACTGGCCATGGCAGAGCTTCGGAACAGTATCGACGACGGATCGGTGGATTATTTGGGTCTGCTCACTACGGTGTTGACATTTCTTTTCATCGAGGTAGGTGCCACGGGATCGCATCCAACATGAGCTTTCAAGCATCGACTGACAGGTCTGGAAGATGTTCCGAGGCACTTCTAACACGTGGCGTTATCACCTTTCCGCGGGATGGAAATACTTACAGCACCATTGTGCATCAGGCACCTGGACTAGCTCCGAAGACGCGTGGTATGTTACTCAGAGCTTCTACCTGCTCAGGATCGAGTCAGAGACTTCATTAGAATGGCAGGACGGAGTGGATCTGCTAGAAGATCAAATTTCTAGCTCAGAGGATGCTGTATCCCTGGAACGGCTCTCGCGTTATACCTCTTTTGGCAGCACCATAGGAGCTTCAGGTTCAATTCTTACAAGGCTCTCAGAGATAAATCGCCTTTCGCGACAGCTGACGCAAACTGGTTTTGGCGACGGTGCCGATCCATCCTTTCTAGATCTCGAGGAAGTACCAATTCCTGGTCGGAATATGAATGTACTGATGTTGGAACTCGGCAGCGTCACATCTGATGATGACCAAGAGTGTATCAGTGTTGAGAAAGAGGCACAACAATTACATCTTCGAGCATTCGAAGTGGCAACGGTGATTTACCACCACCAGATCTTCGGAACTTCAACCCCAGAACAATTGGCTCCATATGTTCACGCTGTCCTTTACTATATCACAAGATTCTTGGAGATCTGTGGTGGAAATTATACTCTATGGCCGGTGGTCATTGCAGGAGTAGAGGCTTATACCGATGACGAGATGATACTATTCTCGACGCTATTCGAAAATGCAAAATCAGTGGGAATGAGAAACAGAGTCAAAGCGAAGCAATTGATGGAAGGAGTGTGGGCTATTAGATCTTCGATTGCAACAGAAACAGGTCAAACCCCCGGTAACATCCGAGTGAACTGGCGGCAGGTCATGCGACAACTGGATATTGACGTTCTTCTTGTGTGACTGACAGTGTTCCGGTTACATTCGACACAAGTCTTACAATCTGTGGTAATTGCACCCGTCCCGAGGACATCGACTTTGAAAACTCATAGAGTTATTCCAATCATTTTCGGTCCGAGAACGCTTCTTCGACGGCTTCAGCCATGTCACCCAGAGTACTGAACTCTGCTCCCAACTCTATCAACCCTTCAGCCTCGAGTTGCGCTCGATTTCCACCCATGAAGGCACTCTTTCTTGCTATCCACACAGCAGGCTTGAAGCCAAGTGCTTTTGCAGATGCATGATCGATATCGAGGCTTTGAGCCACCAACAGTATCTCGTCCTTCTTTATGCCAAAGTCCTCGTCAAGACGAGTGACAACGTGCTGATAATTTTTGGGGTTTGGCTTGTACGATCCAATCTGCTCTGCGGTATATATTCCGTCCCAGTGCACCCCATTCAACGGGCCTGTTCGCGTTCTATCAAAAGACGCATTATCGACATTGCTCAGTACGAAAAGCTTATAGTGCTTTGCCAGCAGTTGCATCGCTTTGACGGTATCGGGAAACGCTGGCCACTCTCCAATGCTTCGACCAAAGGCTTTTTTGTCTGCTTGGTCGGCGGAAACTCTCAAGTCTGATGCTATTCGGCTGTAGACTTCCTCCAGAATTTGAGGATACGGTAGTTTGGGGTTTTCATGCTCAACGGCTTTCTCGTGTTTGGCATATGCTTGCAGCAATTTTTTACGATTCTCAGCATTATCCTCTCGTCTAGCATCACCGGATGGGAGATTTTGACTCAGTTTGAGAAGTTGTGGGCAAATTCCAGACTCCCAGTCGATAAGCGTCGCATATATATCAAAGAAGAGCCCTTTGAACTCGGTGGGATTGAAAACCATCTTGTCTCTCTGAGGAGTGAGAATGGAGAAGTTTCTTGTCGATACAGTAGAGGCGGAAGACTCACGAAATTCAACGTACTTGTCTTTCGAATGTACGCAGGGCGTAGCAGATCATCTTTAAGAAGGTCCCAGGGTTCTTGCCAGGTTTTCGGGTAGGACTTCTGATATTGATGTATCAGGAAATCAATAGCGACCAGTACGCTAAGCCTGCAATATGCCGGAGTTGTTGATCAAGCAACAATTTTGGTTGGCTATAGTGTAGTGGCAAACAAATGTGGGACTCGAGTGCTTGAGCTCCGTGAGCCTCATCCACGACCTAGAGCGGAACCAGGACATGAATATTGTTCGTTCTAAACGACGAAGCCTCCTTTGAATACCAGGTCAGTGATCGGTTGTGGAAGTACGACTGCATTGAAAATGACATCATCACCATCAAGATGACGCTTACGAAAAGCTCTTCCAAGATGGGTTTTCAGCGCTACCAAGTCCTTCCAAACCATTGGGATAACACGCTCCGAGTTACCAGACTTTCATAAAGACCTAAATCTATTTACATTCTTCAATACGACGCCAAGGATATTCCTTGCCTAAGCCTGTCTTGTTTGAGAGTCACCCAGGTTTGTGGACACAAGGTAGCTAAGAATTGCGAAATGGCTCTCGGGCCCGAGAGGGTACGTCCGGCCCTCAATACCTATGCCACCACCTAAATATGCGAAGTCTGAGTCGCTGATCATACATGCTGTCGATGCCGAGTACGCCCTCCCCTTCGCCGACACATAGGAACCTCTCTCGATGAAGCTAAAACCCGCAATCCGTGACGCCTTCATCAACAGCCTTTCTCATGCAGCGGCCAACCGTCAGTACGAAGAGTTCGTACAGCAATATGGTTATCTGCTGAAGAACTATTCTATATTGCCTTGTAGATTTTTGCCTTCAACCGAGTAAACACCGACCCCTGGTTTCTGTGCTTGGGAGTCATTGTCGGCTCCGGTGTTGACTTCAATCGAGTAAATAGCCACCCCTGTTTTAAATGCTTGGTAGTCAACGTCGGCTCTGGTGTTAAGTCCAAACGAGTAAACAGCGGCCCTTGCTCTATACAATTGGTACTCATCGTCGGCCCCGGTGTTGACTCTAGACAACCGTTCAGCTTAGATAAATTTCTTGAAGCCATTCCGATATGGGGGTGATCATCCCCGTAGGTTTGCTTCATCTTTTGTAAGGCAGTCTGCAGTAAATCGATCGCCTCACCAATCTGGCCTTGTTCTCCCAATGTGTTTGCGAGGTTGTGCATTGCAGATATTGTATCGGGATGGTCTTCACCTAGAATCCGCCGGGTCTTCTCTAGTACTTCCTTCTTCATCTTCGCTGCCTCGTCTACCTGGCCAAGATCATCGAGCGCAGATGCGAGATTACTTATAGCTCCAATTGTATCGGGATGCTCCGTACCTAGTATTCGCTGTCTCTTCTCTAGTACTTCTCTCATTAATTTCTCTGGCTCGTCTAGGTGGCCCTGATATCCAAGAATGGAGGCGAGGTTGTTCATTGCTGAGATAGTATGTGGATGGTCCTCGCCTAGAATCCGCCGCCTCTTTCCTAGTGCTTCCCTCATTATCTCCACCGCATCGTCTAGATAACCTTGATTCTGGAGCGTCAATGCGAGGTTATTCATTGCTGTGATCGTAGAGGGATGCTCCTCGCCTCGAATCCGTCGTACCTTCTTGAGTGCTTCCTTCTTCATCTGCGCCGCCTCATCCAGGTAGCCTTGCTCTTCGAGTATGACCGCAAGGTTATTTATCGCCAGGATGGTGTACGGGTGCTCCTCGCCTGAGATCCGCCGTGTTCTTTCCAGTACATCCCTCATCATCTTTGCCGCGTCTTCCAACTGGCCCTGCTTTCGGAGCGTGTTTGCGAGGTTATTTGTTGCCGATATCGTAGAGGGATGGTCCTTACCGTATACCTTCACGTGGACTTCGAGTATAAATAGCCTGATTGATCGCACATCTGACCACTGACCCAACGTATCCAGAAATGAATCCATCCTTGTCACCACTCTCGCCGTTGCTTTGAGATCAACCATATCCCGTGCCATTGAAATGGCCACTCCAAAGCATGTCATGATGTGTGGCGTTAGTCGTAGTCTTGCTTGAGGCATCCCACTACACCGGGACATCGCATCGTCCATAAGATTCATACTGGCCATTCCAAATGTCTCTTTCTCTGCTGGACTGAGTCGATCATGGCCCCACGCATGTACAAGTCGGTGCATCTGATAGCTGGCGTGATCGCCCTGCCACTGTACCAGAGAATACCGTCCTAGTACACGGAACCCCTCCTCGAACATGTCGAGCTCAAGTGGCTGCTCCGGGGAAATTGTATTCGTCCATGTTTTGATAGGCTGCTCGAGGGTTTCATTGTCAGAATGTTCTGCTTGATTGCCACGACCATCGAGCCCAAATAAGGCCATGTATATATCGTCGTGGCTGATGAACGCAAGGATCGTCAGTAGACGTCCCGCCAGTGGATATTGCTCGTTTACTGCGTGGAAAGATGTTTCCCATGTCGTCAAGACACTCTCGCTATATTGGTGCGCTTGCCGGTTCGGTTTTCGCCCCAACAGTTCGTGTCTTCGCTTTTGGTGACCTCGATATTCTTTTAGATATTTACTAAGGTCTGAGCGCAAATCAGGAGTTTCACGCACATATGCTCCGGCTAAATTGACCGCCAGAGCTAGGTGTCCGAGCTCATCCACGATGCACTTCACCTCCTCGGTCGTTTGGGGAGATATTATGTTCAGTTCCGATGACTTGTAGAACAAGTCAACAGCTTGATCCTGCGCCATCTCCTTCACATGGACCCCTTCTAGCGTTGAGAGATCGTCTGCAGTCTTGCTGCGGCTGGTGATGATCACGTCGACTGTTAGTGACATAGGTATGAGCTCGAGAAGATTGACATAGTCCTGGTCCTCAGGATCATCTAAAGAATCCGCGCCGTCAAATACTAACAGCCACCTGTGCTTTTTGTCCCCAAACCAGCTCTTCACCCGCAGGACTGCCTCGCTAACAAGATCTTGTCCGCCTTTTGGAGCCCAAAACACCTCGCCATAGAGTAGTCGGTATATGTTGACGAAGTCGCGTTCGACTGTGCTTTTCATTCCCGCATCGATCCAAAACGTGGCCTCATAGTCGGTTTGATGATGCTGGAGGTAACTGAGCACCAATTGCGTTTTCCCCGTCCCTCCCAGCCCCCAGACGGCAAGGATCTTGTACTTGTGGTTCTGGCTCGTGTCCGCACGATCTCTCGCTAAACGACTTCGGATCATTTCGCGAAGTTCCGGCCGTTCTACGAACGTCTTGAGTGGGTGGAGAGAACTGTTGGTGTAGTGGCCCACACCCGTGCGGGCCGTTGCGGCGGAATCTAGTCAGATACACTTTAGTACGGTAACTCGTCATCTGTTCTCTTAGGAGTACTTACTGATCACAACATTCCCCTGCACCAAGACGCCGCCTGTCACGTAGGTGTCGCCAAATGTTGAACCCTCTTGTTGGATAGATGGAGCGAGGGCGCGAGTATTCTCTTGGCAATGAGGTGACGCCATCCTCAGAGAAGGCTAGTTGCCCCCAATGCCTTCCAAGGGTCTCACGCCAGACGGTCGTATCACCGCAATAGCGGGTGTATGGTCCCCGATAATGCAAGGATGAAGAGAAGCTGGTGCTTTTTGCAGTCGAAGAAGCCATGTTGTTAAGGCTGAAAGATGCTGCGTCTCACAGGCGCGTAAGTTTTGGTGTCTCGCTTATGAGTTCTGGTGGGGGCTGGGTCTTTACATGTCGCAGGTTTGCCGCCGGTTCTCAGCCTTGTTTGATCGTCTTCAACCACGAACTATCATCGTGCACTGAATGCTCAGACTCATAGATATATTAGCTATATGATTCTGCATATGCGAAAGCCCTATTCAAGCATGCCACAGAACAATACCCAGCCTCGCTCTCGAGACGGTTTCGAAATTGCAATTATCTGTGCCCTGCGCACTGAATCCGATGCGGTAGAGGCCTTGTTCGACCAGTTCTGGGAAGAGGAGGTCGAATATGATAAGGTCAGAGGTGACTCTAACTCATACACATTGGGTCGCATTGGTCGCCATAATGTGGTTCTGGCCTACATGCCGGGCATGGGAAAAGCGGCGTCGGCAACGGTCGCCGGAAGCTTTCGGGCGAGCTTCCCATCCATTCGGCTTGCATTGATTGTAGGAGTATGTGGTGGAGTTCCTCGAGATAAAGCCATGAATTCCGATATCCTCCTGGGCGACGTGATCATCAGTACTGGCGTCGTACAGTTTGATTTTGGCCGTCAATTGCCCGATCAAGTTGCTCCGAAGGACACACTGGATGATAGCATGGGCCGACCAAACTCTGAAATTCGTGCCTTCCTACACAAGATCCAAGGCTGGCATGGACGCACAGAGATGGGCAGCAGTATTGTCGACAATATTGCTGAGATCCTCACCAAGCCTGGCTTTGAAAGCTGGAGTTATCCAGGCACCCAATACGATGCTTTGTTTCCGGCGGCTTACCGCCATAAGCATCATACTCCTAATGAGTGTATGGTATGCGACAAGTGCGTGGACGACACTTACCCCGTCTGCCAAGGTGCCCTCCTATCAGAGTGCAGCCTACTTCAATGCGACCTGAAAAATGCAGAGCTCAGGGCGCAGAACGGAGGATCACAGATAGACCCCCAGAGCGGAGAGCGACAAATTACGAGGAGTCCTCTTCACTATGGTTTAGTGGCCTCTGGAGATCTAGTAATGAGATCAGCGAAACGTCGCAACGAACTTGCGACCCTTCAAAATGTAATTGGTTTCGAGATGGAGGGTTGTGGAGCGTGGGACACCTTCCCGACTGTGATAATTAAAGGCGTGTGTGACTATGCAGACAGCCATAAGAATAAGAAGTGGCAGAAGTATGCCGCTGTCACCGCAGCGGCTGCCTCTCAGGCGTTTCTCCGGCGTTGGCGTGGTGTTGAGAGGCCTGTAGATAAGAATGCTGACAGTCTAGAGCAGCAACAGCAGAAAGATGCGCCATTGAGCATACGACAAGCTGGGTCGGAATTCCATGGACCGACTGTGGTGTCTGGAGGAATGGTGTTTCAGGGCAATTATGCCGGAAGATAGACGTTATTTTAGCTGAATATGACCAGAAGGCAATCAGTTAGGTACCTAGGTATTTGCGACATAGTGCTTGCTCTCGAATGATCAACAACGCCGTATCTCTTTCGAAGTAGTCTGTCGAAAACTTTCTTGCCGAAAATGCGTCAATTGAGCAGTTGCTATTCGGGAACGCATGGGTAGTGGCAGACCTTCGAACCTTCTAAAGAACTGTTTTCGCAAAGGAGGGGCTTCAGAGGTATCATTTCAAATACATGAATATCCTCTTCAAACCTGAGAAGACCTACAAAGGGAAGGACCGAGTCGGTTTCTACGCGAATCGATGTCGGAGTAGGTAGGTCTTACTAAGTTTCTGGGTTATTTTACCGCACTCAAATTCAGATAGATAGCAACCCACTGTAAATTAGACATGTACCTAGCTGAATTCCTACTATCGAAGAAGCCCCTAGCTAGGACTCACCCTGGAATTAAAGACTGTCTAAATTCCGAGAATCAGAATCTGATGTCCGGTAATTGAACCTTTACCAAACCTTCAGCATTTCGGGCCCGAGGGAGTTCCAACGCAATACCGAAAAGACATCATGATGCTGCCTCATATCGCTCGTAGCCATTCACCTATATATACTCTCCCAGGACCTGCTCGGTTGTCATTGTTGTCTCGTGCAAAACATATTGGACAGTGTGCAACCACAACCCTGATCTCTGAATTTCTCAGCGAGGTTCACTTCAAGTTGGCTCAATTCGAAGCACGACACAAACAATGGCCGCCACTGACACACGATCTCGATCGTCACTCGAAGCTCCAACAAACTCAGACGCCGAATGCGGTGATCAACAAATTCGCCTGGCACATGCGACTCCCGCGACGTCTAACAAGCAAAACGAAGATCATGAAGACAAATACCCGCCGTTCGCAACGGTAATGCTCATCATGCTGTCTCTTTACATGGCTGTCTTCCTTGTTGCTTTGGTAAATCTTGTGTTCCGCGGATGTCGTCGCAAGCAGACTGACTGAGACGTCTAGGATACCACGATAATCTCAACAGCCATTCCTCGCATCAGCGACGAATTCCATTCACTTGACGACATAGGCTGGTATGGAAGTGCCTATTTGTTGACGTTGTGTTGCTTTCAGCTCCTCTTCGGTCGCATCTATACATTCTATTCCCCCAAGCTCGTCTTCCTTACCGCAGTCTTCTTGTTCGAGGTTGGCTCGGCTATCTGTGGCGCAGCGCCTAACTCGGTAGCCTTCATTTTTGGCCGCGCAGTTGCTGGGGTCGGTGCTGCTGGAATCTCAGGTGGCGCCGCTGTGATAATAGTGCATACAGTGCCGATTCACAAGAGACCTGTGTATATGGGCAACATCGGTGCTGTGTATGGACTTGCCTCTGTGGCAGGGCCACTCCTTGGAGGTATATTAACTGTCCCTTCCATCTCATTTGACCACGTTTACTGACGCCACGTGATCGATCAGGCGTTTTCACCGATCGCCTTTCATGGCGCTGGTGCTTTTATATCAACCTTCCAATAGGTGGTCTGACACTTGCCACCATATTTCTCTCATTGAAACTCCCAGGCGCCAAAGATGCCTCGACCACAATCAGAGAACAAATACGCCGTTTGGATCCATTGGGAACATTCTTCTTTTTTCCTGGCATCGTCTGCCTTCTCCTGGTCCTTCAATGGGGCGGATCGAAATACTCCTGGCAGGACGCCAGAATGGTCGCCCTCCTTGTTATTTTCGCACTGTGCATGGCGACTTTCGTCGCCATCCAGATTTGGAACCGCGAGAGCGGCACAGTACCGCCTCGAATCTTCCTCCAACGCAGTATACTGTCCGGGTGTTATTTCGGGCTCCTTGCCGGATCAGCCCTCATGATATTGATTTACTATCTGCCGATCTGGTTTCAGGCCATCAAGGGTGTCAATGCAGTCACGTCAGGTCTCATGACCTTACCGGTCATCCTATCCTTGGTAGTCGCCAATATGATTGGTGGTATCGTTGTCTCACGAATCGGCTACTACGCCCCGTTCATGATTGCAAGCTCTATCTTGATTTCCGTCGGTAGCGGGCTCATCACAACATTCACAACGACAACGAATCACCCAAAATGGATCGGTTACCAAGTCATCTTCGGCCTAGGTATAGGATTGGGGATGCAGCAGCCAGGAGTAGCAGCGCAGACGGTTCTGACAAAAAAGGACGTTCCCACAGGTATTGCCCTAATGATGTTCTTTCGCAATCTTGGTGGTGCACTGTTTATATCAATCAGTCAGAACGTCCTGCAGAACGACCTGATCAAAGGCCTGAAGCACATCCGAGGTCTAGACACAAATACTATCTTGGAGTCTGGTGCTACGGGATTGAGGAAGGTTGTGGACGCACAAGATCTCCAGCAAGTTCTAGTGGCGTACAATGGTGCTCTGACTAAAGTTTTCTACTGCGCAGTGGCTGTGTCGTGTGCCAGTATCGTTGGAGCTCTGACGATGGAGTGGCGGAGTGTCAAAAAGGCGAGAGAGCAGCAGAGAAAGGAAGCGACAAAGCCGGATGAGAAGCGGGACGACGCAGTGTAAGAACAAAATCCCCCTTCGCCTAAAATTCGCCGTCCTGGAAGTGGGACTGTAACAAAAGATACGTATCAGTCCTCGATGGACTAGTCTTTAGATCCAAAGCTACTTTGTACCTTGGATTTTCCGATTGAAAGATGGTGGGATGCCTGAGTAGCTAGAAACTGTCCGGAAGATATTGGCGATAGGGGCTACGGCCTTACACGCCAAGGCGTGAACTTGTCTCGGGCCCGAGAAACCTCACGAAAGAGTTTTAGTTTGAGATTGAGCTCGTCATCCGTTGCCTCAGAATAACCTCTAGATCTTCGAATTGCCGGTGCCCATCAGACTCAAATTCTACTTGGGATGAAAGTGCTCTTACGCCTCGCCTCCGCATATTCCCCTGAAATGACTAGCTATCCCGAAACCATTGAAATGTTAGACGGAGCTGCACTTTGCAACATGACCACATCTCCCTGTTGGCGCTATTGAGTTGACCACAAGCTCGTGGGGTTTGGCCATCGCCTTATTAGTTCTCAGACCACCAGGAAGTCGACCCAAAATCACCAACGAATTAGGCGAAGTGGATGCTTGGTGCCACGCAGGATGGCAACATCGCACGATGCATTTTCGCCTCACTCGTCAACATCGCAAACAACCCCATCACAACTTCAGGTCCAAGTGTACTCTTGTCTCCAATGCAAGCACCGCAAGGTGAAATGTGATCGCATTGATCCATGCGGAAATTGTGAAAAGGTCGGTGCTGAATGTGTTTACCGTGCTCCGCCACCGCCAAACCGTAAAAAACGGCAACAACAACAAGATGCGGCTCTCGAGAAAACATCTACCAAAGAGATAGCAAGTCTGAAGAGCCCGTCAGATGCTAGAAATGGCGCCAGCGAGCGTGAACATGAGCTCTTGGAAAAGATTCGGAGGTATGAGAGCTTATTGAAGGAACTGGGCGCTCTGAAGAGGTCGACCGTCCGTTCTGCACATAGAAAAACGATACATCACAACCTGAACTACAAGTCAAAGCCATCTGCACAAATACCGCGCCAAACGTCGGACCTGGTGACTTATGAAGCTGGCAAGTTGTTCGCAGATGATGGCAGGTCGAGATATTTCGAGAACAAACTATGGACGAGTGTGACCGACGAATTCCAGGATCCCAAGGAGATGTTGGAAGAATCGACGGATGACGAAGGGGAAAAAAGCAGTCTCACTGGGAGTCATAACGTAATATTTCCAAGTCATCAAGGACGATACAGCACCCCCAATCCTACGGACCTGGTTTTCCCTGTCTCCAATAGTGAACAGATCGTTCGACTCGGATCATTACACCCACAGCCAACTCAAATCTTCCTCCTCTGGCAGGCGTTTTTGGACAATGTAAATCCAATCGTGAAAATCTTACATGTGCCCACGGCGCAGAAAGCTGTCCTAGATGCAATGTCCAATTTGGATCATGTTTCAAGAGCAATGGAAGCTTTGTTGTTCGGAATCTATACCATTGCAGTGACATCGATGGATGATGGTGAATGCCAAAGTACGCTGCAAGAAAGCAAAGCATCTGCACTGGGCAGATATAGGGCAGCATCTCAGCAAGCGTTAAGAGCGGCAAGCATATTGAAGACAAGCGATATGATGGTACTGCAGGCATTCGTACTTTTCCTGGTAAGTGGATTTATCCCGAACACGCCAACGATGATTTGAAGAGTGAGCTGATTGGCTTCTAAGCTCTCTGCCCGTCTGTTCTATGATTCTTATTCCCTTTGGGCTTTGACGGGGGTATGTCAAAGGATCGGTCAACGCCTCGGGCTTCACAGGGATGGCGAGAAATTGGGCATATCTCCTTTCGAGATTGAAATGCGCCGCCGTCTTTGGCTGGTGATAATCCAGCTCGATTCACGTACTGCGGAATTATCAGGATCTGGACTGTCCCTCACAACACAACCAGGAGATACAAAGCCACCATTGAATGTCAACGACTGTGACATATACCCAGATATGCGGGAGCCGCCGATCGAACGAGAGAGAGCAACCGAAATGATGTTTGTTCTCCTCCGATCGCAAATCGGCGAATTCCTGATAAAAGGCGACCCGACGAACGATAGTTTCGACGGCGTGTTCTCGAAATTCAGCAGCCCCAACATTCACATGGCAGAGAAGGACCGTCAAATCGATGGCCTCGAACAAATGCTTGAAGAGAAGGTCATTCGTCATTGTGACCAACAAATCCCTGTCCACAATCTCGCATCAGTAATTGCCAGAGCCTCAATCTGCAAAATGCGGTTATTGTCACATCTCCCTCGTAATGCACGAGGTCCATCCACCACCAACTCGCTCGCAACCCGTCTATCTCCAACCGAGGAAACCTTACTCTTCATGAACAGTGTACGGATTCTCGAATACCATGTCCAAATCCGCACTACCCCTATGTTGCGTCGTTTCATCTGGCACACGCAGATCCAGTGGCAGGCAGTGATATATCTGCTTGCTTATCTACGCACTCATCCGTACCAAGACTCACGCACAGATATGGCGTGGACGACTATCGATAAGCTGTTTGGCAGCCACCCTGAACTCATACATGGCGATCGTACCCGCAGCAAATTAATTACCGCTGTTAGCATTCTCACGCTGAAGGCCTGGGAAGCGCGGGAAAGTTTAGTTCTTCTTCCTGCACATGGCAGCGCAGTTCTAGCAGCCAGTCCACCCTCCTGTATTGCAGAGCTGCGGAAACAAATAATTCGCTCGACAAGGACACCCAATACGCGAGTTGGCTCCAGTAAAGTCCCATCAACCACGACCACGTCTATGCGCGAACACGATCACAATCACAATCTACAAACTCATGCACAGAGCAACAGTCCCAGTGATGCAAATATCTACCAAGGTCATGAAGCAGACCATTTTAAAATCAACATGATGTTTCCCGTCGTTGAAAGCCACTCTATGATAGCTGGAAATGCCTTCACATCCGCCACGGCCGATACGTCCTGGATGGATACGAACCCCATGGATTGGGAGAACTGGAACTCGATATATGAGGATTTCGAGATGCAGGGCGAATGGGATGACATGCTTGATTCGCTGGCGCCCTTTCCAGAACAGTGAGGGTTCTAGATGGTGAAGAAGTCAGTGGCTATCATCGATCATGAGACCTGCACCTCCCATTTGCATCATTTGACGAATGATTGATATGCTTGGTGAGGTGGTTGTCAATAATAGGTCTGGAGCGAGATTATATTGTTGCTTGGATGCCACCTACGTACACCTCTTCGAATACCTCATGCACCATGCCTAGGTGTCATCTAAATGTATCAACGCGCTCGGCGACCATGTGATACCTGAATCTGAGAACACCCAACCTATTACCCACACACGGAACTTTCACCTCCATCATGTACTAATTCCTCGACTAGCCAAAGCATGCTCTAGGCCATGCTTGTTGAGCAAATGGAACAACTCCTCCAGTTCCTCATTGTATTCTTCCAGTCGCCGCCCTTCCAGCTTTGCGGCCTCCTCCTTGCCGACCTCCACTAATTCTTCCCAAATGTCTAACAGACCAGAATAAAGTTCGTCCATAGCAGGAGCGCACAGATACAGCGGCCCATGGAGTTCAAGAAATGACGACAGGTGATTGATCATGTCTTCGACAAGGATGAAACGTGTGGCACCGTTCCGACTGTGCGTGATTTCTGAAAAGCCATTGACTAGCTCGGAGGTGATTCCTATCGTGGCCCACGTTGACGTGAGCCAAGATGTGGTTAGTCCAGCCCGGAGTCTAGCAGATGCTTCTCTGAGGTGCTCTAGACCTCCAAACCTTTTGGCTCTGTCATAAGCTGCTGCCGAACGGCGGGTAGCAAGGAAAGATCTTGGCTTTACTATCGTGCCTTGGATGGTAGCCTTCCTGGCATACAGCGCAAAGTCCTGGGCCACCGCTTCTGCCTGATCTCTCTTCAAGACCTGCTCTACAAAGTCCACTGACTCTTCAGGGTTAACCTTGAACCACCGACCATTACCACCTCTTACTAGTGCGGCATGTTGGTGTGGGGTTGTTCTCTCCAGCATTTGTTGAATCCTGCAAGCCAAGGCAGGGTCTTGTATTTTCGAGTATATCCTCCCTAGAAAGTGTGCAGCATTGACTTCAAAGATGACCTCTCCAAGCTCATGGAAAGTGGAGCCCATCAATGCGTCAAAACAATCTGATTCTCCAGACGTGGGATGATATGCCACATGTGTGACTGAGGACAGTTCAGCGCCCGACTTCCGAAACGATTCAATCGTGGAAACAAGTTGATCTTCAATCCCAGAGTAACTAGGCGCTCTGCTTGCGAGTCGCAGAAACCTGAGCCATGGGCTGCACTGACCATAGTCCCGATGAGTGTACATACAAGTAGAGTTTGGATCGGCTTGATGACTAAGGAATACTCGTATAGCTTGAAGATTCCTTGAACATATGATGTCTGGATCAGGCGCCCAGCAAACGCTTGAAAGGAAGTAAGTAGTAGTGACAGCATTTCTGGAATCACTTGGTAGTACTAGATTGCACAAACTGTTAGAAAAATAGCTGGCTATCGACCCCCAATAGTCCAAGTGGTAGGTGCCATTTTGCTCGCTCGAAAAGAAATACCAATTTTCATGCCACTCCGAAAGTGCGACAGTCCTCTCCGAATCGACGACCGTCCGATAAACCGAGTTGATTCGTTCGAGAAGCGAATGTTGGCGATCAACAATTGCAGGCTGTGGGTCTTCTATGCTGAATATGAAGGACACAAGGCGATCAAGAGTAATGTACTTCGAATTGGACCGCCCATCAGCGTTAAAACGTGCACTTAATCCAAGGATCTTTCTCTGGAGATACGCATTCACAAGTCGAGTCGCGATGTCCATGATATTCCATGTGCAGTGTTGCAGCGCTTTTCGCCCATTTATCGAGTCAACCAGAAAGTCTCTTGCTGAACGATGGATAAAATTGATTTCCAAAGCACCGATTTCAACCAAATACTGAGCAAGGATCTTGTGGTCGGTTGATTGTTCAATCAATGCTGAAACGTTTTTATTCAGCGTACCTTTGCTGACATACACCAAGCCATCAGATGTCTGGTCGGAGATACGACATGAGGATCCAGCAGAGTGACAACTTTTTCCAGATATCAGACTCCCTAGGTCGACAGATTGTGAGTCTGGTGCATGCGATATCTCGAGAAGACCAGCACATCGGGTCTTCAACATGTCTTCCATTTCGACACACTTCTGGAGGATCGGCTTGAGTTCTGAGGATTGGCTGACTGTGTCAATGAAAGCGTGTTGGATGCCATCATCCAAGGCTACCACGAGCTCAAAAACCGTCAATGGGAAGACTTGATGAAAAGCTAAACACCTGGCCGCTTGCTGTCGATATGTTTCAAGATTGTCATCTCCATTTAAGGATCGCCACATATGCTCATAGAGCGCTTCCATCTTTGGTGGCAACTTCGCAAGTCGCTCCAGCAAAATTTCTCGAGTATCGCCATGATGAAGGCCTCGCACGAGCTGGTCGGTGACTAGTCGAACCCATAAAAAGACTCCCGATGCACGATCACGAGTCCTTTCTGCAAGATCTTGGATCTCAGGTCTTCCCATCCCACACGTGCAAGATTGAAGTCGTTCGATCACAAATGTTTTGATGTCATTACCGGTGAGATCTTGCAGCCTTAACTGGGGATAGGCGTCCAAATGATATTCGAGGTGCTTTTCTGGCCGACTTGAAACGCAAGCTTTGATATGTGATTGTTGCGTTACCTTCTGAAGCAGAACGAGGAGGCAAGTTATGTCTTGATTGTGATCGAACTCGTCGAGACCATCTAAGAAAATGATCACATGGGTTTGAGCTAACTCGAGAGCTGACTCGAACAACGAGACTAGCTCCCCAACTGACCAGTCTGTAGCATTCTCTTTGCGAAAGACGGTGACATTGAGCATGTGGGTGTGATAAAGCTTTGAAGCCAGATCGTGGTCATGTGATAGTACTTGATGTATCAAGGAACACAGCGCGCCTTTGAGACTTCTCTGAAATTCTGTTCCTGAGTTCCAGAAATACCAGCTTATGGTCAATGTCTTCTTTGGCTTAGACCACATGTCTAGTATTTGCTGGCATTTGCCATGGCTGCAGATGAAGCGCATCAGAGAGCTCTTTCCTGAGCCAGCCTTTCCGTTGATCCAATATATTGAAGATGGGGTCTGTAGGAATTGTCTGAAACTATCCCATGGTCCCTCAATGCTTTCGTTAAAAATCCACTCAAATGTCTGAGAATGGGGATCCACTATCTGGTTACGTCGTGCATTCATTTCTGGAAATCTCAAACTGGAGATGAAACCTAAACGTTGTTCATTCTCGATTTCTCGATGGCGAGTCCATTGACTATGTTTTAGGAAAAAGGATCTCGTTTTCTGGAGCTCGAGCTTGACACAGCGTTCAGCTGAGTTATTATGTTTTGCTGCGTCGCGCCGAGTCAAACGCCCTTGTCGAATGGTTAGTTGGCGACTCAAGTCGCCTTCAATGGCGTTGTCCAGTCTAAGTCTGCTATTTTGTTCCGTCAATAAATCTGCTAGTTTTACATGGCTGGTTGTTGTTTCGACCGTGATATGTTGCCGTAAACCAGAGTCTGTCGCACGAGATTCAGCCGCAAAATCTGCAAGCGCGTGAGCAAGTTTGTCCGATATTTCTCTTAAACTTGAGTTCGTCTGGAGTGTGGATACATGCAAAAGCTGACTGTTCATGAGATCGTTAGCAAAGTGTCAGATGAGTCAAACATGGTACTGGCATTCACAATGAGCATTTGTACAATAATAAACATTCGAATCCATCCCTAGCGCAACATACGGGTGGTCTTGCCTGTGAACCCTGCAGCAAGTCCTGAAGTTGCCAATAATGCATCATTCGTTTTTTCAAAGGATGCCAACGTGAAGCCCGATATGTCGCCTTGGTGTCGAGATCATGGAAACTTAGAAATAACTCACTTAGTTCGAACAAGTAAAGCTGTGTCAACAGCCTTGCGCAGCTCATCCAATCTGCGCTGAAGATCATAGACTTTGCCTTTTCCAAACAAAGTCTGTAAAGTTTTCTCAAATTTTTCCCCTCTCGTATCGGTTTTGCGGGCTCTCAATGCATCAATCTTCTGCCTCAATTCCACTCCTAGTCTGCGGCAGTTCTTTGCCAGAAGAAGTATTTCCTTGTCCCGTGGAAGTGCGATGTAGCTTGGGTTCTGGGCATCCGTCAAGAAGGCATCGAGAGCCTCGACATTTTGTTCCAGCAAGAGGATTGCCGATGTAAACTCCTCGTGAGCCGGCAAGGTCTTGCAATCCCATACCTGCTTGATCAGTACGCAAGACTTCCCGGCGAGCACCACAAGTTCGATGATGTTGCAAGAAAGGGCAAGAGCTGCCACTGTTTCCATAATACTAAAACAGAAAATTCATCCCACCTCATCATGAGCGACTCGACAGAGGATGTAAAGACGAATCTACATTGAGGAATGCATCTCAAAGATGCGGACAGGCTTACCACCTGAATCCCCTCGGTTGACGCCTCACTACGAATCGCCAGGCATGTCAGTGAACGGCCAATGAAAGGAGGTTCGTAACGCGTTGTGAGAACGGGCGCCTACTGTCTGGTTAAGGCTCGTTCGATTATACATGGTCAGACCGAGGTGGACCGATGGGCTGTGCAACCAGATCAAGCAAATCCACTCAGATGGGGTGATTGAAACATGGGTGCCATTGCCACTGGTCGCGACACAGCCGAGGTTTGGCAGCCCACCTCACGGTAGTTGCATCCTCAAGATATCATCAAATCTTTGAGCGATATGTGTAGGACACACAGTCAGGTATGACTATTTGGGATGTCCAGTGTTGTAGCTCTCGGAATTGGAGATACTAGACGTCGAAGGTCTCACGCTGAATCACTGGCAGGCGCCCGGCCCTTACTTGGGTTGCTCTAAACTCCACCGTAGCTGACATCAATGGTCGCGGCCAGGGACCACTGACGAGGAGCTCGAACGTTCCCTCCTTGACAAGAAACCAGGAAGCACAACTTGTTATAGACTCATCGGCAATTACTAAGCCCTGTCCGAAGAAGAGTTGTGTCGCTCTTGGAGTCAAAGCTCTCAATGAGGCTCCCTTTCCGCCCACAACTTGTGCTCTCCTTTAGTCAAAAAATGTCTTCTACCACAATACAATCCGCGTCTGGAACACCCCTAGCAGACAGTATCCGGCGAAAGGTAAGACTCCATGTCACTGCCTATAGTATGCTCCTTGGTATCGTTCTGTCTACAGTCGTGCTCTGCCAGTCTGACAAAATCTGTGAGTTGCAGGTTGAGGCAGCTTTCAATCCCGTCAATCTTACGATCAAGAATAACTCGGCAGATCATCAACATCATTCGGCTATGAGAGGGGTCGAATCCAAGGAGACACACTTCGAGTATGTGTGCAATATCCAACTTGCCCTGGACGTTCACTTGCAAGCAGCTTGAGTGGAATCCATTTACCCATCCCCCAAACCCCAATCAGCCTTATTTACTCTACTCACTTCGCCGGAACGGCCGTTGTCACTCATTCAAGACATCTTCAATTCTACAGCACTAACTTCCTCTAGGCTCGAGGTCATCACACCCGCCTTTCAGGGCAAGTCGCAAGTCAAGCGCCACAGAGAGATATACGACCTCCTCGCGGCCGAAATGGCACCGGGCCTTGTGCACGCGCTACAGCTGCACACTCGGACGCCAGAGGAGGACGAGCGATATCGCGCTCGCGAACAAGCAAAGCAGGAAGCCGCCGCTCCTCGCTAAACTTGGCTCTGCTCCTACCTTGTTCTGCGTCAACTCAACACGGATCATGTGTGTTTGACTACTTACTCGTACGGGGGTTGGCTCTGTCTCTGTATCGACTATAGGCAATTTGGTCGACGGCGAACTATTTGTACTTGATGTTTCGATGGCATCGCTGATATTGACGTACTGTTTTTGCAAATCTGTTTATTGGAGACGTCCGGCTCCGGGTAAGGCAGGATATGGCATGACATTTGGAAGTGTGGTCTGATAGGGATTGATTCAGGTTCTTGTAGAGAGCATTCATTGTATGTCTTGATTTGATTGTATCAATTGGTTGTTAGTTCCTCCATTTTAAACCACATATCAGCTAAGTCAAGCGGCTTGCGATTCCAGTCAGCCTTTCCACGGGCTGAAGTCTGCATATTTACACTGTCTAAAACCAACAGTGAGTTGTACGGGTTGAGCACTGGATTGCAAAAACTTCCTATTGCGTGGCCACACCAGGTGATGAGAATGTATTGCGCTCATGTTCAATGGACAACCCAAGTCGTGCATGGGCTATCCACAAAAACATGGCGTATTTGATTATTATTCTATGCCTGTACAACCCACCATCCAACACACAACAGCGAAGAAACACGAACGCTCTGCGCCAGCTTTTCTGAACATATGAGACTTTCCTCCGTTGGCTGTACCTTCCATTCCTTTCCCCCCTCCTCTCCACGATTGCAAATGGGAGATGTCTCCATCACTTACATTCCAGTGGAAATCAGTTGGCCTGCTTTACCAATAAAGCATCCACGACTATTTGTCGCAGTAGAGCTAGCACACGTGATGCGAATTGACGGGAGTAGTTGCGACAATGGCAAGTCTGACGCAACAAGTCCAAAACCAAGTCGTTGCACAAGATATTTATCCGGTCGGTGATCGCTCGATCCCCTATTTAAGCTTAATAACCAGCACCACAACGATGACGACGATGATGATGATAAGAGCTGCAACCGAGTTAGTACATGTGCATATATAGGACGAAAATAGACTCACCAACAATACCCAAGCACCACCACTTCTTTCTTCGCGCAGCTCGTGCCTTGTCGACGGCACCTCCAAGCTCAACATTTGCTTTGGCGACATGTTCGGTAACTTCCTCTCCTCTTTGCTCGATTTGCGTGACTGCTGGTTCTTGTTGCACTACCAATGTCTCGAGATCCTGGAACAGTTGTGCGAGTTCGATCATCTGTTTTTCGATCTTCTGAATGTCCTCGTGACGTTGAGACACGTTTCTGGCAACAGTCTGCGCTTCGCCACGACGATCACTCTGGATTAATGCAGAGCTAAAGATTTGTTGGTTGTTCGGGTCTTCAACAGCTTCACGGACTTCGGCGTCCGAAGCATCTGGGCGGACGATTCTGTACTGGCGGGCCATCTGCTCTTGAGAGGCCTTTCGGAACTCTCGTTCAACTTGCTGGTATTGATTGATGGCAGTCTTGAGTCTGCGGTCAACTTTGCCGACCTGAGGAGCATTGCGGGGGTTGCCCGATTCTGGTTGAGACTTGATGCTCTTGACGCGGGTGACCAAGCCGCGGTATTTGGTCATGATGCTGTCTCCAGTCCGATCGACTTCAATTCGAAGAGGTGATTGAGCAGATGTGTTTGTATCGGCAAGATATCGAGATTGTAGGCCTCGTAGGCGCTGTAGGTCGGCCTCGATCTCGTCAATGGCTTGATCAACCGCTCGGCATTCATTGAGGACGCGGTTTGGGTCTGCTCCGTTCACATTTCGCATTTCTAGCATGGAGTTAGCTGGAATAGATCAAAAAGAGGGTAAATAAGCTGATCCTACCATATCCACCACGTTGCTCTTCGTCAGCGTAGTAGCTGTTGTCTTCTTGTGGTTGAGGCCTGCCACCATATGCTGGATTGTGATTGTCTTGCTGAGCGTAGGGGTTGCCACCTTGGCCATAAGGATTGTAGGAGCCATAGTCCTGGTTATTGTTCTGGTTGTTGTACTGTGAAGTAGTGTCAGCGAGAAAGGCTTTGAGATAAGAGATGATCCACAGGGCTCAGAGATGGCAGAAGAGCGAAAGAATGAGGGAGCCTCCCAACAGTACAGTGAAGTACATATTGATTTGTGTGAGTTGTTCGGAGAATACGTACAGCCATGATGTTTGAAGAATGATGGAGCAATTAGAGGCGAGTATAGCTGGAATGAGGTGGGAACAATTGGACGAGAAAGTACGTGGAATGCTACGGTGCGGCCGGGACAGGATACTGTAGTAAGGGAGATCAGGAGAAGGCGCGCAGTCGGACAGGACTGGACGCGATGAGGCAGGAGATGATGCGACAGGAATGAATACAAAGATGAAACGGAGAAGTGAAGTGTCGCTGTGTATGGGATGACCAGCTGAAGAACCTGGAAAGGAAGGGGGAATGAGGGCTGAGTGATCAAGTGTAGTATGTAAGTAATTCAGAATCAGGTCAGCTCGGAGGTGCAAGGAAGAGGCAGGCACTGGCAGCACTCAAGCAGTTAGCGACCGAATAGTTGCCAGCCTGAGTTGAGTTGAGCTGGAGTGGTAGTGGGCCCAAGCGGTACGTGCATCTCTGTAGGCGCAGGCTTTTGAGTCCAGGTGTGGGCGCAGGCGCCTCGGGCCTTTACAGTCTGGAAACTCGTTCGCTTTCTACCTAGGTAGGTAGCTCGAGAGCTGCTCTCGACGCTCGTATTGGGGAAGCCAGCGAGCGGCTGATTGGGGTCAGGTGGAGCTTGGAACTGCGGCACTCACAGTGGTAGCTCCAGCCCTGCTCTGCAGCGCCCAAGCTAGTCGGGGAAAAGAAAGCTGGGCATGTCCAGTGTCCACGGAGTTCAAACACAGCGGGCACCGAGGGGCAAGGAGGACCCCCATTCAGGAGACCTTTGCGAACTTTATCAACAGGGAAGACGCCTAGCTCCTTGGCCGTTGTTTAATGTCGTGCGAGAACTGGCTGTGCATGCTTGATTGCTGCTTTACATAGCAGCGATTTGCGTGCGATCAACAATCGATCTGCTCTCCCTACATTGGACGCCGTATGCAACTGCAACTCTATCTACTTCGTATGCTTGAGGCGAGATCGTTCATTCTGCTTCTGCCAGCATTCATGTGGAAAGCCTGAACGGTGCAGATCCGCAGAAGGAATTGCAAATGCCTATTCAACTTCTCAATCATCCAACCTGGCTTTGTCAGATGCTTTGGCGAATTGCTTATGGCCAATCAAGCTCCTCCAATCTTACTTAGCTCTCCACTAATGAATAACCTCAGGCAAAAATGGAGGATTCTGTTTCGCACTAGAAATTGTTCCAGTAATCACTTCCTCTTGCCAATTGTGGTCCTGGGGTGTGTTCTTGCCTTTAGGTAAGCTGTTTGAATCTTGCTGTTGCTTCTTCCAACATTCAATATCAAATTCCAAGTGGTTGCCACCAACATCTTTCACATGCGTCATACTTGTGGCTGTACCTTCAGCACATGGCCGTCACAACTAGGTTCCAAGATTGAGAATGCCATCTGCCTGGTCATTCCCCAATCGCTGAAAAGCAGAGGCCTTATTTCGGCGGCAACCATCGGCCCCCACAACTGACAGAGCCGCGACGTTTGAGAACCCACTGCTCATGCGAATGGGCCCAGAAGCCACAAGGCTGCGACATGTCCGAATCAATTTGCCTTTCACCATCGTTTTGCTTCATCGCCGGCACTCCATTCTTTTTCCAGGTAGCCTAGGCGGCGCTTGACATCCTCCACCGTGTGAGCGTCTCCTGTATTTTTACCAATGTTGTCTGATATCTTGATTGCGGGATTCCCACCAGCTTTGGACAACTTGATCACAATATTCATGGGTTTCGATTTGGTCTGCCCGTTTGATTTGTGTTTGAAATCATTGGTGAAAAATGTCCCAACCCCAAAAGAAGGCTTGAATCCATATCTCTCTGCCACTTCTTTATACTCTAGACATTTCTCCACATCGAGAGAATCAGAGAACACAATCGTCTTCCCGCTGATACCTACGGATTTGTAGAATTCACTTGCGATTTTCACATATTCCTTTGGATCACCTGAGTCTTGTCTGATACCTGTAAAGACTTCGGCGTAGGTGGCCGGCCTGGACGCAGAAGGTGTATCACCCGAGTCTGTTGATAGATCTTGCTCCTGTGATGCCGAGGTTCTTTTCGGAATGGCTGTGTTAAACGCTCGAAAGAAGTCCGCAGTCCCAAATGTGTCTGTCAAGGCAATGCCGAGTACTCCTTTCCCATAGCAATCCAACCAGTAGTTCAGGCCGTGGATGTTAGCATTCTCATAGTCGCCCGTAAGTGCAGCAATTCCCATAAACCATTCGTGGGCAACGGTTCCAACCGGGGCAATTCCATATTGCATGGCGAAATAGACATTGCTCGTGCCGGTCAATTTCCCAGGCAGACCATTTTCTGCAGACGCCCTCACCAAGCCTTTGATGACAAGGTTCTGTGTTTGAAAGTCCCTCCGTCTGCGAGAGCCGAACTCTGACAACAGGCAACCTGCTTTCAATAACTCAACCCCCTTCGCGTATGCGCTCTCTTCTTGTTCATCGTACTCCCAGTCTTGGTCCACAAATTTGAAATACGCTTCACTCGTCAAAGCAAGTAAAGGAATCTCATAAAGAATGGTTTCGACCCATAGCCCCTGTATGGTCATCTGCAGATCACCGTATGATTCGTCCACCGGGGTGAATGAGAGTTTCACATGCTCTGCAGGGCGCAGCCGCAGAGTCTGTAAGAACGTGAGGTAGCTGGAACTCAGGAAAGGGCAGCTTTTCCTTAGAAAGTCCAACTCTTGCTGTGCGAGGGTAATGTCTCCTAACTTCGTGACTTGTTGCTGCAACCACGCGAATGCTGCATTGTTCAGTCTCATGGAGGGGGTACGGTTGGTAAATTTGTATTCGACCTCGACGGTAGGGAAGTACTGTAACACCGCACATTGCATAGTTAGCTTGTACAGGTCAGTGTCAAGAAAAGAGAAGACGCCCTCAGGCATCTTGGGGGCAGATTGTCGTGGAGACATGACGACGTGGGAAAGCTTGAGAAGGGATGTGCGAATTTGATGATCTGACCATCATCGGTGAAGTTAAGAGCCTGTGTGACGGAGCAGGTTGCACGACCATGAGCATTCAGGCTGTATTAAGTCCAGTTGGCCATAATCAATATGTCGCAGAAAATCAACAAGCGCGGGCATACGATCGCGGGGGCAGTCGGGCAATAATGACATAATGGTATCTCAGGCTCGGTAGCAGCCTTCGAAGCCCTAACGCTTCTCAGCTCGCCCTATTTAGCAAAACCAACTCAACCAATAAAGAGTGGCTGGCCTTCAGCCTCGGGACCTGGTCCTTGAGGACTTTTTTTGATATCAAAATATAATTGCGTAGAACGCAAGAAATATGGCTGGATATCGGTAATACATAGGTGACTGATATCACCACATGAACTACTCAGTTTCACTAGGGATAGATAGCAAGAGCTCGGTTAGTTCGGGCGTATTACTGTAAGCTGGTATCGCAGAGAGTCTTTCTGGTACCACTTGACATTGTTCTTTGACGACTCCAAAGTAGGCGACTCTACGAATCTCGGCGTGATGCTCTTTTTTGGGCAAATCCTTTGCAGTGATTTATCTGCGAAACTTCTACCGATGTGGTGGTCATCCCGAGTGCTGTGAGTGCAGTGACTTCCAGCTGCCAAGACGAGGCTACGATAGGTATTGATCCAAAGGTGCCCGTAGGAATTTTTGCTTAGAGATCATCTTTGCACCTGGTGCAAGCAATCGCCATGGCAACCTGTAGAAGATGTAGTTGCCTGCATTTTTTTCCAATGCGGAATAAACCACTGAAAGAAAGCTCCAGTAAAAAGAAAAAACACCTTGGAACGAGATCACACGTGACCAGGATGTATTGCTTGGCAACCTAACATCACCAACATGGAAGGCCACTGCTGCATGATTTTCACAATTCTATTAAACCCAGGCTGTGGACAATTTCAAAAACTCCCTTTCTTGCATCCATGTGGTGAAATGGAGATGTTGTAATAATGAAGATCATCACGAATGAAGCAATCATGGACTATGGGTGACTGCCAAAGACCGGGGAAATTGATACACGTAGGTGGCCGGCTTTGCGATTGCACCTATCTTGCCCACAAGATGGTCTGGAAAGTGCGAGTAGAAATGAGAAGCAGGGTGGGAAGGCTAGGAGGCCATGAAATCGACGCAGACGCATTTGATCTCTCTCTTGTTTGGACATGTAAAGTCCCCAACAGAGGAGATGGCTTCCTAGTTGAGCTTCACCCTGTGATGCACGGTGTGATCTTTACTTTTCGATCAGAATCGCGTTCGCTCTCCAAAAAACCCTCAGTTGTTTGCCAACAATATGGCGCCTGCCTCATCAACCCCCAACTTCTCTCGTCCCCTGGTTTCTCCTATGTCGGCTGAGCTTGATACCCCAGTCAGAGCAAGATGCCGCCTGGCTTTTGGTGAGCCACCGCATACAGCGGCAGCGGCTTTGATGGGAATGCCAAAACGACAGTCCCTTGAACGTGGAACACCCAGCAAGCGACTATTCAACGTCCCAGGTAGCCGGAATGGCAGACCGGCAGAAAAAAGTGGCACTAGCACGCAATCCTTCAATGAGATCGAGCACGTCCAAATTCTCTCCGACTTGAATCTCACAGGTAACAATGGTTCTCAACATCCCGTCAAAAGGTATGAATTTGTTAGCCAAAAGCTTTAAATCTCTCTCATTCTTCCACAGCGCGGACCTTGGTGGTCAGGATAAACCAATTTCCAACTTTTGTCGCACATCATGGCCTCAACTCGACAGACAGCGACAAGTGTTGATCATCGATCTGTTCTGGCCCATAGAGCTTGAAGAAAATGGTGGCGACGGAGGAAATGAGGAAGATGATGATGACGGAGACGACCAAGACAAGAATATATTTCCCTATGCTGGCCTCAAACCTCTGGTGACTTTCCACAATCTCCACCACCTCCAAATCACAGGGATGATGCGATCCTATCAACAGATCATCTTTGCCACTTCCTGGGTCAACAAAAGCCTCACTCACCTCCACCTTGAGATGACAATCGGACCCAAAATGAAGCCCATCAGCAGAGACACAGAGCTCAGATTTCGCCTCATTACCGACGACTGGTCATACGATCCCGCCAGCGAGGAATACAAGTATTGCGAGTATCTTGGATATCATGGCGAAGGTGTTCTGCATGACGAGTTTGGTTCCGGAGAGTACCTCGATCAACAGGCAATAAAAATGGCTCAGATGTCTGTTGGGACTGCGGTGTCTCAAGAGAATCTACATTTGCTTCCCATCACTCACTTGACACTGAAGAACTTTGTTGTTGACGCCAATCCATTTTTCCGCTGGTTTGATCCAAATCTACTAGAGGAGATCGTGTTGAAGGCGGGTTGTGTGGATGCCGGATTTTATCTGCCTCCAAACATGAAAACCGCCATCAAGGTTGACGCACCTAAGCAGCTGAATGTGGCCAGAAGAGTGAAGCCTGGAGAGATCAAGCACGTGAAAGTTAAAAGATGGAAGGAAACATCGAGGAAGAATGAAGGGACTGTAGCTGGAGTACTAATGATACCTAACTGTATGGGAATTACCACGGGTACTGATGAAGAGGTCTCCACAGGCGAAACGCGACGGGCAGCCAACTGATACACATGTCGAGTAGGACATTCCGGTCCACGGCGTGATGAGGTGGATTCTGCACGGGAGGTCTGAGACGAATGCAACGCAGGATGGCAGAGACATGATGGCAAAGGCTATTCAGATCAGACATGGAACTTAGGTACATGGGTAGGGAATAGAGAGACAACGAATGAATTATCTCTTTACAGCAATCGGCTGGGCTACCAACCATAAGATTTAAGACACTAAACCATTATGGCATAGTTTTATCTTGAGAGATAGGAAAGCACAACGCCATACTAGCTAGAGGCAGGAAAATGTAAAGAAATCATCCGACTGGGCTTCTTGTTTCTATAGTACATACACACACCGCCACCGCCGTAGCGTTTTCCTGTATCACAGTGAATAAAACTCCGGGGTGCGTGATATCGTGATGCTCTTATCGCGCGGTAGTCATAAGACAAGATGTCATAAGGGTAGATGAGTCGGAGAGCAGACTCGGCATGCAGGTACTGTTTTGGCATACCTTCTAGTGACTATCTAGCAAGCCTCGAATTCGTCTCAGCCTCAAGGACGCAAAGGCACAGGACTCGGTTCAGTATTTCTGATACCCGCCCCGACTCCCATACGAGCTGACGCTCTGTGGGTAACCGTAGCCGGGGTTTGGGCTCATTCCACCCATCATGGGCTGAGTCAGACCTTGGTTCTGGTACATGGCGCCAGCATTGCCCATGACGGGTGCGACGTTTACGTGGGCGCCCTTGAAGCCATCACTGCGCATCCGCGTCATGCCATTGCGGTAGGCCATGACCTCGGCGGCATTCTTCTCGTACTTGGCGTCCTCGATGAGTTTCTCGTGCTTGCCGGCGCGGCGTTGGCGGATGCAGCAGAAGGCAAAGATGCAGATGGCTAGGAGGACGACACCGCCCACGACACCGCCGATGATGTATTTGGTCTGTGGGCTGAGGCCGTTCCATTTCTGCTCGATGCTCTGCACGGTGGATGAGCCGTTTTGGCCGTCGAGTTTGATGGGCTTCGTATCGCTGTTGAAGCTTGGTTAGTATGGTTGGAATTACGGTTTGAAGTCAGAGATTGAATACGTACTTGACGACCTTGATGCTCTGCCAACTGCCAGTCCTGTCACCCCATTGGTACTGTGTGGCTTGTGTAGCATCACTGACACGGACAGAACGAACGGTCATGGTGTACGGGGTGTTGTCGTAGTCGGTCACACCTCCAGCCCACTCAATGGTACCATTGGGGTTCTTTGGGTCACCACCGGCCCAGATACCGAGACGAACGTTGCAAGGGGTTTGAGGAAAGTTCTTGCCCCCGTTGGCATCTTGGGCATTGAGGACACGGATGGATTGGCCATCAATGAACCATTCTAGCTTTTCTCTCGACCAATCAACGGTATAATTGTGGTACTCGTCTTGAGGTTTGCTGACCGGATGCCAGACGGCACGGTCGAAGCTGGTGGTGTTGCCTTTGCCGAAGTAGTTGGTTTGAACATACGAGTCGTTGCCTCCGATCCACTCCCAATCGACCTCGTCCAAATCTTCCGACTGCATGACGATGGAGGAGACAACACCTTGGCCAACGGAAGCCTTCATGATGACCTCAACCTGGCCGAAGAAGATGTAGAAGTTGGTCTGGACTGTGGGTGCGTCTCCTCGCTTGTTGATGGTGAATTGCGCGCCAGGGTTCTCAAAATCGACCGATCCTGCCGTCGTGTTCCATACCTCTTTGGACATCATGCTCTTTGTGAAATCAATGCTGTAGTTGGAAACACCCAACGCCTGCATATCAGGACAATCATCCTTTTCCAAGGGATTGCATGACGTGAATGTCTGGGCCAGGGCGGTAGACAGGAGGGAAAGGAGGGCGATGCTGGAAGCCCTGAGAGAATGCATGGTGGTGGTGGTTGATGTTTCTGCTGGAATTTTTCTATGCTGTACCGAAAGGTTCGGGTCCAAGTCGATTGCAAGACAAGTTGAGTTGTTTCTTTGTTTGAAAGTAAATAGGGTGGTTGACTCCGGGTCACGGTGTTGGAAGATGCAGTTGTCCGTGCGTTGAAGGTTGGAAATTGGGCCAAGCTTGGACTTGTTGGGAGTGTTTGGAAAAGAGTGTATGTCTGAGTCGCTGCACAGCGCGACTTTGGGACGAGTGGGACAAAGAGAGACAAAGTTGAAGCGGCGGTAGAACCGTGAGAGCTATCAAGTTAGCAAAAAGAGTGGAAGTGTCGCGACACAAAGAGGGCGTGCTCGACAGCAAGAAGAGGTCGACGAGAAGAGGTGGAACAGAATGAGTCGAGAGTCGAGGGCCACGAGATATTCGGCCTGGCAGCAGAGGTTCGAGTCCCTGAAGTCCTGAAGCCCGCGGGCTCATGAAACGCGTAGCCCATGTCGTAGATGAAAAAGGGGCGTCGCCAGACCCCAAAGCCGCCAATCGTTTTGTCTCTCGGTTGTTGATACTAGTCTGTGTTCGTCTAGCTTCTCGCCTGGGTTCAGACTCAGACCCCTCGTCGCCCATTTCAAGGCTTTTTCGAGTATCTACTTACCTACGAGTACGGAGTACCTAGGTACGCACCAGAGGTACGAGTGCTGTTTTAATTGGCGTTGTTCATCGTCGAGACCGAATACTGTACCGATGTTGTGTTGTTCTGCATCGACTTCTAGAGGCATCATTGATGCCTCTCGAAAGCCACGTGATGCGATTATCCTGCCATCGAATGCGTGCCGATCGGCAACCCAATTTGCCAGTGCCCACACCACCCATGAGTTCCCAATCACTACCGTGGCTGTGCTTTCACGCCTACTCCAGTTTCCCTTTCACCGCACAGTAATGTCCTTCAGTAATTCCGGAGATTTCGTTCTACCATGTACAACCTCGTACAATATTGCTAGTATTGTCGGGACCAGTGTATTGTTCTGTGCGACTTACATCATGAAAGCTTGGGTGCCTACATATCGTGGTCTCCCAAGCATACTAAATAGTATTTCTGTCTGAGCCTCCTCGTTCGGTTTTTTGCAACATTGAATCACTGCAAGATCAGTCCATAGACTCGCAATGCAGTACTCGGTACTTGGTAAACGAGGTCACGACGAGGTTCAGAGTCCTCATTCACTCAGATAGATTTTAACCGAGGTCGACATGGTCCAGGGATCGTGATACTTCATGGTAGTTCAGTCAGGACCCGAAGTTCCATCCGATCTGTCAGACCGTATACGCAGGTCCTTCGGTTGAAGAAACGTGTTAGTTACCATCATAATAATAAGTCTATTCGGTTTCCCTAGAACATTAAATATGAGATGGGTGAACTTGGGCTCGGTAAATATCAAAGCGTTCTCTCCGTTCGGGCCGCGGCATAAGAGAGTGAATCACAACCCCGACTATCAATCACTGCACCACATTCCGAAGTATTCCTAACAAGTTCAAGCTGCTTTCACTCTCGTCCAAGCGACGTGTATAGCACTCTGGCGGAAACCCCATGGAAGCGAATGCCGACTATCACCTTGCAGCACGGACTTCTGATCATTTGTGGGAGAGACGAGCTCTACAGTGGATGACCTGCCATAGACGTCCGAAACAAGTCGCCACATCCATCAACCACCATGTCGCTCGGAAGCTTTCTATGGGGAGCTGAGGACATGAGAAGACGAGAAGAGATACTCGATGCTTTGGCTCGGTATCCGCTAAAGACGACATGCCTGAATCCATATCGCTTATCCAGGAAGGAGTTATGGACCTTGAGAATCCAGCAAAATCTGGAATTGATGGAACTTAAGATGCAGCTGGGCTGGGGTGCTCAACACTATCTCGATGCCTTGAAAATCGCAGTCCCCGATATAGCATCCCTAAACCCCAATTTCCGGAGTGAGTGTTGCGAAGAAGCCTTGTAATAGTGGCCCATCTTTGAAAAGCTGACATTCGGGACTTTGTCCAGTATTTCTGAAGAACTTAAAGGCTCAGATGAGTTCCGAACAACAGGCATATTGGGTACCCAAGGCACAGAATTTCGAAATCTGCGGCACATATGCTCAGACGGAACTGGGCCATGGGAGTAACGTCAAAGATATTGAAACGACAGCCACATTCGATGCCGACACCGACGAAATTATACTGAACTCACCCACCCTCTCTAGCCATAAATACTGGATTGGCGGCCTTGGTGTCATGGCTACACATACCCTTGTGGTCGCGAGGCTCATCGTCTCCGGGAGAGAGCTAGGAAACCATGTCTTCATAGTTCAGGTCCGCGACCTGAAAACCCACGAACTGATGCCGAATGTCCTTATCTATGAGCAAGGTGAGAAAACAATTGGGACGTTTGCATCAATGGATAACGGGGTTATGAGATTTACCGAGAAGCGCATCCCAAGATCGCAGATGCTCGCTGGGTTTGTCCGTTTGGATCGAGGTGGGACCTACCATAAGAGCGACAATAAGATGCACTCTTACACATCGATGGTTATCGTGAGGGGACTAATGTCCCGAGAGATCGGCCAAGATGTGTCAAGGGCTATCGTTATTGCTCTTAGATATGCTACGTTTCGGAGACAGTTCAACAAGAAGGACGATGGCGCAGAAACTCGGGTCATTGAATATGCTAGTGTCAGGAATAGGCTCTACCCAGCATTGTGTCGTGTAAGCAACATTCTCTGAGCTTGAGATCCATGCGCAAAGGCTAATCGTCCACCAAGGCTATAACAATGATGCTAGTGGGAAGGGGGATCAGTGATCAGGTCGAGAATCTGCGACAGCATAACCTAGAAGATCTGCACCTGCAAACTGTTGGGTTCAAGGTCTGGGCTACTGAGCATGGTGTCCGCGATGTCGAAGTTGCCCGTCTCTGCTGTGGGGGCCATGGTGTGCTTCCCTACTCCATCTTCCAGGCAACGACCTAACACCTCTTACAGGTAACATGGCGGCAGCAGGTCTCGGTTCAATATACGCTCAACTTTCAGCCTCTCGAACATACGAAGGGGATAATTATGTATTATCACAGCAGATCGGAAACTCAATTAATAAGCACTGGAAGAGGTAAGTCCCTCCAGGGATGCCACGGGAATGCGAGCTCAGCCTTGAGTCTAACTTGGAACAGGAAAACAGAGGACACGATTCCTGCCCTATCGTACCTTACACGGCTCAGGGACGTTCAGAAGATGTCCCTCCAGCTAGCAGAGGCATGCGACGAAGGAGCATTCCTGACCCCAAGCACTCAAAATGATTTACTTGAGCACCGGGTTGCTCTCCTAGCAAGCCGGCATATATCCGACACGGAGGCTGGCCGAGATACCAGCTACGATGTCTTCGAATTGACCATGGCGCATGCAGACTTGGTGTACTGGCGTGGTCTTCAGAGTCAGACCAAGCACATGTCGAGAGACCATGAACCTGCTATCAAATCACTAGTGCATCTTGTGAGTATCAATAAACAACTTCCTGGGCGTTCCGATGTCACCCGGACTGACCTCTACAATCCTTCACAGTTCGCCCTTACGGCCATTCTAGAAGGTTTGTCTGCGTTCGCGGGATCCACCTACCTCTCGCAAACCAACATAGCACAGCTCCGGGAAGCACATCGACTGCAAATCTCCTCATTTTCCGACCACGTCGACTCCCTCGTTAATGCCTTGGGGTTCACGGAGATGGAATTGAATAGCGCATTCGCGAAGGACAATCAGACGCCTTATGAAGCGCTTTTGGAGACGGCGCAACAGAGTGAATTGAACGACAACACGTTTATCAGGCCAGCGATCGCACGAGCGAGAAATATGTGGAAGACATATCAGAATGGCCAGGCGAAATTATAGGAGAGGCTAACAATAGCAACGAGTCACATTGCACAATCGGTAACAGATGTTCTGGATGAAGAATTATAATTAGTGTAGCTTTCCAACTAACTGCGATGGTCTATATGGCTTCTTTATAGGTAAGCTCGGGCTTCATCATTCTTGGTCCCAGGATGCAAGGCGCCGTGAAATGTTGATATCTGGCAGCTCAGTGGGTTCTGATCGTCAAACCATCATATGTGTTGCATCATTGCTAATGAGCTCTTTCATTATGTCCAGACCCTCAGGTCAAATTCCCAAAGTCAATACTAGGTCGTAAAACGCCGTATCTATCCCACCACTGCGTGTAATATCGTTTGCCTTTGGAAGGGTCTGATTCCCGCGGAATGTTCAGGACTATGCCATTACTAGCCAAATACCGCTCAAAAATGCAGAACCAAGGGTGGCCATGATCATGGTAGACAATCTCGTCATGCCGTTAGTGCTGCTTGGGCTGGCACTATTCCCGGTCCTCGACGCTGCATTACTCTGGGTTGAAGAGGATGCTGGCGCATCTGCTGTGTTTGTTCCAACAGGTGTGGCAGCTGGCCGTGCGTCCTGTCTGGTACTTGCTAGAGCCTCGCAGGCAGCTCGATTGGGTTCTAGGTTACCAATCGGCGAACCAATGTTGGCAATGATCGCCTCAGTATCTCGAACAACGACTGAAACCGTTCCATCGTTGTTGATTCTGACGCGATGTTCTGTATCGTTCACACGCGTGGGAAGCCCGTCACCACTTTCCTCATAGCTGATGCCATTGAAGGTCGTGCCGCGGTAGGCATCGGCACCTTCATTGGTTAGATATGCGAGATAAAGATCTTGTCCTGCGAATTGTGTCGGGAGAGTAAGGTCAAAAGTCAAACTTGGCTTATCGGTTTCGGAGACGTTTGCGGGATTTGAGTTGATCAAAACAACAGACGCAAGTGTGCCATCCTGATAGACCGAGTAGGCAGCGCTGCGTCCTTGATATTGGTCTGGCGCATCATGCAGGATATAGCCACCGATCTGAGCTTGGCATGTTGGGCCGATAAGCTGGTCGAAGGCGACGAAAGAATAGTAGTTGGGTCGTACGTAAGGTTCGTTGCCATACATATTAATTGGCTGCCATGCACTGGCATTGCTGTTATCCGTCATATGCATGCCGACCATTGTGATGTTGAGCGTGGCTGCATATAGCAAGAAGTTCAATCCCCACAGAGCAGCTCCAAATACGTCAGTAATTTCGTTCAGACCAATTGGTCCAACAACACCCATCTCGCGAAGAGCGTAAGGAATTCCAGTATCATGGGCCTGTTGAATTTGCTCGACCCAAGCGCCAAACTGATCATTAGTCGTTGACAGGGTCATAAAGTGGTATTGGGTGATAGGATAGGTTGAAACCCCGATGTAGTAGTAGTAATCGTGTTGATTCCAACTTGCAACGTAAGATTCGGTAGAATCATTAGCAAGGGTAGTGATGCCGAATTGATCCAAATTCTCAATCTGGAAGCTTGTACCAATGGTCGAAGCCGTGGCACCAGGCTCAAAGAAGTTGCTAGGCATTCCCCTGGGTTGTAGTACCTGCTCCCATATGGCACTGGCACGATCTAACCACTGTTGGGTGTAGATCTGGCCACCCCATCCCCCAGTGCGAAATCCGTTTTGCGCGTAGAGGTCAGGCTCATTACCAATTTCAAAAGATACGAGATTGACATCAGACAGTCTCTCGATAGCCTGGGTGGCCATCGTGGTGATCTGGTCGATATAATCGTCTTCTTGGTACGCGAGATTCAGACCAAACGTGATGGGGGTATTGCTGGGCAGGCGGTTCAATACTTCAAAGTACCGGGGTCCAATGATCATATGGTCAGAAGCAAACGCTCCCTGGCCAACCGCATTGGGATTGTTTTCCCAGGCATAGTCATCGTAATTTGCATCCCATTTGAAGTAGTCCTGTGTATTGCCCCCAATTCGAAAATGTGGTGGAGTTCCTGTGTAATTGGCCAAATTCTCTATCAAGTTCTTGGACAAAACATTCTCTTCTTGGCCTCCAGTGAAGGAGAATAGGTTCGACGGTTCGATCCCGAAGCCTGCGAACGAAGGACTGATGATATCGGATGCGCCAGGAGTTGGCCGCGCCGAAATCACAAGACTGACAGTACCCTGGGAAGCAGCCAGCGATAAAATGGAGGCTCCAGCAACGAGTGACAGATAACGAGATAACATAGTGAGGGAGCCAACGACCACGGATGAAACAGCTACCTGCACGACGACGGCGACGACAACGACGATGACAACAGGAACTCCTGACGGGAAAAAGACGACAGTAAATCAGACAAGTCCTGCAAAACAAACAAGAATTCAACAGACGAGTAAACAAAAAAGTGAATGCAGATTTAGACTACGGCTCGATGAGAGGTACATCCATACCGTCATTGGCAGACCCGGATCTCCGAACAGCATGCAAGTGCGGGATGGCATTTTGGTGGTGGCTAGTGTTGACCGCCACAGGCCACGCAATGATGGTGAATGGTGGCATGCCAAAATTGGAGGTGGTTGGGTCGTTCAGAGGACATGCCGTCATCCCAGAGCTCCTCAAAGCTCAAACGGGCTAGTCTTCACAGAATACTGGGAGGAGTGGGCATTGTAGCGGAGGATAAGATTGCCGTCCAAGATACAAAGACCCAATGGAGGCTACTGCCAACATGCCTGGCGAATACTTGGTTCCTCATCTGCGAGACCATGCCAGCCTCCGCCTTGCTTGGGACTTCTGGATTCTTTCCACACCCAAGCCGTCATTGAGGAGCTGTACTCGTACGGAGTACGTGTCGTGATCTTGCAATGCTGCCAGACCAAGAGAATTCAAGGCCGGATCAAGGAACTAGAGGTCCTAGCGAAGTCCGTTAACAGGGAGCGGATGTGATAGAGATACCCGCAATTGTCCGTAGCTGCCTTCTCGCCAACCTACAAAGTGCGCAGAGTTCGCAGGCGCATGACATTTGAAGGAGATGGTCCTAGCGGTTGCTAATAGGAATGAGCACCGTTCTGTGAAGAGGCAGTTAAGTGCGGGGTGAACGTGATAAGTCTTGAGACTGCGAGATATGCCTAGTCCTTTGGCGTCCTGAATTCATCGCCTAGAGCCAAATAGGACCTCTGAAAACGACAGTAAGCGTGTATCTGACGAATGTGGCCCCGCGAGAGAGACCTGTAGCCAATGGACAAAAGTCCGGTCGTGACTCCACGAAGCCTGTATCCGAGTAGTGGTTCGCTGAATCTTCCACTTGAAAGTCTTGCATCATGGCTGGAGCTAGGGAACGGGCACCGCCCGTTCTGCAGCTGCTCTCTGAGTTTCGAGTCTCTGTACGATCACGAAGTCATATTTGGAGGCTGAGGTAACCAAGGTAGGATAGGGCTAGAAGTTGGCTTATGCCTTGTGTCACAGACCGAGGCTAGTTCTCAATCATCATTGACCTAAAGCAGCTCACTTGCTATATTCAGCACGCTTATAGTATGAGAGAATGGATGTCAGAAGCAAGTGCTTTGGCAAATGATCTGGAGGAACCAGTTCGGGTTAATTATCCATTAATTTCTAAGAAATGTGCAACTACTATGGATGCTGCTTCACCACCCATGTAACCAGTCAGCCTCTCGGGCAAATCATCACGCATAGGGCTCATTATATGCTCTCTGGCTCAAAAATAGTATACAACGTGTATTGTCCTCCCTCCGTTCCCCCGACAAATCACAAAGGTGGGGCTAGATATAGTTCTGCCTCCATAATGAATAGAAGCTCATGGGTATCGAGTAAAAGTACAGGTTAATGGTGGTACATGTTGTTTAGTGAGTGCTGGAAGATGCTGGAAATAAGTAGATCGAGGTAAAGAGCATTGCTTGTAGGGGAGGAAACCCGTTTGTTGGTAGAGAAGTGCAAGATAGGATGTGGTGGTGGGATGATTAGGGAAATGCGGAAAGAAATCCGGGAATATGGTCATTGTCTTGGACCTGAAAAGTGAACAAACAGCCGAAAGTGTCGAAGGACGGCATCAGTGTGTTGATTTTTGGTTTGTTGGTGATTAGTTTATACGATGCAGGCATGTCGTGCTTCGAATGCGGAGATGACCTGACAGCACATCGGTTCATGCATGCCAGCGTCTTGCGTAGCCTCATGCATATGCACGAATGACCATGCGCCAAGCGGCCTCAACCACCGAGGAATTCTGAACATGAAGTTCATACTGATGAATTGATGCCAATAGTCTTCGGTGGCAAAAAGTCATCCTTGGTGGTGTGCATTGCCATGTTCCTTGAATGCCACTATTCGTGTCTGGAAGGAGGTGACGAGGCCCAAGTCCTGCAAGAGCCAGACGGTGAAGTTGTGGTCATTGTGAGTCCCTTGAAAGGCCAGTGACGCTATGCGTTACTGGTCACTTTATTTGGGCAACGCTGGTAGTGGACGGCTAGGTGGAGGACCCGGGCAGGGAGGATATTTGGAACCGGCAGGCATTTTGATGGTGATAGTATTGGCAGTGTTGGTGTTGGAGAGAGTAGTGATAATAGTGATGATATCCTTCTCAAGGTGAGTCGAGTATAGTAACGTCTTCTGGGTATTAAGTTTAGAGTCGAGTAGCAGACGACAAGTCTCTTAGAGTGCTGAGCTGGTGTTTGAATTCTAGGAAAATGGGTTGAACGTTGGGAAGGGGGACTTGAAGCATATTTATTTTTCGACTACTAGGCAGCCTTTGCCCCGGTTGGGCCGACAAAGTTGTTCCAGAAAAAGGTGACGAGGGGACAGTCATCCACGTTATCCACTGTGTCCAGTTACGAGGACACCCGTACTAATCCGGAGGGGCATGGCGGATTCCAGGCTGAGAGTTTGCAAAAATGTGACATGATTTTGACACGCAAGACTTCTCTCAAGCCAGGACTGCCAGGGGGGGCCCTCTCCTGGCCCTGGTCTTTGCTATCCTTGCTCGTACGCTAGAGGGGTCTGGCGTAGAAAGGGATGACCCAGCTGACCGGGTCACGAACTGGGGTTACACAGTGGGTAGCCTGGATAGGAGGAGATTGTCAGATTGATGCGGCCTCAACGCAGCTTCATCTTTGTTTGCACTGAGACTGCTATGTTTCTCTGTTTGCCTGATCTCCACTTTTCTAACCTAACATCTCCTGGACTCCCGAATTTGGCTTCCTGGGCGGGGATTCATTGATGAGGTCAATAATACTTTGGTCTGAGTTTCTCTCCACTTGGCCCTACCCCTGCTCGTTGTTTCTGTGGGCGGTGTGTGATTCATTCTCACACAAATTTCGGGGAAGTTTTTTTGGCCTGGAAGATCTTGATTGCTTTCTGCCGCGTTATGCTCGAACACGAATAGTGTTGGGCACTCAAAAATGGCCCAAATGTATCCACTGCTTCGCACTGAGTCGTCGCTACGAATACTCAAACGAGCGGTCAGAGGCAAGGCAAGCGCTTCGAAGTTGGAAGTTGGAAGCTGCAATCGAGGGGAATCACTGTTTTAGCAGAGGATCCGCAGTTCAGACAAACCACTTCGTATCCAACTACCCAGGTCCCAGCTTCCGGTCTCGTACCACCTACCACCGTTGCTGGGTGGGTGGCCAACATCTTCGGCACCGTCATCCTTTCCGGCAGCCTTCAGGTCCAACGACTCAAAAACCCATTGACAATTGAGCAATCCTAGGTAGCTTCCTTGCGCTCGCCCCTACCAAGGCAGCCCACCCACCATTTCACCCGTTTTCCCGGATGTCCAACCTGTCCTGCCCAGCTCGGGAAACGCAATTGTATTTTTGGTCAGCATTTTGAACTCGTGATCAATATCAAGGCAGTCATCGTGTTTGACCCCTGTCCCGTTTCCTGCTTTGTGTGTGTGTCAGACGCTTTGCCATTGGTGCTCCAGCCGACCACGTTTTTCTTCAGGTGGACGAGACCCGGATTAGCCGGACAACAGTGAACTCTCGGTGCACACTATCCGCACGATTACGAAGGACTCTTGTCGAGCGCCTTTGACTCATCGCGCACCTTGTCAAGAAATCTACACTACCATCCCGTTGTCGCATCCGAAAGGCTGATTGGCCGGTCAATGGGTTCAGAGTTCAGGTCGGATTCTGTCTCCCTTCATTCCTACTATACCCTCCAACCGAGGTCTCTTGGTCCTACTAGTATGCAGGCACTCTCATTCGACCCGTTTCTAACACCGTCATGACCATTCCGGCAGCAGTGTCTTTTTGGTGATTTGCTCGGTTCGAACCTAGAAACATGTCACGCGGACTGCGTTTCAGGAGCTTGGAAAGCGCGCGGCTCAATTGGGTGACAGGCCTCTAAGAGTCTGACCTCCGTCCGTGAACTCTGGCTCGCCTAAAGATACGGCAGATTCGCGCGCAGGTGCGCCCATGATTCGATACAGGGGAGTCTATCCGGAAGACGCATGGTGGTTTTCCCCCCCCAGGACGACCATAACCCGAGGAACACGCTTGCAGACCTTTCAGAAAATCTACTCCGTCATTGGGTGATGCACACTGAGTACCCTCGTTGATGCAGTCATGATGATCCTGCTGGGACGAGTGTTTCATCTTTGCCTTACTATATTCACACCACATGGATACTTGTTGTAAGCCACTATACACGCTATACAAGTGATAATCAGGAGTATTGGCCGCTGAATGGTCTGGTTGAATTACTGTTGTATGATGTGCGGGTTCCTGAAGATCCCTTGCAACACTGCCGTCATTGATCGCCGGATGACCGAAAGTTCTTGCCACCCCCTTAAGCGTTCGGCAGAGGTGTGAGCGGAGCTGTTTCAGGTTTGTTCCTGACCACTGGGCATGCACAACGGTCAAAACTTTGTAGAGTAAACCACGGATCATTGCTACTCTGGAACTCTCCATGGTTTGCACGGATCAACTTGCTTTTTTAAAAAAAAATCTCATGAAAACCTTTGAAGCAAAAAATCTGTCTTGATGTCATGACCTCCTCTGTGCATAGTTGAGCAAGTATCACTCGATCGACAACCTGATCTGCCAGCTGTCCATCAAACTGTCTCACAACTAAGCTGGAGGCCAAGGAGTGTCTCACAATCCCACACATTGCTAGGCCTCAAAATGATGCATCATGATTTAAGGCCTCGGCTGAATGGCGCCTGGGTGATGCGTCAACATAGAAACAGCACAGATGCACAGAGTCGTCAGCTGAGGCCACATCAGCCATTTGCTGCTTGTGCTTGAGGCGCTCGGGCTGTTCACTGCGTTCTGTTCCTCGCTTCACGAATCACACCTGCCCTGAAACACCATCCAACCGTTCTTGGATTTTGAGCGTGTGTTGGCTCGGGATTGGGTGCTTTTATCTCGATCTTGGTTTATCAGCACAGCGGGGGCTTCGTTTCTCGAATTTCCCAGATGTTCCATTGCATTGCCCTTTCTGTTAGTCAGCCCCATCCTTGAATAATTACGAAATTACGAGTACATGCCGCTTCCCAAATGGTAGGTGGTGACATGGCTACCTTATGGGTATCTAGCTATTCTTAGTCAAAGGTCACTTTGCGACATCGTACGGAGCGTCTTCGGCAACATTGCTATTCAGCTAGAACGTCTTTCTTACTAAACAGAGCATTGATGCACGATGCAACCCATGGTGGATGGGGATGAGAATCTAAATCGCGACATCCGTGTGGCTACGGTTCTTCGGCGCCTCGCCAGGCGAAAATGCTTCACAATGCTACCTACAATATTACAGAAACCTGCTGAGTAACTCACACATAGTTTGTACTAGGCCGTAGTTAGTCGTGTTTTCTTCACCTTGTGCTCCAGAATGCCATCAAAACATTTCTACAGATGTAATACATCCATTGAGGAGGCTGAGGGTGCCATGGCGTGCGATGCAACGCAACTCATGGTTTCGCTCATGCCGAAAGGCGTGCAATAAATCACGAAGCCACCGAAGTTCTATTGAACTTGTGGAAGTTGTTACCTTAGATCCGGATTTCACCAGCTACTTCGTAACACTAAACTCCGTCTTGTTGCTCTGAGGCGCTCGTATCCAGGCGCAATGTTCGTGACTGGTCAAGCCATTTCCTAAATGTGGCAAGACTAGCAAACTAGCAAAACCCTCCCGTGTGTTCGTAGCAGCGGAAGCGAGAGGGGACGGTTCTGGCCGCGAAACTCATTCAGCCTCTCGCAGACTGCAGCAGAAACTGCAGGAGCATTAGGAGTCAGGAGTAAAAAGGGGCTGCCACGGCCCACCACCACGTGGAAATTGCGTGACTACAACGCCACAACATGGACTGCAGTGGATCGACATCACACAAACCTGAGATCTGTCAGATTTCGGAGCTGCTCTGATACGGCTCGGTTGCGGAGATGAAGTGTCAATTGCAATGATGTTTGATACAGTGACAATCATTCTGGGGTTCGGCTTCAAGGGTTTATTGCCATTTTGAGCACTACGAGGCAAACCTCATAAAGGAGAAGGCCATTTCGTCGGACTTGGTTTCACCACGCATGCGAGACATGGAAGAAGAGCCGCTGTAACTTCTTGAGGAAGTTCTAATGTGCGACACCAAATCTTGAAGTGCCAACCCAATCTGTCTCAGGAGGGATATGCCCATCACATACTGAATTGTCTTGTTTGTTTAATTCAGTTCGGGGAGTCATGTGCCTCATGGAATATTCGAACACAGAACTTTCACAACCCGTCTTCTTTTTGCTGCTGAGTTGACACTATCCATTCCTGCATTAGTGCCTGGTTGTTGCTGTCTGCTCCTGGCTTCCTCTGGCCGGGGCCACCTTTTCGTTCTACGAAGAGGCAGAGCACCCAACCCCAGATACTGAAGCCTTCATAAGTCGTCTTGAACCCAAGCTTCTTTTTGTCGTCACCAACGGATACATCCGGATCTGTGTTCCCATCGTCTGATTGTTGCTCGTCGTCGCCAACGTTATCTGCAGAAGGAACATCGCGAAGGACGACATCGTCGTCTTCGTCTTCGTCCCGAATGGTCACTGGGCCTTGAGCAGACGCTCCAGTCAGCTTGGCTCCATTGTTGGTTTTCATTGGCGGTTTCTGCTTGAACGTCTTGTTCTTGACCAACAAATTATGGCGCGTTCTGATTTCTGTAAGAAATATCGAGACCTCGAAATCATCTGATAGTCATCAGCATGGAGTAGGTTCTAGGCTGGGAGATGCTGTTATCAACCTTGCTGGACGACATCCTTAACGGTCTTTTTCTTCTTTCCTTTACCTCGAGCCGTTTCATTCTCCTCCTTTAGCTTCGGGAGTATCAGAGGCTTCACGGCATCAAAGACACGCGGCAATGCGGGATCGGTCTCATTCAATAACCATCTTGGTTCATCGGCGGGATTTTCTAGAAAGATACGGCATTCAAGGACCGAATGCCTCGTGATACGGAGATATCTTCTTATAGGAGCCATTTAATCTGAATCGAAGCCACGTTCTTCGTGTTAAAAGTCCGGGCACTAGGGTCAGAACGAGGCTTAACTGGAGTGATGATGCATTGGCCAGTGACGGTTGACAAACATGCCAAGACTAGCGAGGCGAACGCCTTGTGTACCCAAGTAGGTACGTCCGTCATGCAAACCAATGACCGTGGAGTGAGTGGCAAGTGCAGCATCATATAGTAGCAGGAGGCATACCTACGGTACTACCTAGGTACTTAGGTACCTAGTAGGTAACGCCATCCAGGACTACTACGCTGCAGATTTGCAAGGCTGCAACAAAAATGCTATCCGGCATGCCTGAGAATTAGCACTAGCTTGGGAGACCACCGTACGGATATAAGAACTCTCACAAGATAAGTCATAGCGTACATTCACCCCGAGAACAAGTAGCCAAGAACACGTATCGTATAACCAGGTCGCAAGAATGTACGAGGCTGTATCCATACTTGGGACGGAGTAGCAAAAAGTCTCCAGTTAACTAGAATAATGAAGAAAGGGCTGGTGTGGCTTCAGCGTCGGAACAGTAAAGGCTGGGATTGCTGTACTTGGTAGCCTGGGTACGCCTAGAAGACCACCAGGTACCTAGGCAGTTACCTAAGGTACCCATAGTCCAGAATGCCTAAACTCACCCACTAATAATACTATGAGTACTGATGGAGGTCCCCAAAAATAAGTGCGGTTAGTACCAGCCTTCTGCATGCATGTTATGGAGTAAGCACTCTCACTGTTTTCCACTACTGGACCCCCGCCAACCACTCCGAAGCAAGTCAGAGAAAGAACCAGCTCAAAGGACAAACCCTGTGACAATACTGTCTGCTTGGTCTTTAGATCAGTTGTTGCTCTTCAGAGAACTGACCATGGCCTCATCAACTCACTGTTCCTGAGCCGGTCTCGTCTTTCGGTCGTCGGCACGAAAAAAGGTCGAATCGAGCAGAAAGTGACTGCAAAATCAAGCACTGCACCTCAGTATTTGTATTTCACCATGGAGGATCTTACCACCACCCCCGTCAAAAGACCGCATTACCGACTCGGCGGACTTTCAGGCTTCATTCCCTTGAACGAAGAGTCACCGCCTGTCTCCACTCGAGGCCAGCGATTACCCAGCTTGATCCAGAGCCGCTCCACCAACTCATTGTTTACCCTCCCGCGCCGACCCAGGTCAGAGAGAAGAGGCTCATTCCACAGTCACCATTCCAACGAAGATGAAGAGCATGGACCATTGGAAGAGCAGGATAACCTGGCCAGAAAGTGGTCGCATGTCACTGAGATCGACGCGAGGCGCATGTCTTTGGGTCCTGAAATCCTCCTCACACCCCAAATGCGCTCCATGCGCCTCATTGGAAACAGCAATCCCAGATATCGTTGGCAACGCTACTACAAGACCGAGGAGGAGCTCAAGCAGATGAGCAAGCCACTTCGCAAATACTACGAACGGAACAACTTCCTCATTTCCCAATACCTATATATCGACCGCTTGTTGGACTCGTCCTTGCCACATAATCTGATCCAGGAGTACAATGCGGTCGGATCGAATGGGTATCCCCACAAGATGAACACCATCACCGAGGAATCTGCTTCAAACCCTCCCAATTCTGTCACTCCTACCAGTGCAACATCCCCGGCTATTCTACCGCTAGAGGCCAAGCTGAAGAGGACACCCAAAAATCTGTACAAACTGCCCGACGAAGCCTCTCCATTGCTGGGAGACAGCGGCAATGTATTCGACGACCCCACTGACGAATCCTTCCCCGACATTAAATACGACGAGGACGAAACAATCGACTCCGACAGTCCGATTGTGACGGTCGCGATCTACGTCAACCTGACCGCCAATATATTCCTCCTTGCAGCCAAGATTGCAGTCATCGTAATGACGTCCTCCCTTTCCGTTCTCGCTTCCTTGGTCGATGCGGCCCTCGATTTCCTCTCCACGGCCATCGTCTGGGTGACTACGCGCATAATTTCCCAGCAAGATCAATATGCCTACCCAATCGGTCGTCGCCGCTTGGAGCCTGTCGGCGTCCTGGTATTCTCCATCATTATGATAACGTCGTTCTTCCAAGTCCTCCTATCCTGTTTCAACCGTCTCCTCTCCGATGACCACACAGTCGTCGAACTCGGCATCCCTGCGATCGCCATCATGCTCAGCACAGTCATAATCAAAGGCTTCTGCTGGTTCTGGTGCCGATTGGTGAAGAACTCGTCTGTCCAGGCGCTCGCCCAGGACGCTGCAACTGACGTCGTCTTCAATACTTTTTCCATCATCTTCCCCTTGGTGGGCTTCTACCTGCAAGTCTGGTGGCTCGACGCCCTAGGGGGTCTCCTACTCTCATTATACGTCATCTTCAACTGGTCCAAAACCTCCTCCGTGCACGTGCGCAACTTATGCGGCGCAGCAGCGACAGCCGATCAACGCAACGTCCTGCTGTATCTAACCATGCGCTTCGCCAAGACGATCAAGCACATCCAAGGCCTTCAAGCATACCATGCCGGCGACAAGCTAAATGTCGAGGTCGATATCGTACTAGACGAAAACATGAGCCTTCGCGATAGCCACGATCTGGGCGAAAGCTTGCAATATGTCCTTGAGAGCGTCCCCACCGTGGATCGAGCCTTTGTACATGCTGATTACGCTGATTGGAATCTCCCAAGTCATATGAACCAACAGGGCTGAAGAGAGTAGCAATAATGTTTCTGGGTCTAAGATTGTGTTTCAGTTCTCGGGTGTTCTTGTAATTTTATTTGTGGACGATGGCTACGTCGATACGCCGCTAGAGCTCGCTTCAAATCCTTCATTGATGCTAGAGCGTGGAATTGGGAGTGTTGGTATATCTATCACGCCGATCATTGGGTAATATTTGGTCACAAGCGCTCGCGCCTGTTCAATAGGTAAATATATTGTGTATAAGTCCAAGCGAGAGGGACAATTTTGAATAGAAATGAGTTCCCAAAGATTAATTTATTCTCTCCTATTGAAACGTGGGTTAAGTCAATCATCTGCTCCTGTTTTTCTCTTTTGGTACAGGACAGCGCAGATGTTATGCATGGACTATCAGACCTTTTTGCCCTTTCGACCAAGAGGCTTTTATGCCTCGCACAGTACAGAGACCTACCCAAGTTTGAAGTTTCCGCTCATTCTGCGGCCCTAAACTCCATTTCAAGTCCGAGATATGAATAATGCACCTCCGTGATGATTTTATTCTGGCTTTGTAATGCAAATTTGACCCAGGGTGGTGGGGAAAGAGACACAGACACAGATGGCGGGATTTCGTTTGTGTCCCAGTAGTGTGAGTACTTGACATGCGAGAAGTACCCGTGGAACAGTCGCTGTCGTATATCATAGACAAGCTCATGAAAAGGAAAATGAGACGCTGTCATGGCAACAGACATTGAGTGGTCAGCCTTCTCACGCTTCCCAAGCCAGCACTGACTCAGGAGCGCGGCATAACTGTCCAGATCTCAGTGCAAACAACAGAACAGCGCAATGCAGCAGCATGGCCAATAATCCCTTCCAGACCTGCAGGTCTGGGACCGAAAACTCTGCCAGCGCGACAAGAATCACGGGATAGACGACGGTGGCGTTCATGCCGTACGCGAGACAGGGTTGGAGAGTGCTTAGGAGTTTGACCATGAGGATGATCAGTCTTACTGAGCTTGACGTAACGCGAGTGTGGGCGATCGTGCGGACGCGGTTCAAATTGTGAGTTGAAAGTGCTATGAGCGTACCTGCAACGGTCAAGGGTTGAGCAGGTTCGAGTAGTAATTGCTGGCGTAGGGGGGGCGGAGTGACAGGCGGGAGAAGTTCTTGTGAGGACTTTTGGATGGGAGATGTGGGCATAGAGGCAGAAGGCTGACGGGCACGGAGCATCATGCCATTTCTGTTACTGCGACCGTTGGTATTCAGCCCAGCAAAATTGCTGCGACTTGTCGAGCTTGCTCTTCTACTCGTCGACAGTAATGGACGTTTAGACTCTGTGTCGCTATCATCGCTCGAATAACCCAGTTCCCCAACGGGACCGTCCGTGATAGCAGATAATGTCTTTCGATCACTCGCAGTGGCATCGTAACCCAAGCGAGAACGCCTACTTGTCTTTGGCCCAATCTCTTGACCCAATCCTCGTTGTGGTGAGCTACCTTGCCGTGGCGAGTCCAGCTTCTGAATCCTCTTTCCAGGAGTGAGTTCTTCCGGCTCCATAGAGTTCTTTCTCCGCGCCGCTGGAATATCATCCAAGCGTCCAGAGGTGACGACTTGTAGCACATCGTCAGCTGTTGGTCGCATGTCGGGGTCTATTGAGACAAGTCTTTTCAAGAACGCATACAGTGCGTCGGGTAATTCTGGTCGGAGTTTTCGATGGTCATCGAAGCCACCCCAGCCCATGATCTCCGCTCTCAGCTCGTCCACATCCTCATTTTCTTCATGCAAGACATTTGAGGCGCGATATGGTAGATTGGCGAAGCAGAGGAAGTGGAGAATCATCCCCAAAGAAAATATGTCTGATTTCGTAGTGAAATTACCATAAGGACCTCCAGGAGATATTCTGCGAAGGACTTCAGGCGCGCAGTAGGAGATTGTCCCAGTTGCACCAGTCGATCTGCGGGCGGCATATTCATACTGAACCTCTCCAAAATCACTGACGAGAACCCTAGTTTCCCCACCAACGCTATGTAGTAGGCAGTTGCTTGGCTTCAAATCTCGGTGAATGAAACTGTTATGGTGAAGAAACCGTAAGCCTGACGTGATATCCCTGAAGAAATTGTAAATCTCATCAAAATGGAGCTTGGGCGGTTCGTTTTCCTTCCGAGGCAGTTCGGTCTCGCCTCTGGATCGACGCCTAAGTCGTTCTTTAAGATCCTGGGTAGTCGTTGTCGCTTGTGCTGAGCCAAGAACATAATTGTGCATGTCTCCCCCGTTACAGTATTGTTGAAGAATGAAGGCACATGGAATACTTGGTCCAAATGAGCTTGTCTGAAAGTCTTCCAACCAGACATGGCGGTAGGATACAAGATTTTGATGCGATAGTGTTGTGAGTAACTGGACCTCGACCAGCACCTTCTCTAGCCAGGCGTGATCGTCTCCTACGGGGACACGCTTGCAGGCGAAGTGGCCGAGCGGGACCCCATCGAGAACATGTCGGACTAGTAGCACGACTCCGCGGCCGCCCCTTCCAAGCTCTCTTTCTTCCACGAAGAACTTCTCAAAATAGTTGGGTGAAAAGGCAGTCTCAGAAATACCGTGAGCTTGCCCAGCGGGTGCGGGTTCACTGCCTACAAACTCTGCAACTGGAGGAGGTTGAGTGGCAGCAGAAGAAGGATGTAGCCTCGAGCGAACAGGCTGAGCAATCCGGCGTCTGGGAGACGGCGGCGTCGAGTTCTCGTTGGAATTTGGTAAGCTTCTGGCGAGCATATCAAAGTAATCCCGGGTGATGAAAGACGGCTGATCTTCCACATCATCGCCTCCAGGGCCATGAGTAGACGCCCCTTCGCGTGTATGCCATGCTCGACCGCACGTAGGGCATTTTGGAGACCGTCGGTCAATCTCTTGGTTGTGGTGAAACGGAACCAGTTGATTCGTTTGAGGATCACGGTAGACGATAACGTCCGCATTGCGGCTAGATTTATACGTCAAGATGGTACTTACAAAACTGGACCAATTCCAAAGTACTCACAGTACCACGTCTCGGTTATTATCGTAAGGAATGATTGACAGGGAGGGGATAATGTCTGCACTGTCGCGCTCCATCTTGAAAAGACAATCAGTTGCAGGTTGAAAGGGAAAGGGGGTCAAACGACTGCGCGGAAACTCGCGTGGCTCTTTGATTGAATTTGAAGAATGCGCGCTGACTTACATCCATTTCGTCGCCCATTAAAGCCAGCCTGAGGTTGCTTTGACGACCAGGTCTCGAGTCAGTTTATATTCGCGCACGCGGCAGACAATCACGACTATGTGGCCGCATTTGTATCAGTGGCGAGGAAACCTTTGATCACAGGACCATAGGTGTCTGTCACTCCCGATTATATGTTCTAGGGCGATCCAATGCAGTAAGTGAACTTGGTCATGCCCATTGGGCACTCAACGACTGATCGTAGTCAAGAAGTCGAGGTGTCACCCTCGATACATACCTTAGGAGTGAATCTGATGGAAGCTCCAGGTGCCAAGATCTGCAACTTTCGCTCAGACAATCTCCCGATAATTATTCCCTTTCGGTGAGAGGTGAGCGCTGCTTTATGAAGAGGACAAACCAGTGAAGCATCGCAGCTTGCGGTCTTGCACGGTCTACATCACATTATCTTACACCTCGTTTACGCTCCCTCGTCAGTGACCGATCCATCGCTGCAACAGCTGCACGTTAAGCCCTCAGGGTATCATGGTCCATAGGGTGTTAGTTCTCTGTCACGCTGAGACGTAGATCATGGTTAACTCATTGCGTGGTATGAGATCTCTAGCAGGATCCGGTTAACAAGAGTGACAGACAACATGTTGAGATTCGAGCTGGTAGTCACATAATATGATTCCTCTTCCTGATACATGAATTATATATTACGCTGTCTTCTTCATTAAGCACCCGGTCGCGGGAAAACCGGGGTAGTACCCACGCTATTCACGTCAAACCCAGAAAAGGTGCCCTGGTTTCCGTGTTGCCAACCCTGACCTGTTTGTTGATTCACAAATGCGCTTTGACGGAATGGATTGGTACTCCCTGTAATATTCGTATTGACAGGGCCCCCAGCGGTCGTAGGCCGATTCTTCGCAAATGGGTTAGTTCCGGTTCGTTGAGGTTGCAAGGCTGGCGGTTGAGCAAATGCATTGGCCTGAGTCGGATCTGCGACTGGGGATGTCAAAAACGCTGGCGAGTTTGAGGGAAGTGGGGAAATGGGTGAGAATGACGACTGGTCGTATCCCGAGATGTTGGTCTGTCCATTAGTCACCAATCCACCAGTATTGTGTTTTGCAAACGGATTGGTTGATGATCGGTTTAGTGATGCGACGCTGAGATCTGCAGGCGAAGCTCCCGTAGGCATCATAGATTGCCGAAAAGGATTTGTTGAGGTATGTTGTGGTTGGAGCTGGGTGGGCTGTGCCTGGGAGAGTGCATTCGAATGGAAATCTGCAACTCCATTCTGCGGAATTGGTGACAAGGAAGACGAGAATTGGAATGGTAGTGGTTGTTGCAGAGGTTGAGGACCGAAACCGCCGAACCCTGCACCTGTGAAATCGGTCTGGACCGGCTGAGGTTGAGCCTGTGGTAATGCCGCACCTGAGAATGTGTTTGGTTGTTGCAAGAATGGATTGAACCCAGTTTGTTGTGGTATTTGCTGCTGCTGTTGCTGTTGAAGTAGCAAGAATTGCTGCTGTTGTTGTTGCTGCTGCTGGTATTCTTGTTGTGTATTGTTGCCGAATTGAGCCATTGGCTGTTGGTTCTGCTCAATGGATTCGAAGAAATCGATGAGATCGGGAGCTGGACCCTTTTGCTGAGAGAGGGTTGATTGAGCTACGGGTGCAGGCATTGCTGAGGCCGGCTGTCTCGACTCCGCTGGTCTATCAAAGGGGGTCGACTTAGGAACAGAAGCGGCTGGTCTTCCGGTCCTCTTCGCCTCTTGCTGGGCAAGGTATTGTCTCCGATTGATTTCAAAATCTGGATCGTTGAGGTAGTCCTCAAGAGATGAAGTCAAAGTTGTTGGGGCGTGCTTCAGCTTTGGCACTTCCAAGCGTGTTGATGATTCGTACTGCCGAGCAACACTTAGGTACTGGACGACCTGTGCTGTTTGCGCACCGAAGGTCTTGTAGATATTGAGTGCTCTTTCAGCGTCCGGACGAGACATCTCGAAATAATGCTCTAGCACCACTGTCAGCCTGAGAAATTGCAAAGGAGTGACAAGTACTCACCAAGGACATTGATAGTGCCCTCGTTCATGACTTTATACAACTCGAGGAGATCCATAGTCAACAGTCGGAAGGCAGTAAGCGTGATCTCATTATCAGGGTCATGGTTTCCCAGGAGCTGTGATGATGGTCAGGAATTGGTAACACTATGCTGTGTTCAACTCACATCACATCGAACCAATGCTTCAATCTCATTTTGCACAATTTCGGTCTGCCTGAGTAAACCCTTGTCGATCGTTAATTTCTTCATTCTGCCAACTCCTGATCTAACGAAGTCGGTCTTAGTGTCGCGGTAGCCGCGAACGCGTTCAAGTAGATATTCATAGTATCTTCGAATATTGATACCTTGAGTTTGCACTGTGAGGACATTAGGCAAAACCATAAACTACCAGGTGTCTGCTCGCTCGTACCTTCTGTGAAACTGCTAATCGCCAACCTCTTTGGAGAATCTGATATGTATCGTAACGTTATGTCGGTCTGTCCCTCTCGAATCATGAGATGAACGATGATCAAACTCTTGAAGACTATCGTCCACGTAGAATCTCGCAGGCGGAGTTGCAGAGTCCGAAAGACCTCCGCAACTCCAGATTCGCCTCCGTTGGTCGCAGATAGGATCGCTTCGACATATTTGGATTTAGGGGCCGCAAGCTGCCACATGTATTATTAGACTGCCATGCACTGCTCGAGTTGTCTCTGATCATACCTTTATCTTCGTGGCACCTTTTACTATCTTCTCCATGTTCACCGAGCTTGTATCGAGCTCCCCGATGATCAAGAAGTGATGATAATTTCAGAATTTGGAGGCGGAGGTTTGGCTCTTCTTCCGAGATGCCCGCTCGAAATTGACAGCGTAATTGATGAGTGCGCGGTTGGTGGTAGAAGGGGAACGGTGACGATATCGAGAAAGCGACGCTATGCTGGCACGGAAACTATAAGGACATGTTGGACAAAGACAGCAGGCAAACAATCACAGCCACAGCCACAGCCGGGGTGGTTGCGCAAAGAGGCAGTGAGGTTGGAGGCGGAAAGTCGGCGGGTTAACTTCAAGTTGGGCCTTAGGGAGCTTGGAGGGCTTCACAGATGTGAGTTGGCTTCCACGGGACAAGAGTGCAGTAATATGGGATTAATATACTGATAGATCAGACTGCGGCATTCGACCCCCGAGCTGTATCCGACTGCCACTGTATGGAAGCGAGAGGGGGGTTTTTGGTACACAGGCGTGCTACCAAAGGTATCTTATCCTCCGACTTGAAGTTGTTGGCGGCCGCGAGTAGCAGCAGTATCTAACTAATTGACCAACAGGAGCTGTTGCTGAGAGAACGTCCGCTTGTTGTCTTGGCTGACCGCATGATGCAAATGCTGCAAAGCACATAAATCAACCAAACATCGCAAACATCGCAAACATCGCAAACATTTCGAGCATTACAAACATCGCAAGCATTTCAAATCCCTGGCATGGTAGCCTTGTCTTATCTTGAACTTCAAGAAGTTTTTCGTCCTCGCTGATACACATGCATATTCATTCAGGACAAGTTTGGATTTAGGCCGATATCCCCAGATTGGTTCGTACTTGTGTACCTGTCGAATGTTTCACCACACACCTTGACTTTCGCTCTGACAACTGCCCATACACTCTCATCCACCCGGTTCTGGGCGTCAGGCGCATCTGCGGGACTTGTGTCAGAATCTATCTCACCAACTTCTGCGGGTACCATCCATGGCTGCGAGCGCTCAGACCGACAGCACCTCGATTAATTAGTATCGTTGCACTTGCGACCGAGGTAGAAAAATTTCTCTCACTTGTGAGGTCGGATCCAGAGCATGGGCAGGAGAGGTGTGCTGGAACTAGGCTGGAGAATGATTTGGCCCAAGATTCGTTGCGATGAACCTTAAATTTCATCTACTACAGTTGACTATGATAAGGACTGATTGTTCCTCCACTGCCAGAGCGAGGCACGCATGTGTCGGGATGGGACATCTTTCGAATAGTTGCATCCCTATTGGTGGGAAACGACAGGGTAAATGGACATCCAGCGTACCTTGGGCGCTCGCTCAACTGCGCTGCTCTCAGATGGAGGGACCAAAAGCTAGTGGCTTGACACAGCTCAAAGTGTATCACAAGGTTTATGATCGAAATTTGTACTACAAAGGACTATCAGAGATGGCAAGAACGTGACGTGATTAGGTAGGCAAGGGGCATTCGGGTGTGTCACGTGACTGAGCGTTCGCGCCATTCACCTGCGACATGCGTCGCCCGCCATCTGCAAGTGCAGGAAACTCCTTGGGGGCCAGATCTTCTTGCCGACCTCCCGAAGCCGAAGGGTCATTCCATGACAAGGTTCTGTCTCGATATGAGTCCTTGCGCGTATGTTCACACAGCTTCGACCGATTAAGCCTCGACCAGAGACTGGTCCATCAAGAAGCAAGTCTGAGTAGTCATCAAAGCGTCAGCATTACCGGCGGATTGGTAGACCTGAAGCTAAATAAGTTCTCCCTCGTTACGCGAGGACCTGACTTCTTCTTCCATCGTTCTGAGTGCAATCACAGGCCCATGATACGAGAAACGTGCTCGGAGCCGAAAGTCACTGTGACCGGAGACTATTTTTGTGGGTCCACCAATCCCACATCTCTATATTCACAGTTGCCGGAGCCGATGGCCCGTCTAATAAGCCTAAAACCACAATCGGATAATCCCACGTGGGTCGCGAACGGTTCGGTACCATCTACCAGCAAGATATCCTACACACGTTTTGTTCTTTAGTTCTACTTTCCTTCGCAAAGTCGTGGTAGCTCAACATCACTGAGATTGTTGTTGTTGTTGTTGTTATTGTTTTGGTGCCTTTATACCTCAAAAACGATGACGACCGTCGAGAATGTGCCGGATGAGTACCCAGAAGAAATTACAGGCTATGCAGAGCCGTGGATCGCAGAGCCTGGCGATACCGTTGCGATCAAGGTAAGGTTGTTGTCACGTGCAATACGAACAAAAAAGAGAGGCTGCTGACGCCCTGTCTAGGTGTCTTGCACAGAGCCAGAATACTCACATCGGACTGTACGAGTAATCCAAGGCGTCGATCTGCCCCATTCTCCTAAGAAGGTACTCGAGGAGATCACATCCATTCCGACAGGGCATGTCAAGGGAAGGTTTCAGCTTGCTCGATGCGGTTCCTTCGCCCAAGTGCAGCACTGGTGTAGATATTCTGTCAAGAGCGACCTCGATATCTCTCTTTACTTCCAGCCGCACTTGATTCAGGCTGACCACCCACAATCAATCATCTCTACTCTCGATGTGCCCAGCAAGCGTGGCTTTGCCATAGTCATCAATTCGCAAGGTAAAGTTGAGCTCTGGATCGGAACGGGTAACGGGATTCAAGTGATTCCGACCAAGTTCACCCCGACGTATAAACGCTGGATTGCCTTGCGCCTCCTCCTCAAGGGAAGTGTCGTATCTTTGACCTTGGAACCAGTGCCACGAGTAACAGAGAAAACATCACAACCCGTCTCAGTGGAAGAGACTATGACCAACGACTTTTGTGTGAACCCCGATGCCACTTTGTTGATTGCTGCCAGCTTTGCCGAATCACCAGTAAACGCATCCTCACGAGCCACAAATTTCTTCAATGGACGAATCGACAGTCCACGAATCAGATCGCTCAAGGATGGAGTTTTAGTCCACTACGATTTTGCACGAAATATTTCCGAAGACACAATATTAGACATCTCTGGCGGCGGACACCATGGAGTTCTGGTCAATGCTCCAACCCGTGCTGTACGTGGCCATGACTGGGACGGCACTCAAGTCGACTGGACTAAAGCTAAGTATGGTTATGGTGCTATTCACTTCCATGAAGATGATCTCGATGATGCCTCTTGGGAAACCGACTTCACTATTACCGTCCCTCTCGATGCCCGATCTGGTATATACGCCGTCGAAGTCCAGAGCACTCAAGGACGCCCGACGAGTGACATGATTAGCTTTATTGTCCGTAATACTCCCACGACGGCCTCTCAAACTACACCGAAAGTCGCCCTTGTCCTTCCTACGTTCACATATCTCGCGTATGCGAACGATAAACTTGGCGACCCTAACCGTTCATCTTCCGGTGGTACGGGCGCAGCACTTACAGATATCCAGCCGACTCCCACAGTTGACTCGGATCGGAATTACCGACGCTTAGACCTCGGACTCTCGACCTACGATGTACATAATGACCAGTCTGGCAACGTATATTCCTCTTCGAGACGGCCAATTATGAATCTTAAACCTGGCTTTATCTCCTTCGGTCTGGGGCGCCCGCGCCACCTTAGCGGCGAGACGATAATGATCGGGTATCTAGAACAAAAAGGTTATGCCTACGATATCTTAACTGATCATGATTTACATCTCGAAGGCTGCTCCGCGCTTATGTCATATAGTGCTGTTATTACTGGCGGCCATCCCGAATATCCAACTACCGAAGTCTACGACGCATATGAGAATTACGCTCGGCGCGGGGGGAATTTAATGTACTTAGGCGGTAACGGGTTCTACTGGGTCACGGCCTGGGATCCCGCGCGGCCATGGCGCATTGAGGTGCGACGCGGCGAGTCCGGCGTACGCTCATATACAGGAGACGCCGGAGAGTGGACGCTCAGTCTAAATGGGCAACTAGGCGCCTTGTGGAGGTCGCAGGGTCGTTCGTCGCACGCTTTGTTTGGCGTAGCCTTTTGTAGTCAGGGTCGGCCTCCTGGTGTACCTTACGAACGGACTGAGGTCGGGAGAAGTGATCAGTATCAGTGGATTTTTGCGGGAATCCCCGACGACGAGCTCATCGGCGAGTATGGGCTCGGGGGCGGAGCAAGCGGGGATGAGATGGATAGCTTTGACCTTGCTCAGGGTAGTCCCCTCAACGGGGTTGTTGTGGCCACTACTATGGGCCATCCTGATGGCTTCGGCATCGCCAGCGAGTGTGCTTCTTACCCGATAATCGCCACGAGAGGCACAGAGACAAGGGAAATCCGCTCGGACATTGTCTACTATGAGACAAATGGAGGTGGTGCGGTATTCTCGGTGGGGAGTATCAACTGGTATCCCTCGTTGGCGTGGGACGAGTATGAGAATACCGTGGCCAAAATGACGGGGAACGTAATAAATGAGTTTTTGAAGCGAGGAATAGGTGGGAGAGATAGATATCTTTGAGACGAGCCAGACATCTCGCAGCCGCGAAAAGCTAGAATAAAAGAGTCATCTACACGGCCAATTTGAAAGCGTGGAATGCCACTGACATAGGAGCAGCGTTGGGGAAGACAACTCCGCCAAGCGTAGCCCAATTCCTGGGAATCGAACTCATATAATTAGCCAAGAATTCCTATTGACAGAGTGCTATAATACTTGGCGCGTCCTTTCACGCGTTGCGTCAAGTGTAATAAACTGCTTAGAAGATAAAGCCGAGATACCTCCATACGTAGCTTTAGGGTGTGGATACCTGGACTCGAAACAGGAGTTGGAATGAGTCGATTCCTTGAAATCGACGAGGAGTCAAGAGTGTCTCCCCCAACTGCGGGGCATGTGCCATTTAAGATTTGCATTTATCTCTCAAGCAGCTCAGCATTTAACCCCATCTAGCTTAAACAGATAGGATGACTCTCTAGTCATGCAGAGAAACCAGACCTGGTGGAGACAAGGATTGCAAGCAAATTGAGCACTGTTACCACTCATTCGGTTCAGCAATACGAAATACGAAGATGTCGGACCCGATAACGCCGACCGAGAAGTGAAAGCAACCTTCAGGGGCAGGGGCAGGAAACTGGACCAGAATACCGAGGTACTTACCCAAGTTCCAAAAGTAAGATGCAGGGGGCTCGAGGAGCTGGAGACTCAGATATTGCCTCGAGACTACCTGATATCTCCATCGACTACTCAACGCAGATGAAGAAGCACTTCAACCAAATTGTGATCAAACATTACGAGAATGGCGAACCCAAGTACCTTTGAAAGACTTCGTCTGGTCGGTGAGTCAGATGCTCGAGTGTAACGCAAGTCTCCGTACGCGGTGAGAATACTGAGTTGGCGAATAGGAAGGCTTGAACAGCATGCAACGAGCAGACACTCGCTGGACTTTTACAACAATGTGGCCGTGAGTGCATTCTATTCCCAGTCCAGGGAGGTGTCGCTTGACGATCTCCGTGGCCTCGTGTATCACGCCTTGAGCGAGGTCATCGAAGATCATGCAGCTCTCGCAGCCTCTGTGGTAGATGAGGGCGCTGCCTCGCCTTATTTTGTGCGGTTGCCACAAATCGACCTCGAAAAGTCAGTCCGCTTCATTACTTCACGGTCAATACAAAATGGGTCCTCGTCCATCGCCATCAAAGAGCTTGATCAGCTACTTGAGGAGGAGCACAACCGAAATTTCAAACCCTTAGATGGTGTGCTTCCAATGTGGAGAGTACTCATTGTTCATGAGCCGGAGCCTTGTTCTCGATTCATTCTCACTTTCGTCTATCACCACGCGATATGTGATGGCACCTCAGGCTTGGTGTTCCACCGATCTTTTCTCTCAAAATTCCAGAAAGCGGCCAGAGCACCGGGTTTGGATAGGTCAACAGTTAATCTGATCGTGAGACCCTCCAACAAACTGTTGATTCCGTGCCTGGAAGATCTTCATCCGCTACCAATTTCACTACGCTACATGTTTAAGTCGGTTTATTCCGAATTTGTGGCCCGCAATCCAACCGGTCTATGGACGTCTATTCCTATTACCGTCGACCAATCGAAGCGCAGGTCGCGCTACCAATCACTTTACTTCTCTGAAGACACTACGTCCCGCCTCGTAGTGATTTGTCGATCCCATCGCACTAGCGTCACTGCAGCCATCCAGGCTATGCTGGCCGCTGCGGTCCTGGCCGAGCTTCCAGCAGACAAGTATTCCATCCTCCGTGTTGACGGTGCCGTGTCGCTAAGACAGTGGCTGCCGCACGACGTTGTCGATAAAGACTCTATTGGCAACTGGGTGTCTCGCTACCTGGAGGAACATCGCCGCCCCAACAGCTCGACAACCGACGCCGCAGCTCTCTTCTCTTGGGATGAGGCTCGACGAATCAAAGCCACCATTGAAGGCGAGGTAAGAAAAGAAGGCAAAGACAGTCATGTTGCGCTGCTACGCTTTGCAGGCAATCTTCACAACTTTTTCCGATCGAAGATCGGCAAGCCTAGAGACGAGAGCTTTGAGTTCTCCAACATTGGGGTTTTCAAAAGTGCGCCTGACCAAGGTGACGGTCTTGGCCCCAGTTGGGCGATCGGAAAAGTCGTCTTCAGCCAGAGCGCAGATGTGGCGGGAGCCCCACTTGAAGCTTCATTGGTTACGGGTGCTGACGGACGCCTCAATATCGGCTTCTCCTGGCTGGAAGGTGTCGTTGATGGTAGCTGGGTGGAGCGAGTGATGGACTCATTAGGCAGGTTGATTCAGGAGTCCGCGAGTAAGGCTTGACCTTCCAAAAAGGCTCATTCTGAGATATCTATAGTACCAGGCCAATGGGAGGCATGGAACACAAGCTCAGCATCATAAAGACTGTATCATATATTTTAAGCACAGATCTGCATTGGGTGTGTTGAGGAGGAATTGGTCTCCATTTTGATATTTCTAAGTGATCTAGCTCTAGACAATATACCAGACATCCTGGGGCTTTTGTACACTAACTCACAACAGTGAAAACCAAACGTGTTTTCAGCGTTACAATCTTCAGAGTTTCACCGCCCTGCTCGAGACCCAAAGCCCCTTGCCTTCAGCAAGCACCGCACCCCTTGGATCCCTGATGCAGCCCTTGATCATCCATTTTCTTCCAGCCCTATACTCCGTCCAACATTCAACATAGACTGCTTCTGGAACGCGGATGGGCTTGCGGAAGTCTACTTGAAGAGTCGCCGTGTGCAGATTTCCTCCAACTCCTGGGAGCCTTTTCCAATGGGCTCCAGCACAAAGGCTCATAGTCTGGTCGAGGACCGAGCATATGGCGCCTCCGTGCATCGTGTCGCGAATTCCCCAAAGGCCAGTTCCTAGTTTGATAAGGAAGATGCAGTCGGGCGACAAATGAAGAGAAGATGGTTGAGGGTGAGAGTTTTCTTCTGTCAACGTCCTGTCCTTAATATTGTCAGGAAATGCTCGATGTAGTAAGCATACCCAGTGTGACAATGTCTGTGGTGTTTTCAATGTCGCGCCAAAAAAAGTGTCCTCCCGAGGGCCCTCGATACCCTCGCGGAACGAGATTGATGCAGGTCTGTAGTCATCGTTGTTGATCAGCTCCTTTGCCCAATCCAACTTTGAGAAATATTCCAAGCCTTCCCCAAGATCAGGTAAGATCACTCCATTGGTTTCGTTGACACCGGGTTCACTTCGCTGCTCCATCACACCCTTCTATGACAGTGAAGACAAATGTTCAAACTGGTGATCAAACACATGAGCACTGGTTTCTCTGGGCTGCTTTTTGACACAGCATCAAGTTCCACTACGGGACGTTCCTGGTTAGACTCCTAATTTCGGTTGCCCGGCTCCTCGGCTCCTCGGCTGTTCGATTTATGGGATGCCAGGGTAATAATACTTCTCACGGAAGTTGATCTCTATCTACCTAGGTATGTAAGTACTCGGTAGCGTTGTTTGCACCAGGGAGGCTAGCCCAGGGCGTGTGCCTATCGATCTGTCAAATTTTGATGTCTTCAGCGTCCACTCCATACATCTTCACGTCCACGTAAAGCACCAGTCTGGCAAAACCTTCAGCCACCTACTCTGCAACTCACGTATTTCTAGTATTGCCACAGACGACTTAATCGCATCATCTAAATGCTACTCACTATAAAACCTAGTCGCAGCCAAAGATGAGCCTCGTGACAGATTACTCTCCATCCTCCCCGCAGCCGCAGCCGCAGCCGCAACTCCAACCCCAACCGCAACGCCGGCGAAGACAATTGCGAGCCTGTAATGCTTGTCATAAGAGAAAGGTACGCTGTGACGCGGTCGGACGGCAGACGTGCTCGAATTGCGAAGCCGTGGGAAATTTATGCCGGTAGGGATATATCCATCCGAAAGCATGCCTCGATCAACATATGCTCACCGTTGTTGTTTCTGGTGTTTGAGTAGGTTTGATGTCGTTGAAGCCCTCTCCCGTAAGAACAAAGATCGCAGGCAGGGTGGTAGTCCTGTCACTGCTACATCCACTAGTGGCGCACAGATCGATCAAGCGAACCAAGGTGCACCGTCTCCGTCACAAACAGGTACCAGTGTAAATGTACATGGCACTCAACAACGCTCCAGGCCAACATCAGGCTTAGATCATGTGCTAAACGCTGTGACGCATGAGCAGAGCAATGAAACCCTAGACGACAATGGACTGGTGGATTTCTACCGGCATGGCATCCACTCGCAAACATGGTCGCTTTTCGACAAACCCTCTGATGCTCGAATGTGCTACATTGGCACATCGCTGTCGAATCTGTCCCATCTGGTCAGCGTCGAGAAGTGTGGTAATGGTAGTGCGTTGCACTATCCTACCCCTCAGATCCGTCGCATAGTCTCATGGAAGCCGGGGGCCGACCTCCCCGGGCTTCAAGTGCGGAGCGACCTCACGCATGACTTGACTTTGTTCCCGGCACAAGATGTGCGTGACGCCTTAGTCGACGCCTTCTTCACGGACATTAATCCTGGTTTTCCCGTGATCGACGAGAGTGAGTTCCGTGCGGCCTACAGTGATAAAGAGTCCCCTCCCCCACTCTTACTGTACCAAGCTGTCCTACTAGGCGGCGCACGCGTCTGCCAGCACCCTAAGGTAGTAGAGTCTCGGTCCTTCGTTAAAGCAGTTCTCTACCACCGAGCTAAAACTCTGTGGGATATACGTTTCGAGAATGATAGAGTGACTCTAGTTCAGGCGGCGCTAATCTTCTCGTGGCATGTAGAGACTGCAGATAATGTCAGCATGGGGAGCTACTACTGGATCTCGGTGGCTTGTGGGATAGCATATGGGTTGGGAATGCATCGAAATCTGACACAGTCCTCGTCCACAGTCATGCCGCAGCCTGCCAGACACCTGTTCCGGCGGTTGTGGTGGACACTATTCCAGTCAGCTGTTGCCACCGCACTGGAGCATGGAAGACCATTGTTGATTCAGATGAAAGAGACTGACCAACCACCCCTGTCGGAAGCAGATCTCGTTGAAAGCAACGGGTACGTGAACAGGAACATCCACCTGGAGTACTGTGTTCATAACAGTACGCTCTGTGAAATAATTGCCGACATCATAAACATGCATTCTCCTGGCTCGCTGCAAGAGAACAGTCTCGCGGAAAGGGCCGCTATGGACTGTCGACTGGCTGCCTGGCTGATTGCTCTTCCGTCCACGCGTGACTTCTACATGTTGCAACTACGTCTGCATTACAACACGGCTCTCCTTCATCTTCATCGCACAACAATACAGATGGCCACCACGCCAGATTCCGCCTACTCGACCAAGCTCTGTGGTACGGCCACCGACTCGATTGTGAGTATCTTTGGGTCGATGATCCAAGCACAAGCCATTCGTAAATGTTACATTACCAGTTTGACGGCTGTGATCGCAGCGGCGATTCACGCGACGCGCGAAATGCACCTCGCGATCCAGCACCACATCACGTTACTTGCTCTGCAATCTCAGTCTCAGCTCGAAGCCCTGTTTCCCATCATGAGAGAATTGGCTCAGCCCTGGCCAACAGTAAAGGCCATTCTCAAACTTTTTCAACATATCTTGGAGCGATCTAAAACAGCAATGATGGCGCAGTCCGTCAACAATGTCTCAAATCTCGATACGCTACTCACCCCAGACATGGAATGCCCACCAATGGATTGGGATTTGATTTTCTCCGCCCTACATTCAGACGATTCCCTTGAGCATACTGAGCAGGACTGGTCTAACGTTGCTTCTTGGATACGGAATTAATCACCCATGGGCCCCAAGCTTGCAGATATTGTGTCCTGAGGTCCGCTTCACAGCTTCGTCTGCGAGGAAATCCGGCATCAGGTCCCCACTGATGTCGAGTCCTGAGCTGGCCATTCCCCAGGATCCCCATTATCTACCAATAACTGTAAGTTGACTATGCTTGATTATGTACGCGAGGTGGTTGTAATCCATAGTCTTGAGTATGGAAGGTCCCATATTTGTTGACTGATAGACCGGTGGGGTGGTTTGGCCAATTAATCGAACTTTTGATATGAGGCTTGACTGCATCCATCATCCCGAGAGAGTGATTAAGGATAGCAGGGTGATGAAAGTAGGTAGATTATATGAATTCTGGCGGTTTTGTTGCTCTCTGTGAACTGCGTAGACCGCATACTGTCTACGCAATTTTGGAGCCGGGTGAGGAGCATTCCTTTGTCTTCACAACTCGGTCTCTGTCGCATATCTTTGCATCATGTGTGCCAAGGGTATACGTTGTCTGATGTCTATGAGTTTGCCTGGTCTTCTCCAGTTTGTATGCTTAACCAACCAGTGCTGTACATGTTCCGCGAGAACAGTCATTTGCATCGGATTGCCCGAATACCTGATCCTGGAGCCGGCTCAATCTTCAAGGCAGACGTACCATGGTTTCTTTCAACTTGTAGCAAATCAGACGCCACGATTTCTACCTTCATCCGGATTCTGAATATTTCCTACAAAAGTTCTATTTTGAGCGACGGCCGACTTCAAGGTCGAGCGAGTGAGCCTTGTTCGACATTTTGTGTTCCCGTGAAGATGTAGCAGAGGCAGACCCTCACTCCGCTCTTCGGCTCGAATAATGTAACTGAATCCTTCTGTGAACACTTTGTCAATCTAGAATCCAATCTTGCAATAGAGTTAGCAAGGATGCTCACATTCCTTTCTGACTAAAAATTCACAGACACTAGGAAGCTGATTGTCATGACGAAAACACTTCTCACAGGTAAACCGCCATGTCCGGAAGGCTTTTCGAGAGTACTATCTATGCCCAAGTACTTGGTCAGAAGACTAACGTATCATCTACTTGGGCGGTAGTGGCTTCATCGCCGCACACATTCTCAACCAGCTTCTCGAAAAAGAACAAGGAAATGTGTTACAGGCTTTTGTGGCGTGATGGTAGCGCAGATAGACAATTAGTTTAACGTCGATCTCTTCCCCTTCCTAGGAACTCAGTCGTGACAGTGGTCCGCTCACAATGAAAAGCCAACAACTTTAAAATGTCTACACGAAAATTTCTCCAGGCAAGCTCTCTTTTATCATCGTCACGGATATCGCTCGCACAAGAGGGTGCTTTTAAGGGAGCTGTCAATCTGACCCACAATTCGAGATCGTACAGCTTCCCCCTTCCATTTCAGCACAACCAATCCCCAAAAAAACTTGGTCGACCCTGCCATGGTCAAAACGACGGATATTCTCAAAGTCAGTCAAGAAGCACGCGTTTATCGTGAGCCAAGTGGTGAGCCCAGGCATCCTGTCGCGAATCTTAAATTGGCGTTTGGTATATGCAAGTATTTTCATTTGAGGTAACGTGTCACCCAGACCATCACCTCATCCTTCACGTTCATCATCGATTGCGCTTGAGGCCGTGCAGGCGATATCTACACTGAAAAAGGCCTGCAGTCCTGCGAGCGAGGCCGCGAGCTGCCGACCTGGTCAATGGTTACCAGGGGCAAAAACGTTTGCGAAAAAGCGACCTGGAAATTCCTAGAGAAGGAGACGCCCACCCTATCCATCACGAGCATCTGCCCACGAGCCGTCTTTGGACCTGTGACACACCTGCTGCCGTCTCTGGACGGCATCAACACGTCCAACGAACGGGTCAGAGGTAATAGTAGGCAAAATCCAAGGACGCGATAATACGAAAGCCGTTCCTGTCCTCAGACTGGTGCATCGTTCATTACGACGTGTATCGTCGGCACGGTCAAAATCTTGAGTGCTATCAAGTCGGATAAACCTAGACAGTAGCAAGATCAGTCCAAATGATAGTGGATTTAAGCACCGAGACCTTGATCATGCTATAGTGAGGATAACAGAGTTTGGGTGAATGATCAGCTGAGGACCATACAGATATTGTATAAATAAGTATTTAGTTCAAGAGGCATTACCAATCCGGTTTGAGACTCCCAGAGCTTTGTCTAAGCGTAGATGGTGAGATGTGCGAATGTGTCTGCAGCAACAGGCCAAAAGAGAATGACTGGCATCGATCGCCACCTACTATGCTTTCAGACCATTGTCAATAACGTTCCAGCTCACCTCATCGGATATTTTGCAGCATGCAGATAGCCGCGTCTCTCAAATATGTGAACGACTATTCAACCCTGACCTCAATTCCAGACACTGGCCTATCTTCCAATTGAATACGGGGTCCTTTGAAGTGCCTGCGGGCGTATACCACCCAGTTGATCAGTCCCAAAATGCCGACGATACCCAGTACGACTGGTGTGTAATCTGGACAACAATATCAGCACAAAATATCCCGAGTTACCAGTCGTCAAAACTCCTCGTATATGAGGTTGGAAGAAATCGAATGAAGTTGTGGACTGTAACAAAGAGCTTGACTAGAGAGAGATGACGGAGGGGCCAGATGCTATCATTATATGAAGGACAGTACTCACTCAGGTTTGACCAAGTGACTGGCCGGAAAGGAGGAAGCGCAAAGCATACCACGAGTACAGGTATGATTAAGACAACGAAGATAGTTAATGCCCAGCCTATAACTTGTGGGATGGCAAATTCTCGACTCCTGGGTAAGTACTTTTCTGAACGTCGCCGATACAAGAGTAAAAGGATAGGAATCCAAATGCCTAACAGCTGATGTACGGCCGAAGAACTGATGATGGCATTGAAAGCTGCATCAACAATGTCAGTTAAAGGAACATGAGTCGCGAAAATGCGTTTCTGGTGCTTAGTGGAGAGAGCTCTGAGCTCAAAAGGCAGCCTTGAAAAAGAAACATAAGTACACTTACCTATCGGAGACGCCAGTATTAAAAAGCCACAGAGTGCGAGTAATAACCAGTTCAAGAAAGTGGCCCATAATGGGACATTCAATACTGAATGGACTCGGCGAATGATGTGTGAGAACGCAAATCCATCATCTCTGGCAAAAGACCACACAAGACGAGACGAGCTTTGGAGCAGTGCATTGAGAATGAAGAAACCCAAAACACACCCTGCGCACAACAGAGCTGCAGCAGCATCGCCCGATCGTAGTCCCTGAGCATTGATCTCAAAGGGAACGAACCTCCATTAATTAGTATGACACTGGCTCAAAGAATATTGTACTTACCCCGAACTTCCGATAATAGCTTGGAAATCGCTGATACTGTAAAGCAGAGCAATACCGAAAGGGAAAGCCGTACAAAATCCGACTATAATGACACCAACACAGGCTCTCGGCACAATCTTCCGAGGGTTCCTGGCCTCTTCGGACAAGTGCAAGGCTCCGTCAAGGCCACCATACATGAAGGCAGGGGTAATGAGGCCCGTCAAGAAGCAAACACCGTCGGACCAGCCGGTTTGATTGATGAATGTAGTCCAAACGAATTCGTGGGTAGCCATGGGAGATGCACGGCTTAGAATTCCAATGAATGTAGCCAAAAATATGGCGATGCTGAGTATAACTGAGAACAACTAAGATCAGCACGTACTCTATCAAAATCGAGGAATAATTTCTGCTAGCTACTTACAGCCAATGGTATGCATTATAGGTAGTTTATTCAGGATGAAGAGGTTGCAAAATAGGGCTAGTACTCCTATTACTTGGTAGATGAGAAAAAGTTGCCACGCTTCTCCTTGAGCACCCGGGTTGAAGTATCCCACAAGCGCCATAATTTGGGTTGCCGTGATGACCATCACGGCTGCGCCACTGGATACCCACTGGAATACTGTAATGAAGCCGCAAGCGTATGACAAGGATCGAGTCATTCTTTCAGGAGCCAATATAGAGGTGAAATGATACTGACCACCGGCAGTGGGATATACACTTCCCAGCTCCGCAATGAGAAGACTGATGCACAGATATATTGCGGTAATGAGAATCGTTCCGTAGATCAGAGTCACAGGGCCGCCCTGCAACAAGGCGATCTGAATGCTGGTAGACAGACCAGCCCAGCTGCTGCATATGTTGAAGCATAATGCTACCATTGTTAAAAGCCCAATCCTTCTCCGGATGTTGGGCTCGCTCGAAATTGTTCCAGCGAGGTCGGGGTCGGCAGTCGATGACTCTGCATCGTGCTGAGGAACCTCGGAAACCTGTACATCTTCGACTTTGAGGGACGACACAGGGTCAGCTAGCGTTTTAGCAATGTGCTTACTAAATCTAGTTATAGTCACTTACCAAAACTGAGTTCTAGCCCTTTGTTGACAGTAAGTTTATCATCTCCAGACGCCATTTTGTGGTTTGTCGTTATTCGATGGGACAACCAGAGCAGTGTAGTGAGAAAAACAGATACCATAAGAGATATTTATATGGTATCCGGAGGCTGTGAGTCCGGGGGAGCAATCCCCATGGTCGATTCTGAGACAGGGGGCAGTGCGTCACCCCAAGGTCTCGACTCTCGGAGCCGAAATCACCATGTAGCGCGGCGGGTTCGTTTCTAGATATCGACTTTGCAGGTGGAATTGGCCCACTCACTGCGAGAGTATCATGGCATATCCTTGTTATCATCATGACTCAATCCTCCACCCGAATCTACACCTAGACAATTCCGGCTCACTTTAGGAACACGAATGCACTATTCCAGGGGCAGCCAATGTAGTCGGGTGGCAGATAGCAAACTCGTGAGAACAGCAATAGAATTTCCGAGCTTGGAAGGCTTTTCAGTTTTCCGGATTACTAATTGAATTGAGTTTTCCATATCTAAATACACTCAAACAAAGCCCAAACTCCTCCACAGAGAGCTCAGGGTTGTTAGACATTCTACTTTGTCGTTGGCAAGGTGAGAATTAGAGGCCGACTTGATCCTCGGCTTACGCAGCTATATAATTCCATTGTTCTTTTCACTTTCGAATAACAAAGGGCTTCGAAGTACTCTAAATACCGCCGAGTACTTTGGCGGTTTCTAACCCGTCAAGCCCTATCATACCTAGTATATATAGATTACGATTCTCTTCGTAGGATTTAGAACGCGGGTGCGGATAGCTACTTCTACGAATCACGTGCGACCTATGAAACTCAATGTAGGGCCTAGCATCGTGAGTAGCTCGTGCCCTATTGGGTTGAAAGGCTCTATCGCTGGCCTCGTGAGGGTTGCTGTCTGCCACTCAACTCCGTTACGTGCGTATGTCCAAGTGCCACTGATGTACGCCCAAATGCAGCCTGATAGGGCTAAAGCATTAGCTTGGCTAGACCTCGGCTCCGCTACAACCGAGCCGTCAGCGAGATTAGCATCTTCACGAGTCTCCATAGTAAACGTTAACAACCACTGTCCTAACGGGACATCACGTGATCATCTGCCATGGAAATACTAATTTTACTACGTAGTTTGCGCTCCTCAAGCGATGCTCAGCTTCATAGGGCGGATGTTACGTCTAATCGTGAAATTATTGCACTATCCGCTGTTTTGCAGTCGTCGTTTCGACGACTATCTATTCGCCATGACGACTCCCGAGGCCTACTATGCAGTTATCTCTGGACTCCAAAGCCGGGCCCAGGACAAATGCTAGTGAGGCTTTCTCACTGGGTACTCTGTCACCCTGATTATGCCGTCTTGACAAATGGCTGGAGTTGGCTGCCCGATCTGCTTGGGAAAGATCAAGTCAAGGGCCATGGAGATGTCGGACGAGTCATCGAGATAGGGTTAACATTACTCGGAAATACAGTCCATTGGAAGGTCGGTGACAGAGTTGTTGTCAAATGGCTCTCGTTTGCCTGTCTCCGCTGCCGGGCTTGTATGTCTAGCCCCGTGGGATTAATTGTATTTAACTGTTTCAGGATATAACACACCTGGCGCATTACAAGAATATGTACTCGCACTGGGAAACTATGCCACTCCTATCCCAGAAGGGGTCTCGTCGGAGATGGCTGCGCCTTTGCTCTGTGGCGTACTTACCGTATATTCAGGGTTCAAGAAAGTGCAAGCGAAATATGGAGGATGGGTAGTGATCTCTAAGGCAGGTGGTGGTCTGGGTCACTTAGCACGTGGAACTTGGCAGTCGAGCTTTGGGTTTTCGGATTCTTGGGATCGGCACACCTAAGAAGGAGCAATCCGCAGAGATCGTGGTGCACAGGAGTTCCTGAATGTGGGCGATGGAGCTCTGACAGGAAGATTTCGACAGACACAGGTAGTGGTGCCGCTCTGGTGATGGCTTGCACTGGCGCAAGTGCGGCATACGCTCAAGCTCTTGATTTCCTTGGATTTCATGGCATCCTTATGGGTATCGGACTCCCTGAAAGAGATCAAAGGGTTCAGATTCAAGGTGCCAATCCTAACAAGCTAATAACACAACAGCTTACTATAATGTCGTCCTCGGTAGGCAATAAAAGTCCTAGTTTTTGCAGCTTGAGGCATGATAAAACCCAAAATCTCTATCCACAAGCCAAAAGACGTAGCTACAGTCTTTTCAAAGATGAGACACGAACAGGTGCTTGGTCATGCAGTCGTTTCATTAGATTCCAAAGCTTAGACTTAAAGATGACAGCGACGTCGAAATGATATCATGACTATCAACCCAAACTGAATTCCAATCTCATCGAGTGCCGAATGTGTCCTAACCAATGTGATAACTTTCCAGCGAAACTTCTGTCTCTCGTTCTTTCTCTTCTGTTCCAGCCATGCCCAAGACTTAACTATAGAATAAGCAACCCTTTATAAATGGTGTGGAATCGCGAAGTTACGTAGCTAGACGAATGAAAGACTCTCTGCCACTCTCCAACCAAGATCCTCGGAGAACTAAATACAGATTTCCAGGGTTTGCTCCGTACGATTGAGACCCATCACAGTACCAAGTTGATGGCGTAAATGTGAGAAGCAAAAGTGGAGGAGCCCATGAAGCCGGATTGGAAGTGAGACAGGGATGGCGGAGATTGATGCCTGTATTATGTACAACAGTTCATCACGTTTGACAATTCACTGCAAACATTACTCGATCGGACGTGGCCAGACTCTATGAAAATGTGGAGATTGAAAGTGTTCGACTATTTCGACGGACGCTCTGGTTATTTTCTGTGAAGACGAGGCCCATACGATACGAAAGCACATATGCTGTTGAATTAATGGAGTTCGAGAGATTTCGACCCATACCCTGTGTCTCCGGTTTGACCCATAGACCTCAGAGATGTATTTGACTTAGTAGCATCATCTAATGAATGTCAACCCACGGTCGAGACGTCCGAGTTTCATCCAAGCATAATCCAGAATGAAGCCTTTACGGCCTGTCCACGGGCTTTCCACCGCAGATCTGGGCAGATTAGCCGCTCCGAGTGTAACGTAAGTCGATTGTAGGTTCATTGTCGGGGCAGGCAAGAGCGATATCGACTCTGGCAGATATGGTACAGCAGCCCTATAACTCTGCCTTTCGAGGTACTTGAGGTATTTGCAGATGAATTTTGCTGTGACATCCGCTCCCAGCGTCCATGAAGCATCGGTGTAGCCGAAACAAAAAGCAGCATTGGGCATATCCTGGATCATCATACCGTTCCACATATACTTTTCCCTAGGGTCGAGAAGTTTGCCATCCACCTCGATTTTAATGCCGCCAAACATCTGTAATCGGAGACCTGTTGCAGTAACGATGATGTCTGCTGCCAACTTCTTGCCGGACGCTAATACTATACCGTCAGGAACGACTTCTTGGATGATGCTAGTTTCCACAGTGGCTTTGCCAGATTGGAGGCTTTTAAAGAAGTCGCCATCAGGACAGATGCAAACGCGTTGCTGCCAAGGCCGATAGGACGGATTGAAGTGCGGATCGTACGATATCTGTACGGGAAGTTGCTGGGTCGTGCTTTTCTCTATCATCCGTTTTGCTCCATCTGGCCATCGATGACAGTACCAAATGAAAAGGCGTCCACGGATGATCCATAACAAACGTTGAACCGAGAAATATAATGTCTGGGAAAGGAGATGGCTATACCATGGCCGCTTAAAGGCTTTGTTAGGTATCGAGAGGATATAAGTTGGACTACGCTGTAACATTGTGACTTTGGCAGCTTTTTCTGCGAGCGACGGAACGAGTGTGATGGCCGTAGCACCACTGCCGATAACCACGATCTGCTTGTTTGTATAGTCTAGGTCTTCAGGCCAGAATTGGGGATGAATGGTTTGACCTTGAAACTGCTCGATCTTTGGGATTTTGGCCTCAAGAGGTTCATTATAGTTGTAATAGCCTGTGCCGAAGACTAAGAACCGAGCTTTATACTGCAGCTGCTGGCGCTTGTATAGTGCTGTCAATGTCCACAGGCAGTCTTTAGAAGACCAAGATGCGTTCGTTATAAGGTGACCATATTGGATTTTCTTGTCGATGCCGTGCATCGAAGCAGATTTGTGCAGGTACTGTCTGATGGATTCGCCATCCGCTATTGGGCTGAGCTTCTCCCAAGGATTCCATTCAAATCCAAACGTGAAAAGATCCGAGTCCGAGCGGATACCTGGGTAACGGAAGAGATCCCAGGTGCCACCCATTTGCCCTCGTCCTTCTAAGATTGTGTAAGTGTATTTGGGGAACTGACTCTGGATTCGATAGCCAGCGTTGATTCCCGAAATTCCAGCTCCGACAATAAGAACGTCGAGTACATCATTCGCAGGTAACGGGGTCCCAAAATATTCATCCATGCTAATTCTCTTCTCATCACCAGAATGCTCGGCCGACGCGATGTGCAGGTAACTGATGAAGGAGAGAAATTACGGACAGATCGTCTTATTCTGGTCCTTATCTCGAAGTGATTGATGTAGGAGCATAGAAATGTCCGGGGTTGCACTAATATAGCAGTGGTACTTGCTGAGCGCCACCATACTTGTGCCTAGAGAGCCTTGATGGGGTTTGCCACCAACACCAAACCCTTCCCGCAGCATACGAAGTACGAAAAGGAATACGAGCAAGAATGCGCGAAGGCTAGGTCGGAGACTCAATCTCGCGATACGGACGTTTGGCCCTTACGGTCCTGGCTGGCTACGTCGGCCCCGAGTGGGAGCCGTTGATATGATATACGAGGTTTGGGGCCAGCTCTTTCATTCCCTGTGCGTGCAGCCAAGGTGTTGGCATATCTCGTGATCGGCTGCAGCCCCTGATGGAAGTCTCAAATACCAAGTAGTAACCTAAAACATGGTGTCCTGCACATTCTCGTGTAACTTCACCGTATTGGATTCAAATTACAATGTGGCATACTGACGGAGCCGAGCTGATAACTCTCAGTGGTCGATTGCATCAATTTATCCCGATGGTTTTTATAGGATTCTGCAATCTGACAGTGCCATAGCACGTCCTGGACCTAGGATTCGAGGATTTAATGAAATACATCAATCGTGATATCTATCCCGAAGACTAGTTACCTTACGGCCAATGGGAGTATCAGGTTTACTACGAACGACACTTCGACAAGGCAGCCGCCTGGTTCGAGTAAGACAAACCTGCTGTTCTCAGATTGCTATTCTCCGGCAAAGGGAACCCGTCGAGCTTAGGCAAACGGGACGGACTGCGACTGTTCTCCGCGACGGTGGCTGGTTCGGCGGCATACCTAAACCGCCTCCCAAAAACACCGTGCCGCCAAGCGATTGTCTCCTAGATATTCTCCCTAAGGAAGATATCTCGGAGTCGGAGGAAGCGTTTGAGAAGAACGGCTTCTCCAGCCCAGGTTCGTACTATCTGAAACATAAGGCGAACCCGAGTTGGAATCTAAGAAATGTCAAGTACAATACCGTGCTTAAGATGCCAGTCCTTTTCGTCGAGGCTAGGTTCAATACCGGTGCCAACACTTGGCTCAACCCAAAATTCGCCGAACAGAAGAAGAGTTTATGTCAGAATTTGGCATGGGGTACGATCGATGCATCGCAATGGGTCCCCTCGGAGAAGCGCCAGGAGACGGATGCTGCTATCGCGAGATGGCTAGTAGAAGATGTGCCGTCGTACTGGCCAGCACCATCGGTTTCTACACGATAGAATCCGGGGAAACACGTAGTGTCTCAATGGATCGATCATTAATCCATATCGACTAGCCAAACCGAGCAATCGAAAGAGATATATGATTGATTGGTCTATTTCGCTGAGGCTTCTCCATACCTTCCACTTGCTCTCACCAGCCGTGGAAGGCCTTGCGGTGGCTTTGGTCGTACCTCGAATAGCGCCTCCTGTTCATTCTAAAATAACTATTCCTTTGCTTTTCACGTTGTATGTCTTCCTCTGGTTATTTCACAAAATCCTCATTTATCCGAGTTTCTTCTGCACGCTCTGTCATCTTCCATATCCGAAGGTATGTGTGGTCAAATGTTTCCCTTCCGTCGATTGGAGCGCTCTGGAATGACATTGCACACTAGGGGGCTTATCCAATATTCGGTCATACTGATCTCAAATCAGAATGCCTCGTGGCAGCGACCATCTTAAGTTCACGACGCAAACCCCCAACCATGGCCTCGTTCGCCTCAAGGGTTTCTGTAACGCCGATGAGGTTCAAATAACCAGCCCAATGGTGATTGCGAAAATTCTTGTAGCAAAACCTTACGATTTCCCAAAGACAAAGCGAGGCCGAGGTCTTCTGAAGCTACTGATAGGTGAGGGTCTCGTGGTTGCGGAAGGGAGCCCTCACAAGATACAGACAAAACTTAGCCTTCCAAGTTTTGCTTTCAGACCGATCAAGATGCTCTATCCGCTCTTCTGGTGAATGGTCACGAAAATGACGAGAACGATGGCTATAGACGCCTGCGAAAAACTGAAAGCTACAGCAGTAATCGAGTGGAATACCGGGCCCCAAAGGCACTCTGGACATCATCGGCGTTACTGGTGTTGGAAGGGACTTGAACACGCTTGGAAACTCTGGCGATGAACCTGTGCCCCTGCTCGAGTACATAACTACTTTGCACCGGAAATGGGTCCTCTGGCTATGTGTTATACGGTGTTGGGACAAACACTAACGAAATGGTTCCGGCGTGCAACTTGGAAAAAATTGACAACCGCCTCCGCAAGCGTCCGACATCTCTCTGAGACAAATCGGTGGACACACTATCTTCTCTGATCAAATTAAACGTTTTGTCAGACTCGCAGCTTGTGGGCCCGCCTATTGCTGACAGGTGAGTGCTTCCACGAGCAATTTTTCCGCTTGTTGTTGATAATGTGGTCGGCCACGAAACGCCTTAACGCTCTAATCACTCAAGCTGATGAGGTCTATCTTGTTTATGAATTGAACACATATGGTGGCATTGCAAATAACTTACTTTACGCTTAAGCTCAAGAGGCAGTGGGCAATAGGTTTGAACTGCTCACATCAAGATCACCGAGTTCGCAATCCAATCTACTCGAAGTATTATGGAGTACAACTCCAGACACTCGAATAAATCTTGACCTAAACTATTGCCAACGGCGATTGAGTATATGCCTGAACAACCTCTGCCGATTGGGGATACAAGCACGCGAAGAGAAACGGTCTCCAGAACCCATTATGTGGCCGAGTTGTGGCTTGGAAAACAAACTTATCCCTCGCTTCCCATAGTTATACTGGCTGATCCGCTTGCTGTTTGACCATTATCACATTTTTCGGTCTGGATGGTCGTTTTCGATCTCAAGGGTCTGACCAGTCTCTTCCATGTGGACCTGCAACTGCTTTCTGGCGTGGATTGGGACAATAACGTTCTCTTCAAGGAAGTAGTTGGTGTCTTTCATGTATTTCCAGACCACGTAGTAGAGGCTGGGCCAGCAGAGCATTGTGAGTGCGAAAAAAGCCGCATTTTCGTTCTCATATGGCTGGGCCGTAGCATCACAACCAAATGATATGGCTGTGCCAGCGCTGAGGACTGTCATAATGAGAATTTGGTAGCAAATTGACCCTTACTAAACTTGGTAGGATGACGACGGTGGAAGGAATTGAACTTACGGCCCACGAATATACCCGACAAGTGAGAAATCCGACGGGGATCGTTAGTCAGAGATCCAATGATCCAAACCACTGTGTTCTGAAACATGCCATACTGGCCTCCATAGAAGAGGTAGATAATGACAGCTCCTGGATAGGCTGCATCGGTGATATCGATGGAGGGACCTGGAATATGACGGTTGAACTTCCAGCTAGATAGCCAGATGGTTTGGGCAACGTAACTTCCAGTGACCCAGATCATGATAATCGTGATGGCAATAAAGGCTCTTGTTTTGCGTCGAAGCTTCTTGTTGTCCAGCAACAGCCCACAACCGATCACTGTCGGGATCTGAGTGACGTTATTCAGAAGATTATTCAGCGAGCGCGTTCGCAGATTGTACGCGTATGCGTTCATGGATGATTGTAAAGGCATAAACATCTCTGGAATAAAGGCCACAGGCAGCATGATAATCATTATCGGATCGGTGAACGTCTTGGCCGTCTCTATGATGGAGGCTTTCATGGAGATTGGTTTGAATTCGGCGATATGTGTCCCATCAGATCGAATGAGTTTTGCCGGAGGGAGTATCATGGTACCGAAGAGGAGTGAACAGCATGCTAGGATAACAAAGATGATGTACAGGGAATGTGGGACTCCCGTCGACTTTGCTATATATATTTTGTTAATTCACCTGCCAAGTTAGAAAGGGATTGTGGCAGTGTATTACCATTCCAATTGATGCTGAATGTAGGAGTCTTGTTAGTCCAATGTCTAATGTCTGTAATAGCATGAGTAAGGGCACTTACCCAAGTGCGATGCAACCACCAACTGTTGCGCCGAGCAGGTTTCCCGTCCACTGAATTGCTCTCCACATCCCCTTGTCTTTTTCCTCCGGATATGTGTTGGCCATGTAAGCTATAAAGGTCAATCTCCACCCCTGTAGACTCGGAGAAGAGAGGCTACCACATACAAGCAGTTGTCCAAAGGCATCCAGCGCTCACACCGAGGTAAGCTCCTGCAAAGATAGGATACCAGATGCGGCCTGTGACGTCGTAATACCACATCGCCCCTGGCATTACTTGTCAGAGCTCCAGAGCAGCTATAAATTAGGTCAGACTTACCGGTGTAAAGCGGATATCCAGTGACTCCTATACAGACGGTGAACCGGGGCCCCAGCACGTTGATGAGGGACGATGCTAAGAAGGAGCTGAAAACGAAGACTGCATAGAGTACGGCATTACTGATGTTAGCCATAGTTATAGAACTTGGCTTGCCCCCACCAGCTCCTAATCCCTAGACACGAATGCCTGTTATTGATATGTCACCTTCGTTTTCAGGGAAAGGACTTGCCGTGATTGAAGCATATAGTCCAGGATTGCAGAACAAACAAATGGTGATTAAGATGATCTGAACAGCAGGGCTAAAGGATCGTGACCGTTAGTGACTCAGCTTGCCATGTACGAAGTTACTGGTTTACTTGTTCAGGCGTAGAGCTGGAAGTTTCTGTTCACTGTTCCCATGGTCTCTGTTGGTGACGGGTGAGCTTGCTGCCTTAGCCATGATTGTATCTGTCGATAGATGTGTTTAAGTTACACTGTATGCGCTAGGCGATAAATGAGTCGAGTCCTTGACTGTGAAAACGCACAGTGGGGTCCGTCAAGCTTTTGTACCCCGTACCCAAAGTACTATCCAGAGCAGCCCTCCGCAGATGATAAAACCTATCTCCCCGTAATGCGGAGAAGGCTCAGCCGAGATAGCAGGCAGAGTAACTTCGGCTCCGTGTCTAGCTGATCACTTGAGCCGAGACGGCAATCAATCGCTACTTATCGTGGTGGCTCTGACGGAGCCTTTAGCTAACTAGGGTGTCTTTCTCAGCAACCCATGAATATGTACTGAGCGGGGAATTCATGTGTGTACTAAGCGGGGTTTATGATAAACTCAGAATCAATTACGGGAGCATGACTGGAGATTGGTGGTCGGAACCACAATCGCCTGTCTTACCACTCAGGGGATAATTAGATACTAGCTAGGTTATATTCGAAATGTGTTCTCACAGAGCTAGATGGTGAGTCCAGGAAGAGCAAGTCCGATTCTGATACTCTGGGAACAGGAGTATAGCAGAAGCGAAGTTAAGCTTATCACTCGTCTACTTAGACAAATATGGGTTGCTCGAATTGTATGTTCTGATCCTATCTCATGGACCCAGACTCAAGCCGACCTCGTTCCTGGCATTTCAATGCCAAATTACTCCTCCGAAACGATCTATATCGATAAAGTGGGACTCAATGGCTTCGCACTCCATCCGTAATATGTTCGCTTCTTGTCCTCCAGGTCTGGTGAGCGATTGATTAGTAGGTACTTGGCAAGACACTCAATCTTCCACCATCGGTGATCAACGACATGCCGTTGATGTATGCTCCTGCGCGGCTGCATAACCAGAGGATAGCGCCTGCCATGTCTTGCTCATCACCCGTCCTTGTCGCCGGCACTCGACTCTTCTCCCATGTGCCTTCAACATTGTGCTGGTTCACCCTGCCTTCCCCCGTGTACATGTTGTGCGTCATCTCGCTATAGTAGTACCCCGGTACTAAGACATTGGCACGAATGTCGTACTCGACTAGAACCGTGGACAGCATTTTCATCATGTGTATCACTCCCGCCTTGGCGGGTGAGTAAATCATGTCGTTGAGGAACTTGCGACTGTAGCCACCTGTGGAGGCGGTAGCAATGATCTGTGGGCGAGCAGTGAAATTTTCCTCGGTCGGTGGGTGAGGGCGCGTCCGGTTGCGGGCTTGTAGTAGGGGCAGGAAGGCGGCGATTGTGAAGTGGGTTGCTGTCACATTCACTGCGAACGTGTAGTTCACAGAGTCAAAGCTTGGAACCCATAGATTTTCGGCAAACTTCTCGAGAGATAGGTACTTGCCGGTCTCATCGGTGACCGGAGTTTCTGGGGCCATAACACCCGCGTTGCAGATCAGCACATCGAGGACCAGAGTGACGGATTTTACTTGCTCCACGCTTGACAGCAAGCTGTCCTTCGAGGTCACATCGCACACGATTGGGTGGATGTTCTTTGTCGGCACGGAAGAGGCGACTGACTGGAGTGATGCAAGACGCCGACCTAGGATGAACACGTTGGCCGCGCCATTGAGGGCGAGGGCGCGAGCCATCATGGCACCTAGACCACTTCCACCACCAGTAATGACGACGTTGAGGCCATGGACGCTGAAGAGACTGGCTGCGTCTAGTTTGACGGTGGTAGAAGTCATGCTTGGGAAGGATACAAGTGGTGTTAATCAGGCACGGCTTGTTATTGATATGCTAATCTTCCACAGCGTATGGTGGCGAGATTATCGATACAAATGAGATAAGCATTCTATGAGAAGAAATTTTGTGATACGTTTCGAGCCTGCGGCTTTTGTTTCTGGTACCAATAGAACAACACATCTCATTAATCATGGGCACTGCTTCGTCCGACTTGTTTATGGTGTATCAGAATCTAGCCTCCTCCCGGGCAGTACGCTGGTCCGGCACAGAAGATACTGGCGGGCGGGATCTCGGCTCCGAAACTTATCTAACAGCGCACACTCTAGGAATGGGAAAGACACCCTCTAATTTGCCCATCATCCTATAGGTCCGAATTCAGTAACTAGCCACTAGTTCATGCGAGGAAATACACTCTTCGGCAGGCTTCTTAATTGCCTTCGATGTCACGGCTCATGATGCGAATGTCACGGCTCACCACTCGAGCTAAACAAAGAAGCTCAAGATTTAGCTTATGACATTAGTTCTATAGAGCTATTAGGAATTATCGGCAATTCATGGGTCTGGGATCGCTTTTGACGACTTTTAGTATCGAGAACACCTGGCGAGCTCCCAAACAGAGGATCAATGACTTCGCTCGTTGAAATGACCATTCGTCGTATCTAGCAAAGATGCCTGAAAAAGCTACGGAGTCACTAACCAGTGATGGAAATCTGATTTCGTGGTTGATAGTATAAATGGATCCGCGACCAGGAATAGTGGCATTATAAAATTTGTACCAGGATCTGGTGGTGGGATCGAACACCTCCGCCACTTATCATGTAAATTTGCTTCCTAAGCATCCGCCGCGGCGATAAATTCTTGTAGATCGCCCTCCAAGTTCCGCTCCACATCTCCCTCCTGCAGCATGCCGAGGTAATAGGACAGATCGCGTCCATCAAATTGGCGAGTGCTAAAGCCGTTTCCAAAGAAGGCCCATGGATTCATACTCCTATACTCAATATCGTAGTCTTCAAACCGTGGCTCCTTCATGATCTCCATGAAAATAAGACGTGATGCCGGAAACATGCAAAGCTGTCCGTCGGCCCGGCCCTGTTTAAACCAACTCGTACAGCCGCTGGACCATGCGGTCCTGGCCAGAAACAGTTCAGCGTGCTCTGTTAGTGCTTCCGCGAGGTGTGACTTCGGCGTCAACGACTTAATGTTCTCTCGTTGCATTTTCTTGATGACCTTGATAAAATTCTCGACGATGACTTCCAGTACAGAAAGGAACGAGCCGAGGCCATGAGGCCCGTATGGCCCGCTAATGGTGAAGTAATTAGGCACTGTGTTGTAGCAATATGTAAGCTTACCAGCATCGTAGGGAGTATTTCGAGAATAGTGTGAGACTTACTATGCGGAACACCGATGGAAAGGTAGGATGTGATCTTTTGGGCCCACAAATCCTGAACGTTGTGGCCATTGGCCACGATGGGAAATCTAGGGATCCACGTTGTGTTGAAACTGCCACACATTAGCAGCAACTCAGATTTGGACCAAGGCTGGCTGATACCCGGTAGCACAGATGATTGCATCGACATCGTGATGCACTCCATGGCTGTCCACAAATCCGGTCTCGTCAACCTCTAATGACTGCTGTGTGAAGACGGTAACGTGCTCCTTTGTCAACGCTTCAAGAAACCCCTCCCCAGGCTGTTGCGCGGGTCAGTTCGTTGAAATAGGATCAAGGCTAGCTCGACGTGCTGACTCACCGTGGGTCGCCGACAACCCACCCCAAAAGTCTTCGGAATCATAGCCTCAATCAAGTCTTCTCTTCCAGATAGCCGCCGTGTCATTTCTTCGACCGCGTACTTCACCAAGGATGAGTAAGGTCTCCACAACCGAGGGTTAGAGGCTTTCTTACCTGCCTGACTTGGGCAGCTTCTGGCGTGCCTTTGATCATGAAATGGAATCTCTTGTTGAGTTCTGCCTCTACCATCTTGGAGTATTTGAGACTTAACTCGGGATTTTCTTCGAGCATTTTCTTCTGTTTCGGCGAATCTGTGCACCCGTTGTCAGGCATTCAAGGTTCTATCAAGACTTGGACCGCACACACATTCGAAATTTCCTCCGGTAGGTCCGGCATACTTTTGGGCGAACCCAGCAGTCACCCATGTGGGTGAGCGTATCCAGGTGTAGAGTTTCTTGACTTTTGGCCCAAGGTCTGAAGTGATTTGTATTCCGCTACTTCCCATCCCAATAACAGCAACACGTTTGTCAGTTAAATCAAGGCTTTCGTCATAATGAGCACTGTGCTGCAGTCTTCCTTTGAAAGAATGAAGCCCCTTGATATCCGGCCACTGCCAGTTACTGCAACATCAAGCCTTCAGTTAGTATTACGGGCCAAGAATGGGGATTTCAGGAAAGCTTGACTTGCTTTAGGTGGCCACTCCCGTTGATAAGCACGTCGCACGTGTCTAGAGTTTCAACGCCTTCTGAGTCTTGGATGCGAATGTACCACAGAGCATCGTCGTTATTCCAGGTGGCGCTGACCACGGTATGGTTAAACTTCATATACGACCTTAACCCGTATTTATCCACAATGTCGTTCAGGTACTGCCAGATCTCGGTTGAACTGGAATAGTATTTCGACCACGTGGGGTTGCGGGCCCAGGTGAATTGATAGCTCATGGATGGGATGTCGCAAGCACAGCCAGGGTAACTGGAGAATAAGCGGTCAATCGATTGTGCACTCTGTATGAATTATTGGGGAATATTACCGGTTCTCTAACCATGTGCCACCAATATCGGCATTCTTCTCGTAGATTTGAACAGTTGTGTTGGTTAGCGAGTCCTCCGCAAATTTGGAAAAGCAGATTCCTGATGCACCAGCGCCGATGAATATGACACGCATGGGTCTCATTGTCCCATACGGCTGCTCTAATAGCTTGTATCCTCTCGCATTCTTTTCGGGCCATAGCTCTGCTGTTTTTGTCGTATTTGCGCTATCTGAAGCCACGCGATGCTGCTCCTCGAGTAGTTCTGGGGACAGAGATCCCATAATTATGAAATGTCTTTCACCAAGGTTCTGTTCTGTCCAATCGGAAAGAGGTATTGGCGACTCTAGGCCGTTTTCAGTGGTCAATGTCGATTCAGTCAAGCAATAATCAACCTCTCTCTTATGGTAGAACATCTATTTGTGCCTCCAATTCATTATAAAGGCCTCGAGTAACTCAATATCAGTCATCGGCTCAGTTTGACGCAGTTCCTTTACGAGTTGTCATGCCACATTTACCGCCTCTGAGTGGTTTAGAAGCCTTTGGGAACACTTTGGCGAAAGAACAAGCTAATGTGGATCATCTGGCAAGAATCTGCTTTTACTCTGAGTTGTTGCTTCGGCTCCGACAAAGGTCTTTTCACTCGACTTGCCAAACTCAGGAGGCCTTCCAGAGACCCCACGGCAGGGGACAGCAGATGCGTGCGCCAATACGTGTCGAACACATTGTTACTCACATTGGACGTATCACTTTTTTTACGGATTTGGACCTTCCTCCGGAGGACGTCTTTCGGAGCCGAGATATTAGGCGAGTAAAGCTCGATCCCGCACGCACAACCTCGGCCGAGATCGCCAGTAGGCGGTCTTCCAACATCTCCGCATGGCTCTGTAAAGCACCACATCCAGCCAACCATTTTCACCCACGATTTAGCTTTGACAGTCGGACCAAGGAAGAAGCTCGGTACTACTACTTGCAGTGCTAATATTGAGCGAATGTCTCGCTGTTTTGTGCAATTAAAGACAGGGCGGGCGAGTCTTTGGTAGCTCCGGCCCCGAGGTTTTTGCTAAATCAAGATGACATTGGGTTCCTTGACCCTGCCTGACATCTGTAGCCCCACCTCCAGGGCAACAGAAAAAGCTCTGGAAGAATAACATGTGGGATGATATATAGAGCTTCCGACAGTAATAATAATAGGATCATGTTACTCTCTCTCTCTCTCTCTCTCTCTCTCTCTCTCTCTCTCTCTCTCTGTGTGTGTGTGTATGTGTGTAAAAGTGATTGAGAAACGGCTTCTGCGATACGTCTCTTGTCGCAAATTGCGGCCCCTCAAACAGATTTGACAACAGAGATCATACCAAACTCTTTCGTCCTATTCCGGAGCAAGCGCAAGCGTCCTGTCGATCGACCCCCACCATGTCTGGGACTCGGGTCCCATTTTCTCGCGACTCACCTCAAACACGTGCCCGTCACGCTTCGTGGCAACTTCTGGTCAAGTTGGAAAAGACCTGAACGGCAACCTGATTAAAGATCCGGCGGCCCAGATAGAGCAGGCATTTATGAACTTACACAAAGCACTGGCGGCTGCAGAAGCAAGAGTGCATGATACTAAGTATCTTTATCTTCAAACTCGTATGGCATGTGGTCGACCACGATCCAGATAATCGTCTATACAGGGCACCCCTTAACAAGTTCTTGAATGGGCACAGACCAGCTACTACACCCGTCCCGGTCCCCACCTTAGACAGCCCGGGTTTTATCTTTGAGATCGAGGCGTATGCTGCAGTTGAACGATGCCCGATTCAAGAAATTGATGTCGTTGTAGTTGGCGCAGGTCTAAGTGGTCTCAAAGCAGCCTACGATATCCAAACAGCAGCATACTCGTGCCTGATCGTCGAGGCTCGAGACCGTGTCGGCGGTGATACGTGGTCTACTGATCTACTGGAAACTGGAAACTACTGAGTACTTAGTAGTATGTAAATCTAGTATTCTACTTAACTGGAAGCATCATTCAACAAGATATAGAGGAGGTCTTTTTGCATTCGCGTATGAGACAACGGCTGCGATATGCTAGAATACGAAGTTTAAAGCACTAGCAATACTAAAATTAACGATTTACTACTTAAGCAACTTAACAGAGACTAACTACTTACTTAGTAAACGCCAGAGTAGTATATACAGATACCTATTCACTATGACCTTGGTAGACCTCGACAAACATACTAAGTACTTAGTACTTAGTACTTTGGGCTAGGGAAAAGGGGCCAGGTCTGGACTTTATGCTATGCTGGACATTGAGTCTTCCGAAATCAGTGTTGTGCTAGTGTAAGTACTTATACTTAGCAGAGAGCACTTCAGACTAACTCAAGATACTAGTACGAACTACTAGCCACCCCGGAATGTGAGCCAAAACTCCCTGAGCAGTACAACCATCTCAGCAGCGTACCAGGCATCTGCAACTCGCCCCCCTTAAAAACCATCAAGGAGAAGGAATACATAGTACTTCAGCCTTGTGTTATGATCTAAACTGCGGGCAGTGTCTGACCAAGGTGGTTCCTTGATAGAGTAGACACTAGAACGTGCTACTCGAAGGACGTGAAGGGCAATGTGGATCTTCAGATGATATCCTAAATGTAGGTATAGAATTGTTAACGAAGTTGACTACGAATAGTCCTATCTAGTGTAATGACCGTGTATATATAGTGCTCCTTAAGTTGTCCATGTCTCCATGTTTCCTTGCTTCATGGGAACATAGAAACATGGTGACCATTATTTCCTTTCCTGGAGGTCCCGTGTCACGTAATCCAGCCCCACACCGCCCCGTCGGTACAGTTGCTTCCTCTAGTCCTCTGGTGCCTGCAGGTCATGACCATTTTATTGACCTTCGTAACAGTAGTCTCTATGCTAGTCTATTCGTAATACACAATTCCTTCTTATAACGAAGCTACTCTTAATAGCAAGTTAGTATTTAATTATAGATACTAAGTATCCATAACCTACGAGTACTACTAGTATTTAGTATGCCTTAGTATGTACTAAGCTATATCTTGACATTGCAATGCCACGTTTCACTACATCCGAGCCTGTGCGTCTTTCAACGGGATTGTCCGTCGGAGTTCAGTGAGGCTACCAATTTGCATATCAGTGTGAGTGGGGGCAAGAACCTGACTAATACGTAGATCAAGTACTTACTTCGTGAGCCCAGTCTGCATGATATACTAAGTACTGGGCTGCCGTGAATGGTGCTTAAAGGCTCTCTCGATGCCCTCCAAGACGATAATAGAACTCTATAATACTACTAGTAAGTATGTAGGATAGATGTTGACGTTAGTGGAACGAACCCCGACTCTGCTAAGTTTTGATGTCCCTGCACTGGGCCGAGCATCGTCGAACAGAGTAGCCATCACCAGCGGTACTTTCATACTTCGTACTACTAAGTACTCAACTCGAGTATGACTGAGTACTTGGTACTAAGCGAGTATTTGGGGCTCGAATGTGATGAGGTACTAGAGATTAGAGAACTTTATAATAAGTAGCGTGGCCATTGCTTGACTTCGTGTTCCGTCTATAGGACATAATCCTCTGTTCTCAGACTTCCCCGTGAGTATACTAGGTACTTAACTGGAGGGTGCTACCTTGACGGCGGGTTCGATGTTGAAGACGGAAGACGAATTCTCCCAGCTAGCGTGATATGGAGCAGATGAAGACAAATAGTTATTTAGTACTAACTTAGTACTAAGTACTTCATCAATGGTCATGGCGTTGTAGTGGCTTCTCACTTATGGATTCTAGTGGCCAAGTGCAGCGATTGCCCGTGCCAGTGATCTTCGCCACCTGGTTGTCTTCTGGAACAAGGGCGAACGTTTCAATCCTATCTGTTGCTTGCCCAGCTATCCTATGATTCCGGAGAGCGAAGATGAGGTTGAATTTGCAATGTACGCAATCTCAATTATAATCATGGTACTCTCACCAATGTGGAATTTGCAGGCCATGGACACCAACAGTCAAGTTTGGAAGCTGAAGAAGTGAGATAGGTTGGAACCGTAGGGTGGTTGAGTGCCCCCCACGTGCATGCTGCAGATGCTTACCTAAAAAAAGAAGTACTTGAAGACATGGTGCCTACCTAAATACCTAGGTACTTAGATGGGCAAGAATGACGAGATTACCGTGACTTGTCAAGAACGCCCCCGCATTCCACATCTCTGAGGCTGGTAGCGACATAAGAGAACATTCCAAGCAAGCAAGCTTTGCTTCCTTTCGATGGTAATCCACTACTGAAAGAATAACCTGGTTGCGTTGAATGTGAACTCTCAATGCTCGTAGTGCTGACTTATGGAACCGGAACATGTGATTGTGCAGGAGCAGCTTCTACTCTACCCCGCCAGAATCAATCTGCCAACAAGTGAGTTTTGCCTAGGCACAGATTGAGTCTTCACATGCTTGGAATTAAGAATTGTGTTAGGAATTGCATTACTCATTTCATCGTTCATCTCGTTCTGATTTCTCAAATTTTTGAGTTTGCTGTAACGTAAAAGCATACGTAGCGATCCCCCGCCAGACCATAGTCCCTACCCCCTTCGATCACGCCCAGATCAACCTAAACGATTGTGAGGCAAAGCATCCATTGAAGAGCCCAGTCCCAAATTGACACAGCATACACCCTGACATAACGAACACAACCTGATAGCAATGGTTCCGCCGATAGTTCAATCACACATTTGACAATTTCGGTCCCGAAAGCGTTCGATATAGGCACTTATACATGGTATGAAGAGGATACACCCAAATTGTGTGAAACGGTGGTCGTTCCGTCTTCTGCCTCAATCCATCATAAAATCACCTCTCAGCATTCTCTCGCCCAGGTGGTCAGGTTTCTTCAACTTGGCAATGGGTTCAGTGGGCTTTGAGATCTCCTTGGGTGGTGCCGGGTCGGAAATGCTGGCGGACCGGGGGCGGGCAGAGTTGGAGGCGAATGGGTTGCCCGATGAAAATGAGGGAGACCGTCTGCTCCTGTCACGGATGGCCTCGGACCAGTTAAAACCTTCTCCTAGATATTGTCAGTTCGATATTCGGGAAACGTGAAGTGGATGAGAAGCTTCCGTGCATGTGTCAAGAATCAAGAAAGCAGAGAATCTCAAGGACAGGCCTCGACTCTTACCTATAGTCTTGGCCGTCCCCGACGCAACTTGACGTGATGGAGTGGCATTTGCAGAATTCTCATCCAAGGTAAAGAGAGAAGAGGGGCGCCTACCACCGCCAGAAGCTGCAGGACTCCCTCCTCCTTTGACATCTCGTAATGCCTGTGCCCCAAAGCTCACTCGGCGTGCAAATGAAGGGGACGCTGGGGGTTGTATGGTTGCCCGCGTCTGGTCGTCTTCTTCGATCACCGCAGGCTCATCTCCAAAGCTGTTTCTCCAGTCCGGGGAGCCAGAAGCAGAGGATGTAGCAATGCTCGCTCGCCGTTGACGCGCAAACGCACCAAATGGCGAGGTCTGGTTGGAAGGATTTGTAGTCAGCCCCAAAGAGGTGATGGAAGTGCCTCGTCGATGTTGGGTGGCAGATGGGTTGGCAGGCACAGCTGTAGAGGGGGGAGAGGAGGACATAGTAGCGGTAGTAGAAAGGGATCGTGGGTTGAACATGTCGACAATTGAAGGACGACGACGGTTGGGGGGAGATGGAGGGCCGCTTGGGTCAGCCATCTTTACCAGCTTTGAAGTTGTTTTTGATTGTCCAAGCCAAGGACTCTTTTAGAGGATGAAGGTGAAGTCGAACTTGGGCCTTTTCGATGGTATAGTAGAATAGAGTTGGGTTTCGGGTGGTTGTTGGTAGTCTGAGAACAAAGGAGTCGTAGAGGTCACGTCATGGTGGTATGGGCGTCGCCTGATAGCACAGCTGATTGGAGAGTAACAAGGGGCGTTGGTCAGTTAGCTGACGATCAAGTGATGATGGGCCCGCTGTGGGCAGGCTGGGGAACAAATTGTGGTTATCAGGACGAGACTAGTGAAACACAGACACAGAGACGAGGAGGTGGAATAAGGGAAACATGGCAAAGGTCTACAGAAGAAGAGGAAAGTTCCACACATTTCGAGTTGGATGTTATTGTTTGTTGGAGCAAGGACAAGTATCAATTATCACCGAGCGAGCTTCCCCAGGCTGGTTAGATGCAAGTTCGTACAACTCGCAGGTTGGTCAGACTCAAGCAGCCTCCAGGCTTGGGGAGTCGAGGGATCAATCACCCGTAAAGGCAAGCATGGTCTAGGTGCATTAGCCCCGTATTGGTGCCCGAAGAGCCCGAACCTGGTTGGTTACAATGGGTTTCCTCGGACTCCCAGGCTATTCTGCAGGCCTAGGAACAAGATACCAACCAACTGGAGCTGGGAACACAGCTGGAGAAGAGGACCAGGGCCCAGGGTTTGAATGACCCAGCGAGGTTTGCACTTGGCTTTCTCACTAGTAGCTTGTGGGGTAGGGAGCGTTCGGCCCACCATGTTACAACTGGCCGGGGCTCACCTGAAGCTTTCGTAAACCAACTACACGTCCTCAGAAGTTACACCAGCGTACCTTGTTGTTCACGCGTAACCATATCTCACTTGAACCCTGAACAATCCAGAGCAACCAGCCAGCTTTGAACTACCTGCCCATTGACTTGATCATCTGATTGAGTAACCGTCCTTCAACCCTTTCAACGACATTCTCTTGGCAAGAATATTCAGTACGAGCCATGGCAATTCTCGTTTGAGACACATTGAAAGCCGCTACCTACCTATACGGATGCTTTGCAGGCACGGTTCTTTGTGCTTATGTCTCTACCCACTTCCTAGGGATGCAATGTTGATCCGTTTCTTCAACATGAAGTCAACTCAACAACGGCGGAAACGCCGTGCACACTCATTGTTGGTCAATGCACGAGAGTGTGGTATGTCGTTGTACGAATGCAGCTCTCCAACATTGAACTTTTATCCGTCCTTATGAAATGCAGTCCATTTCTTTGAAGCAGGTTTCCTGCAAACGTACCGTATGAGGGCATTGTTCTGGACACGGGCAAACAGGTCAGTGACTTTTTCCCTATCCCTTTCCATGATATTGAGCTCATTGCTGCCCCCTCTCGTGCTCTGATATTGCCCATTCTTCCCATGGAACTAGCATCAAGAAGACCAAGACCATCATCATCTACTGCCTTCCTTTATGCGCGTCTCTTTGCAACGATGTGTTCCCCCTCCCAGAGATCTACCGCTGCCATCACAGACCACTTTAATGGCCGAGCCTATCCTGATCGTCATCGAGGTCGGAGGCCAACCTCGATATTATCCGTCGAAGATCCATTAGACACTCTAGGATTGAGAGACCTGCAACGTCCAGCTATTGCAGATCCGAACTTCTCAAGCGTCACACAAATCAATCAGCAAATAAAAGCGATTGAGACCATCACCACTTTTCCTGTCTGTGAGAGACTCGCGATTGTTTCAGACATCGCTTCGACTCTGCCCTCCCTTCATGGATTACTCAAGAGCAATCATACTTCTAGACCTCTTGTGGCAAAAACTCGCAAGCTAATTGCACTCCTCAACGCCGTCACGGTTGTCGAGAAAGATAATCTCAAGCAAACTCTTTCCCACCTTTCACAAATCCGGTTGCCAGAAGGCTTAACACGTCAGGAATTTGCGGACTATGTGAATGTGCTTGACGATTTCATCTATTTGATTAGGCCACTCGCAAAAACAGTGGACTTGTATGATACATGGCAAGATGCTGTTGTATCAGTCCTCCAGCAGTATTTTCGAATTTTGCCTGATACTGGTACCGGAGAAACTCCTGTGAACGCGGATTTTCATCATCTCCGCCCTTGGGATCCATGGGTTGAGGAGAAACCATTTCAGCCAGTGACACCTCTAAAAACAACCGAATCGTCCATAAACACAATCCTCCCTGTTCCGTTGTTAGGAGAGCTGTCTCCGATAGATGACAACATGGATGAGGATTTGGCATTGGAGATTTTGCAAGGCATTATGGTCTACCTTTCTGAGTGGGTACGCCTAGATCCAGCCCTCTATCGTATGGATGCTGCGATTTGGTTCAAGAGTTTCACCGTTGCCGTTGATACCATGAAAGCACTACATTCTGTTAATGGCAGGATACTCTCGTCGGATCATGTGCAGGAATCTCTTTCCGCATGTGTTGAAAAATGGACAGTATTCGCTCGTATTTGGAGAATTGCCGCCGAAGATGCATTGGCAGAAGGGCTGTTTCTGCTCATGGAGCCTACCCGTACATCACCCATAGAACTGCCAGAAGCCATTTTCAGCCAGATTATGAGCCATGTCCAAGCCATGTCCTGCCATCCACTATCAGAATTACCGACAACGCTTTTTAGTCACGAAGATCACGGTGTCATTGGGTCCAAGTTTTCTATTAGAGCAAAGAATTTTTGCAACCTACTTCACCATCAATGGCAAACAACGATGTATCAATCAGAATTGCACCAACTCTGGCTTCTGGTATGGCGGACTCTCAAGATGCTGTATAAGATCAAGGGGAGAGTGGCGTTCGATCAGAGTGGGAATGAGTGTTTGATTGACAATGCTTTCTTCGACAAACCTGAAGTTTCTGCGACCTTCAATCGTTTGCTTAAGACCTCCGACGCTGCAAATCCAAGAAGCGCCGAAGATATGGTTGCTCAATACTGCCGGTTCATTACCAAATGTCGCAACGATCCTGATGATAAGTATGATCATCTCCGCTGCTACAAGGAGACCGAATTGCATGCTCACGTCGTCACCTCTCTTCACCAATTCATCCAGACGGGACACGCAAACAAGAATCTGTTGCAGAAGCTGCATCGTGCCGTCGTACGTCTTAACTTCATCACCAGAGGTCCAGCCACAATCAGAAGATGGACACCAGGTAGAGCTGACCTCGATTGGTCAATTGAGCTTTTGGACTTGGTATCGCCAACGAAAGCCTCTGTCGCAGGGCCAAATTCACCGACCTTCCCTCCTCCGGAGGACGATATTCATATGATTGACGACTTCCCCAGGACTCCAACCAGCAGTGTTGTCCATCCGAAGGGTATAAATGTTAGAAGTGCTTTTGACTATGTGTATTGTCCATTCCCAGAGACCAGAGCACACGAACTCGCCCAGAGCGCGCTTATTTCCCGTGAATTGGCATCATCGGGGACGTTTTCGGATGGGCTGAGGATGGAGGATTTGATCAACATACCGCCCCGCCACGTAAGAGGCCCCTCAAATCTGTCTCCGCTTCAATGGTTTGACTTTGTGACGCCGATGGAAGTCATTACCGTAAGGAACGTGCAGAGTCGCCTCTGGAGAAAACTACGAGGCTCTCAACCCAGGAAGGGCGGTCGTGATGTCACCAAACTCCACGCAGATCGAATTCGGGTAGGTAAGGCACATGGCAAGGCCTCTCCAGTGGAAGAGGGAGTACGTTTGAGAGGGGGCGCTGGTTCTGCAAGCCCCTCTGATAGTCGACCCTCGAGAATTCCACCTACTTACAGCCCTCGACGGGAAGTCTTGGAGCAATTCAGAGCCATAATCAGAGATAAATTCAATTCTTCGACTCCACCACCATACTCGGATGATGATCTCTTATTGTGGCTGAATCTAGCTAATTGGAATATCGAGAATGCCCAATATCGATTTACACAGGCTGAGACGGTTGTGGCCTTGACAATTCCGGAGTATGAACGTTCTGAACATGTCTTGAACCATAATCCTTTCCTAAACACTGTCTTGGCTTTGCTGGAGGAGAACAACGGGCAGGCGGATGAGGCAATCCCGTTCTTTACTAGCCAAGTTGAAGAATTTCGGGAGAGAGTGAAACTCAAGGAGAACGTGGACCTTAAGTTCGAAGATGCACTCGAGTTTTTCCGAGAAACCATACATCTCGATGAAGCCTTGGCTCTTAGGGAACGCTATCACCTCTTCCAAGTCTTCTCGGAGGCATTTAAAGACTGGATCATACCTGGGGATTCGATCTCAGAGGGCGAAATTTCATCTTTCTTCGAGCAGTACCCAAATGATGTTAAGAGAGCTATAGGGATCCATTTAAGAAACAGACGTATCGATGCACCGTGTTATATATGCCCAGAGCTCGATGGAAAAAACCAAATCCACCACATCTGTGTGTGCATAGCCGACAACCCGGATTTCATGGTGAAGGCATACGAAGATGGACAGGAATTTTCAGACCCATCACGCTGTCATCGATGCCCGTATTTTCCGGGTGAGTTCCATCATTGTCTAACTCCGCATCGTCATTTACCAGATTTCCAGCGCCGCCCTGAGAGAACAAGACACAAAGACGATGCTCGCCTGGTTTTAGACACATTAGACGCGGACGAGTTTGGAGACTTGTTTGCCAAGTTTTACCGGAAGGGGCGCGATGGTAGAAGGTACTCTGGGATAGCATTCCTGCTCGGGCCCAGCGGATTCGGTGCACCTAGGGTGGATGAAAGGGAATGGAGAGCGGGTATCGGAAATGTCATCAACGAAATCAACATTCTAACGACAACCCTCCGGAATTTGTTTGTTCAGCGCTCGTCCACTCACGAGACAATGCCAATGGATGAGATTTCTGAATATGTCCAGAGACGATCTGACACAGCTCGGAGATCTACAGAGCAGCTTTGTCAGAGAGCCGCCATTGATCTTAAAGCATCACTTGACAGGCTGAAGAGAATGTTGTCGAATAAACAAGCCGACATGGTATGGTTCGCGATACTCAGCTGGAGGCATGAGCTAGGACGTTTTATTCGAACAGTGAACGAACTTCGATCCCTTTGGCTCGACCTAGTGATACACAATGATTTCGATGAGCAGGATGCCCCTGGAATGAAGCCGGGCCAACCTCCACCATCGGACAGTGACTTGAGCCAAGCAGACGATGACAGCGACGATCATCAGTCTGGCCAAGGGAGTAGCCCAATGCGCAGACGTCCTCGTGGTACGAATCGTGATCCTTCCTTTTCTCACGACGAGCTCCCGCAAGTAGATCACCATGGTTTTGAGGATCGCGACTTTGGCGAATCTCCTACCAGATTTCAACCCAGACGCTTGCCCAGCAAAGAAGAGTACAACAAAATGTATATTGACGAACTTCGTCGAGAACTCATAGTGGAGCGCAAAGTGCCAAGAGAGACCGTCGGCCAATATCAGACGAAGGCAGATCTCATTGGACTTTTGATGAGGCTCGATCTCCGCGGAAACTACGGATTTGGGCCTCGTCTAGGATTCCATGCCATCAAAGAATTCACCGACTTCAGCAAGGATCGGCGTGATAGTACATGGGAGGCGAACTGGCCCAACATCGTGGTAGAGTTTAGGGCCCACCTGAGACGAGATTTTGAACGTGCTCGTGTGATTCGAGAGCGGGAGAGAGAGCAAGCGGAACGAATGAAGCGCCTCCGAAACGAACATAGAGCCCAGCGTCGTTACACACGACAGGCTGCCCGGCTCGCCCCCGACGAGTCAGATATAAGCTCTGATGAGACTTCCGAAGCTGATACGGCTCCAAACGTACTAAAGTCCGCTGATCGTGGTTCGCAATGGCCAATAATCAAGCTCAATCATACATTGAGGAGTAACAGGGCATCAGGAGCCCAGAATCAAGGTTCTACTCCTCCTGGTGCTGAACTTAATGCTAACATAGAGCCTGTGGATGGTGGATTGGAGCAGAGCGTAACAAAGCCGACGGGTGAGCCACCGCGACCTCTCCGGAAAAGACTGAGGCGGATTGCTGATCCTCCAACCATGACGACAGCTAATGGCAATCATCAAGCTGGGGATGCACCTCCCAGGCCATCAAGAGGAGGCATGTTAAGATCGATGGCTCCTCAGGAGATAGACCCAATAGCACGGGGAGTAGGAAAAAACCCGAGGGCGCCCAAGGCCAAGAAAGCCACACCCCAGAAATTCCACATGAAATTGAGGCCAAGGAAAGGACGAGGGCTGAGATGATAGAAATTATTAACCCGGTATAGTTGACGGAATCGAGATACAAGTAACCACGCTTTGCCCCTGGGTTGCTAGGTATCAATCGGTTTCACTCTCTCGAAGCATTTCCTGCCAACCGCATAGATAGCCTCCGTATGCATGCCTCCCGTGTAGAGTAGATGGAAATTGACGCTAGATTACATTTCATTTTAACATTGCAGCTTGAGGGCCAGGCATCTGTACATGTGACGGTATATGACGTGCAGACGTAGCCGAGGGGCTCGCGGCTGGTCTTCTCTGGATTTCAGTCCAAGCGCAATATGCATATGAATATACACACAGAGGCATCCAAAAGTCGACGAAATGGTATTGATGAGGTTGAGAGCTAAGGGAGTATTTGGTGATGCGATATCTCCGATAGCAAGTGCCCGGAGAGATGCCCACAGGCTAGATAGGGTCTTTCTCATTTTCTGAACTTCCGACTCCCACGAACACTCAAGAGAATCTGGAAGTCAAGCCCGAAATCCCCCATCCTCCAACCAACACGCCAGCGAATACTCTCATGACTGCCTTTTGCGGCACACCTTCACGCCAGCAGATATAGGCATCCACAGCCGTAGTGTAGATTTGAAGTGCTAGAATGGTGTCGACAGCCTGCATTTTGCCCTGCAGGTAGAAAATCCAGATAGCAGCGCCGAGACACGTGCTGCGGGCGCCGTAGACGGTGAAGCACGCCTGTGCTGGCTCGGAAATGGCAATCCGTTCGGGAAACCCAAAGGCACGGATGGCGGCTCGTGGATTCCAGAGAGGCATGAGTGCCCCTATGCCCATTGCACTTGCTGCTAGGAGTGGTGGGATGTGGAGGGGGCGAAAGGTTGAGTACGGGGAGAGTGTCGTCGCCATGGCTGATGGTCGTTGGGATGAATTATCATACAAGCTACTGTTGGCTTTGATTTAGAGATATTGTCACTCGATGCAAGTTACGACGGAGTATTGGGTGGATGCAGCAGAGTTTTGTACCAGATCAGGCCACCCACCACGTCCCAGCTTGAGCATCGTATCTCGATTCTCAAGCACCGGCATGGAGGAAGTGGAAGTGCCCGGGGTTGGTTGCGGGCACCCAGGTACCATTACATGGCGAAACCAGAAGAACCTCGCTGGCGGCTAAGCTTTTGTGAAAACCAGTACGAGTTTGTAATGCTGTCTCGTGCGGCTGACGGTAGAAAATACCTATGAGACAGGCAGGTGCGAAAGGTCCGAGCCCAACAGTCGTAGTCGTCTTCATTTCAAGTCGGAAGGACCACTTGTACAGACTCCAATGTGCAGTGAAAGAGGTTTGGGAGGGTGAGCTTCTACTACTTCGAGGACTGGTACAATTTTGCTTCAGCCTCGTGAACGAGGTACGAATACAACCAATGCCCAGACTTCCGGGGATTTAGCCTCTGACGAATTGAGCATGCTTCTAAGCGTGAATGCTTGAATGAAGTACTTACAATCAGGATCCGCATCGATGCGTGTCGGCCTTTCGTGTTCGGGCTACAAGATCTGCTTGAACCGAGCCAACTTAGCAACTTAGCAGGTGTGATACAGAAAAGGGGCCAACACCAAGAAGATCAGCGAGTTTCAGCCCCTGAATGCTCCACTTCGTAGCCCTTGCATTCTCAACCCGACCATGAAACTGCTCCACAGAAAAGTCTTATTGCCAGCCTTGCTTGCTTAGTCGTTGAACCTTCCCCAGTAGAATCCCCAGGAGCATCGTATAATGAATTACATGTGGATTGGATGTGCCCAATCGACTCTCAACAACAACGGATACAAAGTGAATCTCCTGAACGTACCGACTACGTCGTACTCGTAAGTCAAGGCGCTCTCTCCTGTGGAGGTCAGTGGACCAAGTCAGACTTCACACTCGAGATCCTGGGAGATGTTAAGTAACACCGCCGAACACAAATTTACGATCTCAATCCCTTTCATCGTCACGTCTACGTTCTCTTTCCCCAGAATCTTTCACACCAGCAGTCCATTCCTTTTCAAGTTCGTGCAACCCCAACATTCCTTTCAGTTTTCTTCTCGAAACCACAGTCCTTATAAAAAGAACTCTCCACTTAAACTTCCCCAGCAAACATGCGTTTTTCATACCTCCTCACGGCATTGTCCCTGACCAGCACAGCCGTCTACGCACAAGACCTCAACTCGCTCCTCTCGGAAGCCTCCGAGTTCGTCGGCACCAACACCGAGTTGGCATCGGTGCTCTCGAGTGTTACTGAACTCATCAACAGCGCCACCTCCGCATTGACCGACGCCTCTGCATATTCATCAGTCCTCTCAGAAATCAGCTCGGGAGTCGACGCTGCCACGTCTGCTGCTGGAAGCATCGCCAGTGGTATCAGCACCGCTGCGACTGGTCTCACCGGCACAGCTTCCTCCGCCACTGCCACTGCCACGCCGGCCACGAACACCGGCAACGTCGGTGATCGCGTTGTGCTACCCGCAGCTGGAGCTTTCGGCGCTGCTATCTTGGGTCTCGCCGCCATGCTCTAGACGATGTCCACTGTCATGGCGTGGTGGTGAACTGATTGCTCAGTTCTTCTTCGGCAGAAGTTGCGGGTGTCGAACCATCTTGATTACATGTACGGATGTACAGCCGACGGCAGGTGCCGTAGGTCTGGTTAGAAGGTCATCCTAGACGACTATGGGAGGAAGATAAGCTTGTCGGATTCTCGTGGTCGACTTGATTGCAGTGCACAAGTTTGGCTAGCAAATGTCTCAAACAGCCAGCCAGACAGCCCTGGTCAAAGACGCAGATGATCCCTGCCACCTAAGACCTTGACGAGAAAGCATCACGAGATACTCCGGCGATTGAATAAGCCGATGGGCGGGTTCAAAGCCTCAGCATATCAAAGTCCCGTCTACGCGTTTTCACAGCGGATTTGTGAATAAAACAAACGACATATGTATATACTATTGGATGCCCGTACTCGATTCGAAGGGCAATATCCAAACAAACTTGAACCTCTTTCACTTTTCCTGCCTTGCTCGTGACAACCAAAAACCTCTTTTGCTGAATTGATGAAATCCACATACACATCTCGGCTAAGTGAGCAATACATCTTAGGAACCTTTATCAGCAATCGAACGTCGGACCGCGGCCACTCTCTCGTATAATTCAATCCAAGAACCCAGACGGTCTGTGATTTTCCCTGCTACTTCAACAGGTCACAGTGGAAACGTGACAAGGAGGCTGTCTTGTGTCAACACGTGACCCTATAATGAATTGTCCAGTATCCCGCGTGGACAATCTGTGTATATGAAAAATTTTCAAAGCAATCTAGCCAGCCATTCCAAGCTTTGGGCAAGGGCTTGAGGGAATCCAGGCGCGCTCGGTATGTAAGCTCAGCAAGACTTTCTCTTCCCTTTCATGCCTCTCAGCCTTCAAGAATGTGAAGCCTGTGGGGCCTGTTGCGCTGGAATGCGAGTGCGAGCACCCACCTGCATAGAAAGCAGCGGTGCAGTCAACAACAAACAACTCAGTGATGGATACGACCTCCTTCATTTACGGCGCGGCACGCCGGTGTCGAGGACGTTGATCTCTCGTTTCCTTTCTTTCTTTTTCCCGCACCACAAGTCACTCCTTTGAACTCTGTGTCCGTTTTTGTTTGACTCCTCCCATCATTCCCTCCCCCTTTCGAAAGTATTATAGCACCAATTCGAGGTCATTGATTTACAAAACCAACCACACTCGCTGTTAGCAACATCCACAATCATGCTGCCTTTGTCATTCCTCGCCATTGGCGTGTTGGCCTATGGTGTTTCGGCACAGACTGCTGCGTTCGAGAACACCACCTGGGGCGATGTCGTGAACGGCCAGATATGGCCAATTGCGTGGACAGAGGGTGACGGTCACCCTGTTTCGTTGTTCGTGGGTAATGACACCTGGCAGTGGACTGTTTTCGGTAGGTTGGATAAGATGTGTTCAAGTATATCCATTGCTAACATTAAAGCAGCAAACCATTCTGCCACTCCGGGATACTTTGAATGGACGGTCTCCGTTCCCGTTGCAGGACGATATCATCTAGGCTTGGTCCAAAGCAATCAATTGTCGGTTTCCCCGTCGTTTGTCGTCGGAATTCCAATCCCACCATCGCCATCCACCACTTGGACCACTTCACCAAGCTGGGAGACATTGCATCCCACAGCCAACGCAACTCTTATTTATGCAACGTCCACTTATTGGGATAATGGTTGTGGCTGCTCAAAGACCTCGATTTCCATTGTACCACAACCCACAGTCACTGCAACTTATGATGAGGCCTGTGGCTGCATGAAGCCTACTGCGGTTCCGGCACACCCCGTGGCTCCAGTATCAAACGGGACATTACCAGCACCGAACAACCCTGGGACTAACGTCCCATTATCACCACCTGCACCTGCGGCTCCAACTGGTTCCATGTACACTGGCAACGCAAATAAGTTGATAGGCTCGAGCTTTGGAGTGGTAGCGCTCGTAGCCGCTGCTCTTCTTGCATAATTCCCGCCACAAGGCCTTTTTCTGTTCATTCTTAATGGCTGGTTGGAACAGCGGGGCTGGTAAGACGTGTTGTGCGTGGATGTGGATGGAATCTTCGGAGGGGGTCGAGTCTTGGTTAGGACATAGTCCAAGTGGGAGGCGTAGAGGCCACACCTGTATCATCCAGGCAGGAATCTTTGATGGGTGAAAATTTGTATGCATTTCTGAACTATGATTCTAGGATAGCTCATAGATAATTTCTTCAAATCTGGGTATTGAAAGACATCTCTTCTAAATGGAACCATTGGGACAAATAATATTTTCATCGCTCGCCTTTTATTTTTGAGAAAGCACCGACCTCGGCACTGGACAACGAAAAGGGGCTTTTGGGGTCATCTGGTGATCTCGGGCTCAGGCCAACGGCAAAAAGATCATCATCATCTATAGGTTGGCTGGGGTTGTCTGAAAAGACGTCAAGCGAACTTGTCCGGGATTCTTGCTGTTTCCTGATATGGTCTGGTGGAGCCTGAGCTATAATTTTCTTGCCCGTGGTAGATTGTGAAATGGTTGAAGTTTGTCGAAATGCACCAAAAGCTGAGTTTGCGACGTCCGAAACCTCGGGTGACAAAGGATGGGCTTCGCGGACCGTCGTGTTCCCTCGAAACGCAAGATCCTTCTCACTGGTTCCAAGACTGAGACCCTTCAACTTCTCACTGAGCCGTCGACCACCAGGTGATCTGGGGCTTTGAATGCCGGGGCTGGTAGGACCGCCTGGAGATTTGGACACGTTGGACAGATCAAGGGCAAGAGGTTTGGAGGTCAAGCCAAAATTTGCCTCTATCCAAAGTTTCTCCGAGATGGCCATTTCCAGGGCAACTCCTTCGAGATTGAATTCCTCTTCGCGCTTGATCTCCTTCTCGAGTACAGACAGCCTCTTCTTGGCCCATATGGTGTGGAGGACCCCTTTCTTGCCGCTCGCCTTGGCAGTTGCGCCGAGTTCTGGGGTAAAGATGGCAGGAAGTGGATTGACGGTCATGGTCAATGGAGTTGACACGGATTGCGACGGCTCTGCGGAAGTGTGATAGGCAAGGGTGACATGAGGAGGCACGATGGCGGCGGGTGGTAGTAGAAAGTAGACTCGGCGAATGTTATCGGAGGGGGTGTCATCGGCAGGAAAAACAGTGCGCTTTCCCGTCCAGGAGACGTGCCACTTGCCAGTCTTGGAACGGGCCTGGTCGTCGTCTTTCCATTCGACCATCATCACCTTGGTACCCTCATTTCCTCTCCCGGGCTCGAATTCGAAGCGGGCAAGGGCAGTGACTGATTGCAGTGTGTCTGGGACCAGGGGAGATTTTGGAGTGACGGGAGTGGATGACTCGGACATGGCGCAGGTGAAGAACGGGGAAAGGGTAGTTGGTGTGAGTGAGAGAGCAGGTGGAAAGTAGAAGGTGGGATGAAATGAAGACTCGGGTCAACGAGGAGCAAGTGAAGGCGCGACGCAGCACGGGTAGATAGTAAGCGCGAAAAGAGCTGGTGAGGAATTGAACAGGCCGGCTGAATAAAACAAGACACGACAAGAGAATCAAGGAGGGTAGTGTAGTAAGCGACGCTATGGAGAAGTGTTTGGTGATGAGGAAAGGGAGTGGGAGTAGGTAAATTGTGTGTTTGCCTCTTCTGCCACTGGCAATGTACGTGAGGCGTGATGTGACATGGAGTACTCGGTACTAGTTCGTAGTAACGAATACAGTACACGTCCGAAGTTCTGCGGTACAGGAGATGATGAAGTGTGGCGGGTGGAGTTGCACAAAAGCCTTGTTCTCCATCTACCGGTACCACCAGTAACTGGCAAGGAGCTTCACGGTTGTTGTGTTCATCCACCGGAAATAGGATGCAAGATTTCCAGGACTATTCGTCGTTTGACTGATGGATACACGCCTCTAGCTATTAGACGTCCTTGAAACTTCCCTTTATGCTGGCCAAAGTCATTCTCACGTGCACAGCCATCTGACGCATTTAATGTTCAACCCCTCTCCGTGATACCACATGTCTGTCTAGCTAGGGTGCTTTGTCGCCAGTACGAGTTTTTGTGGATTATCATATATGTCGAGTACCTACTCACCTAGTAGGTGCTCATGTCTGGAGTTATATTACTCTACACTAAGAACATCAATCACAAGCACGACGCCTTGACAGTCTTAGGTCGTCAGCCATCACGCCCCAAATTGCTCGGCCGCGGCTGCAAGTCCAATCACAGCCTGGGCCTTCGTCAATATCATCAGACTTGAAGGGGAGGAAATGCACCAGATGTCTCGGGGGCTTCAACGGCCATTACAGGCACCCAAACGCCGAACTTGGATAACTCAGATCCGGCTGGATTCCTTACTTGACCGAGGAAGTGAAGCTCCTATTAATAATTCATTCGTCGTGCACTCCCTGCACGCAGTTCTGATCCCATCTTTGGGTAAAAATAGCGGGTATATATGTGAACCATCATCATCCATCATCAACAACACCCGAGTCCAATAGAAGACCCCAAAAGCAAGTGAAAGAAAACAATCCCAGCAGATATCTGGCCCTCCCAAACGCTTCAGTAAAGCCATCCTTCCTATGATTCCCATTTAGTGTGTCACTGGTGACCACCCATAGATCAACAATCCATATCCCTCCCATCAGCAAACAAAAAGTGACGTCCAGTGGTCCAATACCAGGATCACATCCATTAAAACTAGTAACTTTTCCGTCATTAACCAGTTGTTCCGTCATTCCATCAATCGTTCCAGGTAGACAACATCAACAAAAAAGATCACAAATGGGCATGGTGCACACCACTCCGCCCGGCTTCTTTTTCCTGGTCTACACTGTGTGTACAAACTCAACCGGCCACATCAGCATCAGGGCCCAACCCGACTTCTTTGCCCACACTGGCTGCAAGCCCCCCAAAGCCCTCTCTTTTCAATCGTTCCATGAGCATTCGACCTTTCTCTTTCTTTTTGATTCTGATCTGATTCTCAACATCGGCCAGCTCCTCAGCCAGCAGCTTTCGACTGTCAGCAAGATTGAGCGATATGAAATCATCTTCATATTTCCTCAAGCTCCGCAACCGTGTCTCCAGTTCGGCGATCGAAGCATCCAGCTCGGTTGGTGGTACTTTGTACTCCTGAAAGACTCCGAATTTACTCGGCGACGATAAAGCCGCGGGGACGCCATTAGAAGCTGGCTGCGGCACGAAGACACCGTTTGCACTCGTGTGGCCTAGCATTGGTGGGAGAATATTGTCTGATCCATGGTGCGTTGTGGGTGCAACGCGTCCTTTGTTCAATCCTACCGATGATAACGTGGCGATCGATGGGGAACTACTCACCCGCGAGGTCCTCTCATCTGTCGGACTGATCATAAAATCCGCTCCTTCGGCTAATGTCTTCAGACTTGGTAACAACGTCGGTAGACCACCACCATTGATACTAGCAAACGCAGTGTCTATCGTGAAATCCGAACCTTCTCTAGACATCATAAGGCGATGATGCGCAGAGAGATCTGGTTCGGGGGTTGGTAGCTCCATTTTCCTCGATGGGGTCGCAGGTCCAGCCTCAGCTGATGATGATATGGCCCGCTTTTTGCCAGTGATATGCGCCAGCGCCGGGAGGGAAGTTCCTTGAACTATAGCGATGGTACTCTCCTTGCGGCCACGGCGTTGGTCAAACACGTTGTCAGCGAATCCCATCACCTTACCCCTGGGATCGGCAGCCTTCACTCTTCTCTTGCTTGCAGGTTTCTCGCTCTTGACATACGCGGTTACAAAATGACAGCACCGACAATTACAGCTCTCCTGACATTTCGGGCACGTCCACAGCCCCTTGTGTCGTAGCACATCACTCGGGAATGCGTCAAAGTGTCGGAACAGACCTCGGTAACAGAAGAACGCTGTGCACTTGTCACAACGACGCCCTTTCCATTCTTGATGATCGATGCGGCACAAGTGACACAGTCGAGAAGTGGTAGATAATTTGGCGCGCATGAGATCATTCACTGCCGTGCCCAACGTCTTAGAGCGGTCTTGCATCCGAGGCTCTGCAGTCTGAAACCCTAGGATTTCTCGCGCCCTGTTCAGAACTCTAGTACATTGCTCCGCGGGGACCAGCTCAGCCCATGCGTATGACTGAGAATGTTCACAAGACCGCCCATTAAGATAACAAAGCAAGCAGAGGTCGAAATCGGCGCACTGCGTGCACCGTACGTGTCGATTCCAGATTGCCGTGCTGCAAAAATTGCACGTGGCAATGGTTCCAGGTTGAATGGGCACAAGAGTAATCGGCGTCAAGGGTTCAGACTCGATAGACTCATCGTGGACCATCTGACGGAATAAATTTGACAATAGTGGCAGATCTGGTGGCAGTGGGAGGGAGGCTCCAGAATGTTGGTCATCTTGAAGCAATGAGAGCATCGCACATGCCAGAGAGAGGTTTGTACGGGCGACGTCGGGATGGCAAAGTCGGTTGAAAGGAGCCTGCACGTATTTGAAGCCCACCTCCAGCGAAAGTGGATGAAGGATATTCCAAACCAACTTGGCCGAAAGGGTTGATGGGTTCCACACTTGATGAGCAGTGGCTGGTGGGAACACGACCAGATCGCCAGGTCGCTGGTCGTATACATACAACGGAAAGTCTGCAGTGAGGAGCTCTTCAGTTCCGACATTCAGCCAGTCCAGATGGGGCGACACTCCACGAGCGGTCATAAAGGAGTTGTATTTGTGTTGCGAGTCGAAGTCGGTACCGATACAGACCACTGGACGATCATCCGACTCAAGTAGAAGATTCAAAGCGACAGTACTAGAGAAGCATCGATGAAACCCAGAAGCAGAGCCTTCACTGCCCACATAAGCCATCATAACTTCGCTTCTTGCACACTGCGGCAACCACTGGAACAGATCGAGTCGGCCACCCCATTGCACCTCGGCTGGGAGGAGTTCGCGACAGAGTTCCAACCACTGCGGGGGACATTGCAGATCTCTGGCGTACAGGTTTTGGAACTCGGGAAAGGACTGCCTTGCGCTGTCGGCGAATTTGCGCAGAGTGAATGACAAGTCTCGCCCTGTGCTGCAGTTTCGAATGGGTATGTTCTTCTTGGTGCTCAACTCGATCAAGCTCTCAATGCCAAAGCCCGAGATCGAAGACCCAGTGCCGTCACCAGCACCATGCGAACCCGCTTTGCGCCAGATGTCAAGCTTGTCAAAATCGGCAATGACAAACGGCTGCCCGGTTTGAAGACGTTTGGTCAACCATTCAGAAAAAGGAAAGGGACTGCCGTCGTGATCTTTCTGGTCTTGAAGTGCGAGAATGCTGAATCTCGGAAACTCGACAAATGGTTTACCGAGCTGGAGCAGCTGTTTTGCCGAGCTATCAGGAGGTACAGTCAAGGAGGGGGTGGGAGGAATCATTGCAAGCACGAAGGCGAGGGAGGTATCATGGCGAGAGGAGGTCGATAGGTGATGTAGGGAGGTGGTGGAAATATTGTGAATAAGAATGAAAAGAGTTGGAAGGCTGTTGCAACTTGCAATCACGAGAGATGGAGAGTGGAACAACCCCTACGGACCATTCAGCCAAGGATGAGTCTGGGGTTCAGCCGGGCAGAGATGATGAGACGCAGGCCGCAGGTTGTAGGTGGCAGCCCTGGAGGACGGAGCGTGGGTGGGTGGTGACCGTGGCCTTTGGGCTGCCAGTGTGGGTGACAGTGACACTTAGCAGTGGTGGGATGCGCTTTCCACTGTAAGAGCCCCTCAACCTGAGGTTGCGTCTAAAGATGCCACGGGTGGCTGACCTTAAGATGAACCAAGCCTATAAGGTTGATGCTGCAGGGTCCGCAGTCAAGTTGGGCAGGCCATCCTGCACCATTATTGCGTCCCTGACTCCCTGGCTGCTCCTTTTCCAGCAATGAGTAGCCTAAAAGTGCTGAACTGAAGCTCGCATTAGGCATCGAGGATCTTTGGTTTCCGGCTCGCTCGGTTAAATTAGGCGCGAGGATTAGCCGGCAACAGACACTTCCGAGCGGCGGCAGAGCCGTCTGGCTCCCAACCTATGCGCACCTGAAGTTGCATTTCACGGATCACGAATACTATTTTGATACTCTCGAGTTGCCTCTTCTCTTGAGACTGACCGGCCGGCGAGAATCCAGAAAAAGGAAGTCCCAAAAGTGGCTTAGTGCTATATTTCTTTCAATCCTAGATGCATGATGTCGCAAGTGCAGATGGACTAGTATCACTGTGATACTTTCATTTCGCCTGTTGTCCTTCGGTTAACGGCACAACACTGCACTCCTTTAAACAACGTCCGCCCCGAGGACAAATATACGACTTAGCGATATCTATTTGTCTCTGATATCTACATGGCACACCAGGTGTTCGTATCTCATCGGCACAGTATCTTCAGGACGCCTCCGTAATCTCACTCGAATAACCTCCGTGCCCATTCCGTTGTAGTCCAAGACTCGATGGTTCCGTGGTCAATTTCTCACCAATCAGTGATCGTGCCCTTCATGCACACTGTACCGTCATTGCTGACGACCTGCACATCTGCCTCCTTCTTGCCCACGGCTTCATTTTCCATGACCACTCGATACGGCTCCCCTGCGTAGACAGGGCTGGTTGCTCGGTACACAATCGTTTGAGGAAACACTAGCTCACTTCGTCCCGTCGCGGTTCGGTCTTGACGCACTCTTTCGTCACGCCATAGATCTAGCATCGTTATCAGATTCATGGGTCCGTGGACCACCACGTTCCGATGACCCTCCACCGCCGTGGCCCACGGTTTATCGTAATGGATTCGGTGTGCATTGAACGTGAGGGCGGAGAACCGGAAGAGCGTCGCCTCGCTCCGGTTGTGTTCTCGAATGATCCTGCCCTTCGCTGCTTGGTCAAGTTCCGCAGTCGTCAACTCGCTAGGCTTTGGCACAAGCGAAGCAGATTTAGAAGAGTCGAGCGCGGGTCGGAATACCCAATTTCGTCGGTCAAGCACGCAAAGCTCATCTCTGCTGTTCCTGAATTCCTTCTCCACCCCGACCACCAGCATGCTCTCGCCGGTCTTCTTGATCACTTTAGGTTCGCAGCTCAAGACTTTGGTCACTTCGGTGACCACATCACCCACTCTCAACAATGCTGGTGAGGCAGATTTGGGGTCCGCACCAGGCCAGTGGCATGATCCTCCGGCCCACATCCGTCTCGTAAAAGGCGCATCTGGATTGAAAGAGGCGTCGGTTCCATCTAGGCCGAGAATTCCCGGTAACTGTGCAGGAGTGAAGTACGCGAGATGGTAAGCCGGTGGTATGGGGGTCCCTGCTGGCGGCTCGACTTCTTCCAGATTCTTGGAGGATAAGGTGGAATTCGACCATAGATGTCCCCGGTCCAGTGTCAAAGAAAACAGTCGCAATTGATTGGCGTCTAGCAGTTGTTTTCGAATAAATGTCTGGCCGTTGGAAAACTTGCTGAGAAAGGCATCTGCCACCACTCGAGGATCATTCACGGAGCAATTCTCTCTTGTTGAAGAAAATTTACGATGCCTCACAAGTACTCCTAATGTCCTAGAAGACCCCACCACAGCCTGTGAAGGCAAGCGGGTGATTGTGTTCATTGTTGTGGATTTGCCAACGGTAGACAGAGCGTTGTCCGACTTTGGTAACGTGAATCTTGATATTGTTGGGTGCAGCTCTGTGTTAGTTACGTGAGAGTGAGGCGCCGAATGACTTGAAGCATGTATATGTGTATGAATGTATATGTGGTAGAGCGCCGCTATCGAATGCTTCGTTTCGAGGCCATATGGCAAACACAAGGATGGAGGGAGCGGCTCTCGAGTTTCTTCACACTAACGATTAATCTCCAACCTCGGGTGCCTTCCCCGCACTGGAGCAACCTCCGAGATCGGAAATGCTTTGCTCATACCCGGCACTTCGAGAACACGCTTCCGAGATGAACCATACAACATTTGAATCATGTCGGACATCGCACGTCTTCATCGGAAAGGCTGCATAGTGAGGATGGGGGTAGGTGGGTGGTCTACCGAGAAGTCGTCAAACCCGAGCAGTCAACAACAAGGTTGGCCTCTAAATATTCATTTGGTCATAATATTAGGTGCATATTCACACGCCTAAGGAAATCCTCTCCTTTCCATTACCCATGTATGTACTCAAGTTGGCATGACACAAGTCAAAGTTCCAAATCTATCTGAATGGTAACGTTACTTTACCTTTTTTCAACAAGAAGTATATGCATGGCTCCATATGCAATAATGATGAATGATCCTGCAAAAACCGCCAGACCAATGACATCCCGCCATAACGCTAGGTTGTCAAACCCAAATGCACTTAAAATGCTGGCACCTGGCACCTCAATGTCGAGACCATATCGTCGGTCTTTCAATCGTAACTTTGCAACCTCGTTGACAATCAATCCTTCGTAGCCGTAGTGGAAGATCGATAACTACATTCAATATTAGCACAAGGAAGGACAACAAGATTGGTCTCCACTTACGAATTGCAACCAGTGAGTTGGTCCTGTCACAGTATCGTGATTGAGATTGAGTAGAAGACCGGCAAAAAGAAGGCTGAAGAGCATGACCAAGCTGCCAATGAGATTGGCGACCGCTCCGTCCTTGAAGACAATGCCAATAGTAAGGCAGATAGCCGCAGCAGCCAGGTTGAAGAGAACTAGAATCAAAATGAATGTCAGGAAGTTACTCCAGGCGGGCACAAGGCCTGACATCGGGTAGACAATGATTCCCATGATGATGGGAGGAATCAGGCGAAGCGGAATAATATCAAAAACGACTTTCGCCGCAAAGTATGTGATTGGACTGTAATACCCGTTGGCTCGTTCCCGGACAAAGATGGCTCGCTCCGATGAGAAGACATTCAAGCTCGTGAGAGTGCTGAATCCGAACAAGGCCAGCAGGAAAAAGAACAGGCCGAGTCGATTTTGGAAGCCCCCAATGTCATCGGAAACAGCATAGAATAGATATCCCGACAAAACGGCAAGTAAAATAGCAACGGCGTAGTGTGTCAGCATTAGTATGGGATTTCGGTACAAGTTCCGCCATGTGCGCTGGGACAAGATGAGAAACTGTCGCGGCCAGCTGACTCGGCGGAAGCCCTTGATGCTGCCAGTAACGGCCTCGAGTGAGCCTTCCTCCGGGCTGTGGCCATTGGCGGATGAGGCAGCTTGAATTGAGAGGGAGATCTCATCATGTATCGTCTGTGCGACATCCGAGTTGCGGAAGCTAGCCACCAGCGCATCCAGGTCGGTGCTCACATCGGGAGGCAAGTCATCCGGGTCCTCCAGTATCTGAGGAGGGTTTGGACCATCCCTTTTTGACATCTGAAGCCAGCTGCGCATACTTCCAGTTGCTCGGCTGATAACGGTATCTTCATCATCCGTCTTTGGGGTTGGTGGCGTATCGTTCCCAGTCTTCTTGCGAGTGAATAACTGGCGGTCTTGCTTTTGCTTGATTGAAATCCGACGTTTCTGCGTTGGCCGTATTGAAGGTTCCCTGGGACTTTCCACACTGACATTCGATGCACTTGCTATCGACTTGACAGCTCTTGTGCTACTCGATTCGGTCGCAAGACCATCCCTTTCGGAGAAGTCTCGTTGGACATCATCAAATAGGGGTGAACGTGGGAGACTTGCGTGCATGGTCAAATCCACCAGGTAATCGGCAATGTTGAAACCGGGAGGACAAGAATATCCTATGTGATCAAAATAGGGCTGACATGTCGAGAACGGACCAGAATAGACAGTTTTACCTTTGGCAAGAAGGACGAGTTGATCGAAGAGAGCAACAATGTTGGATCGAGGCTGATGAATGGTGAAGATCACCGTCCGATTGTACGTTTTCGCCAACGTTACTAGACATTCGACAACATTAAAGGCGTTGAAGGCGTCCAACCCACTCGTAGGCTCATCCAAGAAGAGAATGCTAGGGCTGGTCACGAGTTCGCAGGCAATACCGACTCTTCTCTTCTCACCACCAGAAACGCCTCTGCCGCTGCCCTCTTCTGATCCAATGAGCTGATCCTTGATGTGGAAGATACCGAGTTGTTGCATGACTTCGGTCACTCTTTGTTCTTTGACCGAAACACCCATATCTGCGGGTAATCTTAACAAAGCACTTGTGAGAATAGTTTCGTGGACAGTGAGAGTAGGCAGTAGAGAATCCTCTTGGTCGACATAGCCGATGACGTTTCGGTATTCGTTGTCCAGAATTTTCTCGCCATTTACAAACATTGTACCTGTGACCACGCCCCGTTTATTTTTTCGAGCAAGAATGTCGAGGAAGGTGGATTTCCCGGCACCTGAAGCACCCATAATCGCCATGATCTGACCTGGCTGTGCAACTCCTGAGATTCCTGTGAGGATTTGTTTACCCTTGAGGTCGTAAGACACGTTCTCAAATTGTAAAGCCATGGGTGTGTGATTGACCATAGACTTGGTGGGATCATCCTCAGAACCTTCTCCCAGGCGAATGGCACCCCACTTCTTGTATGCTGCTCTCCGAGAGAGGTACCAGGAAACGAGAATGATGGCGAGAATGAGCAAGGCGACACTGGAAGCGACAGCTGCGAGCACCGGGGTGTTTATCTCCTTGATTGGCGCAACATAACCGGGAACGTCCTCTTTGTACAAACACTCGCCCGACCGACATGTGAGAGAAATGTATTCGTCGCCAAAGATCATGGAGATCAAATTGTTCATCGCCGGCTCTTCAAACTTACTGCCATCTTTTGAGCTACCACCATAGGTATGCTGAGTGGAGAACGATGCGGGACCCTTGATCTCTTCGGCCAGAAACTCATCAATATTGACAGAGCCATCTTCGCCACATAGAAACCGATCTTCGATGCAGGAGCACTTTATATTCTCACAAGTATACTTTGTGGTGTTTCGTACTGTGGTATCTGTGGCGGACCATGAGCAAGTGTCCAATGCACAGTAGAAGGACTCCTTCTGGTCTACCCAGAACTGGAAATTGCAAGTCTCATCCTCGGTATTGCAAGAAAATGTGACCTGAGGAATTCGTGGGTGGATCTGATCGAGGATTGCTTTATTCGTGACATTGCACATCTGGTAATTCTCATGGACAGCCAATCCCTTGGTATAACAGACTCCACCTTTTCCAAAGACGGTCATGGCATCACATGCGTCATTTGAGGTACAGACGTTACAATTGACGCCCTCCCATCCATCTTTACACTCACACTGATCACCCTTCCGCGGGGACCTGTTCTTGCCGTCTGCGAGAGAGTCACACAGGGGCTCAGAGCAGTCATCTCCGCCGAAACCTGGAGGACAAACGCATTTGCCGTTGGCGTTGCTGCAGCTCGCAAATTGTTGGCACCGAAATTCGTCATAGTGGCAGTCGAAGCACCGGGGGCATGGTGGACATCCATCGTCAAGGCCATAGAACGGCGGTTGTATGAGGGCTGGGGAGGTATCATTGAGATAGCCAACTACCGATACTGCAGCGGCAGTAAGTAGAAGGATGGTCGTAGGGCCATGGAGGTGCATTGAGGAAATCGGGCGGCGGCCTTGCACGTGGCAATAGTCAGATCGATGTGGCTGGAGCCTGCTAACCGGAGCTTGTCCAGCAAGCTGTAGTGCACGGTTTGAGGAAGGAAAGGCTTGGTGGATAGGGACAAGCAAGAAACTTGAGTAGAGAGCGGGCGAGATCGAAGATAGAACGACTTGGGAGAAAGAGAACAGAATGAGTCTGATATCACACCATCTGCGGCTACGGGTGGAAGTGATTCAAGTCGTTGAAACTGGCCTGAATCGCAACAATCATTATTATTATTGAGACCACACCGGGAAGGGAAGGTGTGGCCGGGAGTGCAGGCACAAGCTGCAGGCGTACTCCGTACTCGTAGGTGCACCTCGGCGTTGCAGGTAAAGCCCCGAAGGGCCCCAAACACAAATGGGGGGGCAAGCTCAAAGGCCTAGCTCGAGCTGCTCGAAGCTGCCGAACTCGAAGTGGATAAAGCTCGACTCCCAGGGCCGCTGGGGACGAATAGCCTAGCGGCTTCGAAAGCTTCATGAAGACAGCATTCAATAGCCTAATAGACACCAGGACAACGAAATTCCTGCTGCGTAAAGCTTAGTGTACGACATCACGAGGCGACCCAGGGTGCACCAGCCACACCAGCATTCGTCCACTACAGCGACCATCAAAATTGTCAGCATGCTCTACTCCGGAGGAGCGGGGCCATATTTCCCCTCTCCCGAGGACGGCGAGGACTCGCAGGGAGGCAATAAGAACAAAGCAGCCCCAAGTTCGACCGATCAACGGCACTCGAAAGTTCTTCATGGCAATCAGTCATAACGCGGTCGGGTCTTGAGACGTGAAGATGGCAAGCAACTTGAACACTCTGGTTGACTCGGCTGAGGTGAGGAGTGCTCACATTCCGAGATATCAAGCTCTGGACGCACGAAAGTAACATTTTAATCACAGTGGTTGGAGCAGCATCGAAATTCCGTCAAGTACGATCTTGCGAGCGCGAGTCCGTCGCCTCTTTCGATAAACGACCTCCTCGGTATTTCAGAACATCGAGACAAATCTCAGCAGGTTTTAGCACTTCCGGATCTAACACTTGAGGATCACACCTCCCTTACGGGTGCAGATGAATTTCGAGACAACCTTGCAGCTTTGTACTCGGCCAAGTCTGTTGGAGTGACGCGCGAGGATATCATCATATCCAGCGGGGAATCAGCAGCAATCTACACAGTGCTGTCCTCATTACTAGCCAAAGGCGATCATGTCATTTGTCAACATCCCTCAAATGAGCTGCTGCACCAAATCCCTACAAATCTCGGTGTCGAAGTCTCTCTCTGGAAAGCTAAGCCAACGTCCAAATGGAAGCTCGATGTCGAGGAACTCGCGGGCCTCACTCGGGACTCGACAAAATTGATCATCATACAGAGTCCTTGCGATCCTACCGGTGCGATCGTACCTAGACCAGTTCTCGAGCAGCTCATTGATTTCGCTACCGAGAAAAATCTTACCATTCTGGCTGATGAGGTCTCCCGACCTTTATTTCATTCCATTCTGCCTTCTGACGAAGACTTCCCACCATCGACGGTCAATATGGGTTACAAAAAAGTGGCAGTCATCGGATCTGTCAGTCGGGCATACAGTCTGCCTGGTATCAAAGCTGCGTGGATTACATCGAGGCACAAGGAAATCATTGATGCCTGCCGCCGCAGCATACAGCTTACCTCAGGGCCTGTCTCGAGACTCGATGAAGCCGTCGCTGCAGAAGCAGTAAGCGACCGGTGCATTCATGGCTTGCTAGCCAGAAACATCAAGATCTGTCAGACAAACATGGAAGCTCTGCAAGCATTCATTGATGAACACAATTGGGCATGCTCCTGGGTTAAACCGGTAGCCGGGACAACAGGAATGATTAAATTTCACAAAATGGGGAAACCCATTGACAACGAGGCATTCTGCACTGCACTTCATTCCCAGCAGGGCATTCTAGTCGTGCCTGCGAATAAAAGTCTGGAAGACCGATCGGACTTGCGTGGACACGTAAGAGTTTCCTTTGCCGGACCAACAAAAGAGTTCAACACCGCCCTAGAAGCATGGAAAGTTTTCATGGAAGAGCACTATGAAACAATCCCAACAGTCTTGAATAAATCAAATGCAATTTAATCTAGACAATAGAGTTCATGATATCCATCTCCAAGTAGATTAGGATCAGAGATGCCTTCGTCGCGTTCGATAGTTTAACAAGATAGGTTGTGCCGAACGGAGATTTCATCGCCTCTAAGCCCATCCACCAACAGGGCCACTTAGGCTCCAAGGAGAGAGCTCTGTTGGCTTCGAGGTAGAGACGAGTCAAAATAAACACACTAGGCTTTCATCATCTGTCAATCATTAGCATAGCCCTGACTTTTCGTGGACAATTGAGGACTCACTTGTTCAAAACTTGGAGGGATGGAGAGAAGAAAAAGAGATCGACATGGAAGTTGTGCAAAGAAGATTTGTGAGCGCGCAGGCACCGCCAAGCCATGGGCCGGAACAACCTCGGTATAACTCCGAATCTCATGTCTGCTTTTCCGCATGATTTCTCTTTGGATTGAAGGATGGGTCAAAAGGGTTATCATCTACCTGGGTAATCTGGGTATGCTCTTCCAAACACGCTTATCCCGCGTCTCGATAGTTCGAGAGAGCTATATTGAGATCTCTAGGTATATTCACCGCCATGCACTACTAGCTGGTCCTTCGACTGCACGGCGCAGCTTCACGATCAATTATGCAAGAAGAGCAGAGGCTCAAAACCAGGACCCTATTGGACAGAAAGCTCGACCTGTTACCACCCTCAAATCTCCTCATCTGTCGGACGAACAATATGCGTCTTTGAAAGCATTCGAAAACAACAGTAAGCAACCGCACAAAATCGTCCTTAATGCGAGCCCAACTGATCCTTCCAGCCCTTACTTCCGCCCACATTGATTGGGCTACACTTGTGAGCGCAGACCCTGACAAACACAATGTTTACTCCCAGAACATCGAAGTCTGCGGATACATTACATCACAGCGTGCGGGACGACAGGTCAACTTTCTACAGCTGGTAGACCCTGCACTCAAGCTAGCCATCCAGGTGGTTGCGACTACACCAGCCTCTGAACCCAACGATGTCACGATCGCTGCCACGTCTGGGCAAGCGGAGATTGCTGAAGCCGAGGAATCTGTATCTTTCATGGATGCCATCAAGAACATCAAGGCGCATACCCCTGTAATTGTCAAGGGCAAGGCTAAGAAACGACATGTTCCTCCGAAGAGTATCGCGCCGAAGAACACTTTGGAAACACAGGCAGACAAAAATCAGTCTAAGGAAGCTGCAAAGCCGAAAGCAAGCCCGAAACAACCCCCGAATACAGTCAAGGCATTTGATCCATTCGTTGGGGATGTCAACCTCATTTCCCACATCGAGATTCAGGAAGTTGTGTCTATCCGGCCGCTGAATCAGTTTCCGCGAGATCTTATTGCCACAACAGAGACTGTGTTTCCACCTGAACAGCGGCACCTACAGTTTCGAACCGATCAAGGGCTTCGTCACCGTCTACAACGCCGTACACAAGTTGCCAATCTTTGCCGACAGCATCTTACAAGTGTTTCGTTCCAGGAGGTTGAGACTCCTCTCTTGTTCAAGTCTACTCCCGAAGGAGCGAGAGAATTCATAGTGCCCACACGAAAAGCCGGGTTTGCGTATGCACTACCGCAAAGTCCTCAACAATACAAGCAGGTGTTGATGGCATCGGGCTTATCACGCTACTTCCAATTTGCCAAATGCTTTCGCGATGAAGATCTGAGGGCCGATAGACAACCCGAATTTACCCAGGTTGGTGAAATCCCAGTGAATTTGTGGTTGAATCTGTTCTCACCTCTTGCAGCTTGATCTCGAAATGTCATTTGCAACTAGAGTAGAAGTCATGAGCCATGTTCAACGAATGTTGAAACATGTGTGGCAAAATCTTGGGTTGAGTTACTCTTTCGTCCGGAGGCCGTTGGCCTATTCACAAGCAATGTCTACTTATGGCTCCGATAAGCCGGATATTCGGTTCGATTCCCATATCCGCCGGGTTACTGACTGGTTTGCACCTCCCGTCGTCGCCAGACTATCGTCTCTCGATAATCCTGATGTTCAGATGATGAAAATTGATATGCAAGGCACCAGTCCCGACAAAAGCAGTTCTTTTGTCCGAAGCTTTATGGATAGCCCCACTTCTTCCGCGTATATAAACAACCCAGCTGGCATGCCGGGTATCGCGATCTATGACCCCAGCAAACCATTACGAGGCCTAGCCAGCTTTGAGCACGAAGGAGCTGCGAAAATTGAGGAGGCATTCAAACCTGAGCTTGGTGACATTCTTATTGCTCAGACTCGCCGCCGTGGCCGCTATTCCGGTGGATCGACTGTCCTTGGAAACATCCGTCGCGATATACATGCAGCTGCTATCAAAGAAGGTCTCGTCAAAGTGCAGGACCGACTCGCAGCTCTTTGGGTAGTGGATTTTCCCCTGTTTTCACCTCTTGAGGAAGCTGAGCCAGGTCAAGGCGGTATGGCAGGGTTTTGTTCCACTCATCATCCATTTACCGCCCCAAAGCAAGGGCAGGACCTCTCAAAGCTCATCACTAGTCCACTTTCTGTCATTGGAGACCACTACGATTTGGTCGTCAATGGCGTGGAGGTGGGTGGTGGATCCCGCCGAATTCATACTGCCGATATGCAAGAACTGGTTTTCCGGGATGTGCTGCAGATGAAACAGGAGCGCATTGAGCACTTTAGGCATCTCCTCACTGCCCTCGATAGTGGATGCCCTCCACATGCCGGATTTGCTCTCGGCTTCGATCGGCTTATAGCCCTAATGACAGGTCGGCATAGCGTTCGAGATGTGATTGCGTTCCCAAAATCAGCTGATGGCGAAGATAAATTTGTAGGTTCGCCATCACCACTGACACATGAACAACTGGCGACTTATCATCTCAAAAGACTTGAGACTGTGTCGAGGGACCTCAAAAGCGCCGAGACAAACGGAGAGGCTTCTTCCATGCCCATCTCCATTACAGCTTAATTTCCCAACTGTGTAGACAGGCCTATGTATTACTACTTCACTCTAGATACCCTGTTGTAAAACAAATCGATCGCCGAATTGCAAGCCTTGTGACATTAAAATAACATGCGATTTGTCGCCGGATAGACGGTCTGAATAGACACGGGAGTCCAAGGGTCGGCTAGAACTTGTTCTTAGGTGATGGCCGAGGCTGTACCTCCTGAGTGTATCACGTGCCACGGAAATTGCCAGCCTGGCCTTGACAAATTGCGGGGGTGAAATGCTGCTCCTTGTAAACAATAAAACGTAGCAGTCGACCTAAACACAACAATATTTGACGACAAGAGACTTTGTCACTGGATCTGCATTCCAAACAATCTTGCCAGAGTCTGCCTCAAAGATGGACCAAGTTCAACAGCTGGTGTTGGATCCGCTCAAGCCTTACCTGTTGCCCATCACCACGAACCTGCCGGGGGCCCTCAACGACTTCATCATCAACCTCATCGGCGCTCCCTGCCACAGTGGTCTTCTCCTTGATCTCGATTTCGCACCCCATCCCGAATGCGTGTCTCTTGCCATCTCCAAAGCTCTTGGTATCGGGATCATCACCGCGGCGTCCGTGGTCAAGGTGCCTCAGATCATCAAGCTGGTCAAGTCACAATCCGCTGAGGGCCTCTCGTTCAGCAGCTATCTCCTCGAAACCGCCAGCTTCGTCATTTCCCTAGCCTATAACATCCGCAATGGTAACCCATTCAGCACCTACGGCGAGACCAGTCTGATTGCCATCCAAGATGTGCTCATCAGTGTGCTCATCCTCGTCTACTCCAATCGAACTGCACAGGCGGGTGCCTTCCTTGCTGCCGTCGGCAGCGCAGTCTACGCCCTCATTGTCTCCGACACGCTCGTCACTGGCGCCCAGATGACCAGTCTCCAAGCAGGCTCGGGCGTTCTCAGCATCGCAAGCAAGCTGCCCCAGATTTTGACTGTCTACAGCCAGGGTGGCACAGGTCAGCTGTCCGCCTTCGCCGTCTTCAACTACCTGTTTGGCAGTTTGACACGAATCTATACAACCCTGCAAGAGGTGGATGACAAGCTTATACTGTACGGCTTCGTCGCGGGCTTCTTCCTAAACGCTGTTCTCGCCTTGCAGATGGTGTACTACTGGAATAGTCCTACAACCGCTGGGCATGGAAAGGAGATTGCTGGAGCTTGGAAGAAGGGCCCCCAAGGTGTTGCACAGAAAGCCCCAGCCGCCTTGGCAACTGAGGAAAACATCAAGAAGGCACCTGGAACCCCAGCTACCACCACCGCGAGACCAAATAGCAGCAGTGGACGGAGAAGAGGTTAAATATGATCTCTTTCAACACGTACAGATCCCAATCCTAAAACCTAATATTCCACACCTATGCAGGGTTTGCTCCTTCGTGACGATTTGCATTCAAAGCGCTTGTACCTCACTACTCGAACGATCTCATTGTGAGAGCCTCGTCGACCTAGAGCTAGTAATAAATATAGGCATTGGAATGATCGTAACGTCGCTGCGTGTATCCTTTTCAACTTGATAAGACGAAAGATACATGCTAACCGCCTCGCCTGCTGGGCGTTCCTAAAGGCTGCCGCTGTGACTTCAGCTCTCGCCACCGGTTACATTCAGCATTCTGGATCGCGCACCGAGGGCAGGCAAGCACTGTCCGGTCTTCACGTATCAGAGCTCGCGTCGTCCTATCTTCGCAATGGTATCCGGTTAAACACCACCTCTCGATCCAGTACCGTAACCACCCGTCTTCTCGGCGCTGTCGCCAGAGCGCAGCAATCCTCCCTGACATTTCCCTGCTCTGCTTCTCACTCGCCATTCTCCAGTAGCCCTGAGCCGTTGAGCAGAACCTACCGCAATCGGGGCAGTACTGAAGGTCAACGGGTATCCAGCCCCGACCGAGCTGATTTTGGAAGAAATGTTGAAGAGCCCTCGAGTCAGGAGGTTGATTGAGCAGATATTCAAGATGTTCTTGCGTCAGAGCCACCTGAGAGAGTCTTCTACTGCATAAGGCTAGCGCACAGCGATCTAGGATGTCGAGACCATCAAAGATGTTGTTGAGAATCTCGATTGGCAAATGCAATATTACGGCATCTGGATTGTTGGTTGGCGGCGAATGCTTCAAAAGGTTGTCGTGAATCTATTCCTGCTTTAACATCCACTTCAACTGTGAAATCTTGTGACAACTTACCCATGGCGGAAACCGCATGAAAGCACGAATCATTCTGTCAGAGTGAATATTGAATCCTGTTGGCTTCTGCGAAAGTAGAGACATTAAAAATTCCCAACGACGGAAGAGAGGAGATGTCTGTGTTGTCGAGTAAAATCAACCCTGAGTACCAACAGAAGTGAAGCTTAAGCCAAGAAGTCTGGTAAAAGGTGGTATATATGGGGACTCAGCCATCTAGACAGAATGGAGAGTATCTGACACCAACCTTTTTCACACCTGCTGCTGCTTGCCTGCACCTTTTGAGGTGGGAACTTCTAGTCTACTATCAGCAAGTTCGAGATACCATCCCGGATTCACGCCAGGTCGACGTATGCGATCAAAACGAGAGTCGGTGCTTCTTCGTACTTTAGCTTGCCGCAAGGTAAGCCGCACTTTACTTCGTAGAATGTAATGCGCATCTGGTTGGTGCTGACGAGCCGAGACCTTCGAAGAGATGGGGTCCGACTGGGTTGGGCTTGTTTCACAATCCAGTGGTTCGTGACAAGATCCCACCTAGTTGAGTAGTTTGAGAAGTTCCCCGGATAGCCCTGTAGATCCTTCCAACACTAGACCTTAGCTGCAGCTCGGCTTTGTGGAATGTTGGATTAAGTGCGCGTTACCCTGAATGAACATCCGTAGCCAGCACCTTGTACTTCTTAGGTCTCACTTGGGTACTATTAGCAAGCATGGCAGGCATTCTTGTGTCCTTGGAGGTTGAGTGCATGAAAAGAAGGGCTCGCGTCCCATACGATGGATTCGACTAAATATCGTCCATCCGGTCCCCCACTAGCTCCAGATTAGCGAGAAACCACTAACAAACAAGCGGATGTGAGAGGCTTGGGAGCAACCATCATCTACAAGTGAAACCAGATGTACCAAGTACTTGCTCTTTAAATTTGAGCCCAGGTCGAAAGAAGATCGCTTGCTCGGTACTGCACTGATTATACGACATGTCGTGCTTGTCTCAAAAATACAAACGAACTACGGAGGGGTTGAGAGTCGAGACTCGCGGAAGCCAGGGTTCAAAAGCCACCTCCGCGGTGTCTGCTAGGCTAGCCGCTCACCTTAGAAAACGATCGCGCAAGTTCATGAGGTACGAGTAGTGGACTCGGAATCCATCGTTGGTCCCTCGGAATGCCTGATTCCCGAGTAGCGAACCACTTGCAGCTTCTTCATTCTCATTTGTGGGTATGGAGGAATTAAAGCCCCTAAGTGTAAGGATCAGTCCTAGCCAGGAGCCACAAAGCTGAGCAACGAAAGTCTTGAATCTAGCTAGTACGGTCGGTTCTTCAAGATGAACGGCTAGGTAGGAACCGTTAGATAGGTGGTGGACTTCCTTGCTTTAGGATTGAAAGAGGATTCAATCTCAAGATTTTAAGGCATCCCGGAGGAGCGGCACAAACCTTGGAAGTCTTTGCTAAATTTTCGTCACAGGTACCTAGCTAGTAGATTTCTCGACCTGACTGATGAGAGGCACTGACGAGTAACTCCCTCAAGGGTGGTTGGTAGTTCCTGAATGCATGAGTGGCTCGCACACTGACGTACTACTGCTTGATCTCCCAGCGAGGGCATGGGACGTACTTGACTTAGAGGCAAAGAAGCCACGGAAAAGCAAGATCATATTGCTACTTGATCTTGCAGGGTCTGTAAGACCAGGGCAGTGAAATGTACCCCTGTGCCGGAAAAAATATAGGTTTCAGGCACGAGTAAATGTGTATACTGATACGACTATGATGCCGAGAGCACAAGACGCGGATCGTCTATTGTCTCCATGGCCAGCGTGGCCGTAGCATATCGCCGACTCTATGATATGCATCGGACAGTCATAAGTTTCAATTCCCTTGGAATCGCCAAGGGGTCAAATCTAAGTTGTAACATTTTCATTTATGGAGACGTGCTCCTCTTTAGGGTTGGTAAGGGGATATTTGAACCCGAACAACTCATTCTAACCTCTCACCCCGTCTCCATCATGAGTAGCGACTGCCGTGTTCCATTTTTTATGGTATGGTAAATTGATTTGTGGTTTGATATGCTGGCAAACAAAAGGTAGGAAATCAAAATCAAGCCGCTAAAATGCTACTGAAGTCCATGTAGACACTCGAGTGGGAGTCAAGGTGTCCTCTCTTTCCTTATAGTCAAAACCCATTTCTAAACCTTATATTCCAACAATAACAATTTTTGTCGCGCTTCGTTCCGCCCGAGATCTCCATTCGTCTGATAATCAGCTGATTATGCATAGTTTTTATCCGCTGAAATTGGTACAGTAGTTGTACACAGTGAAGAAATCCTCAGGTTCGATCCTCACCAAACATTAGATGAATGTCACCAACAGTCAACGTACTGCCAGCTGAAAACTTCCAGGCGCAATGCAAAATAAGTCCGAGGAGGGAAATGAAACAAAGCACCGGACCGACCGGGCCGATCTACAAGCCAACGTTCAATAGGTTTCGTTCCATTGTTTCGCAGACGAGGTGTATTGGTGGGGGAACTGTGACTCCACTGCATTAGGTGTTGGCGTAGGAGGCACATACTGGTTTGGGGCATTGAAGGTTTTCTGGGTCGCGCCGAACATTTCATTTTCCGGGGTAATAGGAGGTGTGTAAAGACCATGTTGGATTATGGAGGGAAACTGGGTCTTTTGCGGCGTGGCAAAATTGTGGAAGTACTCTCCACTCACTTGCTTGACGTGGGACACAAGTGGTGTAAGCTCATGAGTGGGAGTGACTGGAGTGCGAGCAGCAGCAGCAGCAGCAGACAGGGCCGCTTTCTGTGCAAAAAAGGAGCTCAGAATTTTCGTGACGTTCGAGTACCGAGCAGAAGCATATTTCCGAGACAAAATACTTGACGGTTGACTGACTTTTTGCAATAACTCATTGACGGTAGTACTGCAGAATTGGGAGCCAAATTCAGAAGCCCGAGCTTGTGGGCGTCCAAGTACATGACGTGCGAGAACGAGGGCCGAGAGTGCGAGAGTAGACGATCTCTTGGAGACAAACTCTCTATGGTAAAGAGCAATTTCCAAGATGTAGAGAGTCAGGTTTTCGGTTTCAGGATCGTAGACGTTGTCCTTAACAACGAGACGCATGAATGAATCCACAGTGGGATGACCAATTGCCCAACCGAGAGTAGACAGAACATGGGACTGCATCTGAAGGAGCATATCCTCGTCGTAAAGCGCACAACACATAGCTTTAAGCTCCTTGATGGTGGGGACCTTTTCCTTATTATCGCCGTACTTGGCAGCAATTAACAGAGCAGCACATCCGACCAGCTGGTAGTGGCGTTTATAAACAACTCTCTTGGAGCAGTATCGATCGAGAAGGTTAATGGTAAGGAACAAGGTCTCAGGCAAGAGCTGGAACGCAGAGTGAGCCTCGACAAGAAAATCCAGTAGATACGGTCTCATGAACCATTGAATCTCAGTTTGGATATCGATCGAGTCGACATCTGGCATGGTCTCGAGCTTTAAAAATATGTCAATATATGCAGCACTATAATCTGCTGCTAGGGGTCTGTACTCACATCCATCTTCAACATATGCTCCAAAATATCATCCTGGTACTCTTCGGCATCAAGTCGGGAGAGTTCAGAAGCCATGAGGTGCTGTCGACGACGGGCAACTTCCTTTGCATGATCAGAGTTCTTGAGTACGGGTCGTTGAGGGTCGTCAAAGACCTCAACATTGCCTCCGCTCTCATAGCCACTGTCATTGGACCCAAACGACGAGATTCTGTTGAAAGCCATGGTGAATGGTGGTTGAAGTACAGTAAGAGAGGCAGCGTATTGCAAGTGTTAACCAACGACGAAGTTAAGTGAGTGACAGTCGTAATGAATTCTTTGAAAAGAGTGGAATGATTGCCGTAACAGCAAAATTGAAAGTGGCAGAACAAGGATTTGGTGAGGTCTTCAAACTAGAAATCTAGGGCCGTGCGGAAAAGATTAGCGCCAATAAAGATAGAGGAAGTGCAGCGACACTTACCAAAGGAGAGTAGAAGGCACAATGATTGCACGATCCTTGTTACTAGGAACTCAGCATTGGAGTCAAGGATCGGAATTTGCACGAGATTGAAGTGCACGTGCGTTTGGTGTGAGCGAAGGTGAGTTAACGCCTTCACTGAATGTGAGCTTGGGGACTCCTGCAGGAATTCGCTTCTAAAAAGGATTAGGCTCTTCGTGTTCGCAGTAGGAATTGAATAGCTGAGCACTGACCTGATGTATTCAGAAGTGATCAGGTATTATAGAGCTCTTTGACCTTGAGTTGGTGGAACGTGGTATCTGGATGCAAGATTGTCTGTTAGCATGCAATTGGCAAATTATATTTGTCATTGAGATGTTCCATCGGCAAGCAAGCGAGTATGCTTTCTGAGTGAAAACTCCAGGGCTAGCCGAGCCCAGGTTATCAAGCTCGATGTGAGAGATCCGGGACCTCCCCAGGAAATCGGCATGGAGTGAAATCCCTGGAGAGCTCAGACGTTGGACAGGCTGTATGGCCCCTACCACCCTTCACTCGGTATGTGTGGACAATTCGGTTCCAATATCGAACGCAGACGGCCAATCCTTCCACAAACCTCCTCTTCAGACCAATATTGCTATCTGCAATTGTCGACTCCAGTTCGATTCGTCCTTGTGGGGTTGGATCGATGTGAAATGAGCGGGCAGCCAGGACGACCAGGAGCTGGCCGGCCAGTGATGGAATCAAAAAGTCGTATGGTATTGTACTTGGGGCATGCCCCCGAACAGTTCGGATATTGATGCCAAAGGTGTGTTGCGAGATGAATTTGATTCAAGCAAGTGTGCTGATGCAATGCCTCACCTTTTACGATTTGCTCCCAATTATCAACTCGATCACTCCCAGTCGACCCAAGCCCGTTTACCAGAACGGTCTCTGCAAAACGAATGCAGGGTGGGGAGTGTTGAGTCGTAGGACAAGACTCAGGGGAGGTAGCTGGGTCGTGAGTCGTGAGAGGCAGTCGAGGACATGCAAGATAGATATGTATCTCGAGTCCACGACAGAGAGTAGGGCGGGGATGAGGAGGAGTAAGGTGTATGAGAGGATGGCGGAAGGGAAAAGGAAAGCAACGAGAAATGGCAGAATGGTGAAAGAAAGTGAGTTGGGAGGAAGTTGGTAGGTGGAGTGAAATGAAGGTAAGAAGACGACAAAGAGTTTGGCAATGATTGGAGCTGAGGCCCGTCCGACGCTTGCAAGGATATGAGGCACGACGACTTGCAGCAACTAGCACCTCAGCTGGCTGGGCTACGGATACTTGTCTTGGAGATGGACTATGATGCAGTCAAGGTGTCGAGACGAACTCAGTACCGCCAGAGCCTATAGGTGGCCGAGGGGTCCTCCCGCACTGTGGCAGACAGTCGGCGCAGATTAGGTACAGTGTTGCCCCCTATAACCACCCAGTACTGCCCAAAGCCACCTAAACAGCATCCCCTACTGTCCTTGGAAACCAGCCTGTCTTCGCCCGCCTATCTCTGCCTGTCACATGGTTTCCCCAGATATAATCTTACCTCCCGCCTCCTTAAAGTTAAGTACTTACCCTGGTAGGGAGAGATAAATTTCGATGCACTTTCCCTTTTACCTACCTACCGAGTAGGTACGATTGAGAGATGATACACACATTCGACGACCAAGGAATTGAAGTCTGTTTGTTGTGCACCTTTGATGATGGCTTTTCTTCTTTCAACACTGGGCTCGATTATCAGGTGCTTGTAACAATACCCGTTTTTGTCACAATCTGTCAATGTTTCGCCTAGCTGCTGTACAGCACATCAGCAGTGGCCCTGCGGTCGCGCGGTTGAGTTTGAATCAAAACGCGTAAAAGTCGCGTTTATTGGAGACACCAGGTGGACAGTCCCTGTTTTTTTAGCTGCCTAATGCAAGCCCCAAGCCGTGCCAAACGCTCGGGGCCAAACTTGACCGGCAAAGTTCCAGCTCTTCTGGACGAATCCGAAGGGTAGAAGAGAAAGTGGTTTGCAACCCCTGTTAGTTGACGTGTGGCACCCTTTTAGGGGAAGTACGAGTACTTGGATTTGACGTAGTACGATCGAAAGTGGCTTTCGCGTCATCGCCATCTAGAGTACGATGTGCGCTGTCTCATTTTACCATAATTTAAAGAATGGCGTGGAGCGAGTATACTCTTCGATGCATATCAAACGTATTACCTTAGTTGAGATTTGCAACCATTTAAATCCACCCTGTGCAACGGTGGGACGCAGAAAAATTCTTCATGCTTGCTATATGAGATCCACCGCATGTCATGAACGTTTTCTCCTCCGCTCCGTTCTCGTCGAATGCTATACTCAAGATATTGCGGAGTATATTTGAAAAACAGGTGGGATCCCTATGTTCACGTCGTTAAGTTTGCGCTAAGTTTGATGATGCGATGATGCTCAGTGTTTTCTGTGGAAATATGCGAATGATATTTAGATTGTGATCATACAGAACTACGAATGTTGAGAACCAGGATACAGTGCCTAAATACCTAGATACTACTCATAGATAGAAGATTGAAGAGTCAAGTGTTACCTCAAGATGTCAGTGAAAATGGAGAACCTCTTGCTCGTAAATGGTAAGTTCCGTGACACCTCCAATGCTGCCAGCTGTGACATCTTAACGAAGCGCAAGCTGAGATGGCAGGCCCGCCTGAGATCCATGTCCCAAGGTTTCGTGGGTTTCTAGGTAACTATCAACGTCAATGAGTACACCCATTTTCTGCGCCAGCAAGGTACTTGAAACCAGACACCCTCACAAGCGGCCCCTACGGATAAGCTGGCAGCTGTCTCGTAAAATTCATCGGTATTAGTTTATCTCAATCCATCCGTCAGCACCGTGAATCGAGAGCATTTACTACTACTACCCTTCACTTCTCGACTCGAGAGTGTGGTATTTCGGAAATATTGTCAGCTTCTGAAGCTCACCAGAAGATGCAGAAAACATCGTTGCTATGCTCGTCTCCCAACGATGAGTAGGAGATTGCCTTTCCCCTACATACGAGGCTCTTGATATTGATACCTGGCTGCAAAAAAGGTCGTTACATCCGCGGAGTCGTTCCCTTGTCATGAAGGCTACTTCTCCTTTCCACTGCGCAATCAGCTCTTCTTGGCCTTTACCTGATTCCTGCGTTTGCGGCGGCAGGTTCGACTTGGAGCCTGTTGCAAAGACATTTCCAAGCTCGATTAGTACGCGGTAGGGGTATATCACTAAGATAATAAGATCTTTCTTTGACTTAGATACCTAGGACTATTTCGTATCAGTGGCGCCGTCACTACGTAAGATTAAGTTTAGTATGTCCTAGTTTCCTCCCTGACACTACTGCGTACTCGATCTTAATTTATCACGACCTGTCAAATCATTATTGCTCGACTCAGGCATACGCAACTGGGAGATTCTTTATCATCGTGGTAACACTACTCTGGAGAGATTTTCATTGTGATTTCTTCGCTAGTCATCACCATTATTCAAGACTATCTCAGTTGGTTCTAGGTACATGTTTATTGGTTCGACATCTACTTCGTCGCCTAGCTTCCTTCCTAAGGACGTAAAGTTCCTGTAAGCCGCCTTTTTGGGAGGTATGTTGATGATTATGGGTAATTCAGAAGAATTACTGACAATTGGATACGCAAGATGATAAGAAGAAAGAATGGGATGATGAAGTGAGTGTGGGTGAGAAAACAGGAATAAACAGTTCGGAACACCTTACTTGTCACTGGTGTACACTATTGAAAACAAAGACCGAAGTGACGTTGGGAATGGAGTTTGAGAATTGAGCAAATCGAAAGTCCTGTACTGACTTGAGACTTGTTCAGAACATTATAAAGCGAAGCCCCAGATAGCCGGGAGACCACGAACGAAGCAACCTGATCTCTCAATCTCACACTAGGAGAAATTCGCTCTCGACCTTCAATGTGAGGTCGTGAGTGTCAATAATAATTCAAAGGTAAACAAGATTCTGAGAAGATTCGAGTTTGAAAGAGAAGAGGAAAATGAAAGAATAGCGAAATTTCGTTCAACCGTGCAAGGTCGTCAACAAGATATTGCTATCTACGTGGATACAGCTTAGGGGAGAGTAGATCTGGCTGTATATGTTTCAACGGAGATAGACTTGTTCGTGTTTTCGACGACGTTCCTCCCACGCAAATGCAGTACTATGGATATCAGAAACCGGAAAAGATCCATGGTCTTAGATGGCTTCACATCTAAAAAGCAAACACGGCAACTGCCACAATTCCAGCAGCAGTTAATGCGAAGCTATTAAGCTGGGCACGATTTGCAGCGCCGGTGTATGTAGCAACTGCTGGCTTCACGCCCGTTCCCGTGTAGGATTGTACGGGTGCAACGGCTGTGGATTGTGGTGCCACAGGAGCCACTGTGTAAGTTGTCTGGACGGTTACCGTTGGGGTGGGAGCTGGCCAGCTTCCTTGATGGCCTGCTGAAGAGGTCGATGTGGGTGCCGCAGGGCTGCTGCTGCTGCTACTGCTACTGCTACTGCTGCTGCTACTGCTGCTGCTGCTTGAGGCAACCCAATCGCTCCAGGTATATGCAGAGCTTGCGCTGGTACTTGTAGCAGGGGAGACCGGCTTGGTGGTGGTCTTGCTGCTGCTTGTGGCATGTTCCCATTCATTCCAGCTGGGATCAACGCTGGTAGTCTTGACTGCAGCCTTGGTAGTGCTGGTTGTGGAAGAAGTCCAATCCAGCCACGGATCAATGGTGGTCGAAGTGCTCTTCACAGGGCTAACAGATTTGCTTGAGCTGGTCGAGGAGGTCCAGTCCTCCCACGGAGCAACGCTGGTTGTGGCCGGACTAACGGGTTTTGTAGTTGTGGACGAGCTAGTCCAGTCGAGCCATGGTTGATCGATCGAGGTGGTGCCTGCAGGAGAGCCAGTCTTGGTGGTGGTTGAAACAGAGCTGGTGCTGCTGCTTGGGTGTCCACCGAAGGAGTGGGTCCAAGAAGACGAGACCAAGGAAGTTGCTGCAGTGGAAGAATCGGAGGACGAAGCTGAAGAGACCGAGGATGAGGTTCCAGGGAAGCCAGGGTGTGAATATGAGGAGGTTGTTGACGATGGCTGAGCAGGACTCGATGTGGTAATGACGGGAGGAAGAGTTGCGCTCGTATGAACTGCAGAAGTGGTGCTTGTAGTGGGAATAGCAACAACGGAGGAAGTCGTGGTTGTCGTAGGGCTCACATAAGCGGAGGTTGTTGTTGTTGTGGCTCCTGTGGTGGTGGTACTTGTTGTAGTTGTGGTGGTAGTTGTAGTAGTAGTTGTAGTAGTTGTAGTGGTGGTAATTTGAGGCTTCTCCTTGGTCTGGTAAACTCTGACATAGGAGATATCCCAGTAGGTCTCAGAGAACTCGGATGGATTGCTTCCCACAAAGACAGAGCATTTCTGTTGACCCGTGATAGCAGAACACCCATTGTTCCATGTGGCATCACCAAAATCACCTATTGATTGTAAGAAGGAAGGACTCGATACCCAAACATACCTACTTACCGCAGAATGTGTTGTCGAAGATGATTCTGTTGTTCTTGAAGTTGGCATCAACGTTGGCATTTGGGCCATTGAAAATTGACGATGGGATTCCCCACGTGTCAGGTTCAGGTTTTCCGGAAGAAATGTCGGAGGGAATCTCTGATCTTGGGAAAAACCAGATCTTGATGGCATCCGATTCCCACTGCATAGCGTACACTCCACCACCAATAGCATTGAAATCCGGTCCGTAACTGGCAGAGCGTTGATCGAAAGAGGCGCAACCAGCACCATTTGAGTTGGCCTGCCCTTCATAGTATTGACAGTCGTTGCCGTTTGGTTTACCACTTTGCTCGGACGGGCTTTGGTTGACGGTGAATTTTTTGGCAGTGTGGAGCGCAGAGAGGCATAACCCCTGATTATTTGCTCCCTCGAAGATGTCAATTTCACCATTGTCCGGCCAGTCACCATCGCCTAATGTCCAAAATGCTGGCCAGGTTCCACAGCCTTCAGTTGTTGAGGTGGTTGGCGCATGCTTGATGTCGGCGATGAAGAGACCATGAGTCCATTGTTTGTTGGTCTCAATCCTAACCGATGGACGACCGACACCATTCTTCAGCCAGTAATCGGCATAGCCATCATATTTATTCTTCGCATCAGCCCTTAGTTGGACCGAGCCACCGCTCAAGGAAGCGAGGCCACTCTTGAAAGCGGTGTCTTTGTCAACGTATCTAGAGATTAATCAGTATCGTGCTGAATTTTGAGTGGCGCTCAGCATACGTGACGAAACCATGCGTGAGATCGGCATCTGAATTGAACCTGAAACCATTAAAGAAAGAATCACCGGAGTAGTCCGAATCGAGGGCATAATAAGTCTCGGGAACAGCTCCGAAAGTGGAGGGAATAACCGAAGATACAGAAAAAGAAGCCAAAGACAAAATGGAAACGAGTGTGGTGCTCGACCTCAGAAAGAGTGATGAGGAAGGCATATTGAAAGAGTGACTATGCAAAGATTTGCAAAAAAGATGACTGCGACAAAGTGTGGAAGGAAAGAAAGGCAGAAGGAAGGATACACATCTCCGCTATATCGAGTTCAATAGCCACAAACTGATGCACGAAGGGGATGGCAAACCACGTCCATGATTGGGTCAACTCAGCACCGCCTCGCCCGTTTACAGCGCGGGCAAATTTGAGGGGGGTCCAACATACTCCATAGTAGAGCAGGGCGGAAATGAGCATATGAGCTCCTAGGTACCGAGTATTCCGCAATGATGAGAATCCCAGGGAGCCATGGACTTATGCAGATGGATAGGTACATAGCTAGTGCGAATACTCGATCAGGATTCAGGAGTAGCACTGAGGGTTGAGCGGATAGAAACGTGCTATAACAGGATATTACCTTGGTACCGAGTACCTAGATACGATAGACAACGATAGACTCCGTCAATACGCTCCAGGTGGTTTGTGTTCCTGCATTAGTCCTCATCCTAGGATATCCTCAAATTCAGGCCCTCGACTTCTGGATATCTCGTACCAAGACGAACATTGGTCGAAGTCTGAGAAGAGGAATCAAGTTCAACAAGGACTCGACTGAGCCAGTTTCCTTGTTCGGAGGATTGCCTCCGTGCACGCAATGAGGCTAGCCATCAATTGCAGTGAAACCCGGAAGTCGTTTAAGCGAAGCAAGAGTCTTCCGTCTGAGTGAGACGTTGAAGGGATTTTGATGGTGTGAGAGGAACTGAACTTGAGTGGCGGAAAGAAGCACCGTGTTGGTGGAGCTTAAAGGCACAAGAACCAATAAACTCATGATATCAGACCGCGATTCCTTTTTCGGGTCATCGGTCGAAAGCCCCCTGAATCTTAGCCAGAAGCCTTATTTTCTCTCCGCCGTGGCGTTTTGAGGTGACGTGAAAGTTTGCTGCAACGTAAGTATTTCGTCGGCAGGGACCAAGCACTCAAGAATCCTCAGGGTTTCTGTATAATACCGACCAGGCAGAGGCAGATCGCGAACATTCCATCTCTTCTGGCATCACCACACAAGCAGACATATCCCTCCTCTCAGAATTACTAAACTCCACTTATGGAGCACAGCCAGTGGATGACACGTTGTCGAACGATCGCTTCGGCGTACTCCGAGTGAGGTGGATGCAGGATGAAAAAAGGCGCGAGATCAGTGTACTCTGTCGGTAGTGCAGTATACTTCTATGTAAATTCACCTCACGGGGCAAGGAATATTTATCTTTCTTACATTTGAACTCCAAAATAGTGTTTGACCTTCAGTGTTTGACCTCTAGCAGACTCTTCGTGTTCAAAGTTGGTTCGTTAATACCAGGCTATACACACCGGTTAAGAATGAAGGCAAGCTCTTGTAATTGACTCTATTTTCAGATACTACCTAGGTACAACTAGTTCGCTGTGTGCCGAAATTGCCATGAGTGTCGAACACGCGATGATTACCGAAATCGAAATATATCCGTGCTAGCCTGAGGGAGTATCCATTCCGGGTCCGGATCCAATTCGGGACCACTCTTTCCAAGTTCCAACACCCTCCTAGATTCTAATATTTGAGCGCAGTATCCATTTTGCATTTACTATCCATGAACCAAGGCTGGAACTCGTAGGCAGTGAAGATCGCCTTCAGATGTAACCACCTTAACGACACCTGGCTACTGCGTGGACTTCGACGCAAAAAATCACGTGGATTGGATGCCACGCGCAGAACAGCATAGGTACTTCGGTAGATCATAACAGCCATAGCGCGAGCATGCTCATGCAGTGCAGTGCAGCCTGAGACTACAGTGGGCTTCAGGGCCGTGCACTGCAAACGAGGGGTGCCTCGGGCATCCCAAAACCCCTCATCACTGCAACTTTAGGTAAGCATTCGTTGTTCAGAGCTGAGCTGCAACAATAATAGGCAACGCCCGAGTCGACTTCAACTGCTTCAAGCTGTTGTCCGCCCAGGAGAAACACTTGCAAAGGAGTCCCAGCCTGTCATTTACCCAAACTGCCAGTGTCCCTTTGAAATGGCGATTTGGCAACCGGTCGTGCCTGTTATTTCTATCATTTGTTCTTTTGGCTCTTTCCCCATCGCTTTCCAGACCAGGCTGCCTGGGCTGCCACGTTGTCCCATCCAAACAAATGCATCGCTCCTGCTGTTGCTGGTTTTTGTACAGCCTTGATGCTGGCTAGGCTCCAACCAGCATGAACCTTGCCAGATCCGCCTTGCTTGCTGTTCTTTACCATGCCTGGTTACTGCACCAGTGTGCAACAGCATTTGTTACCGCCTAATCGATTTACTGCTTTCATCCCACCTTCTCGGCCTGTCCAACATAGCCTTATCATCATTTTTTGCACCGGACGCATGAAGCTGCTGTGTGATTGTCGATATCTTTTCCCATCTATGCCCGCGCTTTTTCTTCATCTTCCTTGATTGCACGTCCACATGAGTCGTATCGTTTCCAGATGCAATGCGAGACCGTAAGAAACTCCAGGTCCGCTTTGGGTGTGGTCCATGGAACTCTTCAGGTTGGTGTCGTGATGACCAGAATCGTTTGATCTTGATGCGTGTTCCAGCACAGGTATGTCGATACCGAAGCCCACAAAAGACCTTCATGACCAGACGGATCGCATGACTAATTGGAAGCCTTTGCTCAGGTTGACTTGAACTCTTCGGTGATCCAACAAGCCGAATATACCAGATTGCAGTCCTCTATATCTGAAGAGATCACATCTCCAGTTGAACCCTCTCCAGCCTCGCTCACGAGTCTTCCTGCAGAACTCATCCATGAGATCGCGCAGCACATGCACCCAGTAGACCGGGTGTGCCTAGCCTTGACCTGCAAAACACTAACCTCACATGTCCTCTCCGCGCCACTCCTCAGTTCAAAAACATGGGGTCCATTTTCAGACTCACGCTACCTCGAGTTTCTGCCCGAATCCTACTCACTGATCTTACGGCTTGCACATGGTTGGGTTCCAAAAGAAAGGCTGCGGTATTGTTCCCGGTGCCACCGAATACTGCCTCGCGACGAGTCATACTTCCGCAAACGGATGGCACTGAGAAAGAAACCACGATGGAACATCAAAATACGGGTGGATAAAGATCAATGGGAGCGCATGAGCAAAAGAGCGCGATACGCACACCTGATCAACGACTGGTGCAATACCAGCGTGGATGATAGCAGTGTTCTATGCTGTGACTTCTGCCGCACCAAGGCCATGGAAAACGGCGACGAACGCCTGCTCCACCCTCCCGTGCAATGTCCCGAGTGTCTCGAGAAGGAATTGACGTATGTCTGGAAACCCCCACGGAAGCCGTGGTTTCGGGAGAAGGTGGCCCACATCCTTCTGGCTCTATATCAATCTTGCGAGTATGTGTTGTGTTTCCTGGGCTACTGTTGTTTCTACAGCGCCCGGTTCGTTTATAGGGGCAGTAAGCTACTTTACCACAGTATGGTCAGTCGCTTCTCTTGATTCGATGGGTGGGCAAGGGCCTCTTCTTACTGCAGGTGCCGATGAAGATGGAGGGCTAAGAACGCTCGTGGAGGCCACAGAACTAGCCACTACTACTGTTAGGCAAATACATAATTAATCACCATTCTCTAGTCGCACATTACCACCACCAGTTTCGACATTTCAACTTCCAGGTTCCACGGAATGGTTTACAACCAAAGAAACGCAAGAGTGAATGTGTAACATGACTACCTATCAACTAAACACTTAGACCGGAGAGGATCAAGAAAGCATTCACTAAATAATCAGCTCCGTTTGAAGCACGGGACCGGGGTATCATCATGACTAGCTGCATCGCTGCACTCCATGACGGAATATTACTCCATCTTCATCATCCTGAACCTTCTTTTTCTCATTCTTGTTCATGGATCAGAACCAACAGGGGCAGGTGAGTGATATCATTCAGCGTCTCTCATCAGGAGCCACAGCATCTGGGTCATCATAGTCGATGGGGACGGTGGTAATCTTGTGGACGCCAGTGGTGGGATTTCCAGTCAGACCGTTCGCGGGCGGGCCCTCGGGTCTGCTCTCAATGGGTGCGAGGTTCTCGCCGTGGTATCGGCTGTGCGAGGCGGCAGCAGCGGCGGCGTCTGGCGCGGCGGCGGAACTACGGCGGCGAGTTGCGTCTGCGGAGGCGCTGCTGGCCACGCCGGAGACGGACTGTCGGTGGCGCCCGGCAATCACATCGAATGGGTCGCTGGAGAGCTGGAAGAGGGACTGCTTGCGCTCGCGGACTTCGAAGGCCTCGGCTGGGGTCAAGTTGGTCTCGCCGATGCCTTGTGTTTCCTTGGCTACAAGAGAAATGTCGTGTCAGTCGCTCACTCGGTGCGAATACACGCGGAGAGGGCTAGGAGGAGGAGAATTTGGACTTACAAGAGACTTGTTTGCGGCCGTAGTAGGGATCGTCCTGGGGTTCCAAACCGCCGGTCCTGCTCATGCTGAACTTTCGAACGTCCACACCATTGACGCTATATTTTCGCTCACGGTTCCAGTATTCCTGCTCAGGTGTCAAGCCGGTCGGTCCGACATCTTCGATCTCCTTCTCTATGTCGATATGTCAGTGTGTTCCCGGAAGCTGGATGACATATGGGAGTGAACGAACTGGAAACTGGCTTGCGACCGTAGTAAGGGTCATCTTGTGGTTCCAGACCACCTTTTCTACTGTTGCTGAATTTTCTGACATCTACTCCAGTGGCGCTATACTTTCGCTCACGATTCCAATACTCTTCTTCCGCAGTAAGATTGGTGAGGCCGACATCCTTGATGAGCTCGTCTGTAAATGCGAAAGATCACGAATTAGATGGGACCATGACAGTGCAGCTGAAAGGTTGTAGGTAGGCATTACCTGGGACCGGCTTTCTGTTATAGTACGGATCAGCAGTACCGACCATTTTGACTGTAATTGCGAGGGGTATGAGTTGATTTGTAGCGCAGGAGGAATTTGGGAAGAGCTAAGGATGGAGGAACTCTTTATAGTGACGAAGCTGAGGCAAACAAGCCTTCCTATATGCTCAGACCCTAAACTCTACCTTGGGGTGAAGGGTCCCAATGATGGAGGGGTGGAACTAGGCACGATTCTGACATTGCTGAGGAATCAGACATGATGGCAGTGGCACAAGGCTTGAGCAGCGTATTTGGCGATGAAATCGTATCGAACTTGGGAGAGCTCGCTCCGATTAGTGGAAGGTGTTGATGGACAAGCAGTAGTTTGGTGGGTAAAGTTTGGTGGAGGGAGAAAGTGATGACTCGATCTCCTGACCCCGCCCCAGAAAGGAAAGATTGGCCCAGAGCATCCGTGCTAGCAATTGATTGAAGCTGGGGAAATGGTCGAAGCTGAAGCTCAAGGCGAAGGGTGTGAACATGGGGAATGACAAGCGACGAACCAAAGAACTTCAGACATGATGGGGGAGATGTCATCCGGCTGCCCCAGGGCCTAGCTCTAGTCTTTGGAGCCCTTACCGAGACTCGTTAGGCCCAAGGCTCGAGACTCTGAGCTTCCCCAGTATCCGTACCCAAAGAACAACCGAGCTCCCTGCACGGCTTAACCGGAACAAGTCGTTTGGCCAGCGAACCTTGTTCTGCCACTGCACTTCAGCATTAACTCAATCCGATTCACGCATCTTACTACTCGGAGATACAACGAGGCGACAGTCAGACTCAACGCCCGCATCGCCAGCGGTGAAATTGACGTCGCATAATTACTCGGCCATGTCTTGCTTGGATTGCCTGCAAGTGATACTCAAGACCAGATCGTGGGAAGACCTGTTAATATCACCGTGTACCACTGCAGAGAAGGGCCGATTACCCAACAGATACCGAGGCTCGTAGGCTTCCCAGCATGGAACCTGGGTTTTGAGCCAGCAGCCTCCTCCTCCGAGTAACCTCCAATCTTTGACCATCGGCAGACTTTCCTCGTTAGTTCTCAAAGCGCAATATCTACCTAGGTAGGTACACCCATGAACGACTTTTGTCCTTTTACCATATCGCCCGCCGCACTCAACCCTCACACAACATAGTCTACTTATTCACTGATAGCTCTATACACGGTGCCATGTTACAAGGTGAAATCTACCACAATATACTGTAGATGACACCTAGTCGACAAAGACGAGGGTGAAGGGCAGGGTATTGCGTGAAACGCAAATAAGTGATCCGCGAATTCTGATATCCGCCTGGTGCACGTCTCCTTTGGCGGTAGAATCCTAGCATGTTCGACGAATTTTCGTTTCGGTCTCTAGTCCTGGGCTTTCATCTCGCAGGTGGATAATTTAAATGGCCACCCATTATCCTGGCGGCCCCTCTCATCACTGGCATCGTCTCTCTGAGCTTCTTCCAAGGAATTCCTCTGGCGCATCGACGAACGTGGTGTTGTTCGCTGTGAGGGAGATAGGCATCGATTTTTCCTCATCAGCCTAGTCGGACACGACGGAATCCCTTCGGCATCTCTTGTGGTTTCTTCGTTCTTTCTTTTCCTCTATCTCGTCCTGACCTTCGTTCTTTTCTTTACTATCTTCTCAGCCGCGGGAGTCCTCGTGGTCTCTCTCAAAACATTACACAACCGCCTGGCTCCAATACCGACAGGCGTACTCCGGGCACAACTCAGCCTTGCAACTGGATTTACAATGAGCTTCGGGAATGACCTAATGAGGCATTTTGAGAGCGAGCTGCTCGCCACGAATTTCTATATATGGTTTAGCGTTCCATCCAAAAAGGACGCAACTTATCTTCCTCCCTGGGATCTCCGAGGAAAAGTTCTTGCTGGGTGCAGGCTCAGGCCTGGGACAGATAGTGTATCGGAGAATTGCGGATACATGATGATGAAAGCAGAGTCATCAGCCAGGACAGTCAGACCACCCACTGCACATGCTGTTACTAAACCAAAAAAACTCATCGCTGACAAGGCATGCAGAAATTGGTGCCCTGCCAAGGCTATGCCACAAGGCTCGCTAAAACCCCGAGTCGATGGAATTTGATCGCCGACGTTTCAAAGTATTCGCTCTCATTGGGCATGAGGTGAATTAAAGAAGCACACTACTTGAATCTAGCATATTTCTAATCCTCACGCGACTGATACGAGTACACTCAGAGAAGACGATCAAAAAAGCCCAAGAATGGCATTAGGATTAGTACTCGTACGCAGTGCCGTTACAACACGTCAATGGAGCATTTTCCGAGTTGTTTTAGTGCCTCGAGACGCCATCCACTATTGAGTCCGAACTACCGCTATCACTCCCTATCTTGCTCCGACTTCTTCAGATCCACGCGGTCCGAGTAATGTCCCCTGCGTCTCGCTCAAGCCTCCCATATTCAGGAACGTTCCGTGGGTCACTTGTTCCCCAAAGAAAGTCGACAACGACCATTCAGCGTTGCCTCAATGCACCATTATTCAGCCAATCTTAAGAGCCGTGTTTTTTTCTTCTTATAACTTGTGATGGTCACCTTCCATTTTCTCATTCCCCTCTTCTGAAAGTCTTGTATACGACTAAACATCAAATCACGACTTTGTTCCACTATTAGCGAGCCGATTTAGTTTTCGCCAACACAAACAAATTAAGACGAAATGGCCACTGCCGTCGCCACTCGAAGCTTCAGTAGAGCGTTCCAGCGAAGCACAGCGTCCGCTGCTACCTCATCAACCAGATTCACTGTTCGGCCATCAAGGGCTAATGCCGCCAAGCAGTTCTTCCAACAGTCGTCGCGTCGTCAATACTCATCTGGCCCAGCTCCCGCGAGATCTAAGAACACACTCGTGCTTGTAGGAGCGGCCGCAGCAGCTGGTTTTGTCGTCGGAGGTCTTTATGGGTATAGCACTCAAGAAAATCAGGCACAGGGACCAATTCCGGAAGTCCACCTCAAGCAAGGAAGTGGAGGCCAGAGCGTGGGTGTTTTCAAGCCAACCGTCGAGGATTACCAGAAGGTGTACGATGCTGTGGCAAAACTGTTGTGGGAACATGATGAATACGAGGATGGTTCTTATGGACCGGTAGTGTTGCGTCTTGCGTGGCATTCATCTGGCACATATGATAAAGTGTCTGGGACCGGTGGTAGCAATGGCGCAACAATGCGATTCAAGCCTGAGGGAGGTCATGGTGCCAATGCGGGTCTGAACGTCGCTCGCGAGTTCTTACAACCAATCAAAGGTATGTGATGTTCTCACTGATATTTTCCCATTGGGGTAGACTGACTGACTTTTGCAGAACAATTTCCATGGATCTCCTATGGTGATCTGTGGACTCTGGCTGGTGTTGTAGCCATTCAGGAGATGCAAGGCCCTACAGTCCCGTGGAGACCAGGACGACAGGATCAGGACGAATCTATGTGCACTCCTGACGGTCGCTTGCCTGATGCCGCTCAAGGCCAAGACCACATTCGAAATATCTTTGGCAGGATGGGTTTTGACGACCAGGAAATGGTCGCCTTGTCTGGTGCTCACGCCTTAGGTATGTCAAATATTATGCCCAGCTAGCCTTGAGATAACGTATGACTAACACTAAACTTGAAGGACGATGCCACTCAACCCGCTCGGGTTTTGAAGGGCCATGGACATTCTCACCCACAGTCATGACCAATGATTATTATCGTCTCCTCCTGGAGGAGAAGTGGGGATGGAAAAGCTGGAACGGGCCCAAGCAATACGAAGATGCCAGCACCAAGTCTCTGATGATGCTGCCTACCGATGTGGCACTGATCAAAGATCCTATCTTCTTGACGCACGTCGAACGTTACGCCAAAGACAACGACTTGTTCTTCAAGGATTTCTCCGATGTTATGGTCAAGCTATTTGAGTTGGGTGTGCCGTTCAAGAGCCAGCCTGAGGATCGGTACGTCTTCAAAGCTCAAGTCGACTCGGCATGATGAGTGCTTGAACATTGCGACGGAGCCTATTTGTGTCACTCGACCTCTCGATTGTTCCTCCTTCGACTTTCCTTCCCCAACTGTTTGAAAATGTGGAATTTTCACGGCGCCAGGGCGTCTGGGGGATATGTACAAGACTCAATGGGAGTGCTGTAAGATGCGTGGATATTGTTCTGTAGAAAAAGAAGGTAATACATCGCTTTGCCTTGTTGAAGGGGCAAAGGCTGCGGTTTTGCCAGAGCGAAGCCCTCTTGTGCTTCGTTTTGCATAGTTGACGGAGTTCTGTGCATGTCATTGGTTGACACGGGCATATACCCAAGATAGAATGAGGTTTTCTAGTTGTGAAAACATCAATTTTATAGGATCACATTTTGAGCTGTTGACTATGTTATGGTCTCGTTAAGGGCCTTGGAGCCCTTCATTGTCACTTTTTGTTATCGAATGCTCAGTCAGGTCTCCCAGCATTAACACTGTCACTGCCAACTAGTACATGTAGCGGTATGAGGGACTCATATCACCCAACTCGACCTGTTCGTATTCCGTCACACCTGTATGCATTTTCGCTCGAGATCTGTTCTGCGAAAGAACTGCAAAAAAGTACAGTACGCAACTCACTGCGCTTAGGCAGATGAATCCCAAGCAAATGCTGTAACCCCGGTGAAAGAATGTCGCTGCGTCGGTCGCTTTGAAGCTGTAGCTTGCAATGATTCCTGGTTTAAATTAGCCTTGCCTCAAACCAACGTTATGACAAGACTGTTGCATACCTCCAATGTTTCCAAACCCAATAATCCAGCCACTACCAACAGCCCGTCTGTGATGGCCTCCTAGATTCATGGTGAACCAACAGACAATGATAGGCATGGCACTGTAAGTTCCACAGGTGATGAGGAACAGCGCAGCATATTGTGCATTTTTGTGATGATGAATAACCATCAGCATGGCAAATCCTGTGATGGAGATACATATAGGCATGATGGTGAAGAGGAATCGATGGCGCGTCCAGTCCGAGATGAATGCCACAAGCATGCTGAATCCAAAAGCAGCGGCCCACGGTGGAACCGAATGGAGTTGAGTCTGAATGGGAGAATAGCCATATGATCTGATGATGGTAGGTGCGAAGTAGGCATATCCATAAGCTTCGATCGCGCAATCCTGTCAGTCTCTCTCGTTTCCCCCTTAAATTGGTCCTAGCTTACCTGGAACGATGAGGCCAAAATACATCAGTCCACCGAGGAAGATCTTGTAGTCCTTGAAGCAATTAACCACATCCTTGAAAGTGATCGGTCTCTCGAGGGCGGATTTGCCTTGATCTTCCTGGAGGCGTGCCCTGACGTACTCCCTTTCGGGTTCGGTCAACCATTTTGCGTCCTCTGGAAAATCTGGAATGGCGAAGAAGATGCCAAATGATACCACACAGGTCAAAATTCCCTCAAGAATGAACACCCATCTCCAACCGAGGTAGCCTCTCAGGCCGTTCATTTTGCCTATAGCCGATGCCAGCAAACCACCGAAAGCGCCGGCCAAAGTGGTACTTGCGAAGAAGAACGTATAACGCTTCTGTGCTTCGGCCCGTTTGTACCACATCCCAATCAGATAGAAGGACCCTGTAAGGACATTAGAATGAGGCTCCGCGATTGGAGGTCATGGGTACAAACCAGGAAACATGCCAGCCTCAAACAAACCCAAAAAGAAGCGACAGGCAATGATTCCACCATAGCCTTGCGCAAAACCCAGACACACAGTGACAAGACCGAATCCAAACATGCACAAACTTAGCCATACATGAGGCTTGAGCTTTTTCAGGATGATGTTCGAAGGAATCTCAAAGATGATCTGTACAATGATTAGTCATCATTGGTCGAGGCATCGACTTTGGCGATGTGCTTTTTCCATGTCGAACGTACATATGGGACAAAGAAGATGGTCAGAGCAGTTGAATACTGCGTGGCTGACAGACCTAAATCCTTTTGGAGACCGAAAATTGCAGCATTGGCAACGTTTGTTCTATCCAAGAAGGCGAGCTAGTAGAGCACACTGAGGGCTGGAATAACACGGAGATCGATCTTTGTAATCAATTTTCGTTCGGAAACTCCAGGTGGTAGAGTAACAGTCTGCTGGTCTCGATAGTCCGCAGCTGGATGCGCAATATCTGGATCATAATCGAATTGGTGGCCAATGCCCCCTCTGGCCTTTTCGCCTAAAAATGTCAGTCGCAGTACACAGGAACGAATGGTGGGGAGCATACTTGATTCGTCAGAATGACCCATGTTGGAAGTGTTGTAGAATATTCCCAGCCAGAACGGGGTTGAGGATTGCGCTACAGTTCTAGCAGCGGTAGAAACGAACTTGAATTTCAAGAAGGGTCATGCCACGAATTTGTAGTCGAGGACGATCAACCTGTGGAGTGCAGGCGGATCCCCGTGGAGTGTAGAGAATCTCAATAAACCTCGAAATGGACTTTGAACTGAGCAAGCGAGGCACCCGGAGGTGGCAAGGACACGGGTGAAAAACTTGAACGAGGAGACTTTGTGGATGCTCCATATGGAGAAAGATCTGTTGTATGGCATGGTTTGATGCAACACTACCTACATGGGAAGATAGGTGGTAGCTTCTGACTGGTCACTCTGTTTCGATAGACACTTGAGAGCGGATCGTCCACCCATCTTGGCATTATGGGAAGCTTAAGCTCTTGAACTTAGCTGCAGCCTCAGCGGGGTGGCCGTTGCCTCGCGGTCGACTAAGCTTCTGATGTCCTTGTCACGGAGAGGTAGTTCTGTTCTGGAGCACCTCGGTACGTGGGTAGGTACTCAAGAAAACCACCTGATAGTACGAGATGGATAGTCTTTGAAAGTGGTGCGATGCATGTATCATGTCGGCTGGGGGGTTGGAGCTCCAAATGTGCCCGCTGCATCTCGAATTAGCGACCACTCCCCAGTCCGTTGCCTCTACCAGTTGTGGTGAAATTCACATTCAGGTACGCAGGCACCTAGGTACTTTAGGTAGATGGTGCGAAATACCTTCGGATCCGAATGTGTTGGTACAAGATTTGATCCAGACTTGAACTTCTGCTTCGCATGACCAAGCTTCTTACCTTGGTCAGAGACGAGGCACTTGTCTGCACTGACTATTCTGGGACTGGCCAGTGGCAACTGGTATCCGCTTCGTACATACGAATAGAATGATTCCAGAAGCCTGGAGCGTAAGCCCAAGGGCCCTGCGCGGGAGGTTTCCGGGTATTCGCCACTAACTACCCATCCCTCAAGCCGGGGCCCCACGGCCAGATAGCCGTGCCTTCTCATCGAACCGTCCTTCCCCATCTACTTAAGCGGATGAAAACATCATTCAAGTCTGCATCGTAGAATAGTCGATTTGGGCTTCTGGGTAAGCGTGACACGCGTCTGGACTTTGAAAAATGAGGCCGAGGAGTCTTGAAGGCGCTGACATGCTGCTCCGTCCATTCTTGAGTAGGTACCCATATTGAACGCAGTTGTGTGGCTTGGGAAACGTCTGCCATACATGATTCAAGCATCTCAGTACAACTCTTGGTAAGTAAGTACCAAGTAGGCACTGGTGCTCAGTTATCGGCTTCGTCAGGGTGGAAGTGAGGCAAGAGTCCCACGAGATACTAACCATGCCCGCCCGATTGCCAAATGCTTAGGCAGTAGTGCGAAAACTGTAAGACTTGAGCAGAGCTTTCTGGAGAATATTTTCCGAATGATGGGTGACAAACAGTATTTAATGATTTGGTATATTGTTCGTGCTCAAGGACTTGCTCTCCCAGCTACATACATAAGGGTACATACCTACTTTAGATATCCAGATCCGAGGTTTTCCCCCAGGCGATCCAAGTCTGTTCTGGGTATATTTGGTGCCGCAGATCTGACTCTAACTGCCTCGGTATTAGCTTCAAAGTTGGACAGCACCTGATCGTCGGGCATTTCAACTCTCACAACCAAGTGCTGATATCTAGTTCAAACGCACTGAAGATTTACAAGGCTGTCGCTCTCTGCCAAAATGTCGCACGCCTTTCATCGGTGTCTGGTCAGTTACATTTGAGGTGTTTATAGCATGGAACCTGCAACGCCTCGTTGTCTTCATGAGCAATGACCGTGTCAGTCTTTCCTTACCCCTCCTGCCCATCTCGGCGTCGAACTGGAATTCTCAAACATCAACTTCTGTCAACAATCATCCTAGGCACGCCTTCTCAACATTGATTGATACTGGGGAAAGACCAACTCGCCCTCTCAGTCTATTGCTCTTTCCTGAAGCTTAATATTTTCATTGCCAAAGCCTCCTCTTACGTCACTTTTGTCCTCTCGCCGCTTTGTCACTTCATAGAACATACATTTGTCCAACACTCAACACCAACTCACACAATTCTCCATGGCGAGCTCCTCCTCAGGTTCTGTACCTATGGATGAAGCAGAATGGCAGAATGGCGTTGAGCCTTTGATGAGGGTCGAGAAGCAGCTTCGGAACCTGGAAGGCTCTTCTTATCAGGTCATTCCTACGGGCCTTCCGGCACCACGCAAAGTCACCTTTCACATCGACAAGTTATCATATCGAATCCCTCCCAAGCCATCAGATGATGCCATCCATGCTGGATTTAGAGGATTTTCTCCTCTTCCTCCTCTCATCACAAACCATTCTTTTCTCATCAACACAGTCGAAAGCATGCAGAACGGTGAACAACCGACCTCTGACGAGCCACCCACTAACCCCACACCGACTGGCAATGATAAGTTACCCAACACAGCTTCACAAGACATCCTGGGCGAGACTCAACTTCCCAGAAAGCGTGCTTTGCGGAGCAGTCGTCCACTCAAAATTTCCGACAAGGTCAATAGTGACATCTGGCAGACAATTCTCGGTTACTGTGAGCCCAGGCTCTTGCTTGCAGCAAAAACAATCAACAAAGAGTTCCGCCAGTTGCTTTCGGATCGCACAGCTATATGGCGGACCAGTCGACAGAATGCCTTCGGCTACGACATGCCTGACTGCCCAGTTGACATGAGTGAGCAAGCGTACGCAGATCTCTTGGTTGGCCGGGGTTGCCAGAACCGTAACTGCCCAAAAGAACAGACTGCCGGGGTATACTGGACTTTTCAAGTTCGTCTGTGTGCTGACTGTTTCAAGAAGAAGACGATGCGGGTCAGTTGATCGGGTAAACTTCCTGTTGTTACCATACTAATCCGTGCTTAACGTAGGCCGACGAATTGCCCGTCCATCGAAGACATGTCTTGAATATCACGGCAGAAGGCGAAGGAAGACCTCTTTGGGAACTTCTTCCACTGGCCAGGAGTGATGGGTAAGAGCTTTTGAGAGTCCCCCTCGTCCTCACTAGTGTTGACATGCTATAGCCGACGGCACATGCGTCCAAGATCAGTTGATATGAGCACGAATGGATGGGCTAGCGCGCATAGTCATCGCCAATACGTTTTCCTCAGATCAGCCTACCTACGCCTTGAAAATAAATACCTACTGTTTCTTCGTTCAGAGCCTTCATCTGCACAACTGGCCACTTGGACCGATGGAATTCTTACCAAGACATTGGAATTCATGGTCGAGGTGAACCAGCTTGAGACCTGGCATAAAGTTCAAAAGCGACCAGACACTAACGTGCACAATGCAAGAGAAAGATTCTTTGTAGCTCGTGCAGCCGAGTTGTCACCACCAATCAAACGCAGTGTGCTTCTAAGAATGGCTGCTTTCCGACGAATACTGAACGTCCAAACACCTCCAACGGAACGATCGTGGAAGACTCTGGAGGCTAAAATTATGCCTTATCGAATACAAGCAGAAGTCGTTGAACAGTTTGAACTTGATATGACGAAAGCTTCTGCAGATAGGTTCTCGCAGTCGATTCTGTCTTCACCAACCCCTCCTGCTATCAAACTTTATCGAGTACTGCACGAATATCGTTCAGGTCATAAGTCAAAAATTCGAGGTCTGAAGCCTGAGCAAGAATTTGTGCTTGAGCTTGGAAAGAAAGAGTTCAAACGATGCTTAGATAACAAGGTCGCTGATGCCGACATTGTCCTCTTGTGCTTGAAGAATGTCTTTGATAGGTATTGCTCATTGAGCGAGGTGCCCAACGGGATGAATTACGATGGCAGCATTGGCCGTTACCGGCTGAGTTTGGACGATGCCCGTATGATTGTTCAAGAGGTGATGGAAAAGCAAATACCGCGGAACTCACCAAGAGGTGGCAAAGTGTTCCAGAACCTACGTTGCAGAGGTTGTCGTCGGACCGATTTCGTCAGGAGTTGGTCATTTGTTGATGCATTTGAACACATTCTTCATGTCCACGCGAAAGTGGTGGGTCAAGGATTGGAGTTCTGGCAATTCGCGGTGCCATATGCTCGGGACGTTGACCAGCGATTCACCGAACAAGATCGTGCTAGCGCCAGTACTGGCTTCCCCTGGTACCTTGTCGCATGGCCTCGATGTTTGCCACTTGTACCAAGTCACCAAGATCCTTGGACGCTGGACAACTGGCATCCAGCCATCAGTGTGCCTTATGTGGAGAAACCTCCAGCGGTGACAGTCTCTGCATTCGAGAATCGTGTTCCTCATGCTACCGAGCTTGCAGAAAATGATTTCGTTGGCAACCTCTTACACGCCGCGAGGACATTGAACGGCATTTGGCTTGAAGGCGAATGCCAATTCAAAATTGCTCTTAAATACGCCATTGATTTGTATCTTCGGGCAGAGGGTTCAGAGCCCCCTTTGTCTTCATTCGCAACATGTCTCAACACACTTCACGATGCAAACCCGAGCATCGAGCTCAGATTCAGGTGCAACGTCTGCGTGGGTGAAGAAACCGTGTATCGGACAGCTAGACAGGTCAAATACAAGATCGATCTGGAAGCTCTTCTGGCTCACTGGGGAGAAAAGCATGCTAATAGCAACAGTTCGTGGAGCCAAAATCTAATGCTCCTGCCATCTGCAGCAGAGGTATGGCAGCAAATTCTTGAAGCGGATGAAAAATTGCTGCAGGAGAGACAAGCCACGCGGGAACGAACACAACAACTATCTGGAAACGTTCGAAAGAGACCCAAGCTCAAAGGGAACTTGGTGATGAATGCTCGATCAGCAGGCGAAGTTTTTGATCAATTGTTTGGTCGAGTAACGGTAGCTGGGTGCCAAGTCGGCACGGCCATGGACAAGGATGAGGTGGCATGATTGATACCTTTTCAAACGAGTTTGGCAACGAGGATATCAATAGCAGTGGGTCATCAAGTTATGCACCTGTGGTAGCGGGTTAGGATGAGCATGAGGGAATGTTGCGGAAACGGAACCGAGAATGTGCGATGGGCTGGGGGCATCGTTTGCACCCGCCGGGCGCAATGTTGTATGAATATTTATTATCCACTGTCAATTTGCACAGCTTATGGAATGACATGACAAGGGCGTCCTCCTTCTGATTCAGAAGCAAGCGTTCATAGAATGGTAAAGGCAACAAGAACAGGGTGTTGAAGGGAGCATGGCTCATTCCTGAGTGTCACTACTCCACCACAGGAGGCCGTTGACGACCTAGTAGCCATTCCCTCTTCGCATTGTACAAGATGAATAAATTGCCCCCTTTCCTACGCGGAGCAGGACTGAGCCCTTCTTTTTGTTTTAATATCTTTGTCCCAAAAGAAAACAACGTAGAAGCAGGGGGGTTTTCAAAGACGTGACTAGCGACTAGCGTGCATTAGCTGGCAAATGGGGGTCTTTCAAGATCGGCTGGCTAGGTAGGAAGTAGTTTAAGAATATAGTCGTAGGCGTGAACAGGTGCGCCTCCAGCTGCCTGTTAATTCGCACTATGAGAGATTTACCGAATAACGATATACCCTGGGCGGCAGTCACTGGGGTAAAGAGGCAGGTCACCGGCGTGAATGGGTCTCTGGCTACTGATTGCTTAGCAAGTTGTATATTGGAGGCTAGCTTTTTCTTGAACCGTGAACATGCCTATACTTGGTCTAGAAGACTTGCAGGTGAAAGGTAAACTGTATGAGATCTCGCATCCCCAAGTGTGACGCTTAACAGGTTCGATACAAGTGTAAATCCATCGTTCATATCGTGATGGTATAATCTTGTGCTTCTTAAACAGGATCATAGCTACCATAAAAAGGAGCCTACGCCCGAGAGGCTACAACGTGCCAAGCGAGGCTGTGGGAGCGAAGCTGAGTGAGATGAGGAACCAAGAAATCAATGGCTGATATACTGGAACACTGCGCTGACGGCATTTTCTGATGCTTCTTGTCGTAAAAGGAGATCCTGAATCTTCCCAAGCGGTCCCTTTTCTCCATTGTTCACCAAATGATTCCAAGAACTTGTGTCACCGTATAGCATTGCCGGCGCTTTGATCGTTTGTGTGCCGTCGGGTGTGCACCGTTTGCATTTGAAAGTATCATGCGTGTCGCTCGTAGTATCATGTTTGAGCTGAAACAACTCGCGCAAAGAGTCAAGTGTAAAATGTCTTTCAACATCTTCAGCAGAGTCGACGACTGCTGACGAAAGGGCTTGCTTGTGCGATTGTCGCTGAAAGATCTTCTCCTCAATCGTACCGGTTGCCATGAATCTATACACAAAGCAATCCTTTTTTTGACCGTCTCTCCAAACACGGGCAAGAGCTTGTTGGTCGGCAGCCGGGTTCCAATCTGGATCAAAGAGCACGAGTCGATTTGCACCAATAAGATTGATACCACATCCACCTGCCTTGCTACTTAGCAAGAAGACAAATTCCTCGCCGTTGGGATCGTTGAATTTGTCGACCAGTTTCTGGCGTTTGTTGACATTCATGGTCCCGTCCAGGCGAAGGCATCCATATGAACGAGCCCTGCACAGTTTTTCGAACACATCAAGAGTCTGAGTATAGTTACTGATGAGCACGATCTTGTCATTGGTGTCTTGTCGAATCCGTGCAAGCATACGCTCGAGAACAGCGAATTTTCCTGAATGCCATGATTTTACATCACGGTCCCGACCTCTTGAATCTTTCGGCACATAATCACTTGGCCAAAACTTTTCGCTCCCTGGGAGGTCATTCTCAAGATCCAGGAGATCTGGATGATTGCACAACTTTTTCAGGATTCCGATTGCTTTAAGTGGCTGACTTCCTTTGCCCCTTAGCAGACTTTTGATGTCGGGACTTTGGATGAAATGATTGTATAAATCAACCTGGAAGGGTGCCAGATTGCAGAAGACCACATGTTCGTACTTGACCGGTAGGTACTTGGACAAGATATCATTCGTCCGTCGTATGATGAACTTCTTCACAAGTGAAGCCAATTCCAAAGTGGCTGCTTCACCTTTCGCTTGGTCTGCATCAGTACCTGCAGCATCGCGGCCACGAAGAATTGGGAGTTCGAATTTCTTGCGGAAGTCGGCCTTAGTACCTAAGTACCCTGGGTTTGCAAAGTCCAAGAGCGCGTAGTATTCAGTGAGATCGTTCTGTATAGGAGTCCCAGAGAGAATGACTCTTCGCTCAACGTTTAGTCCAGTGAGTGCCATGTAAGTTTCGCTTTCTGAATTTTTCAGTCGGTGGCCTTCATCGCAAAGCATCAGTCCGATCTTAACGTCTTTCAGCTCTTCAATGTTCAATCTCAAGGACTCATAAGAGACTATGAGCACAGGCCTCGAAACGGCTCGTCCAGAAGCGATTGCCCACTGCCTGAGTTGCATGGTCAATTCCTCCTTCGACGCCTTTCCATCGATGGCGAATGCGTGAATAGCACCTTCACCAAGCCATTTGACGAGCTCGTTTGCCCAATTCTTGACCAAACTGGCGGGGCATGCAATGATGCATTTTTGAATGGTAGGATTCCCGGCTTCTGGTGACTGCTTGAGTAGGGTCCACATCAGCGCGATGCACTGCAACGTCTTTCCCAGACCCATCTCATCTGCCATGATGCAACCCTTAGCTTTCTCATCGATCAGACCAGTGGTACATCTGTACAAGAACCTCACTCCTTCTACCTGATGCGGTCGAAGAACTTTGGCCAATCTGGGATCGATGACCACGGGCACTTTTGGTCTTTCGCCCTCCACCACCTTCTTGATGCCCAGGATCTCGGCTAGACTCTTGTGCATGAGAGGAATATCTAGTTTTGGCTTTTCGGGTTCTGCCTCTGTTGTTTCTGAAGCGGAGGGCTGCTCTGGTCTCCCATCAACGGTAGGATCGAATAAGACAATTGCAAATTCACCGCTAGGATCGTGTAGTGGCTTATTGATGAAAGGGAGTCCCTGTCGCATTCCAAGACTGGGAGCCGTTCGGGAACGGTCAATTGCCTCCTTATTGATCAACGGTATTGCAAATCTTGCACGAAATGTGGTTTCTTTGTCCTTGACTTTGAAGACGGGAAAGCGGTCCTTCAAGGCCACACTATCACCATCCATGCTGAATCCTCCACTATTGTCATTGCTACTGCCATCTGCTTCTGCATAATTCACCTTTCTTCGCTTTCGTGAAGGTTCGCCGGTCTTCTTACGAGCATTCGCAGACCCGGGACATTTGAAGGGCTTTACCAGCCGGTCCAAGGCTGTAGAGGAATTCGCCGTTAGTCTGCCTGCTTTGGCGGGTGGGATGTTTTCTTTGTCATTGTCGTGTGCGGGTAGTCGACTGCGGATCCTGGGCAAAGATCAGTCAAGATCAAGTTAATATGAGCACGAAATTGCATACATTATGTGACAGATATAGAGACACGATAGATCCTCAAGGCTGCCCTGCGTAATGCTGAAAACAGGATTGTGTGTGTAGAGGTGGAGGGCAGTTTCTGAGATGCATTGTCGACAGGCAGACGAGTGGCAAAGCAAATGTAACGCGTTCGCGACGCGACGCGACGCGATATCATGTGACATATCATCAGCTGTCACGTGCTGGCTCTTCTGTCACGTGGATGTTAGCTGGTAGCAGCACACTTAGATTCCTCGAGCTCTTTGGCATCAACGAACACATTACCCAGATATATACCTATCATTTTCAGGACCCTTTCTTCGCTCCTTGCGGGTCTGAGAGCTCTGGAAGCAGATGGCCGTTTATTCTCGCTCTTACGCATCCTCTATAGGTCACGTGATAGGTACCACTTAGGGTCAAATACTTCCCCCCAAGCTACTTGACTCGGACAGCCATCTCAAGCCTACTTTCATGAAACCCACCAACCTTCAGTGGTATCCGAGTACCTGAGTGCGTTCTTGCGATAGCGGACTCGAATAAATTCCCACGAGATTGTTCAGAAGCACTCCCAGCATGTCATAGCGTAATCATCACGGACACCACTTAATTTTTCATTTCTCCGGGCCGGATGTGTGCAGCATGTCTGCAGATTTCTGGGCGAGCTATGTCTCTGGAGGGCTGGGGATACTGATTGGCAATCGTCTGGACGTCTTGAAAGTCAACGCCCAGACGGCCAACGGAAGCACAGCACCAGCCCGTATTCAAGAGCCAGCGCTCGGTGTGCAGAAATTTACAGCTCTGTTCAGAGGAGCAGCAGCTCCAATCCTTGGCTATGGAGCTCTCAACTCAATTCTTTTCCTATCTTTCAATAGATCTTTAAAGGTGATGGATCCGAGCATATTTGACTACACCAAGCTCGCTGGGGTGGATTTGGGCAAAATTTGGGTTGCAGGTGCCCTTGGTGGACTGGCAACATTTGTGATTTCAGCACCATCGGAACTGGTGAAGTGTCGAGCGCAATTGATGATTGATGGGCAGGGATCTTCTTACGCTGTGTTTAAGGATGTGTGGAAGCATCAAGGGATCCGTGGACTTTACTACGGAGGTCTGATTACGAGCATTCGCGATGGGTTCGGGTACGGTTGGTATTTTTGGTCCTATGAACTTAGCAAACGTTTGCTACTTTCTAGGGGAGCGGATCCCTTCGCTCCTCCTACCACCTCAGATGTCCTGATTAGTGGCGGGATCGCAGGTGTGGTGACTTGGATGTCGATTTACCCGCTGGATGTGATAAAGACCCGTCTTCAGACTCAACCTTCTGGAAATCCAGAGCAACAAGGCCTCCTCCGGACCAATAGTGACAGCCTGACGCCGAAAAGTGCGAAGACTTCCCTTGTCGTGGCCCGAGAAATCTGGCAAGATTCGGGAGTTCGAGGCTTTTACCGTGGCATTGGAGTGTGTAGCTTAAGGGCGTTCGTTGTGAATGCTGTACAGGTATGTGTTCCCCATGACGAAGGATTTGATGCACTACTAATGGAATGCAGTGGTATGCTTATGAAAAGATCATGGCGTTCTTCAGTAGTCCAAGTTGATAGCAATCATAGAGATCAACATGGTTGAAGATCAGATTTCTTGCCGAGCGTTGAGAGTCGATAACAAGAGATTCCTTGATCAAACAATGTCTTCCATGGCCGTTGAGTGTGATTCGTCGGTTGGCCGTTGCTTCCGGCGGTCATCAGGACCCAAACCAACGGCGGCATCTGCGAGCTTCTGGCTATGCGCCTCTTCTTTCAACATCCTCACCCTGATTTCATGGTAAGCGACTTTGCACAGAGAGGGGGACTTTGGGAACATACCGTCGTTTATGTTGCTTCCCTCGTCGATGCTCATTCAGATTGTGACTATCGGAGAAATACTTGGCACATTCAGTGCAATAAAAAGCTCCCAGAGCCGGTAGATCTTCATTAGCCTTGGAGGACTTGTGGCGTAAGAGATGCTTTGGTGACTTGAGATCAGCCTTGACTTGATCCAAGTCCCTAGATGTGAAGGATGTTAGCAATTGAGTGGGTTGATTGGATTGAGGGGTCTCGGACCGAGTACGGCGTTTGGTCTTTGAGCGGCGAATGCTGCCCATGTCGAAAAAAATGGGGATTTTAGACGGAGGGATGCGACACAGAAGTGGTGACTCGGTAATAGAACAGGATGGGGAATATGTTTACGGATGAGTGGCAGATGTCCGTTTGATGTTGGACCCGGGGCCAAACAATCTTAATTTTTCTGGGATGCGAAAAAGAACAGGAAAAGGCTGTCGGCCATCCGCATGAATTCAGAGAAAATTAAATCAACATGTGGGCAATTTTCGTCGAGGCTTAGTGGACGTGGTAACCCCAAAGTAAGCAGCAACTACGGGAGAGCAAGAGTCGTGGACTGGTGGCGGATACTGTCAAATCGACAGCCGCGGCATCAAACCTGAAGGTGGGACATTCAATAATGGCCGAGTGTGGACCGCCCTTGGAAGTTGGGAGGTAGGATCCGATGCATGCTCCGATTGCAAATGCCTCATGCCAACCTGCATTTTCTGCTTGACCTGCAGACCTCTTTGTTGACCAATCAGAGAACATGTAATTACTCTCCAAGCACTATCTATGTCATTGCCTTGGGGGTTGCCCTCCTCGTCCCCAGGCTTCGATGAGGTAAATGATGGTCTGGCGTCCACCAGGGTCCTATCATGATTTTGCCCTCAAGGTCTAGTGAAGGATCATCACTTAGGAGTAGGCTCATCATATCTGAGGAGGCAGTTGGCATGAAGTACCTAGGTATCTGGCTAGATGTCTAGTCAAGGTCAACAAGGCCTGGATATGGGCCGCTGATAGACAAGCACAGCCTAGAGTTTAGGGCTCAAGGTGCATCTACGGACTGGGCTGGATTATCGCTAGAAAATACCTCTTGAAGGCTCTAAAACGACCTATAGTCATCCAGTGCAGGTGGTCCTTGAGTGGTGGTCAATGGGCAGTTGGGGCAGTTAGGACAGTTAGGGCAGTTAGTGCCTAGCAACATCCCTGGTCGCTTTGACGTCTTCCAAGGCTTTCCCGATTACTGGAGTCCTCGCCCCGAGAGTCTCCTCCACCAATCCTTAGCCACATTTCTCCAAAGAGCTTCCGTCCATCCACGGCCTACTTCCACAGCTTTGCTTCCTTTTTCATTCTTTATCATCTCCTCTCCACTCTTCAGCTTCCTTTGCTATACCTCTTCGACTGAGTCGACCTTGACCTCACGCAATTCCTGCTCGAGCTCAAGTCTCGTCGCAATCATGATGTCTCTCAGGCCTTTGGGCCGCTTGGCCTCGCGCTTGGTACGTTCTACCCCAGCTATGTTCGATCCAGCTGTCAACTGCATTGATATTCCCCTCCAGACGGGCGACGACTTCAATACTTGTGGCTTCCGTCAATCGAATCAAGAACTATGGCTAACTCCATTTTCTACAGCAAGCGTCCAGTGTTGCCACTGTCAGTCGCCTATCTGTTGTTCTCCCCAGTTACCATAGCAAGCTAACCCCGCCGAACAGCCCTTGCGAACGTCCCGGATGACCTACGCAACTGTCACAGATGATCCTTTGAGCAAAAATAAGTCACACCAGCCAGAATATCATATGCATCGTTACTGACATCCGAAAACAGGTCGAAATGACCAACTGGGAAAAGGGCCACTACATCAACTACAAGTCCGTAACACACGACCATACCACATATGAAAGGAAGCTGACATTCATCGTGCAGAAAAATGTCCGAGAACTTGGCCATTGTCCGAAAGAGATTGAATAGACCTCTTACCTTCGCCGAGAAGGTCCTCTACTCCCATCTGGACGATCCTCAAGGCCAGGACATTCAGCGTGGCGTTTCCTATCTCAAACTCCGCCCCGACCGAGTGGCATGCCAGGATGCTACCGCTCAGATGGCCATTCTTCAGTTCATGTCAGCAGGTTTGCCCTCGGTGGCCACTCCGACCACTGTCCACTGCGATCACTTGATTGAGGCACAAATTGGCGGTAACAAAGATCTGGACCGCGCTATTGATATCAACAAAGAAGTCTACAACTTCTTGTCAACTGCCTGCGCCAAATACAACATCGGTTTCTGGCGACCTGGTTCTGGCATCATCCATCAGATCATTCTCGAGAACTACGCTTTCCCTGGAGCTCTACTTATTGGCACTGATTCCCACACACCCAATGCTGGCGGTCTGGGTATGGCGGCTATCGGCGTCGGCGGAGCTGATGCTGTTGATGTGATGGCCGGTCTTCCATGGGAATTGAAAGCCCCCAAGATCATTGGAGTCAAGCTCACTGGGGAATTGTCTGGATGGGCTACTCCCAAGGGTACTGTTATCACTGGCGTGCTCCTTGAGTTCATATGCTAATCCCTTCTTCCTAGACATTATTCTGAAGGTTGCCGGTATCCTTACGGTCAAGGGAGGCACCGGAGCCATCGTCGAGTACCACGGACCAGGTGTAAACAGCTTATCGGCCACCGGTATGGCAACTATCTGTAACATGTAATTTTGAAACCTCTCCAAGATGTCATGACTATGAAACTGACTTTTCAAAGGGGTGCTGAAATTGGAGCCACTACTTCAATCTTCCCTTTCAACGACCGCATGTATGACTACCTTGGGGCCACCAAGCGCAAAGCCATTGGTGACTTCGCTCGTGGCTACGCTGCCGAGCTCAAAGAAGACGAAGGCTCAGAGTACGATCAATTGATTGAGATCAACCTGTCCGAACTTGAGCCCCACATCAATGGTCCATTCACTCCCGATCTGGCCACGCCCATCTCCAAGTTCAGTCAAGCCGTCAAAGACAACGGATGGCCCCAAGAGCTTAAGGTCGGCTTGATTGGCAGTTGCACTAACTCTTCATACGAGGATATGTCGAGAGCAGCATCGATAGCCCAGGATGCGATGGATCATGGCGTTAAAGCCAAGGCATTATTCACAGTCACCCCTGGCTCTGAGCAGATCCGAGCAACGATCGAGCGTGATGGTCAACTGAAGACTCTTGAGGATTTCGGAGGCATGATCCTTGCTAATGCTTGTGGACCTTGCATTGGTCAGTGGGACCGAAAAGATGTCAAGAAGGGAGAGGCCAACTCTATCATCTCTTCATACAACCGAAACTTCACCGGTCGAAACGATGCCAATCCTGCCACTCATTCATTCGTTACTTCTCCTGACTTGGTCGTTGCAATGACCATCGCTGGAGATCTTAGCTTCAACCCTCTTACGGACACTCTGAAGGACAAGGATGGCAACGACTTCAAGCTCAAGGCTCCTAGCGGAGACGGTCTTCCTCGCAACGGGTATGATCCAGGAAATGATACTTATCAAGCACCCCCTGAGGAGCGCGCCTCAGTAGAGGTGCAAGTCAGCCCAACGTCCGACAGACTGCAGGTCCTCGAGCCTTTCACACCTTGGGATGGTAAGGATCTTACCGACCTTCCAATCTTGATCAAGGCCAAGGGCAAGACAACGACCGATCATATCTCCATGGCCGGACCTTGGTTGAAGTACCGTGGCCATCTTGACAACATCTCCAATAACATGCTTATCGGTGCCATCAACGAGGCCAATGGTGAAGCCAACAAGGTAAAGCACTTCAAGACTGGTGATTGGGATGCAGTCCCAGCCACCGCCCGGAAATATAAGAAGGAGGGCATCAAATGGGTTGTCATTGGTGACTGGAACTACGGCGAAGGATCCTCGCGAGAACACGCCGCCCTGGAGCCCCGTCATCTCGGTGGCAGTGCCATCATTACCCGAAGCTTTGCCCGTATCCACGAAACCAACTTGAAGAAGCAAGGCATGCTGCCATTGACTTTCTCCAACCCAGAGGATTATGACAAGATCAAGCCAGATGACAAGGTTGATCTCCTTGTCTCTGATATCCAACCCGGCAAGCCAGTCATCATGAAAGTACACCCCAAGGATGGCAAAGCATTTGATATTGAACTGTCGCAAACTTTCAACGAAGGCCAACTCGAGTGGTTCAGAAATGGGTCTGCACTGAACGCCATGGCCAAGGCTGCGGGCAAGTAAGCCATATGAATGACCGGGTGGTATTACAATTGACATTCGGTCTCGGATCATGTACAGTGAGTAGTTGCAAAGCGAGCAAGGACGATTGGGGAAGCAGAATGTGCAGGTCCTTGCCAGGACCTCGAATCTGGGGCAGTTCACATCAAGCGAAGCCATCAATTCATTGCAGAATTATGCATAGGCATAGGCCATCACAGGTCAATCGCTTTTAGGAATGGGTTGCAACCATGATGTTATGTATCTTTGAAATAGCGAATACCAAACTTGTACTTGATTTGAGACTGCTCATGTGCGTTTGTAAAATTGGTGGTAGCGATTTCCAACTGCCCGCCAAAAACTTGATTGACTTGCATTACTACTTGGCCTATCGGTGAACGCCAGGGGGAAGGAGTAATAGGGTCATTATTGATGTTGGAGGACTCCAGGAATCTCAACATGCTCCCTGGGTTGCCCTCTATCCTCCAATAAGTCCCCGTGCGGCGTAGCAAACAATATCACGTGATGGTCACGTGACACACGTGCTTGACACAATTCCTATATCATGAACCCTAATCTGCTGTCCTGTCGCCCGCCGTGCTCAACTTTCATACGGTAGAGTATTAGTCCACGAATTCTGACGTCCGCTGGCTGGGGCTGGCAATGCAGGGATTTGGGAACTCGACAGGATATCATAGATGACCTATGAAGCCAAGCATTCAAGTCAACCGATGTGCTATTCAATACGCTATTTATGCTATGAAGTCGATATCTCATCAATTACCCGTGAACCTCGGCTCAATGATGCCATAGTGGATCAAGGACTCCTCCAGCTTAGAAGCCGGGCGCCCACCAGTGTTAACCTACCTAAGGTTCAGTGGGATCAAGTACTTACCTACCTAGGTAGATGGTATGTTGCAAACTACACAGCATCTTCTATCACTTCTTAGTATTTATGCGATTCATACGCCAACCGTCACAGGCAAGGTTTCCATTCTTCAAGTGTTTATGTAATGCGCAGGAGACGACGCCCATCACATCTGAGTCAATATTTGTCTTCTCTCCGATCAATACAGAGAGTATTATCGGAATAATTGCCTAGGTAGAATTCGTTTTTGTTGGTTCGAGGGTATTGTATTGAGGGAGCACTTGCTAGCAGACCGGGGACTGGAGAAGTAGCAGTATCACAATTCACGCACGGCATTCAAGCTCGGTTGTTCTGTTGCCTCGATCAATTCAAAGACAGCGGCTCGATTGATTCCCCTGATCCCCCTGATCGGTTGACAGTATATGCGCCAAACCCTGATCCGGTTAACCGCCCAGACAAATCGACCGCAAGTGATCAGGAGAACTATGGCGCAAAATCTGCCCAAGCTCGCCGAATGGGAGCAAATCAGTACGAATGTCATCCGTATATTGGGTGGGAATCCGAGCAAGGTATGTAGATCTTCGACCACCTAGCCATGTCTCACACATTGAATGATGCTGAGCACGCTCTACTGACAATTCTACTTCGCTCGACACATAGTTTACACTACAAGGCACCAACACATATTTACTGGGCCGAGGTCAGCGGCGCATCCTCATCGACACCGCGCAAGGAGAGAAGGCATGGATCTCGACCGTACGCGAGGCACTTGACGCCCAGAGCGACAAGCCCACTTCCATCTCGACTGCAATCCTCACACACTGGCACCCAGACCACATCGGAGGCGTCAAAGACCTCGAAGCGGTGTTCCCGGACGTCAAAGTCTACAAAAACCTCCCAGAATACGACCCGAAAGAGATGCTAGACACGAGGCGCATCATCGACATCCAGGACGGGCAACGCTTCCGGACCGACGGCGACAGCGGGAACGGGATCGAGATCCAAGCCATCCACTCGCCGGGCCATGCGAAGGACCACATGGCATTCATCATCACGGCGTCCTCCGACGCCAGCGAAGTGGGCGCCATCTTCACCGCGGACAACGTGCTCGGCCACGGGACGGCCGTGTTTGAGGATCTGGGCCTGTACCTCGACAGTTTGGCGCTGATGAAGCGACACGTTCAGGAGAGCGTCCAGCAGCTGACGACGAGCGACGGTGTCGAACCCAAACGGGCCGCGTACCCGGGCCACGGTGCCGTGATTGAAGATGCGGTCGCCAAGATCGACGAGTATGTTGCGCACCGGCGCATGCGGGAGCTCGAGGCGCTGAACGTCTTGAAATACGGGACTGTGAAAGGCCCCGAAGGTGCCGTGTTGCCGGGGCACGACTCGATCACGACGGTCGGCGAGAGCGACAGTGAAGGCGAGAGCGGCGCGGCCAAGGAAATCACCAGCGCCAAGGAGTGGACGAGCATGGAGATGGTCAAGGTCATCTACCGGCACTATCCGGAGAATCTCTTTGCGCCGGCAGAGTACGGGGTGTTGATGGTCCTCGAGAAGTTGAAGCGGGATGGGAAGGTTGTTAAGACGCAGGAGGGAAAATGGAGGGTTAGTGAGAAGGCAACTCTGTAATTCCGTCGGCTTAAAGAGGAATAATGGTTCGAGGCTACGAGAAGATGCTTGGACAACATGCACTGTCGCATGGAGATGTTTACTCGGCACTGGAGCCTCCTGGAAGATATCAACGCAGATAGTACACTTAGATTCCTGGAGCTCTCCAGCATCAAAGACCCTGTTATCTCGATATACTCCTCTTATATTCGTCCCCCCCCCCCCCCCCCCTTCTTCTTCCCTCTTTCCCTCCCCCTCTCCTCTCCTTCTTCTCGGTGCTCTACTCAATTCACCTAC